TAACTACTTGTCTACCGTATACGTCTATACTCGCAGCGTCCTGTGTACTGAACTCCAGAATCCAACAAGGCCTGCTCTGGGGTGACAGCTGAAGTTATCACCAAGTGTATTTGAGGGTTGAGTCCAGGTACAGTATGTGAAGAGGAGTACATAATCGAGCTTGGACAAGGTCTTGGGAGGAGCAGTATAGGCTAAAGAACAAGAGGAGGGGAGAGAAGAGAGTGAAAGAGTTTTCTGTAGTCTCTGTCCCAATACCCAGCCTTTCTTATATACTTGAATGAGTGACAAGACAATAGACGGAGCAACTACGTGACACGACTACGGCACAAAGAAAATAGAATACTTGTAGAATGTTCCATTGAAGCCGTCTATAGAAGTCCATAGTATTCTGTAGATTTGAGGATCCCCAGTAACCTTGAATATGTTTGACTTGCCTTTGAAAGGGCTTAGTGAACAGATATATATCCAAACACAACAAGAGGAGCAATCAAACAATTGGCCAAGTCTTAGCTTAGTATTGACCTCCTCTTCCATAGTAAGAGTCTCACCTCAAGACATGTCTGTGTCATGGGGCTGGTCACTGACCGCTGGGTCTGGCTGATGATTTGTCCAGACACAAGGACAGTGCGTAGTGTAGAGTTGTAGAGTGTTGAATGTTGTAAGGAGATGGGAAATTATGAGAGAGCTTCAAAGGGGTCCTGGGGGCATACACCAATTATGGGTGTAGGAACTATGGTGCAAGTTCTAGGCTACCTGGGTACAGACCATGTGGCAACTGATGACATGGCAGTGTAGGGTGTTATGGTTTAGGGTGTTATGGTCATGTGATGCCAAAGCTCAACAATACAAGTTGTAGTGTGCTAGCTGCCTACACGCCCCATGGACTATCTTTAGTGCTCTTGCTTCTATCATAATTCCCTTGTACAGCTGTGCACTCTCCTTATTGCTTGTAATCAGTATATCCAATACTCCTGACGTGCTATGTGTAGCCAACTCATTTCTGTCACATCAACCAACATTTATCCTTACTCCCTCTGTACAACAGTCGTTTAGAGTACACATCGCATCTATCATCCCCATCATACTTTCATGTATATAAGAAAGGCTAGGTGCAGAGAGTAGAGACCTCAAACCACACTGTGGTGATCAGGCCTGCTCTGGGGTGACAGCTGAAGTAAACACCAAGTGTATTTGCGGGTTGAGTCCAAGTACTTGAAGAGGAAGACACGGATGTGCTTGGCTGAGGTCTTGAGAGGAAGTGTGGAGGTAAAGGAAGAAGAGGAGGGGAGAGAAGAGAGTCAAAGAATAGGTTGAGGTCTCTGTCTCCACACCCAGCCTTTCTTATATACATGAATAAGTGACGTGACGATAGACGGGACGACTACAAGGAACGTCTACGACACAAAGCGAATAAGGGTACGGGTCGATCAGCGAAGTGTACAGAAAGGCTAAAGACAATAAGAAAGAAGAGACGGGTGGAAGAAAATAAGGGTAACGAATATGGGCGTGTCGACGTACGTCGGACAGCCTAGAGAGAAGAGAGGAGGAGAACGAGAACAAGTAATGGAAGCGAAGACAGAGACAAAGACGCAGACGAGCAAGGGTAAAAGAGTCCATGGGGTGTGCGTACGCCAGGCACGCTACACACACTTTTGACCCCTTCTTCTCTTTTCCTCCTCTTCTTCTCTAGCCTTCACAAGTCCTCTTGACCTGAGCCACCTCACATCCGTGTCATCCTACACAAGCACTTGGGCTGAACCCCTATTACACTTGATGTTTACTACAGCTGTTTCCCCAGAGCAGGTCTGATTACCACATGAGTTACCAAAAGGGATTCATTGACTGTCATGTTCCAAAGGGCAACCTTTGCATTGACTAGATACAGTGACAAAGGGATGCTACTGAAATTTTCTGCAACAAGACAAAGTGCCAAGTTGGGTGCTCTGCCTGTGCCCATGTGTGATGGGACAAGAGCCTCCTATGCTGCCTGGCTGTCCTTTTGGATTGGATCCTGACAACTGTATGTGTGGTATTTGTACATGTGCCTACACAGTCTATAGGGGGACACCCATCTTTTTAGCCTCATCCCTGAACATTTCAAGGCGTTCAACAGCATAAGACTGAGTAGGTTAGTTATCATCCTTTGTATATGGGCTGAAGACTCACCAGATAGTCAAACTCTAATTTATAATCCTTGTTGTCATCTGCAAGTGCATCCACATGCTCTTGTGCCTGTACAATCCCCCACAGACTCCAGAACACACTACATCCCGGACTCCAAAGCCTCACCTCCCTCTCCAAAGCCTGCACCCTCTCCTCTGGCACATCCTGTCTCTTGCCCACAATTTCTTTTCCGTTGGAGCCGTCGACGGTGATGGAGAGGTAGGCACGATAAAAGTCAGAGCGCTGGGAGATGGAGGGATAGGGGAAGTGGGGGTGGAGGGAGTGGGAGAGGGTGGGATGATGGTAGTTTGCGCGCCATTCATGGAAATGGTTGGCAATGTCAAACCCACGAGGGTTTGGGGAGGCATACTCAAAGTCGATCACAACGTACTGTGGGAACGGTCAGAGGGCCCTCTTTACGCGGGATGAAACTCACACGACGATGATCTGGGGTGTTGGGAGGGAGGTCGTTGTCTAACCGCAAAAGATTGCCATATTGAGTGTCATTGTCTGCCGAATATCAGCATTGTCGGCACGAGTGTATGGCAGTACTTACGAGCAAACACGGCTTCCTTTCCTTTTCCAGCGTTTGCTTCCACATATTGCCGGTAGATCCTGACTTCATCTCTGATCTTGTGCAAGCTAAATCTCTGCACCCAGTTCTCCCATTTACTCCCCAGACCCTCGAGCTGCGTCAAGACTTCTTCGGCAGCTTCTGACCATTCCCTCAGACATTTCCATACAGCAGGTTCCGTGTGCTTGCCTTGTTCGTAGCCTAGAAGACGGAGGTCGACGGAATGGAGCTCGCGCAAGCGGCGTGCGATGCCCCGCGAGATGGCTGGTTCCCGCAATTCTTCGGCGGTCAAAGCGCGCGAAGGGAAAAACTGCTCCACCCGCCCGTTTGTAAATGTGCCATACACCTTTGGGCCAATGCCGTACTGCGAGTTGAGGACATGGAGTATGCGAAGCTCCTCTGAGCGAGAGATGAGCGCGTCAGAGCTGGGGCCATAGACACGGAACAGCAGAGTCTGGGGGTACTGCTCGGGGGTGAGTGGTGGGGGATGGGTCGGGTCGGAAGGGAGGATGGTGGGTGTGAGGAGGGGCGATTCGGAAGGGGACGTGGGGTTCGGGGCCGGGTTGAAGGAGACGAAGAAGACGGCGTTGGTCAGGGCACCGGATACTTTTTGGAGGTGAACGTTGGTCGGTGTCAGAACGGGCGAGGACCAACGCGGGATCCGCTGCGGGGGGTCAGCGGGCAATGGCTATAGCGGGCAATAGACGTACGAGGCGTCGCAGAACGGCAAGGACTTTTTGTTTGAAAACGGGGTGCCGCCATTCGCTGAGACAGGGATGTTTAGCATTCATTGCGGTGGCAGATGGCGGGATGGGCTCACCTAGCATCGACACTGAGGGCGGTATGCCTGACGCCGCTGACGCCGTTCTCGTCGACGGGCTCTGGAGATGCAACGATGCCGTCCTTGTCGTCGAGGAGAGGGATGTCGAGGCTGAACTCGGAGAGCTTGGAGAAGCTGCTGGCGGATGTCCTGCTGTGTTTTGGGACGGGGCGGGTGAAGTAGGAGTCGGCGGTGGCCGGGTGGTCGGGGAGGAGGAGGGGGGAGAGGGCGGCGGGGGGCGGGGGGGGCGGCTGGAGGTCGAGGGAGCCGTGGGGCGTGAGGACCATTGTGTGTGCTGTGCTGTGCTGTGATCTGCTGTACTGTACTTACTCGTACTCTGCTCTGCTCTGCTGTACCGAGTATCTGCTCCTGCCTCGACTACAGTCTCCGTGCAAACCCATTACGTAACATCCATCTGCTCCCGTTGGCCATCTATATCTCGGGCCGGGTTGTTGGGTTCCGGTCGGCCCCCGGAATGTTCTCGCGCGTTCTGCCCTCCATTCCTCCTGTGCTTCTCTCCCCTCGCTCTCTCTCCCACTCTCTCTCCCCCCCTCCCCGATGCCCCCCCTCTCCACCCCCCAAGCGGCACACCCCGCATCTCGCAAACGGCGCGCCTCCTCTCCCCACGCCGCAGACAAGCGACGCCGCCCGAATCTCGCCAACGGCTTCTCCTCCCTCTCCCTCCACACCGCCGCCCAGTCCACCCCCCCGCCCATAGACGACACCGACGACGATGGACTCGGCCCCTCCAACTATCCCAGGAGCAATGATCTCAAGGTCGAGGTCCTCCCAGAATCCAGCGCAACGCAAGAGACCTATGCCCCCACTCCCCACCACCGCCACGCCCGCCCCCACCACTGGTCACATTCGTCCTACGGCCGGCCCCCTCCGTCTTCTTCGTCCAATTCCCCGCCATCGTCCAGCGATGAGACGTATGACTCGGAAGCCACCACGACGCGTTTTTCCAGGCCAAGAAGATATGCAGGAGCAGCGCAGCAGGCGGATGAAATCGTCCAGCCAGACGCCAACGATCCTGTGGCCGGCTACGAGCTGGGCATCGAAGATGTGACCGGCGTGCCCCCGCCCCTGCGAGGAAGGCGGCCTCGGGAAGACGACTCTGCGGAAGGCCCAATTGAGAAGCGGAGGAGACGAGATGACATGGATATAGACATGGACGCTGAACCTGAGCCACACTTGGGGGAGCCCAACAGTATCAAGGATAGGATGAGAAAGAGAAAGACGGTGTGGCATGAGCCAGAAAAAGACCGTAAGCTCAGATTGATCATCCCATACTCTGCCTCGCTGACACGGTCCGCAGGCATTGTAATCACCTCCCTCTCCGATTCAGACTCGCGCTCGTCACGCTCTCCTTCCCCCGAAGTCGAGCTCGCTCAAGGCCACCTATCGCAGCCGGGCGAGCACGGCTTCACTCTCTCCCCCTCCCTTCTCACCCACCTCATGAGAGCGCGCCGAGACTATGATTTTCAAGTTCCTCTCAGCGAGCTGCTGCGAAACAATGAGCGGGGGTTGACGGTGTACAGGCCGTTGGGGATATCTCCAGGGAAATGGAAGGACGATATAGTCAAGACGTGGGAGGAAGCGCAGGCGGATGCGGATGCGGGGCGATTCGAGGAGATTGATGAAGATGAGGGTCGCAGTTTCACCCAGTTCTCCAATCTATCGGAGGGTATGGATGTAGAGCCAGAAGTGGCGCAGCCTTGGGCGAACCCGTGGATAGGGCAGGGGGAGGCGACCTCAGTGGACAGTGTCGACCAAGACATGGCTATGGATGTAGAGGATTGAGCCTAGTAGCCTTGTGCGTCTTTACGGTCGAGCATTGCATGTTACCTTACTTTACGGTCGAGCATTGCATGTTACTTTACTCGAAACCCAGTCAAAAGTCGATCGTGTGACCATCTGAAAATTTCAATTGCACTCAAAAGTCAGAAATAAAGTGTCGGCAGAGATCAAGGACTTCTTTAGCCACTTTTCCGTCTCTTTTCATCTCTTGTCATGATCTTTTCCTACATCTTGCCATCTTGACACCCCTGCCTATCTCTTGCGTTGCTCTTCGTGCAACATGCTCCGGCCATGGACGACTGCTTCAGAAAAGACCTGGGGTGATATGACCCCCGAGGCCATCCAGGCGCTTTGCGTAAGTCAACCTCTTTCTCCATCCACTCGTCTGATGACTATTCCGGCAGCTGTCCAGCGCCCCTCGGAATCCAATATACCGCCACCCCCTCTTTCGCCGCATCTACCTTCTCTTTTTCGTACTGTCCACCCTTGTTTGCCTTCTGCCCATATGGGCCCTGATATACCTGCCGAAGGGAAATCGACCCAGAGATGGGTGGAGTCTCCAGCGGTGTCTCAGGGCGAGATGGGGAAGGAGGCTCTGCGGGCTGGTAGCCAGGTGCGAGATCGATTACCTTGGAAGAGATTTGGCCCTGGACATGGTAAGCTCATCCGGTGGTCATTCAGGGAGCTGACTTGTGCAAAGGACACTACGAGCTTGAGGCATTCCCATCCTGTTACCATTCCCCCAGCCCCAGACGACTTGGTCAGAGGACACATCAAGGAGACTCTTCAACAGCTGCACGATTCTAGAGGAGCGTGGGACCCTCACTTTGTTTATCGCAAGGCTCGGAAAGCCGCCGGGGCATGGGGCGCTTGGAATCTGGACGATGGGCATCATAGAGATTTTGGATTCGAACCAGTAAAGGGGTTCTGGTTTACGGGCGAAAAGACAAGTCCTGTACAGCGTGCGCCTTCCCACCTTGTATTCACTCACAGAATCAGTGCTGATACCCTCCAAAGCCCCAACACCACGACTGGAAGACGACCCCGTCATGCTCCATTTCCACGGCGGAGGCTATCTATGCGGCACTGCCGCAGAGACTGACCTAACTTCTTCCATATGCAAGTCTCTCGTCAAGTACTCGCCCATACACCATATCCTCTCTGTCGACTATCGTCTCGCGCCGAAAGGTCCTTGGCCGCTACCGTTGATGGACGCAATCTCGGCATACCGCTGGTTGGTCAGGGATAGAGGGATAGGGGAAGCGGATATAGTACTGGGTGGAGACTCGGCGGGGGGTCATCTGGCGTTGGCTCTGGCCAGGTGGCTGAGGGACGAAGGAGCCGCAGTAGGACTGAACATGCCAAGAGGTCTGGTTCTGTTTAGTCCTTGGAGCGATCTGGGTTTCACGAATGCTTGGGGCAAAGACGAGTATAGGTTCAATGCGGATTCGGATGTGGTGAGTCATGCGCACTATATCCAGATACTGGCAAGCTGTTGGCTGAGACGAACACAGATTGACGACACTTTTGGGCCTTTTGCTTGTTCCCTTCTTATGCGCGCTCAACCGATTTCTCTCTGCTATGCGTCACCCTACGTTTCGCCTGCATCGTCGACCATCCCGACAGAAGACTTGTTTACAAACTTTCCCCCAACATATATTGCATACGGCAGCGCTGAGCGTCTCGCGCGGTCTATCCAGACCCTTTTCAGGCGCCTGCAAAGCGGGCGTGTAATTGGGAAACAGGTAGTGCAGGACAAGATCTTTGTCGGACCCGACGCGGTGCATGACTTTGCGATTTTTCCTTGGATGGAGGCAGAGACTGCAATGATGTATGAGGATCTCGATGGCTGGTTGCGAGAGCTTTTGTCAACCGAGGTTGACATCGAGGACGAGGCGACAGAGGAAGCAGATGCTGTCTCTCCGCAGGTTTTTGCGTCAGTCTTCAACAGCCCAATGGACGACAGCGCGTCTTATCGCCGATTGAGTCGACACAGGACAAATGAGAGTTTGAAATCATGCAAGTCCCCGGTGATGGGGGCAACCCCCGATTCAGGCATGATGAGGATAGTGGAGGATATGAAGGGAGAAGGGATGAGGTGCGATGGTCTCTCTCAGACAACTCAAAAATCAATGCTGATGTTGCGCCACTCTGTAGCATGATCGACATTCCCAAACTAGACCTGGATGCGCCAGCATCTCGCAAAGATGTGTAGCCGCTTCCGCTGAGGTGTTGGATAGTATTTGTATAGCATTCTATTGACCTAGAGGCATGCATCAGCATAGACACTATGAGGCTCATTGGACATACATTAGTCAACCTTGCTGAACCTCACTCGACAATCGTACCCGACGCTGACAACGTGGCACCCCTCGCCCCGGGCTGATATAATGGCGCAGTCCCTGATGACCTCGCTCGAAGCAGATCCCGCGTTGACTACTCCATGGATCTTGACACTCGACCGCTTCTCGCCCTTTAGAGTGAAGAGATTGAGATATCCCCTCGATGTGGTGGTTCTGATGAATATGTCAAAACTGTGCGGAAATACCATGGAATGGACTCACATGATACCCGAACCATCGGGCAAAAACTCCATCCTGGGTAGCACATAGTCATCTCCCTCTTCGCCAGTCCACAGACACGCCAGCCTTTCCGTTTCTTCCGGCTCTATACCATATAGCAATAACCTCTCACCTCCACCACCACTGTGGTCGCCTGTCTGACAGGCCACGATCTTCCCAGAGGGATGGAGAGTCATGTTCAGAACTGCAAAACTGACATGAGTGTCCAAGGGGTGGGGGTTGAAGCTTTTGTTTGTATAGACCCAGGGTGCCGGATGGGTCACGTCACTGGGTAGAGACAGGTAGTGGAGCACATGGGAGCTCCGGGTAGTGTATAAGAGCCAGGTCGAGTTTGGATGGAAGAGAAGGGCTTCTGGGTTTGAGTCTAGCTTACAGCGGTGTGCCTCTGCGAATCTCAGTAGGGGTTCACATGCGAGAGAGGCGTCGTCTGTAGCGTCTAGTGGTATCGAATGGTCGTCAAGAGGAGGAGGTAGGGCAGAACTTATCGCCTCATAAACCACTATATGACGATCGTAGGATGCGGTTGCCATGAAGCGACCGTTTGGAGAGAATGCCACGCGAACGACATATTTGGCCGACACGAACGTCTGTAGTACCTCTCGAGAGATAACGTCCATAAGGACGACACTGTTATATAGTTAATAATCACATGATATCATAATTATGGAACTCACGTTCCGTCCATGGATCCCGTCAAAATGTATCGAGGGTTCAAAGGATAGACGGCAAATGTCAAGATTGCCGCACGATGAGGCTGGAGGATCATAGCCACCTAAGTTACTGAATCAATCGCCATTCACTGACCAAGGGGATTCAACTTACATCTCCCGTATCAAAGTCTACCACTTTCAGTGTCTTATCCACAGAGCTTGTGATAATGCTCAGGTCATATGAAGCCTTGTAGCTATACGCCCTTGTTAGCCGTATTGCGCGCCAACGTCCAAGGGATCTACTCACGAGGCGGTAGACGTATCAAACACCCGCTTTGGGACGTGGGAGACAGTTACTGTCAACAGGCTGGAGGCCGAGATACTGCCCAGGCTCCTTTCAGTGGGCGATAGCTCCACTCCTCGAGGCAGCTCGATCCGAAGCAGCCGTTCCAGGTTTTCTCTCTCGTCCACGCATTCTGAGATGCGCAACTTTTCCAGCTGGTCAGATATCTGTAAGGCCATCCAGTCCTCAACAACAGTACGCAGGTCGGGGGACGGGGGATGTTCTAGAACAGGGTGAGGTATGCGCGAAGCCTCCAGGAAAGGGTGAAGCACCGTCGGGTATTGTGATGCGAGGTAGTGGGCGACGAGAGTCTGAAGATAGTTTGATGGACGCGACATACTGCGAGGGTCAATGTCGAAGACGGTTGGTGGAGGATGATCTGGGAAAGACAACAGCGAACGAATGCGTTAAGCCCTGGTTTCGGGAGACCGGCGAGCGGGTGCTTTTCTTGTCATCTTGTTCCTGTGGGCTGTGGGCCGTGATTATACCACCGTATCCATCTCAAATCGCTTCCAGTATTACTGTACAGACCTGAGGCTGGCAGATATAGAATCAATCGACCCATCGCAATTTTCAAAGTGGCCTTATGTCAGTATTCTGTTCTGGTCGTCGCCGACAGCAGGAGGCAGTGGCGTGCCACATGAAGTTGTTGAGAGGTAAAACCATCTCTTCCACGCCACATACACAGAGGCGTACCTGGTTACTGTGCTCCTCGAGATTGTTACAATTGAGATAAATGATTACACACTGCGCGACTACTTGTACAGAATTGGCCATCTACTCGTACATCCGCGACGTCTCCTCTTCATCTGCCTAGGCCCTTCTCTTCATCAAATGGGCTTCGCAGACCATCGGGCCCAACATCTCCCAATAGTGAGAGAGTCGACAAAGGGGGTGCCATTTTAGACATGTCTAGCTTTTGTGCGAGCTTGAATCGTTTGGCAGTGCGATTGCGCCGCCCATGTGACTCATCGTCACAGCTGTTTGTTGTTTTCGTGATCTCTGTAGGCACCGCTAGCAAAGATCGGTCGTCGGTGCTTGGTACGGCACTGGAAAGAAAAGATTTTTGGGCCGCGTGCGGAGCAGGATCGGCTACTGAGAACGAGGAGTAGGACCGCGTCACACCAGCTCGATTATGTTTGTCTGTCAACGCCTTCAAGTCCCCTTCACCAATGACGGACGGATCCCGGGAGGAAGGGTTTTCGCTTGCTTTTTTCCTTCCCTCCTCGAGAGGACTGTCACCTTGAAGACTTTCTGCTTGAAGATCTTCAGCGGTAAAACTGCGTCCCCTTTGGAGAAGACTTGATGGTCGCGCTACCCCGGCTGACAGCCGACGGCCCGACACCTTTGGCGGTAGGGGCGAAGGGAGTTTCTGGTCCGCAGATGGGACTAATTTGATAGAAGGCATTGGCAAATCTGTCGAATTGTCAGTATCATCCGAAGAACTAGAAAGTAAAAGTCATTGACCTTTTTCTGGGCCTTTAGTAGATCCTGCGGCACTCTTCTGCAAGCTCGTTGACAAGCTACGGATGTATTGTTGAGCAGTGATATTTTGTAAAGCACGAGCCGAACTTACCGTAGAGCACGCCCAACAGCACTTGTGCTGCGGTCGGCTACGGTGCCTTCGTCCAGAAAATCCATACTATCCATGCGTCGCAGGCCGGGTCGCTCTGAGCGCTCTTCCCGGGGAAGCTTGCGCCTTTCCGCCTCGATACCAAATCGGCTGTTTTCAAGCGCAATCTCGTTCATTTTCTGTCGCGTTGAATCCCACGAGTGTAGCCAGATCGTAGTGATGGAATCTTCGCCGGGTGAACGCGATTTTTCAGACCCAGTAGTCTGCGAATGCAAAAGCCGTGTAGTAAAATCGTCAAGGACTGTAGAGGGAGGCAAAGATCCGGGGGCAAATTGACTGGAAGGTTGTAGCAACATCTACGGGCATGAGTCAGAAACTTGACATGGAGAGAACATGGTATCCTACGTTTTCTACAAGCCCGAGCTCATGCGCGGTCCATTCCTGGTCGCTTTCATCGCCATCACGTGGGCGCTTTGAGTGATTAGGTGATGATTTGTCGCTTTCGCCTTCGCTGACAGCAGATTGCAAGGTCCCCTCAATACGCGGTGCAAAATACTGGAGCATACATGTCAGCATTCCATCCTCGCGTATAGCCTGACCCGCGGGGGACATCGTGCTTCCACTTACAGACGAAAGGTCATAAGGGAGTGGGGTATGGGGTGCACTGTCTTGTCCTAGACAACCGACATCATTCCTACACGAGCATCAGATCCGGGTCTTCCTCGATGATACAGCGCGCTGCCGATGTACCTGTGAGACATGATTGACCAGCGATGGGAAGCTTTCTGTGCCGCAGTCGAGGAGAGTGGTGAGATTATTCAGCGCGGGGTGTTTTTTGATTATAGCAGTCTTGAAGCTGGGATGGGGATGAAGAGAAGAAAAGAAAGAAAGAGCTGAGCGCGCCGGTCGACGCGTCGCGGCTGCTGATCCACCTGTGCCTGGAGGCACGCCTGACGTAACGGGCTGCAACATTTCTTGGTTGATCTGAGTGAGTACCACCGGCTTCATTGCTCATGTGTCCGTAGGTGACTGCAATACTGCCTATTCCTTGCCCTGACAGCCGGACTCTCTCTTCCACCGACACGTGAGCGTGTTCTTGATTCGTTCTGCTGAAGGATGCAGTAGACGCGACGAAAGGTCATTCAGGACAATGGAACCCCTGATGCCTGGCCTGGGGCGAGACAAAAACTCGATGGACGTCAGGCCCCGCATCCCCCTCCCATTGTAGCGACGCTGGTCATTGTGCCGCCGCTCCTTTATTCCGCCCTCTGCCAGCAATCATTTGAAAGTGTCTTGCATTCTGACCGTTGCATTCATCTTGTCTGCAACTCATTTCGACCTTGTTGAAGATGCCTAGCGAAAACAGAGCCCCAAAGTCGAGCAATTCCAGTAAGCCTACTAAGAGCAAGAATGATATCGCTGCAAGCGCCCACAAAGCCAAGGATGCCATGAGTCAAAACACCACGCAGGCATATGGAGCCCTTATGGGATGCTTTGGTGGAGTGAGTTCTGCTATAGCTACTGTCTTCCCGACAGCAAGACACCTTCTTTGGATAGCCATAGCTAATGACTGTCCGAGTGCAGGAGAAGAAGTTCAACGAAGTAGTATGTCCAATGGGCCACAACAAACATTTTGTCTCACTGACATTGATCATCTGTGTCGTTTCAAGATCCAGAAATACAATCCAGCTTTTTTCGACTATGCAGAAAATGTTGTGCTCAAGTCTGCCCCCATAGAGTACAAAGCAAGCAAGTTATTCGTCACTCTTGGTGTTATAGGAATGTTCCAATTGTAAGTATCCTCTTCAAAAGGACTACGAGTAATGTGCCCAGCGCTCACGCAGATTTAGTGCCATTCCCATAGTACACTGGCCTCTAGAAGTCATTGCCAAGTTCTTACAGTTCTCGTTTCTGTATACTTGCGGTGCCAAGGAGCTTCGCAAAGGCTTCAGCACAAGCTCCTCCGTCAACCTCGTCAAGTCTTTGCTCATAACATTCGTTGTGGTCGTGTCATTGCAAACGATACCCAGTCTGCTTTTTGATATCCACTACCATTTCGGAGCGCTGTGGCATTTCTGCCTTCCTGTGCTTCTGCTTTCTCTACCAAGCCCCCAAGAGAACGATAGGACAGTGGCAATATTCCTATGTGATGTCTTCTTGTCTAGCTTTCTGAATACAATGACGGCAACCATGACCGGAATGCTGCCAGAGATCGACCTCCAAGATGATGCCCAGAGGGTTCCAGTAAGAACTTTATAAGCCATATCATCAATCACTAATGCACTAGTAGGCTTTGTTTGCTTTCTCAGCTTTTGCTATCTCCCTGTAGGTATAATAATCGTGTTTGCTGTGTACTCCACAAGTACAGCGCTGATGAACTGTATATAGTTGGCTTGGTCTGTTGAGAGAAACAACAGCTTATCTTCTTATTTGGGGCTCAATCTTGCTATCCACCGTCAATGTGATTAGCCAAGAACAGGTGCAGAAGCAGAAAGATTCGGCTGGGTACTATAACCAAATGACAGTATGGCACAATCTATTGGCAATCTGGCTCTGGGGCTTCTTGATCTCGACCATAGAGTCTTTTGCCATTCCGGGCCTTGTATCCAGCAAGGATCTCATACTTTACCATCTACCAAGCTACTTTTTGTGGGTGACTCTGTTCATACTTGCAATGATGTTGACCAAGAAGACGGAAAAGTCGCATGTAAGTTTGGTGATACGTATTATGAAACCGATGCTGAATATCTTGTCCATTGACTAGGTTGCCGACACTTGGTATGCGAGGTGGCTTAGAGGCTCTTCATAGTCATATTTATCAAGATCCACAGCTGTTTATATACCCCGTGCACGTATGCACGGTATGGCTGGACAAGCGTTGGGCCATTCTTGTACTGCGCGAGCTCCTCAGTCGATTCTCTCCGACCTTCTACCGATCTGTTTGTGTACGTCGTTTGGCATAGCGAGAGAAGAACCAGGGCAAGCAGAGAATGTCATGGAAATGCCTTGTGTGGACGACGTCGTCGTTGCGTCGTCGACGAGAGAAACGTAGAAATTGCCCGGGGGAAATTTGGGGGAAATTCGTCAACAACAAACGGCAGAACGGGCGGCCATGACCGCTGAAGAAGGCTGCTGGCGAGATTTCAGGATTCTGCAAAAGGTCTTTTATCGATGCGCATCTCGCCCCCTCCACTGCCATGGCCCTTCCTGCGACCCGCTCCTTCGCCCCCCGGGCCCTCGCCCGCCCAGCGCTCGCCCACATCCCCCTCCCCTCGTCCTCCTCTCGCTGCCCCCTGTCCGTCTACACCTCCCGAGTGATGCCTAGCTAACCCCTCTGCAGCCGCCTCTCTCCACCTACTCGGGGCATCTCCACGGTCCCGTCTGCGAAAGAAAACCCTCGCTCGGCCCTCGCCGTCCCATTAAAAGACATCAAATTCCTCTCTTTCCCCCCAGTCACCCCCCATCCCCCAACCAACCACATTCACGTGGCCACCCTCCACCTCCAATCCCACCATCCCTACAACCTCGACCTCCTGTCGCAATTTGCCGTCCACTCGGCCCATTCGCTCCAAATCCCCACCTCTTTGCCGGCATCCTTGCCGAAAAAGAAGGAGCTGCATACAGTACTGAAGAGTCCCTTTGTGAAGAAGAAGGCGCAGGAGAATTTTGAGAGGTGGACGCACAAGAGGGCTATCAAAGTCTTTGACGCGGAGAAGGAGGCGGTGGATCTGTGGCTGAGGTACTTGAGACAGAACGGACTGCCGGGTGTGGGCATGAAGGCGTATATCCACGAGTACGTGGATTACGGGTTTGGGGAGCAGTTGGAAGAAGTCAACGAGGTAGAGATGGAGGTGCAAGACAAGAGAATTGCCGAGGCAGCGGACGAGCTCGTCAAGAGCTTGACTGAAGGAGAAGAGGTGAAGGGCGTGGATCAAGGGAGCGAGGGCGTGAGAACGATTGTAGATGCGACCAAAGGGGAGAATCCAGCCGAGAAACTCAAGGGGGAGGCCAAGGAGTCTTCATAGTGACCATGCAATTTATGGGAGTCGGTGATCCCACCCATCTAGCTCGAAATAAGTGGAAGCGATGTGTTTCTCAAAGCTGCATCTCAAGACAAATGTACAACATACTCTGACCAACCTTGTCTTCCTTCGCATCTATGTCAACCCTCCCTCGTCCTCCTCCAGCGCCTTCTTGATCCTCAGCAGTACACCAGTCTTCCAATTATCCAACTTGGTGACCTGATCGAACTGATAGATGGCGCCCGTAAACCTCTCCACATCTGCCTCTTCACACGCGTCCATGAGCTCTTTGGCAAACTTTGCTTCTCTGGTAGAGGGGAAGGTGACGTCTTTCTGAGCAAAGTCGGTGAGCAATTTGTGAGTGGTCACAAGGTCCTGCTTGAATTAGCGCTGCCCAAGGCGACTATATTGTAGACTCACTCCCATGGCCAGAGAACATAGCGCAGCACGAAGCCAGTACTCTTTTACAGAGTATTTTGTCAAGGCGCTCGTCAAGCTCCAATTCGCCACAGTCTGGTACAGTTCCATAGACTTTTGATAGTCTTGCAAGTCGGCAGAGATCTCGGCTGCTTGTTGGTAGCATTGGTTGGCGGTCCTATCCGACGATTGTCAGTGGGTCGTCCCGTGCACGCGACGACCAGCTTACGCATTCGCATCCTCCTGCTTGTACCAGTCGCCAGCGCGGATGAAGCTATCCCGCGCCTTTGCAGGATTGATACCATCTTGGGCGTAGATGTTGGCAATCTCCTTCTCCCGGTCAGCCGCTTGGCGGAACAGGCCGCTCTCTATGAGGAGTTTGATCGCCTGGTGCAAGGCAGACACGGCAGCTAGAGTCGAGCACACCAGGTCAGCCTATCGTTGATCAAGGGTTCCAGAAACGCACCTTCGGGGTTGGACTTCTTGTACGACTTGGCGGCGTTGTGGAATGCGTTCATAGCGTCGTTGTTCTCATTCAGCTTGAGGCGGCACGCTGCTTCACTGGCATGTATCTCTTCAGCATGCTTACCCCTTCGGCACGGAGGCTACGCACCGCTCATATGCTTGGCCGGACTCTTGCCACTTGTTGTCGATCTTGAAGGAGACAGCGGCCTGGCCGAAGAGGTCGCCGGCCTCCTCCCACTTGGTGTTGCTGTTGCCGAACCAGCCGACGGAGGAGCTGGCCTTCTTCTCTGCCTTTGCGATTTGTTCTTCTGCTCTCGAGGGCATTGCGGGGGCTGTCGACGCTGTTGTCCATATCACCATACCATGCTCGTACTCGTAGTGACGTCGCAGGCGGGGATTTGCGGCGAATCCCGATAAATAGCAGGTGGCGTTAAATACGCATCTCTCTTTCTTACTCATCCCTACCCATACATCCACCATGGCCTCTTTCTCTGGAAACCTCTTGTGAGTCGCCGTACCCCCCTGCCCCCTGCCCCCAGCCCCCAGCTGACAGACCCCAGCGGCACCGAGCAAGATCGCGTCAACTGCTCTTTCTACCTCAAAATCGGCGCGTGCAGACACGGGGACAGGTGCTCAAGGTAAGTGTCCACATCAATCAGTAAACATGTCTGACTTTTGCGCGTAGAAAACACATCAAGCCCCAATTCTCCCAGACGATATGTCTCCCCAATGTATACAACAACCCTGCCCACACCCCCGAAGGGCAGAATATGTCGAACGCAGAGTTACAGGCGGATTTCGACAGGTTCTATGAAGACTTCTTCATGTGCGTAAACTGTGACTCGTATGCCATTGAGATGCTAACCCACAATCACAGAGAACTGGCCAAATACGGCAATGTCCTTGAAATGATCGTTTGTGATAACGTCGGGGACCATCTCCTCGGAAACGTCTACGCCAAGTACGAATATGAGGCCGAGGCTGCCCGCGCCGTCCGAGAGCTCAACGATAGATGGTACGCCATGAGGCCGCTCCTCTGTGAACTGTCGCCAGTGACGGATTTCCGAGAGAGCTGTTGTCGACAGAATGAGATGGGAGAGTGCAAGCGTGAAGGGTGAGCGATGTCTTTGAATTAGACGTTCAGAATGCTAATGCCGCTACAGGTTCTGCAATTTCATGCACCTGTGCCACCCAACAAAATCACTCGTTGGTGCTATCCAAGCATCCCAACGCGTTTCCCGAAGACACAACCGCAACAAATCGCACGAAGAAGGGGAGAACGGCGGAGATATGGGGTGGACACCGAATGCCGCTGGAGGACAGGGATGGATGCCTCCGGCCGAGGATCTGGGATGGATGCCGGGAAGCAGGAGGTAGTTGGAGGGTCTCGCGAAATTAGACTGGCTTGTGCGCAACTTGTAGATGATGGATGCATTTACTTATATCTCTGTCCCACGAGTACTTGAATTGTAGATTTCCCGGGCTCTTGGATTGCTCGCCAATAGTCCAGTCGTTTCAGTCCAATGACAATAGGTCACGATGAAGTTTGGACGCAATACCAGTGGCATTGTCCTGCTATAATCAAAGGATAGCATCCGCCATTGAGATGCAAAGAAGTGATACACAGTGTGCCATTGAAGATCATGACCTCTCAAGGGGGAGAGCCGTGTCTCGGCGTAGAGATACAGCATCATAGCCATCTCTGCCATTGCCATGACACACGTGTCTCTGCACTTGTACAAAGCTAGAGGTGATCATTGCCTAGCAGCCACACTGCGATTGCTGTTGAATGCACATTCGTTTACATAGAGTGCATTCTTGGGTGACTTATATTAAAAGATGATCTTCACATCATCATCATCCGAGTCGGACTCGGAATCGTCAGCGGACACTTCTTGCTTACCATCCGACTCGTCGTCATCACTGTCATGGTCACTATCATCATCGTCAGACTGAGGCATTGCCGGAGCACCCTCGTCAAATTCGATGAATTCTGTCTGCTCTTCAAACCCTCCCGGCTCGGCCTTGGCCCCGTTCGCCTTCTTTTTTTCAACATTTTCCACAGCAGCGGCTGCGGCAGCCTGTTGTGCTCTCCCCAGCTCTGCTCTGACAGTATGCCTGAGTCTGCACTTCTTTCCCTTGGAGCATTTGCCAGTCGACCAGAATTCGGGACAATCCCAGGAGTGGAGATCCTGACACGTCCCCTCCTCTTTATCACACCAGCCCACATGAGCAAAGTCCTCGCATATGGGGGCATCGGCAGCGACCTTGACGTGCGGAAATGGGCAATTGGGACGGGTGCAGTACGAGAGGGCTTGGAAGCGCACGCATGACGGAGTGTTGTGGGCGGTTGGTGTGTGGGACAGGGGGCAAAGGACATCGCCGAGCTCGCAGCGACCTCTGAGAAAGTTGAAGCAGGCGGTGACGCGATTGGGGTCATGTATGGATCGGCAGATGTGGGCTTTCCGGCAGCGGCCTGTGTCAGCAGTCCGACGTCAAAAAATTACCAAACAACGCAGAAGAGCAAGATGGGGAAAGATATTTCGTTAGTCGATTCGTATTGTCGCCGGGTTGACGCACCCGTCTTGGTGAAGGTCGGACACAGTCTCCGCTGACTGCAATCATGTTAGTGTTGGCGCTTCGGTGCAGTGAGAACTTACGCTGGTCTGAGAGGCACAAGATCTCCGTTGGGCTGGAATTTGTACTTGACGTCCAGAACCTTGATAGTCTTTCCATTCTCGATATACCACTCCAAGGTGTTTGGGATTTGATACTCTGCACAGTCATAAGCGCCGAGCATATTGACAGGATAGAATGTCCTCACCCGAGGTCCTCCTGAGACCCTTGCCACCGACGTTGAACTCGTAAGAGACCTTGTCGACAAATACTCGCGGGGTACCGCCCGCTTGAAGGCTAGGTAGAGCCTGGATATGGAGGCGGCCTCGAGTCTTCTTACTGCTATTGTGCATCGGCTTTGTTGACTTGGGGTGCAGTTGAGCCCTGGACATCTTTCAGCAGTCATTGGATTCGAGCCGGGCAGAACGCACCGCTCGCCAGCTGTCATCAGGCTGCGACTCTCTGCCCTATTGGTAGCCACCCATTTATTCGACGAAAATGATTGTGCCGGCTCTGACAAAATCTCTCCTTCTTCCCGTGCACCTGTTACTGTAGCAGTTGATGTGGCCGTGGGACCTTGATTTGTGGCGCGGAGGTCGAGAGAGTAGCTGTTGGAGGCACCCCGTCCGCGCCCGCGCCCTCTTCCTCTTCCTCTGGCTGCGCCTCTTCCTCGGCCGCCACGGGCAGCATAAGAGGGGGCGTTGTGGTAGGGATGGGCCGCCGAGTGGGAATGGCGGGTGATTGCGCCTGTGGGGGTGAGCGGGGGCGGCGGGGGCGGGTGCGTACCTGAGAGCCGGGCGATCTCCTGCTGGAGCTGGAGCTTCTTGCGGTCGAGTTCTGTCGGCGCCATCGAATCGCCGAGATCGGGATGTGATGTGATGAGACGCACAGACCTCCAGACACTAATTGGCAAAGCAGTCCAAGATGCGGGCGGCGCTCGCCGTACAGCTGAATGTTGATGCGCCCTTGGGACCTCCTTTCGCGGCCACACTAGCGAGCGATCCACGTCAACCACCATCACCCATGCCATGCATATATATACCCCCCCTTCCCTCTTCCTCTTCCCCACCGCCTCATGTTCTTCTCAGACGATCTCCTCACCACCAAGAAGGGGTCGTGAGTGACGCCCTGGCCGTGCCCCCTGCCCCTGCTGACATTCCCAGATTCGGTATCGTCTGGTACGGCTTACGACAACAGTACTGCGTATGCTGACCGCCTCAGGCTCATGGCCACCCTGGGGCCGCGCAACAAGAAGATCACGAAAAAACAGCTCGCTGCTGTAGACCTAGCAAAGACATGTGAACTAATCGCAGAACCGCCCGAGCCCATGGCTTTGCGACTGAGTGGCGCGTTGCTCGTTGGTGTTGCAAGGTATCTCCCACCTCCTCTATCATCTTCGAAAGACCAGCTCGCAGATCTGACACTTGCGCAAGGGTTTACAACCAGAGCTTCGACATGTTCTACGCTGTGAGCTGCCTGCGATATGGATGACGAGAACCTCACTGATCATCTCATAGGACGTGACCACTTTCCACGCCAATTTGAGACGCTCTATCGCTATAGACTTGAGTCACCCTTCCAATACTATGGTGGGAGGCGGCGCGCTAGAGCTACCGAATGATGGGCAGATAAGGTGAGGGCTGCATGCCTCAAAGCTCGACAAGTGCCCAGCGACTCATTTGTTCCAGGTCGGAATTGATCACCATCGGAAACACGGACTTTGACTGGGATATGTCATCTTGGGACGCAGAGTTTGCTCACGTGGTACGTCCAACTCCATTTGCCCGACCGTATCCCTCTCTGAATTTGTTCTAGGACTGGAATGATCCTCTGGCTCCTGGTCGCAAAAGGCGGGCATCTTCCGTTCTTTCCTCGTCCCAAATATCCCCTGCATCCGAGCGTGACGGAGTCGACACAGTGGAGGATGGATATGTTCGCGATCTGGAAGAGGAAGAAGATTACGAGTTTGAAGTCGGAAGGATGGCGAAGAGAAGTAGATGTGAGCACACCTGATCCATCCACGCCTGCTGTACCATCTGATAAAGGCAACAGTCTCCGCATCTCCAGCCTATACCACCCTTCATCGCACTCCAATCCATCAGCGCCCTCCGTCTAATCCTCTATTTTCCCGCAACGACCTCGACTTCCAGCAAGAAGTTGACCTTGGTCTCAACCTCGACCTTGATTTTGACGGTCCGGCAGGGGTTGACGACAGTTTTTCTGGGCCGAGTGGTGGCAGAGGGTTCGAGATGCCTCTAGCGCCAATGGATGACTATGACATTGGGCCTGATATGCCCGCATTGATGGACAATATGGAAGGGTGAGTATGAGCCTCGGAGAGGAGAGTCGTCGCTGAGGTACAACAGGCCAGTGATCTTCTATGATGAGGAAGGCGGTCCTCTCGGTGATGAACAACAGCTTCCCTTGTCACTTCGACAGCCTTCCCCCAACGCCAACGACCTTGCCCACAACGATGATTATCCAGGCCCCTCCTACCAGAAGAGGAAGGCCAAGCAAATTAAGAAGGTCGTCTTCGACTCATCTTTGGAGATCAACGAGGACGAGGAGCGGCAGGCGCGCTCAAGCTACAGAGAAAGGATGGCGAAAGATAGGAAAGATGCCGAGTCAAAGGAGGCTGAGAGACGACTTGGGCTCGAAGTGATATCGATGGTGGATGGTGCGGGTGGTTTCCAGTGTGAGTTGATTTGGTATTTGCGTCATGGGGCTGATTGGTGGACAGTCTATGACGCTGAGATGGCCGACATGTTCTCCTCTCTCACGAAAGTCGCCAGATTCAAATGGGAGGCTGATCTTGCCCGCTCCAAGAGCCGCAGGAAGGGTCTTATTTCTACTTCCGACCAGGATATCGACATCGACGAACGCAAAGAGCGGCATGCGGTAAATTTCCCCCATGATTTCGACATGCCTATGGCTCCCATGGATGATTACGACGTCCAGGCAGGGTACATGCAAGATGCGAGGCAGCTGCCAGATGGAGAGGTTGACTTTGGACAGAATGATGTACGTGATATTCTTCATCAGTCCGACTGAGCTGAGACGGTAATAGGCCTACTATCCTCCCATCTACGACGACTATGAGGTTCCTGTTCGTGATCGGGATGCCAGCATGGCCAGGTTGAGTGATGTGGAATATGGTAGACGGGACAGTGTTCGGAGCGGTGGCAACCTTCCCGTGAGATTCTTCTGTGTCTTGTGTAGTTGATCCAGTACTGACAGTCAACCCTGAGTGGGAGATCACAGCTGGAAGCACGCCAGGTGGGGCCTACCCAGACTTTGCCGACACATCTTTCAGTCCTGGATCCCTGAAATTCAGCCTCATGACCCCTCAAGAAGCTCGGTAAGTAGTTGTGTGTCCTGCGGACTAGGGAGCACGTCTCACGCGAGCCCATAGCATTCGTCAAAACAGCCGCTCCGGCAACAATACGGGGAGCCAATTCGCACGTCGACACCGGATTCGATCTTCTTCATTGATGAGCGACAGACCGGATGACGATCCTCTCATGTTGGCCCGTGCGAGGAGCGCGGAACTTGATTGTGCGTATATTTGCACAACGGAATACAAATTTGCTGACAAAGTCTATCACCGCAGTGCCCTCTGATGTGGACCTCGAAGACATCCTCCCATCCGAAACACAACAAGCCCGTCTGGCAGACTTGCCGGACGCCTTCCGTCCAGAGATGCTTGCGACTCTTGAGAAACAGTGTAGAGATTTCTTGACGTACATGGAAAAGAAAATGATTGGGCTCAAGAAAGAAAATATCATGTTTGATGAGCTTGTGCCGAGGACTAGCAAGAAAAATTGGGCTGCCGTTGCTTTTGTGAGTGAAGTCTTTGGTTGTTGGAGCCTCTATACTAACGGCATCTGCACAGTACGATTGTCTGAGTATGAGCGCCGTTTCTATCTAGGGGCCATTACTGACTAATTTTGCAGCCCTCTCCACAAAGAACATTATCAGCGTGGACCAGCCAGAGCCTTGGGATACTATCCACATTCGCTTCGCCGATAAGCCGTCTGTTTAGAGGGGCTCGCCCGCGCGTCACCGTCATCTCCTCACCTTCTTGAAGGTGTCATCTTCAGTACAAGTACGTTTCAGAAAAATACCAATTCCTGCATACTGACAAGACCTCATTTCAGAATTCTTATTGAAAGCTTGTAACATACACCTATGCTCTAAGTATGCGTTTATACATTATGCCCACTTGCCATATATGGAGTGCAATTAAACGAGGTCTCATCTAAGTTATACATCCAATACAACAATGACCGATGATGGCATGTACCTGCCCACTCTACTGTACTTCTTGGAGTTTGACCCCCGCGACTGGATTCATACCTTCCCTCGTATGCAAGACGTTCTTCTCATCGCTCATTCGGCATTCGTTTCCCTTGGCTGTTGATTCCCATTGATGTCTAACTTAGGAGACAGCGGGATACGAGATTTGTTTTCTTTGGTGACAGACGATGGGAGAGCACCGCCAAAGAACATGTCGCTGTCTGCGTCTGATGCCTTTGATTTGAGGTTTTTGGCGGCTTTGGCAGCTGCCTCGGATTGCTCCTTTTCTCTTTTGCGCTTTTCATATCTGCCCACGGAATGAGAACACATTTCCACAAGATTGGCTGAGAATGACTTACAAGGCAGTACCCGGAACCTTCTCCGGATTTGTGTAGCCCTTCAGTCTCTTGTCTACTGGCTTTACATCATCCTTTCCCAGCTCTCTGCCATCAGACTCAATCATCTTGGCTATTTTCTCCAAAATTTCGATCAATCTCGTCTTCTCTATTCCATAGAGCGGTGCAGGTTGTTCCTCATCGGAGCCCGTTTGCAGAGTAGAAGCAGCGGCAGTGCTGTATCTCAGCTCCAAAAAAGCGTCCACCAGATTCCTGTCGGCCATGCGCAGACAAGCCAAGCCTATCTGAGACGGCGTATAGATGAATTCAGCGTCCGTAGAGTACGATTCGGTGAGCTTGAGGAGGGCTTTCGTCACGGCCTTTTGGATGTCGTCGATAGGCGGTCTCGGCTGGTCCTGCTGTCAAGTCAGTGATTGCGTGAGTCTGCTGGAGAGATCACCTGCCTGCATATCAAGAGTCCATCCCCGGAGGGCTTTCTCACCACCTCGGACCCAAAACTCAAATCCTAGACTCTGAGCGACCAGGAACTCCTTCCCCAGGATGCTATCTTGTGTGCGGCCTGGCATCTTCGGTAGAAAATCCTCGATGGCCACAGGGTAGTTTGTTGTTTTGGCAGCGAGAAAAAGGGCAGTCGGCCTAAGCAGCGATCAGCGCGATAACGACTAGGAGTATGAACAGCCCACATGATAGCTTTGGGGTGCCATTCCATTACACTATTCTTGAGGTAAAACCGCTTGAGGTAGCTGATCGCAGTAGCTTCTACCTGCTCTGGAAGAGCAAACCCTCTCCGACATATCTGAGAGATTTGTTGGCAATAGAATCTGACCAGACATAGCTCGTCTGCGACAGTGAGGTATGCGGCGGGAGTCGATGCCTGAGCCCAATCGCCTTTAAGCTCGTCTTGAGCGTGCTGTGTCTGATAGTCAGCTTTGTTTTTCATGCAGGCAGCACGCCGCACCTTTTCCAGCTCGTTGTTCTTTTTGGCGACTTCGATTGATCGCCTGTTGAGATCCTGGCGCAGGTGGTGGAGGCCGGTGGAAGAGAAGCGCCAGTGGCGGAACTGGGAGGACTCATGGTAGGCGGATTCGCCGGGAACGAGGGGGGAGGACGAGGACGCAGACCCGGGGTCGGTGGTGGCTGCCATGGCTGTGGATGAGATGTGACAGTAGATGTAGATGATGACCACATTCGTTGAAGTTGTAGGTGGAGGCAACGAAGCCCCCCGCGCCGGATCGTCGTGACTCCTATATACTCTATCAATAGTTGCAGGTTGTATCTTCCTTGTGTCTTCCTCTGTCCCCGCCACCACCATGCGTCCCCTCCTCCCCCTCCTCGCCTCCCTCTCCCTCGCAGCCGCATTTGACTGCGCCCTCAGCCCCGGCAGCATCCCCTTCGACCTGCACCCTCTCGCGGGCATCCGAACAGCCTCCAAGCAATCCGACACGCCACCGACCACATCAGAGGCCAAGGTCTCCCTTGATCTGTGTAATCCAGAGGGACTCCAGCGAGAAGAAGGGCTGTCAGATGAAGACCAGGTGCGTGGGCATAGCATTGCACCAATAGATATCGACCTCTAACCAGTGCACAGTGCCCGCCCAAAACCAAAGTCTGCGTCAAGCTGCTGAACCACAAGCCATCCTCTTCGGATCCCGATAGAGTCACAGCCGTCATACCCTTCTGGTCTGAAGACATGCCTGCCGAGGATGTCACAACTACACCTCTTGGTAGAAGAGGAGACCAGGGGCTCAAGATTGATGTGAACGGCCCAGAGTATGCTGGGTAAGCGAAGCACTGTGACAGGAGTGCTGAGCTGATGTATCTGCCGTAGCGTGCGACAGTATCTCAACCTCACCCTCATCTGCGATACATCCTCATCAGATCCAAACCCCACACTGATTTCCTACACCTCGGGCAATCTCAATCTTGAATGGGCCACGCCGGACGCTTGTCCAAAGACGGCCGACTCGCCCAGTGCGTCAGAACCAGGGGAAGGAGGTGGCGGTTTCTTGTCATTCTTGGCAACGCTCTTCTGGCTTGTGCTCCTTGGGCTGGTCCTGTACTTTGCTATCGGTATGCTTCTCGTGTATTGTGTCTCCAAACGCTAAATTGGCAACAGGCATCTTTTACAACCATCAACAATACTCGGCAAGGGGTTGGGACCTCGTGCCCCATCGAGACTTTTGGAGAGACGTCCCTACTCTCTTTTCAGATTTATTCTCTCACGTTGCGTCCGGCCTCCGTGGTTCCAGCTCTGGAGGAGGTAGGGGGGGTTACAGCAGCTTGGGGTGATCGGGTTATACATATTGTAGACATGATTGGATATGTTCTCTGCACAAGCACAGTGTTGAATCCCTACGAAAGAAGATGAGCAACCTAGATGGCAAGTGCTGCAATATACCATCCATCAACTCTATTGGACTCGAGTAGAGTACTCGTACTCTGTCGAGGGATGGTCTGGAGATATCATTATGTCGTTACATCGTAATCGAGGGCTGGAGACTAAGCCTTAAGCCCTCCTGTCATACTTTCCAGCTCCCATCCCGGCCTCACCCCCGAAAACACCCGCTCCGCCAACCTCCCTAGCCGCTGCCATTCCTTGCACGGTCTTCTGCATCTCTACCCACTCCCCATCTCGTGGCAAGACAAGCTTCTCCGCGACGTCGTACACATACACTTTCCCATCCGAGGAGCCTAGCGCCGCCTTACGAGAGGTGGGAGTACGGTCCCAGGCGAGTTTGTTGATAGCCCGGGGAGAGACTTGGGTGGATGTGATCGGCACCTGTCAGAGTTATCAGCAAATGACTATAGAGAGGGTGAAGAAGGCTGACCTCGACATCTTGATTGATATTCCATAGATCGAATTTGCCTGTCCCGTCCACTGATCCGAAAACAGCAGGATGGTGCGGATGCCACTTGACATCAAACACATAATCCCCCGCTTCCTCGAAAGAGTGCATTGGCGGAACTACCCTATCCTCCCCTTTGCCACCTTGCACCCCAGATCCAGTAGTGCCCTTCGCGGTGGCAGCGGTAGCAGCAGCCTTCGTCCGCCAAAGTTTGACCGTCCAGTCGATCGAACTCGTCAAGAACAAGTCTGAGAAATCAATCGACCCCGTTCCTGGGTGAAAGTGTAGGCCCGTTACAGGCGCCGCGTGACCTTTGTAGATGTCTTCAGTGTTTGATCCCGCTTTGGCGGAAGCACGGTCATATCGATTGGCTTGGTAGACGGAGCCTTCTTCAGTACCAATCCAGAAGGTGGAGGTTTCGTTGTCGGGGAAATCAAAGGTGGTGATGGAGACTTCATCGGTCTTGTTGTGCGATGGCATGGTGAGGGGGAGAGTTTCCTATATCGTGTCAATATCGTACTTTTACACGTCTGCGAAGTCGTACCTGGGGTTGAGCCAGCATGTCGGCAAGCCACGAACAGACGAGTCCGTCCGTACTGCTCGAAATAAGGTTGTTGGCGTTCTGCGTTCCGACCATTTTCATATCATAGATGGGGTAAGTGTGACCTGTTGCCGACAGAGGGGTTTTGAGAACTGGAAGGTGTTTCGCTCGAGTGTCCCAGAGAAGGACTTGGCCAGAGTAAGAACCGCCAAAGATGAGGGTTGGGTGATATGGGGAGAAGGTCACGGATAGCACATCGGACTGAGAGAGTAAGCTCAGATTGTTACCAACAGGGGTATGTCTTACAGGTGAGTGAAAGATGAACTCGGGTCGTTCCAGAAGGTGGAGATTCCAAACAGCAACGATCCCATCGGGATCGTTGACTGCTGAAGGATTTCTGTTGTAGGACGCGGCACTCAATTCTGGGAACTAGATCAATATGTATCAGCATCGTTCAAGCATGATGTGGGATGAAGACTCGCCTTCGGTGACCAGTCTACGTCTGTGACGGAACGGCCATTGGTCCATCTTTCGTCGGAGAACGCACAGAAGAGCTTGACCTTCACACCCTCAGACTCGTCACTGATATTTTATCAGCCCATTCGACACCTCGCTTTTAGCTTGGTTCACTCACAAAGCACCGTCGCCACCAATAGTATAGTCCTTAATGTAGTCATACCCATCACTAAGGGCTCTCTGAGTTATTCGCGTCGACTGTTCGATGAAGGACGAAAAGTCCGGAGCCGCAAAGACGGCTTGACGTTGCTCATCCGAAAGCTCTGCACCTTGCCTTAGATTGTTGCAATGGCCGTCAGAAATCGAGAAAGACCCACCAGGTACCTTCAACCCCTCCGACTTGTCTTTCAACTCTTTCAGTTCATTCTCCAAGGCCTTCCTCTCCTCTTCCAACTCCTCCAAGATCCGCTTCCGCATCTCATCCTCGGTCTCTCTTCCAGTTTCGCCGTCCCGCAAATTCCTCTTTCGTTGTCTTTCTTCTTCAGTGTCCGAGATGTAGTCGTCGTCAAAATTGACGTCCGCTGCAAACGACGAGACCATCGTTTGGATTCCTTTGGAATAGGTGACTGGAGCTGGCTTGGTAGTCTGGCGGAACTCAGCAAGGTGTACAGTAAATTGACTGAGACTAAATCACCTTTGTAGGAAGCTCGAACAGCTCTTCTTGATGGTCCACAAAGTCGGTCGCAGGCCGAGAAAACGGAGACATCATGCTATCTCTAAGACCGGAATCAGTACAACCACCTGTCAGAACGGAAAGATGATACCTATCGGCACCAGAAGGCAGGCCTGTCATGCCCATACCAGCGGTAGGTCCAGTGGCCCTTCCCGAGCTTCCCTCATTGCTCAGTCGGCTTGCGCGACCTCCCGGAGTGCCAGGTATACTGGACGGAGGGGTCGACCCTGACGGTCGTCCAGGCGTACCAAACGCGGAGGGGCGGGAAGAGGGCGCCGGGGTGAACGGGGAGGCGGGGCGGGTGAGGAGGGAGTCGACGAGGTCGTTGACGTCGCGGCGGTTTGTGGCCATGGGCTCTGACGCCTGGTCTGTGTTTGCGAGGAGCTGTTTGCGCTCGTCGCGGGCCCGCCTTAGCTCGGCGAGCTTTGCACGCTTCTCCTCGATTTCCTGTCGGCGACGGTCGCTCATCGTGTCCAAATGTGTCCAAACCGTGTCCACTTCTTCGTTGTGCCAGCTGTCAATATGTACACGATCCCAGCGTACAGTGGCGCGGCGACCACCGCCAGCACGTGACACCGCCTATCTCCTCTTGCATTCCCTGTCCTGCTGCCGCATCTGTATCCCGCACATGCGCCCCGCATTCCGCGCGCTCCGCCTATCCAGATTCCAATCCCGGCAATACTCTAAAATGGTCACCCCCATCTCGCTCGAATACACTCTCGACAGAGCTTCAGACCTCTTTGAAAACATCTCTGGTGTCCAACAGGACGTCGATATCGCAGCCGGCGACGGTCCCAAGGTGAAGGTCATGATCTCGCCTAAAGCGCCGTACTAACACTCTGTAGCCACGACTGGTAGCTGTTTCCAAATTAAAGCCGGCTTCTGATATCCAAGCTCTCTACGATGTTGGCTTTCGTCATTTCGGAGAGAATTACATCCAGGAAATGGTAGACAAGTCGCAAGTAGTCAGTCTTCACTCAGTATGCGCTCTTCTTTTACTCACACTGCTATAGCTGCCTTCTGATATAAAATGGCACTTTATCGGCGCCCTCCAAAGCAACAAATCCAAGCTGGCTGCCTGTGCGTCCCATCGATGCCGAATTGGATTTGACTGACCACTGCCCAAGCTGTCGAGAACCTCTACATTCTCGAGACATTATCCTCCCATAAAGTGGCCGATCTTCTCCAGAAATCCATCCCCCCTTCTCGCAAGATGCCCCTCAACGTCTACCTTCAAGTCAATACCTCTGGCGAAGATGCCAAGTCTGGTCTGGCCCCCCTCCCTTCTTCCAATCACGAGACTGTCGACCTCGCAGTCCACGTCATCACCAAATGTCCGAGCCTCAAGGTACTTGGCCTCATGACTATAGGCTCATGGGAGGCGAGCCATGACCCAAGTAAGCCGAACCCGGATTTCGAGTGCTTGAAAGCGACCAGAAAGGAGCTTGCGAAGATATTGGCAGAGAAGGGCGTGGAAGGCGCACCGAGGGAGGATGAATTGGAGTTGAGTATGGGCATGAGTGCAGATTTTGCCGTGGCTGTCAAGGAGGGAAGTAGTAGCGTCCGGGTGGGGACGAGGATCTTTGGGGACAGGCCAAAGAAAAATTAGATTACTATCGACTATCAAATCTGCTCGCATGACTCTTCTAGTGGGGCCTGCCTCGTTATAATATAACTTGCAGCCGTAAGGGCATTGCATTCTGGTCATCTAGCAAATCAACAACATCGATGCATTTGGCCATTTCACAAGTAAAGTATGATGTACCAAACTTTGCGACGGATTCGCTCTCCTAGTGTTACATTTCTGGGCGTGTTCCGCACATGCTGCCGTATCAACGGAAAGGGAAGCCTCCTTGCGCCTACAAATACGTGTTAGCACATGTTACAGCCGCAAGTATGAACATCGACTCACCTCTCCAGGCCCAACATTCATCCAGAAATCCTGCAGATCCAATCCCATCCCTGCCATCCCCATTCCTTCTTCCACTGCTCCTCGCTGTCCATCCTGCCCTTGTGACTGTCCTGGGTGCGGAGCTGTCTCTGCCGCCCCAAACCCAAACCAGTCTTCCAGCGTCGCAAAGCCCAGATTGTTGCTCAGGCCGTTCACATTCTGCCCCTGCCCTTGCACTGAGCCCTGGATCTGCCCACCAACCTGGTCCACACCGCTCATATGCAGATTATACCCATCGGAAGACTGAGCAACACCGAATTCCATGAACGGCTGCTGGTGCGGAGGGGCAACATAAGGAGCTGTCTGAGGTACCGGGGCGTATTGTGAGGGCGCCGATGGATAGGGAAATGTGACGGGTTGGGCGTATTGCTGTGCTATCGGCATTTGCCAAGAGGCTGTGCTTTGTTGAGACTGGTTCTGCGGCCAAGACGCCTGTGTATTTGACCGATTCTGGTGGTCCTGATCCTCAGCCGTCTCGGGGTGGGAAGACAGTTTTTGGTCTCTTGTGGGCGGGCAGGGACTCGTCCGCGGGCCAGAAACGTCATTTGGTCTACTTTGAGCAGGGAGCTGAACGATCTGGGAGCCGTTGGGGCTCTGTGGGACAGTGTTGTTTCCGGATGAAAGACCCGCCAGCTTTTTGCGGAGAGCTTCGAGTTGCTTCCCGTATCGCACTGCAGGATACTCTTCATCCGTGGAACAGTGGGCGAAGCAGGCGCAAAGACGATCAATAAGATCAAGCGTACTGTGGTGTCCATGAGCATCTGGGTCGATCTATAATTCGTGTTACTGACCGTTTGTGATCCGCCATTAACATAGCCCCCGAGTATATTGCTTTCAGGAGTACAATCGCCCCGTACGTGAACCACAGCAAGAACCTGCTTGGCAGATACGGCAGCGCACCTCCTGGGTACATATTGTCGACACAAATGTGGAGCATTTCTCTTGCGGCATCGCACATCTGAAAGATGTACCGGGCGTCGGGGCTTTGGGCTGCCCCGCGCGGGAAAAGAGAAAGCGCGGGACGGGCGAGCTTGGAGGGATGCCCTTGTTCTTTGTGGCGCTGTTCGAGGATCTTGTACTCTTCTTCGCCGCGCATAGTGGCGCGTTCCACATGTGCTTGCTTTTGAAAAAGTCAGCTCTGCATTGATCTGCATTGACGGTGGAAAAGTCACTCACGAAACTAAAAGCACATATGTAGAGCTGGATGTAGTAGTACATGACCCAAACAGTGTCGGTCAGTGGAAATAACGTCCACTTCTTGCGCCTCCACAAGATCTTGAACCCATCCAAAGATCGAGCCATCTCGTCAATGTACTTGAAATACTCCCCGTACCTGTGAAACTGTCAATCCCGCCTCATACCCCCAAGCGCTGCACTCACACAACAAGGCTCCTTGTCCTCGCCGCATTCGGATGTAGGACATCATGCGCATTGCTCATCATCATTGTCAACTCCAAGTACGCCTGCACCAGACTGCCTAGATCCTCTTGAGGAGTATTACCGGCAGGGTCGGGCGATTTGATTTCGCGCAGAAAGGGAAAGTTGACGATAGCAGCGGCGGGTCCAGTCTGGGCGGAGGATGAGTAACCCTGGAAGCAGACTGAACCTCCACGGGTCCAAAAGCCTTTACCAAGGCGAATGGATATGTGCCTGTCAAACAGGTAGCAATCTACGAGTGATATGAGTCGCGAACGATTCCTTAGACCACTCACTTACAGACCCAAGCCAATTTTGCCCGCTCCAGCTCCAGAGTCCTCTCCGTCTCTGCAATAAGCTGTAGCCCTAGCTTATCCAGTCCCATCTCATAGGCGCTCCTCACTGCAAGCCCAATGATTTGCCACGCCTGCCTGTTTTCTACTCCGTGTGGTTCCTCGACGACACCAGAGTCGAAGGGATCTTCGTCGCGTGATTCGGGAGTGGCTGTTGGTGAGCTATCTCGAGGTGTGCGAGGGAGAAACTCGGCGAGGAGGAGGAGCGATTCAACGAGGCCGATTGTCGGGGGCTCTCCGAGACTCTGGATTCGGGAAATCCATTTCTACGCCAATTCGTTAGGTCTGTGGCACCGAAAATGTAGAGTGTGTACATACTCTCATGACTGTCCACGAGCGGTCATGAATATCCCTCATCTCTGGCGTATTGTCGACTCGGCTGGCGATGATGATGAAAGCAGCTAAGAGATACTTTTCGGCTTTGGAAAACACAGACAATTGGTCATATGTTCTGGGTATGATGGCAGATGGAATAATTGGCTACCACTCGTCAGTCTACTTTCAGTAGGGACACATAGGTCGGGTCGGCTCACGAAGAAGTGGTGATGACACCTGAAGTATGCCTCGGACAGAGCAAATGCTTGTTGCTCCGTCACAATATTCATCTTCACCAATGCGAAATCTTTCAATCCCGAGGTATCCCCCTGAACGTTCTCGGATGAAGGTTGTCCGGGCCCGTTGCTGGGACTAGACCCTCCGGGGACAGTAGTAATGGATGGCCTTTGACCATTCTGGCGCATACTGGTCTCTCGCCTCTCTTCCTCATTCGCTGCCTGCCCACTTGCGAGAGCTAGAATCTGCAAAGCATCGCTCTCATTCCTCATGTCGGCGACCACAATATTACTCGGGTCTGACGCATGCAAAGGCGGATTCACATGCAGATTACGCCTATGAGGGGAGGGCGTTGAGGTGCGTACGCCAGATGTAGAGTGGAAGCCTGGATGACCATGACCATGGGGAGTCGGATTATTCGAGAAATTAGTACCAGGGGAGCTCTGGCTGCTTGTGGAAGGGTGGTCGAAGGGTGGTAGGTACCTCGAAGTGGGTGGAGATTGCAGTAGCAGACTGTGTACGGACGGATGACGGGGCGGAGGCGGAGGGTGCGGGTAGGGAAAGGTTTGGGGTGGATTGCCCTCATCTCCAGATCCTTGGTCTACAGACCTCGAAAATGAGTGCGATGGTTCGCCTTCCGTATCTTCGTCGCCTTCGACCTTGCGGCGTTTCCGATTGTTGCCCCCTCTTCTCGAGGGGGCGAAAACGCACTCGCGAGATTCCCGTTTACAGCGACTACAAGGCGGTTCCGAAGGTGCGTTTATGTCTCCCTATGTTTGTATCAGCATGAAACTTCACTGCAAATAAGACTCTACGCGCTAGATCACACTTTGCTTTTCTGCTCCGACAATGAAGGCTGGGCACAAGGTCGAGGAGGCCAGGTCGGGGTTCAAGCAGAGGCGAGCGCAAGTCGTCAGTGGATGTGACTACCGGGCACGTTTTGTCACTCACCAGGCTCTGTAGCCCCTTTTGATTTTTTCAGCCTGCTTTGGATCCATCGGGTCTCCCATGGCTGGCTGAGTCGGTTGTAAATAATTGACCCGTCAAAACAACGAGAACGCCAAACGGGTGTTGACGGCTAGGAAGAGCAGAGTTCATAACCGGGCCTAGGCACGCGGCGCTCGCCGCCTCCACCAGTGGCAAGCATCTGTCGTTCTCTGGTCGTTCTTTCGTTTTCCGAGTAGATGGCCACCATCTCGTCATCAGCCCATATCACCATGGCCCAGCAGTCTGAACCCGTCTCGTGAGGCCTATGCTCTTCCTCGTCTACAACGCTTACACGGCCACAGACTACGCCTGCCTGCGATCCTACAGAACCCCACAAACCGTGCCGCCAGACAGGTCGAGGCCCACAACGCACAGCAGCGCCAAAAAGCCGCAGCCCGGAAAGACCGCGAGTACAACGTAAACTGGACCCCGGAAAATAATGGAAAGGGCAAACGGGTGATCCGCCGACTGGATAACGGTCAGAAGCCTGTTCGATCTTTACTCCACCACAAGCTGATAAGAGCTCGCAGCTGCTTTCGCCGAGAATCCACACATTGTGCGACCTGACCGGTCAGACTATGCCCCAACTGTACCTCTTCACCCGCGACCAAGCCGCCCTCTGTTTCCCCCAGGAGCCATATCTCGTTCTACACACATCCCTCCTGCTGCCCTTCCTGAGCGTGAGCCATTCTCTGCCGATGCCCGGCAGGGAGTATTCTCGACTTCGCTCAAGGGCACCCGAGCTATGCTTAGAAAGAGAGGCAAGAGAGCAGAAGGGCTGGTGATGAAATCGGAATCTGAAATAAGGGCCTGGTTGGGGGGACAGTGGGGCGATATCGAACAGTCGGCGGATCAGTGGACAGTTGTCGATCCGAGATTTGTAGATTACACTCCCGGAGAGACATCCACTCTCTCCCGCTCTAGACGACAGCTACCGCCCCAGCATCAGATCGTTACGCTCCCCGACCTCCCTATTACGGATGGTCAGATCCCAGCGATCCTTGAGGTTTCTCGATCGCCAGCTCATATGAGCTGGTATGTGCCAGAGAGCTTCGATCGACTTGTTCTACATCTCATCTCGAGATACTATGAGCTTGTATCTTGGAGTACGCATTCTAGTTACAATCGGATTGTCTGCTGACCCTTCTCTAGGCGAAGATCTGCCGACTAGGAGTGGCGATCATCTACGAATAACTCATATCGCCGTCCCCTTTGTTATAAGACCCAACCGGCAGCCTGTCAAAGGCCATACCCTTGCCACACCCGACACGAGCGAAGTTTCCGGGCAGTCAAGTTCTGACCACAATTCGTCTTCGTCGTCGGGTACAGAGTCTTCTGACGACGATACAGCTACCGAGCGTGGTGATGATGATGATGATTATAACCCGGAAGGCGATATCACGGCCACACCCATTCCAGAGATGGAAGATCTCAGCTTGGCAGACAATGCCTCTGAAAATGGCTTGACTCGTACCCTCTCTGCCACATCATCTCAATACGCCTCTTCCGAAGCCGATTCCGACATTGGCGCTCTTGGCGACAGCCTGATGCTTCCCCGCCCGGCTTCGGGTCAAGAGAGCGACGGCAGTTTGGCAGGTGGATGGGTGGACTTGGATAGTGATTCCGAATTTGGGGATTTGCCTGCGCTCCCTTCTTTGAACGGAGTGCGAGAGGCGCCTTCTTTCAGAAGGTCCGGGGTGAGTTCCCAGACGGTGCCGGAAGATTGGGCACATAAGCCTTCTTTCTTCGAATATCTTTATGGAGCTCAGAGATTAGTCGTCGTCTAGCTTCGTGTAAGTCAACATAGACGAAATATCTACATGGGTATTACGAAACAACAGGTGGATATATCTAGGACAGACGGGAGCGGGAAGCAAAACAACGCGCTCTGCATAGCTCCATGACACTGGCCGGCATATTTACAATGAGGATGGGCCGTGATCGGTGATGATGGCGAGCGTGCCCAGGCGAGGACCGTGATGTCAAACTTGATTGGTCGTTCAGAGATGGGTGATGGCCTTGCTGTCCAGGGGTGTACCTATGCGATTGTCAGTCGACATCGAACCGAGGGGTCGTGGTGTCTGTCACACACCATCAGGAGCAATTCCGTTCTTGGCCAAATGACGGTTATGCCTGATCAGCCTCGCTCTGTCAAATGTGCATCTTTCAATGGCCCTGCGCAGCAACTGATTAGCATTCTTTCCCACTGAAAGCCCCCAGTGGCATCCAAACAACTCATCCACTTACATGATCCTCCTGACCTCCTCCACTCCAGCAGCATCTAATCCCAACCTTCCTTCACTACTCCCCTCCCCCATATTGTTCGACTCCACATCAAAGCTGCCCGAAGTCATCCCCGCCTCGGCCTGGTCTGCGAAAGAGCTGGTCTCAAGGGGAGTGTAGTGAACAATGTTGTCGACCCAGGCTGCTGGGAGTACGCGGGCAGCAAGGGGCATGAGGCGAGCTCGGTAGTAGATTACCACTGTACGCAACGGACACGCGTGAGCAGACTGGAGGACGGAGAGGAAAAGGTTTGAGCGGCGATAGACTCACAAAAGGCGACAGCCAAGATGATCGAGAGGGCCGACAGATGGAACAGCATGTCTGTATGACGCCTGAGGACGTGTCTGGGGTATAGGTCAAGCGAAAGAGGAGATAGATAGTCAGTGGATAGTCAGAGACCAATTAGAGACGCCGCAGCCCGCCGCGCAGCAGAGCCAAATAACGCTTACGTAAGAGCAAAAAGTTGACAAGTCGGCGGCGGCGGTCCGTCGGTTCTGGCAAGGTTTGCTGTCAACTGTCTCTCTTCAGCTATCACCCAAGCATATCATGTCTGGCCTCTCGCTAGCCCAGCAACTCAAGCAGCTCCAGGCAGGAAACACTTCCGTCCCCGACCCCGAGTCTGCCTACTCCAACCTCGACACCAACAAGGCTGAGCGCGAAGGAGATGAAGGCCGAGAACACTACCTCGACGTTGGTCCTTCGCGAATGAGAATGGAGCTCGGTGGGGAGGGGGGTGGGACGTTGACCGGACCCAAATACGAGGGTGTGAAGGCTGGGCGGCAAAAGATCTTTGACGATGATGACGAGGAAAGTGAGCCCGAAGGAGAGGAGAAGAGTGAGGAGGACGAGGAAGTAGATGACCTAGATGAGGACGCGGAGGAAGAGGGAAGCGAGGAAGAGTCTGAAGAGGACGAGGACGAGGAGGAAGAAGAGGACGAGGAAGAAGAGGAAGAAGAGCCGCGGCCCAAAGCCAAATCTTCCAAGCTTGACCCCATGGCCGCTCTCAAGGAATCGCGATCGAAGGACGTTCAAAAAGGACAAGCTATTCGTAAACAAAAGGCGAGCCACCAAATGGCACATCATTCATCTATACTGACCCACCATCCAGGCTCTCTTTGAATCACTCATTACACTTCGAATCACTTTCCAAAAGGCTCTTACCGCTTCCCAATCCGTACCCGTTCCTCTTCCTACCGACCCGGAGGATGAACTCTCGAACAAGAAAGCAACTATACTGCGTAGCCTTGGCGATCTCAATGAGAGATTGTTCATGCTGAGGACGAACATGAAGCTGGTGGTAGGCGAGGATGAAGAGGAAGAAGGAGCCAAGCTCGGTAAGCGAAAGAGGAGTGCCGGTGATGAGCAGGACGAGCAATATTGGCTGGACTCTGCTAGACAGTCGCTTGCTCTTGTTGACGAGTGAGTGGGATACGTGTTGTCTGACTGGCTTCCTGCTGATGCGTAGCAGCTCCCACCTGGACCTCATACCTGTCCTTAACAAATGGTCCGGCAAGATCCAGGCCGCGTCTCTTCAGCTTGGCTCCAAGCAAGCCGGAGGAAGCAAGTTCTTACAACAGATGAAGACTGGCGCGGGTGGCGTAATCGATGCTATCGAGACGGGAATCGACAATAAGGTACGTATATATGGGTCAGTATCAGATGTGGTCACTGACGTTGCCATAGCGAGACTCTGAGAAGTCTCTTGTAGAGAACGAGGAGACTGGCTACAGGGCTCTGTTGCGCGAAGTCATCGAGTCAAGAACAGGTTCAGGCCCCGCCGCTGACCTCACACACTTGAGGCGAGAGAAGAAGAAGAAGAGGGAAGCCGAACGAGGTGGTAGTAAGGGCCGAAAGCTCAGGTATGTTTAGTTCTCTTTGATGAAGGGCGAAGTCACTAACAATCATCGTAGATATACTGTTCACGACAAGGTGCAAAATTTCGTCGTCCCCATTCCCCTATCTCAAGGCTGGCACGAGGAACAGGTCGACGAACTTTTCTCCAGTTTGTTCGGTGGTGTGGGTATGAGGGGCGCCGTTGCGGAGACTGCTGTTGGTCCAGATGTTGGCGCTGCCGATGAAGGGCTTGCAGAGCTCGGGGGTCTGAGGGTATTCTGATTAGAATCTTATTGAGCCATGTTATTGCTTTGCAATTGTATACGAGTCCATTCGCAGTCGTTCGCCGGCTGGTCATATCTCACCACTTGCCGCCTCTCTGTACGACACCGTCTTCCCATATGTTCAGTGTAGTCATACATACCAGGCAATTTTGTAGTGTGCCTTCAGAAAGTCGGCAGCCTGTCTGAATACTCTAGATACTACATACTAGGAACACACGCCGGCCGCCGCAGGGTTTGCGGATCCGTACGTAATCCCGAGCGCACTGAGGACAAAAGTCCAAAAGTCAACTGTCACTCAGAGCTGGAACAATTGTATCAACGAGAGCCCCGATACAAGCCAGAACACCGGTCGAGCATGTCGGTGCAGCATTATCTGGCCTCGCTCTACCAAGCACCAGCGCCCTCGCGACAGGACAGCTGGGACACCGTCGTCTCCAAGTGGGACGCCTCACAGTGAGTGGGTCTGTCGACCGGTCTGGACACGCTCACGAGCAATGCAGCCCAATTTCAGACTCTATAGAGGAGCCAGCTTTTGGCACTTCCCCGTGGCCCTCAATTCTCGATTACCTTCCTGACGTGGGCTCGTTGTCGCTCGATGCACCAGAGATACAGCCAGAGTCGTTCTCGTCGTCTACGCTGAAAGACGGCTTGGTCGATCGACTTCGCGAGTGAGTGCATCTTGTCAACATATCATGAGTCATTGCTGATTCTTCCAATCGAGGCACATACCCACTACTTTCAGTTCTCTGATCAATCTGTTGTCTTCGCCTCGCTCAAATGATGACATCCAGTCGGAGCTTCTAGAGTTGATGGGATTTGAGGGTGACGCCCTCGTCCTGATCGAAGAGCTGCTCAAACCGGGAACGAGAGAACAGGTTGTGGCCAGCTGCTTGCGTACTGTAGGTGTATATTGACAATGCCGTGAGACAGTGCGCTGATACTCCTCAGCAAGGCGAAACCAAGAAAAGTGTTGTCAGACAGGAGGCCATCATCCCGGCCTCCGATAAACCCAAATATATACCCAACACTAGGATAGTCGTGAAGGGAAAGTTCAAGGATAAGAAGAAGGTCTTGGACATTTCAGACCTGGTCGGGTCCGCTGAGGATATCAGCAAGAGACTGCAGCAGCAAGTGGAAGGGCCAAAGGCCATGTTCTCTGAAGACGGTCCTGTGAGTGCGATAGAACCCAAGATCTGATCGTGGCTAAGCGGCGTAGCGTATGGTGGAGCAAGAGGTCCTGCCTCATGTCTATACGGCCACAGGGTCGAAAAGTATACCCTTGTCGCACGGTGGAAAGTTTGCCTTGCCAGAGGGCACCAGGAGATCCTACACCGATGTGAGTTTTCACGTGTCTTTCTCTTTCCATAGTGGACATAGCAAGCTGACGCTATGTCTCAGATCTATGAGGAGGTTGTCATACCGCCTGCCAACGCTGTACCACCTAAGAGCTGGGAGCGCCCTGTCAAGGTCGCCGATCTTCCCAGACTGGCCAGGGGTTGTTTCCCTGTAAGTCTCGTATCTGTACTCCACATTGATCACAGTGCTTATCGAATGTCAGAGCTACGTGCAACTCAACAGGATGCAAAGTATCGTGCAGCCCACCGCTATGACTACCAACGAGAATATGCTCATTTGTGCGCCCACTGGTGCCGTGAGTAATGTCTAGATATTTGACAATGACTGACCAAAGTAACAGGGTAAAACCGATGTTGCCATCATGGCCATCCTTAGGGTTCTATCGCAACATATCGTTGAGGGCTCGACCTCGCACCCTTCAGGCTTCAACATCGACCGCAACGCCTTTAAAATCATCTACGTCGCCCCAATGAAGGCCCTCGCCGCAGAGATCGTGGCAAAATTCTCCAAGCGCTTGGCTTGGCTGAATATCAGGGTCCGAGAGTTGACTGGTGACATGCAATTGACAAAGCAGGAGATCGAGGAGACCCAAATCATCGTGACGACCCCGGAGAAGTGGGATGTAGTAACTCGAAAACCGACTGGAGAAGGGGAGTTGGCTTCCAAAGTCAAGCTTCTGATTATCGACGAAGTGCACTTGCTGGCAGAAGACCGAGGTGCGGTGATCGAAACTATCGTAGCCAGAACTCTGAGACAAGTGAGCCTCTCGATTGTATGGTCGAAAAGGAATACTGATACAAGTGTGTAGGTCGAGTCCAGTCAATCCCTAATTCGTATCGTCGGTCTCAGTGCCACCCTGCCAAACTACGTCGATGTTGGCGATTTTCTGAGGTAAGTCTCGCCGAATCGTCCACCGCTGTTGCTGATATTTTGCAGGGTCAACCGCTACCAAGGTCTGTTCTACTTTGACGCATCATTTCGTCCTGTTCCACTGGAGCAGCATTTCATTGGAATCGCCGGAAAACCTCGATCTACAGTGTCTACCCGAAACATGGACAAGGCTGTATTCGAACGGGTATGTCATCTGAGCAGTCCCTTGGGAGTATCTTCTCACTTGCGACCAGGTGGCCGAGCTCGTGGAAGAAGGACATCAAGTCATGGTATTCGTTCACGCTCGACGAGAAACTGTCAAGACTGCCACAACTCTCAAGGAAATGGCAGCCGAGGAAGGGATTTCAACCTTCTTCCAGGCCGACACCAACCCTAAATTCGGTAACCATCGCCAGGAAATGTCAAGATCAAAGAACAAGGAGTTGAAGGAACTTTTTGACGCTGGATTCGGTATCCACCATGCCGGTATGCTGAGGTCGGACAGGAACATGGTAGAGAAGATGTTTGGCGATGGCTGCATCAATGTAAGCAGGGCCTTGTTCCCGCTGTTGCACGCTGATGTGCCTCTAGGTGCTTTGCTGTACTTCAACTTTGGCATGGGGTGTCAATCTGCCCGCCCATGCGGTCATCATCAAGGGTACACAGGTCTACGATAGCAGCAAAGGTGCTTTCCAGGACCTTTCGGTTCTGGATGTTCTTCAGATCTTTGGTCGCGCTGGTCGGCCAGGGTATGCTACCAGCGGTGTCGGATACATATGTACCACCCACGACAAGGTTGATCATTACGTGACGGCCGTCATGTCGCAAGTAAGTGCTCCTGGTGTGATGCTTGAGCCTTGCTGATCATCACGTAGACTCCGATTGAATCTAAGTATGACTGGTTATACATGCTCGGGCTCGTCCACCATATTGACTTGTTGACTTAGGTTCATTCCCGGTATGACTGATTCCCTGAATGCCGAGATCGCCTTGGGTACCATCGCAAATGTGCAAGAGGCTATGCAATGGCTGAGTTATACTTATCTCTTTGGTGAGTGCTGTTTCTGGCCTTGGTATATGTGTTAATGGTATCCGTCCGCAGTTCGAATGAAGAAGAATCCTTGGGTCTATGGTAAGATATCTTTGTTCTCTACTATCCCGGCAAGGTAGTTGACATAACTCTTAGGTATGGCATACGACGTGACCAAGGATGACCCTCAATTGGGCAACAAGCGTAATGAGCTCATTATTCAAGCGGCGCGTCTTTTGCAAAAAGCTAGGATGGTCCGATACGATGACCTTCAAAATACGTTCGGCATCACTGATTTGGGTCGGATTGCTGCCAAGTACTACCTTCACTTTACTACGATCGAGATCTTTAGTGAGTGATATCTCTCTTTGCCTTTACGTGAGACTTATATCGTTGTAGACGAAAAGTTCAATCCCAAGATGAGCAATGCGGACTTGTTCCAGATGCTCTGTGAAGCCGATGAGGTATGGGAATCTGCATACCAGGGGGTTTGTACTGATCAAGCAATAGTTTGAACAAATTCAATTGCGTGAGAGTGAGGTGGAAGAGTTGGAATCCATCATCAGTAGCGGAGTGATTCCCTTGGAGGTCGCCGTGAGTCCATCTCCCCGTAATACCACGCGGCGCTATTCTGACTGAGTGGTCACAATCAGGGCGGTGCCATCAACAAGCGGAACAAGGTCAACATCCTGCTCCAAGCGCACATCTCGAATGTCTACCTCAATGATTTCGCTTTGGTCTCGGATGCTGCTTTCGTTTCTCAGGCAAGTACTCGAGCTGAACATGACTTGTGGGAGCTTATGTCTTACAGAATGCTGGCCGTATCATTCGTGCTCTGTTGGAGATTGCTTTGAGTCGACATTGGGCTAACTGCGCCTATCTCCTGGTCGAACTCAGCAAATGTATCGAGCGCCGACAATGGGTCTACGACCACGGTCTGGCCCAGCTGAAGGTCCTCCAGCGCGAAGTCATCCACAAACTTTCGCAATATACTCCTGACGACATGACAATTGCCGACTTCCGTCACATGTCTGCTCAGGAAAACGGAGAGTTCATTCATATGAACGAGAGACACGGGAAAGCGGTATTGGATGCCGCCATGATGTTCCCAACTGTCAACCTGACCCATACTCTGCGGCCGATCACCCATGATCTGCTGCAAATCAGTGTCAAGGTAGCGCCGCAGTTCAAATGGAACGCGAAGATTTCGGGCAGCAGCGAGCCCTTCTACGTCTGGGTACAAGATGAGCAAGGCCTTAATATCTATCAATGGCGTAGCGTCCGCCTCACACCTGCTACCAGCGTGATCGATATTGACTTCTTCCTGCCCTTCGATGATGTGCCTCCGGACTCGATATCGCTTGTTGGAGTGTCAGATAAATGGTTGTGGTCTTACGAGCTGGCGTTCATACAGCTCAGCGGTCTCACTATGCCTCCTCCGCCAACGCCGCCCACCGAGATGTTGGGCTTACCTTTCCTGAAGCTTTCCTGTTTCATGGACCCCGCCCTTGAACAACGCTACTCGCGAACTATCGATACTCTGAATTCCATTCAAAGTCACGCATTCTGGGTGCTCTACAACACTTGTGTCAATGCGCTTGTGTCTGCACCTGTGGGGAGTGGGAAGTCACTACTTGGGGACGCTGCCATCTGGTGAGTTTCTGAAAGTATACCATACTCGAGCGCTTGTCTGATCTTCCTATAGGAACGTCTTCCGGCATAACAGGGATGCAGTCGCGGTTGTTGTCGTTCCGGAGCGCTATATGGCTCACGAGACAGTCGCGCGCCTCCGGGATCTGTGTCCCCCAAAGCGAAAGGTCAACATCAAATCACTGATTGATCCTGCGGATTTCAAAGAAGTTCTGTCGGGCGGAGCTGCTATTGGCGTTACAACTCCTTACGCCATCCTCAACAATGGAAACATCGACAGCTTCCTGTCCAATAGTCGTCTTGCCCTCTTCGTCCTCGAAGACCTGCACCTTCTGGACGAACTCTATGAGCTGGCGATATCCAAAATTTTGTCGTTTGCGAAGCCCGCCAGGACTAGGATTGTCGGTCTCACTTCTTCGCTCAACGACCCGTCTGATCTCGCCGAGTGGTTGGGTCTTGACCCTGGGCCTCTCGACCAGTGGGACAAACCTGTGACCTCACAGCCTCCTGCGCTGTTCAGCTTTCGTCCCTCTGACCGAGGAAATCACATTTCCGTGTCGATCAAACCTTTCACCATCCCTCATGGCCCTACCTTCATCAGGTCTATGGTGAAACCCACTTATGATATTCTCAAGACCTCTCCCGGGGGCGCCATCATATTTGCACCGTCTATCCCTGCGTGTGCCTCTGTGGCTTCGGATCTGGTCACGCAGTCCGGGACAGAGATGGATCTGAATGGCTTCTTGTCCCGCCCTCGCGAGGAGGTGGAGCCCTTTGCTGAGAGACTCAGAGACGATGCTCTGTTTGAGCCCATTCTTCATGGCATTGGCTTCATCACACGGAACATGGCTCCGACCGACCTCGCCATCGTCCTCGAACTCTTTGCCAGTGGTATCATCAAAGCTATCATTGTTCCCCGTCAATCGTGCTGGACTTTACCCGTCCGCGGGCAGACTGTCATCCTCATGGGTGCGCAGTACGTGCGTATCACAGGCGACAAGATCTCTAGCAAAGACGCCAAATTTAGGAACGAAAAGCACATTGTCAACTACTCTCAACAAGAGCTGGTCAAGATGCAAGGTTTCGCGGTGGGCTCTGCTGCTCCTGCTGCTCCTGGCGGACAGATGTTTGTCATGTGTCAAGGCGAGCAGCAAATCATGATCTCGCGCATCTTGAAAGAAGGCCTACCTCTCGAGTCAAAGATTATCGATCTGCTCAACCGGCATTCTGCCCCTTCGTACACTGTCGATCCCCGTGCCGTTCAGATCTTGACCAACATGTTTAGGGGCCGTCGTCCACCCCCTCGGGCAACTGTTGACCGACCTGGCCGGCCAGACGGAAGAAAGGCAGATTTGATGGACATTGTTGGCTACACCTTCTTGTCTGTGCGAGGGAAAAGCAACCCGAGCTATTATCAGCTGTCCAAGGGTGAAGAAGCCGAGACGATATCAAGAGCGGTAGATAAGTGGTTTGAGGCGATGGATGGACTGAAGGTGTACACGGTAGAGGAGACGAGGAAGCAGGATCTGGAGGCGGCTCAGACGGAGAGCGGGGGCCAGGCAAACGACGAGAATGGCGAGGAAGCTTCGGTGAAGGGGTCGGAAGATGCATTCGAGGTTAATGGTGACGCCGCAGAAGCTGGAAAGGTATAAGGACGCGACGGTGAAATGAGACCACGAATGAATTCGCTCTTGACCAAGAATCAAATGTGCATCATTCGCCACTTTGTACAGGAAATTCGACAGGCTACAACTTTACGAAAAGGTCTACACTGGGATGATAAGGCTTGAGAGAAGTGATATAAGTACACGCGCGCGATAAAGAAGGTAATCTGCGCTCTATCACAGCTTTGCCTTGGCGCTCTGTAGAATTGATCAGTGACCTGGATCTTCGGAAGAGGAAACCAGCATACCTTGAGAACACCATCAAGCTTGGTCTACGGAAATGACGAGTCAGTGAGGCTCCCATGTACAGTAGAGTACGAGTACGCCTGGTCTGGAAAAACGCTTACAGCGAGCATCACCTGGGGGGCAAGTCAGCGTTTCGGTCTCGAACATGTTAGATGGAGCGTACATTTCCCTTGACTTTCAAGCTACCAGTCATAAACGCCTTCTGGGCATTGACCTTGCCATCCGCCAAACCCATAAAGGTATCTGGGAAACGGCTGGGTCAGCGACGTCATGGCAGTAGGGCTGATCAAGAACTTACCGTCGCTGAGGGTGATGGTAACATCTGACACGGAAGGAGTCAGAATCGCTGTTCAATCGACAGGTAAAGTGGAAGATGCCTACCAGGCTTCTTGGCTGAACCTTTCGAAACTTTGCCTTCGTTCTTCAAATCGATCCTACAGGAGGCGCGAGCGTCAGATCCCGTCATGATACCCCGGGTGAGACGCACACCCAGATAGCTTCCTTTCCCTGGGTGTTCTTGACGTTGAGCTGGAAAACGCCGTTGGTCTTGGTAGAGTAGATGGAGGCGTCAGTATGCTCGCCTGTGACTGCGGTGCGATGCGGGACATACCTTTTTGATTTGACTCTTCTTTTCCGCCTCGGGCATTTTTTCGAACACCTCGGACAGAGACTATCAGCAGAACACGGTCAGTGTGTCTTACGCCTCGACTGGCGCTTCGGCGGGCTCACGGCGAGGACGTCGCTGGTCTGGAGAAAGTCAGCGACGTGCAGGGTGACGACGGCGGTGTGAACGCACCTTGAAACCGGGTTCTTTGAGGTGGGACATGGTGTATGTGGTGTGTAGGGTTGTGGCGGTGGGATGGAAGGGATGCGCGCAGATGGCCAAGCAGGAGATGCAGATGCAGCGCGACAACGGGCGACTCACCGCCCGTCCAAAACAAAAAAAAAACAACAAATAACGCACCCGGCTATGAATTAGCCGGGCATGTGGCCATCGCCGCCAGCATATACCGTCCTTCCACTTCTTTCTGTTACCTCTACATCTTCAACAACCTTACGACAACCGCTCTGTGACATTTTCCATGTCGGTCTCTGTTGCCTCTCTCCCTTCCACCTGGGACGCCTGTGATCAGTGGGCCACCCACCTCAGGGATGTCGTCGCCCCGGCACCCCCTCTCACCGGCGCTTCCAATTATCTCCCTTGGTCCAAGAAACTAAAGATTGTTCTGTCTGGGGTCCGGGGGTGTCTCGGTCTGCTAGCAGAGCCCCCTGCCTCCCACCCCTCGGCTACCACTCTCCCCTCCACATCTCTCTCTGTAGAGATCTGGAGCCACCTCGACGCCACCCTTGCTCTTGCTCTTGTGGGTTTACTTAGCACCGATCTCGCCTCCCTCTTCGAATCCATCGTCCTCGACCATCCTTCTCGCGCCGCCCGCACCCTCTGGCTCAAGCTGGAGGCCGACTATGGCACTCGCTCTTCCTACGATATGTGGAAGTCTGTTGAGGCCCTAACCTCTCAACCCCAGGGCTCTACTCCGGTGACAGAGTTCATGACGCCCCGCAGGCAGAAGTTCGAGGCGATCAAGGCTGCCGGGTACGATTTCGACCGGTGGTTGTTGGAGAGTGGATTCCAGCAGCAAGGAATGCTCTAGAGGGTGAGTGAAGTGACTATACACACTGACGAAACATTGGAACGATGAAGCTGAGTACTTTTAGTCATACAGACCTTCTGGGCCCAAACTATGGACGGGCTTGCTGCAGGGCTCTATATACAAGGAGGGGGCGCGTATGTATCCTTTCTTTGTTCAGGTGAATCAGTGACGCTGATTGATCATAGCGCCTCGTGGTTGACACAGGCAGTTATCGCCCGTTACTCAGTGTCGATGTTAGTGCTGTCGTGTCTCGAGGTGCCCGCGCTATGCCAACAGACCGGCAATACCGTCCCGTGGTATCAGAAGCCGAGTGTAAGAGATGGCTGGTTTGGGTTTCTAGCCATCAAATACGCCGTTTTGGTCTCTTTGGCCCACGTGAGTTACTTTCCGCTCATCAAGTATCATCATGGGAGGATCGTCCGCTGACACACTACTCGTACTGGTAGAAATCTCTGGTAGCTGAAGCCTGAGCTCGAGTACACTGTCAAGGAGAAATCGGCGACAGATTGGGTCTGGTGGCGAAGGGTCTGGAGAGAGGATGGGAGAGAGGATGGGAGAGAGGATGGGAGAGAGGATGGGAGAGAGGATGGGAGCGCAGGTGTATTTGTTGTTTAGGTGAGCGTGTCGAGGGATTTGATGTGGAGAAGGAGGAGATCCGCCCTTTCCTTTGAGGAGTTGTATGAGAGGTCCATGTAAAAGTCAGCTCAGTATCATAGACGAGGAAGCGGTTTTACCTGCAAAGTTGATCAAGGAGGACGGCAGGTTGTCTGTATTCGCGTTCATCAAAATCTGCCCAGCCACGACAGCAGGTACCAGTTTGGTGTTGCTTGACAGATGGGGTATCGCCGTCCCGAGGTCGGCATTGCAGACGAGCACGAGTATAACCAGACCAGTAGCATCGCGACAGGGCGCCGTGTCGATCGAGTCAGATGCACTCGAGGTCGAGGGTGCCAAAGATAGGGAGTTTGAAAAGCAACGAAGAACGCTCCAGCTATCATCCTGTCAGCAAAATGTTCATCAACCAGAATGAGGGACGCACTTGGGACAGAAGAGTTGCCCGTGAGGCGCAAAGCCTTGAGTCCATACACATTGACCAGTGTATGTGGCAGCTCATCCGGGACCTTTGGACACTCGACCGTCAAAGTCGTAATCCTCCCTCTTGGATTACATTTCACCTCTTCCCATCCCCACGGACTCGCATCCCCCCCCCACTAGGTCAAATCGCTCGTATCCTCCACCTGATCGGTACCATTGCACAGAACCGCAGTGCCGATCCGACGCCGGTCGAGTTGCCGTCGACGAAGGATTGGGAAAAGTCGTTGGTGGGGGATGTGAGGATGGCGACGCAGTCGGAGCAGAAGTGAAGGAGGGAGAGAACGACACAGAGTTTGTATGTCGATTGGCCGAGGCATGCAGAGAGTGTTTGAGATGATGTGGCTGACGCTTCGGTCGAGTAGCTGTAGTCGTCGAGTTGGAAGCGCCGCTTGATCAGGAGGTGATGATGAAAAGTTTCTCGCGTAGGCGATGATCAATGCGAACAATATGAGGACAGCAATGATAGTGCCGGTCTAGAGAAAAGTCAGCCGAGTCCTTGCTACAACGGAGATGACCCACCCTCACCCTCAGTAGCTCCCTTGTTCCTCTTATTCTTGCTACATATCCCTCTTCTTGCTCGCTCTCCACAACTTGTCGCCACGGTGCGAGGCATACTTGCCATCACGGTATCGCCCGAGGACTCGATGACTGTCTCCCTCCTAAGACATCTAGGGCTTTTGTGAGAGTACAAAGACATCAAATCTCATTTCGCTTTCCCGGTGCTTGTGCATCTCTCAGATCTCCCTCTCACGCATAGCCCTCAGTGACCTGACGACATCGCCATACAGACCATGGTTGTTGGCCCGCTATCCAGCGCGAAGCCCGTCAATCGCCGTCGAAGATGGTATCCAGCAGAACCTGGCGGCAGTTCTTTTTCTCGTATAGGGTGGATGAGGCGTGGACTGGACAGAAGGGGAGGGGATCCAGGTCGGGGTGAGAGTGATGCTGTGGAGGACAGAACCATGATTGTCGGGGGTGGCGAGCGTAGTGACAATCGGGGCTTTGCTCTTGCGCGAAGACTTGTCAGAGTCTGAGAGGGAAGGGATCTTACCGCGAGAGATGACTTAATCGGAACGGATGTTCACTCTGCCTCCTTACCATGAGGGATATCGGTGCCCTGCCTCTCTGCCTGTGCGACCTCAAACGAATTCTCGATCTTATCTTGGCACGCTCCTTCTTTGCGTTAGGAGGCGTGCCGGGGTCGATTACAATGGCGACGTGATGAGGAAGTTACATGCGGAGCGTCCTCTCCAGATGAAGAGGGGCGACGGCGGGGCCCACTCTCCTATTTTGCTCTTTTGCGGGACCCGCTCTTGCTCCCTGGCTCGGTGGGGAGGGGAAGGACTTGTGTCGAGCCAGCTCTTGCTCCTGGACCCAGCAGAAAGGACTGCCGTCGTAACTTATCATCTTGGTTGGAGGCAGCGGGGTGCTGAGTGCAAGGTCGGGATACTCACTGTGGGCGGGATAGACGGCGTCTAATACATCGGTCTCGCTGCAAGGGCCAGGGAAGTTGGAAGGCATGCGAGCGGCCTTGTGATGAAAAGAGGGTGGCGGGCCGGGAACAAGGGTGCGACTTAGAAGACCAACGGGATGTCTTTCAGGGGCCATGGTGGGATGGGATGGGATTGTCAATGGGAGAAAACCTATCGGGTGTGGCACGGTCGCCCCTCGGATACCGCCCATAAACGCGCAAATGGATATCATGGTGCCCGCTTTGGTGTATACTGCTATGCCGTCGAAGCCTCCTCCCTGGCCTTGAATAAGGTCCGATATGTCGCTGTACTCGTGTAGCCAAGTCATTGCTGAGGTCTGACAGATTCACATCACATATCGCCGAGTTCGGCCTCTGCAGAACACGTCAGGCCCCGATACACAGACCAGGAATTGGCGGTCACCAAAGCAATACCAAGGGGCCAGAAGAACCAAGTGCACGTCGTCATGGTGCGAACTCAGCCCTTGAAGAGGAAGTGTGGGGATATCTCTGCAAATCCGTCAATATATTAGTCACAAAGTTTCGACAGTCATGTACACGTCTGAGGCCACCGGAGAATTCGGACATCGAGCTATTGGCCTCATTCAAAACTATAAGGACGATACATCAGCCGCTGCTATTCGCGATTCGATACTCACCTGTCTCTTGAGGATTAGGCGGCCGGGCTGTCTTGTTGCTCTGCTTCCACGTGTATCAGACAGACTCATACTGATCTATGCTTTGCGCTCACCTTCTTGCAAGGACTTTCTTCTTCATTTTGCCAACCTCTATGGCGAGGCTGTTCGGCCTCGAACCCGCCGTTTCGCAGTTTGATTTTGAGCGTGATGTCAAAGTCATTTGTTGGATTTTGGTATGGAAAGAATAGGATGGGAGGTATATCATAGCGATCGAGAAGCCTAAGGTGCCTCCATAGCTCCCAAATTTCTTCACTGTACCCTCGTTCATGAAGATCAATCAGATGACGAGCAGCGTCAATGAACACGGGGCTTTGCGATTTTTCACGTATTACCTGCTCGACGAAAGTGGTCGAAAGATTTGCCATGTCGTATTGTTCCTCGGGAGGCGCGCTCCAAGGACCATAGCAAAGGGGTATGCAAAGTTGCTCCCTGAGGAAGAGCATGGTAAAAGCTACTTCAAGTATACCTAGAGACGCCATGAGTTGCACGCCGCCCGGGTGATGATTGTATGACTTACGCACACAATTGTCAACCTCAAGCAGTCAAATCAGCAGCGTGAAGCATGGTTATACGGGACATGAGGGAAAAAGTGGTGCGAGTGATCTACTTACTTGTTGGCAGATACCCCTGATTTCTTCCTCCATCTCCACAGATAGATCGAACCCAATCCCCTTCTCCATCTCCAACGCTGATAGAACAGCTCGAAAGAAAAGGATTGTCTGCTTGCCGCATCCCCAAGATTTGAGGAGGAAGTTTCTGTCTACCATAGAAGTCTATCGCAAGAGTTAGCAATCGATCAATGAGAGCTTGAACCATGTCATACGGCCTGTTGTCCACCCCAGAAATGGGTGTGGTATATTGCATAATGCGCCACCCTATCAGGGTAATCAGGATCATCAATCCACTTGTATTTGGTCCCTCCTTGTATCACCTCTGTCCCCGTGTGTACAGCCGAACAAGGTTCTGACCAAGAATCGAGAGTATATTTCAGGAATCGATGCTCGAGTTGCTGAAAGAGTGGAGGAGGACGGGAAGGACCAGACGACAGGTTACGCGCTTGAGAGGAAAAGAACGCAAACATGTAGACGATGATAGGGCTGTTGAGGTAAACGCTGTGATGATGTCTTGACTTGGTCTTGACCTGCATTTATATCAGCTGGTCTTGACAGCTGTGCAACAGCTGTGGCTTGAACGCCTTGAAGGCACTGCAGCTCAGGCGGGGCGCCCCGCCTGTAGTAGGCCCGGAGGGTGACGGGACTTTTCTGCCTCTCTTGTCTTGTTCCACGCTCTTCATTCGCATTCTTGTTCCCCCGCCCAGTCCTCGCCCCATGCCTCAAGCGGAACCCGGCCATGACATGGTGGAAAAGGAACGACGGTTTCTGGACTGTCTGGGACCACCTCCAGCACTCTCCCATCCTCGACGAGACATCCGAAGAGGAGAGAGATTTTGAAGACCAGGTCAACCAAGAGGTCGAAGAGCGGAGACGGAACAGATCCCGGCGTCGTCCTCAGGAATGTATTACGCCGACTGCACCGTCTCTCGAGCCAGCGGCATACGAGGTCGCCTTATCCTCCGCCAAGCAACGCCAGGCAGAGCTTCATCCTGCAATGGCTGAGGCTAGTCGCTCCGAAGAGCAACCTCTTGGGCAATTGACTTCAGCACCATCTCCTGCGCTGCTTCCGCCATCAATAGCTCATGGGACCACCACCGATGCGACACAAACGTTCACCTCGAAAGATGCTGCTAATCACGTTTCGGGCAGGAGCACATCGAATCGCTCTTCTCCTGTTGTCGGGGGCTGGTCTACTGCCCGCGACGAGTGTATGTCGCACGCGGTAGATGATCCGGTGTACTCTGAGGCATCCGCCCAATGCAGCAGGCCAGCCCGAGCACAGCCTGCAGCTAGGCCTTCAGCACCTTTACCTTCCTTCCGTGGCTCTCATATACTCCAAACCTCTACACCACAAGCCCTTCGAGCAACCGACTCAACGGCCCAAGAAATTCCAACTCCCAAAGATACCCCTCAGGCCCCCACTGCCGCTCTCCTCGTCCCCGCCGAGACACCGGTCAGGAAGATATCCGTCCCTCAGAACCGGCGTCTACAGGTGATCGACACTCCTGAGCAAGTCTCATCTCCAATCAACACGCCCATCGATACTCTTACCCCCGAGAGACCAGGTGCCATTGGCAAGAGAAAACGTCTCAACGCTGGTACGCCAGTGCTTCGCGGGAAGCAGCAATCAACCAGTTCGAGATCTCTTCAGCAAAGTGATGGTGGAGCTGCCGAAGGAGAAGTGAAGAAGGGACAAATGAAGAAGGGACAAAACAAGAAGGGAAAGGGCAAGCAAGCAATAGAGAAGCCAGAGACCTCTCAAATTTTCAAGGATTTTGTATTTTTCTATGCGGACGCCCGTAAGAAGCTTCGCCAGGAGCGATGCGGTATCGTGAGTCGCAAACATTCCGACTGGCAAAAAGTTGCGTTCTGATGTATATTCCAGATCCATGACCATGGTGGCTCCCATGTCGACCAAACAGATGACACCATCACACACGTCATATTCGAAGGCAAGGCTCGGGGGACGCTCAAAGGCTTTCTGAAAATCTCATCTCTCGACGATCTACCAGAGGGGACAGAAGTCGTCAATTGGAACTGGCTGGCTCTTTGCATCGAAACGGTAGGTCTGCACACTTGGCAGAACACGATCGTGCTGACCTATTCCTATAGGGGAGACTTCAACCTATAAATCCCCATGTGCATCGATCGTTTCCTCAGCCAAGGCGTTCGTCAGCATCATCACGTGCCATTGCGGCGCAGTCCACACCCCGGGTAGCGGATATCACAGACACTATCTGGCAGGTCAATTCACATTAAAGGGGGTCACATACTGACTGGACTTTCCCCTAGCTCTCGTTCGGACACTGAATCTGAACCCGAAGAATCTCTGCCGAAGAAAAAAGCGAGGGATTCCCTGGGCTTCACCGCTCGCATCCGTCACGCCGAACAGGTCGCCAAAGGCACATTTGGTTCCTCGAAACCCCGGCCTGTCGAGCTCCAGTCTGCAGGGCCAAGCGGTCGGGGTGTGCATGATGTGAATACGGTACACGGAATGACGAGCGATGCAGGAGTGGGATGGAAGAAGGGAAAACAAGGCGGGACGGATGGTCTGGATGAGGTCATCGAGGGTGTCAAGGAGGGAGGTCTGCTGGATGCAGAGGTTCGTTAATGCTTGTCCTTGACCAATTTTGACTGGCATCAAGACGTAAGGCAACTGACAAATGAGTCAAGGAGTCTGACGAAGAGAGCGCTGTACAAATCGCCAGTAACGACCATGATGCAGATGAAGATGATGGCAACCCCAACCCGCTCGCCGACAGGTTCATGTTTGGGCGCAAGAACGACAAAGTCGGCAAAGATGGTCCGAATGAGTTTTTGGCCAAAAAGTTTGAAGAACTACACGAGCTGTATGAGGGGCAACCAGGTAAAAATGCTTTCTCAATCAGAATGTATCAGCAAGGTGCGTTCCAAGTCTGGGTCTTTGGGTCACGTCGCGCTAACAAAGCATTAGCTGCTGCTACTATGCGACGTATGTCCTTTGCGAGGTCGCTCAATCGAACGCTGACGGGTTCCAGGAATCACAATTCCCATCACCAATGGGAAACAAGCCAAAAGCATCAAGGGCATTGGCGACAGTCTCGCCGAGAGGGTATGATGTTCCTCTACCAGCACTTGACCCGATCCTGACGATACCTCCAGATCGACGAGTTTCTGAGCGGCAATACTGGCCGAGCAGACTATGAAGACAATGAGCAAGCCCGCTGTATCCGGCTCTTCAAGGATGTGTACGGTGTCGGTCGACAGATGGCATACAGTCTCTACCAACAGGGCGCGCGAACTATCGCCGATCTTCGTACAGGTAAATACCCTCTCACCCCCGGGCAGCTCATCGGTCTCGAGCTCTACGACGACCTCAATACGCGGATACCTCGGTCCGAATGCAAGCAGCTGTACGACCTCATCCGGGAAGAAGCTATGGGGATCGATGACAAGCTCTGGGTGGAGATCATGGGGAGCTATAGGAGGGGGCAGGAGGATAGTGGAGATGTGGATATCTTGATCACCAGGGACGATAGGGACGGGGTGACACACGCGGGTGTCTTGGGGAGGTTGGTGGGGAGACTGAAGAAGAAGGGAATCATCACTCATGATGTGGGTGTCATGATGGATCAGCGCGGCGCTGATATATCTCTACAGTTGAGCGAACCCGGTGATTGGCATGCGTTAGAGTCAAAATGGATGGGTGTGGGCAGGGTGCATTCTGAGGGCAAGTTCCGTCGCATAGGTGAGGTTTCCATCATGGCTGAGGTCCGTACATTGACCGCTTTCTAGATATTCTGTGCATACCCTTCAAGTCATGGGGTGCCTCTCTGATATACTTTACTGGAAACGAGCTCGTAAGCCTCCTGTCTTGCTCTCGCTGGCAGCGCTGATCAACGATACAGTTTAATAGGTCTTTACGCCTGTACGCGAGGAAGCTTGGCTTCAGTTTGAACCAACGGGGTCTTTACAAAGGCGTTGTCCGGGGAAGAGACGGGACCAAGACTGTTGCTGGTGATTTGATTGCATCAAAGACAGAAGAGGAGATATTCGATATCCTGGGGGTGCGATGGAGGTGGGTACGGGTCCGTGGTCTCCGTGTTTCAGAAGAGTTCTGACCTCTTGGCAGACATCCGCATCATAGGAAGCCGTAAGTATGAATGACCTTCAAGTACTTGATACATGCCATGCTATTTAATTATTCTTCTTTCAACTCTCCCTTCTCCCAAACCTCAGCAATCTCAGCTCCAGTAATCTCCCTAATCTCTCCTGGAGTAGCAGTGGCACCCTGGATAGCGCTGGTGACGACATCAATCACGGTGCCGATAGCCGTCCTCTGCTGGTGGTAATGTCTGATTTCCTCAACTCGAACCTCGAGAACGGCGATACGGGGGTCGGTGATGGAGCCGTCGTGGACTCCGTCGCCCTTGTCGGCGAACCAAGCCTTGATAGTGGGGTTGTAGAGCTTTTGGAAGAGTTCAGGGTCGACGTTTTGACTGAGAGTGTGTGAATAAGGATTCAAAAGACAAAAAGGCCAAGACTCGCCTGGCTTTACCAGCAATAGAGGCCCAACCCTTGTTTGTGACCATCCCATCGACGCTCAGGTTGACATGCACGCTATTCAGAGGTCAGTACGGTCGAGGGAGTGGGTGGACTACTCACTCATTCTGGACCTCGATGTTTTTGTAAGAGTCACGGTCGTAGATGAAGTAGAACTTCCAGTCTGGGCTGATCTGGGCCGGGGCCATGACCCTGGAGTGGAGCTGGCCATTGGGGGCGTGGGTGACGAGGAGGACGGTCCTCTGGGACGAGAGAAGGCCCTTGAGGTCGGCGAGCTTCTGGGTGATGGAGGGGGCGGCTGCGGCTGCGGCGGTGTACTGGTCTGTCATGGTGGGTGGGAGTGAGATATGTATCCCTGTTCCCTCGTCCCTCTTATATACGGTGAGACGGTGAGACCCAAGCCCGTCATCGCACAACGTCATCATAGTGGAGGCAGCTCGGGGTGCCGTGCCTGTCCCGATCTCTCTGCTTCCGGGACCAAATAGACCCATCTTGTTCGTTTTTCTCCAGCTCAACTCCAGCTCCGTCGCTGCAAGACTGGCCCATGATGCTCCTCCCCCCCCGCCCGCCCCCGTCTCTCTCCCGCCCTGCCCTCTACCGCCTCTTCCTCCACCACCTCCGCCTCCTTCCCGATCCACAGGTATGGGCCACCGCCGTCCCTCTCGTCCGCAAGCTGCTCAGCACCCCAGGCCCCCCTCCAACCGCACCCCCAGAGGATGCCGAAGCGAGGGCGAAATGGGAGAGCATCAGGGCGTGGAGGGCTGAGCGTGCGATGAAAAAGGCAAACAAGGTGCGCTCAACACAGACCGCAGTAAGCGGGCGACTGACCAGCCATGTCTTCCAGGAGCTGAGCCAGCTACGCGCTGCAGTGGCTTGCCATCCTCACGCCCTCTCACGGCTAATAGAAAGCAGCTACTACCAGCGAGGCGCTTCACGCTGGGATCGCCTTCGAGTATGTTCCGCCGTTTGAACGAATGGCCTTGGCTGACGACTTCTGAAAGTCGATTCTGATCCAGTCAAATCCTTCCTCTCCCCAGCTCGATACACTTTCCACCCCCATACCCTCTCCGCTTCGCCCCTTGATGCCCCGCCAGCCCGGCCCATCCGACCCCATTGTCCGTGCGCGATCAGCAATCCCAGAGCGGAGACGCGAAAACAGAAAGACCAAGCTGCACGAACGGAATTGGAATCTCATGAAAGCACCCATCTATCTTCCTGATCCGCGGCCTGGATCGGGGCAGGGGAGAGAGAAAGAGAGAGCAAAAGTGGAGAACATGAGTATCCTGGCGGGCATCTCAGAAGGGTCGATAACCACTCTGAATCTTCCACCCCACATCGCTCGCATCATCCCCAACCTTGGTTCACGACGCAAATTACCACTGAAACCCTATCCGCCCCCGCGTCCGAGCCATACAAAGCAGAACCCATCAACGTGGAAGCTGCCCCGAGAGTTTACCGGACGGATGAGAGAGCGCGTTTATCGGCGGGTTTGGGACAGCCTGCCATGGGTTCGGCCCGTCAGCGAGGGCGGGGCATGGAAATCGTGTACGTGGGTAGACGTTCAGGCGTGGGAGCAAGGTGTCATGGGCAGGGACTCGACGAGCTCAGAGACCCGGGGAAAGAGCGCGGGAAAGAAGGGAAGGAAGGCTGCAAAGGTCAACCAAGCCTATGAAGACAGGGACCTGGATCCTCGCAAGTGGCCACATGCGACAGACAGAGACTATCAATGGCTTGCACGCGATTTTAGTGAGGCTGTTGGGTCAACAGCCGATGTGATTCACAAAGCATCAATATAGTGTAACGTATGGGTAAATGCGTAGTCTATGATTGAATCGTCGAATTTTATAGATATACATTGCTACCCTTACATGCCCCAATAGACATGGTTCCTTCTACAGAAACTTGTTGTCGTCGCCGCATAGCTACAAGTACTTCCCACGAGGGGGTGATTTTGACTCAGTTTACCCAGTCGTGCCTGATCAAAGGCGAGGGTGTCTCTGCATGTCTGTCTACACGGTTTCGAGATTCTGAGAATTCCTCACATGTCTGACATTCTTGGTGTACTGGAGTGATGGGACATCAGCCTCATTGATGACTACAATACTAAATCATCAGCCATCATCCTGTGCGGCACGACATTACGAGTACCGTACACCCATTCTCTGCGCCCACTCGTGTCAGCAGCTGCCTCCACTAATCTGTGGTTGTCATTCACCTGCTTCCAAACACTCCCTTCCTCTTCCCAGCCTTTATTACGAGGTTCCATCAACTCGAATCCGCCTGTTCTTAACCTAATTTTGAGAGTTATGTCAATGTCTTTTCTTGGATCTTGGAAGGGAAAGAACAGGATGGGAGGTATATCATATTGCCCCATCTCCCTGAGGGATCTCCATAGTTCCCAAAGGTCTTCGATGTACCCTCGCTCATGGAGATCAGTCAAATGACGGGCAGCATCGACGAAGACTGGGCTGGGGTCTGCTCCTTGCTCGGCCGCTCTGACGAAATCAGTCGAGAGATTTGCCATGTCGTAATGCTCCTCGGGAGGCTTTTTCCAAGCACCACATAATGACGATAGGTATATCTCTTCTACAATGTGAATATTATTCAGGGCTGCTCAAATTATGCCAAGGGGTGGACCTCAATATTGGCGAACCGCCAAAGAATGTTGCAGCTAACGGACACGGTTGTAAGCCTGTCGTAGTCAAGATCAGTCAGATACTACTGCAACATGACTATCGAAGTGTTGTGGTCAACGTACTTGGAGATATATACCTCTCATCCCTTCCTCCAAGCTCAGATTGACAGAGTGTTCATATACAGTTGCCTTCTCATTCTCCAGAGCTACCAACATAGCTCGAAGAAACTGGATAATTTGTCTGCCGCATCCCATGACCTGAGGAGGAAATGCCTGCCTACTACAGGACTCTACTGAAGATGTTGATTGTCTTCAATGAGAGCTCGAACTATGACATAATGTCCTCTGTCCACCCCAGAAATGGGTGTGGTAGGCTAGATACTTTGCCCTCTCATGGCCTGCACGACTGAAACCAGCACTTTCGATCTCTTTCAGTGTGGCCCCGTGTTCCACCCTTTCTATCCCCCTATGGACCGCCGAGCGAGAGTCTGCCCAGCAATCGATGCTATGTTGTAGAGTCAATGATAATGGCGGGCAGTAGGTAGCGGCGGCCACCGATGCCACCCTTCCACATACATACCCCCACAAACGCGTCTGCCGACTTGTATCTCGTCAGACGACTGGTCAGCCGCCCGTAGCCTGGAGACGAGTGGGGTCAGTCATTACCATTTGTTTGAGTGTAATTTTCAGACAATAACCTGCCACGCTGCTGATTGAAAGTGTCGTCAAGAGGCAATCCGGTCATTGTACGTGTGTGAGCCTGCCAACAAGCAGAGCGAGAGTACGTTAACAGCATATGCCTAGTTATATCCAGACTGCCGACGAATACTGTGCATAATACACTTTCCGCGAAACTGCTGTTATCTTCTGACACTTGTTTTCTCTCTACCACGCCTCCTGGCCAGGCTCAAAGACTTAGAGGGCGGCCTTGAGACGAGCCTCAGCCTCCTTGTAGTTGATGACGTCCCAGATGGCAGAGAGGTAGTCGGCCTTGACGTTCTTGTATTGAAGGTAGAAGGCGTGCTCCCAGACATCGATACCGATGATGGGAACGTGGGCTGAAAATGACAGTCAGCTCCTGATCAACTTTTGACGCGTGTGGTCGACTGACTCAAAAGGGGGTCCTGGTTGGCAGTCGTGACAACCTCAAGCTTCTTGGTACCCTTGTTGAAACCCAACCAGCCCCAACCGGAGCCCTGGACACCGGCAGACTTGGTGCTGAGCTCCTTCTTGAGGTTGTCAAAGGAGCCAAAGTCAGCCTGCACCTGGTCGTAGAGGGCGCCAGAGGAGGGGAACTTGGCCTCGGCGGAACCGTGGGGAGCGAGGTTCTTCCAGAAAAGCTATACCACCTGGGTCAGCACCACTCCTCATCATCCTCGCCTGGCATTACGGCACCAGTCGACTCCCGTTCCACTTACAGAGTGGTTACTGCGACTCATGTCAGCGACTCGACCTCGACAGCCAATAATATTCGACCCAGCTCACATATGGCCACCACCGTTGAACTTGAGGGCAGGCTGGAGAGCGATAGCGCCCTTGACGTCTCCCTCGCTGGTAAGCTTGGAAAGAGACTCCTCGGCAGCGTTGAGGCCGTTGACGTAGGTCTGGTGGTGCTTGGTGTGGTGGAGGTTCATGATCTCTGCCGAGACGGAGGGCTCGAGGGCCTGGTGGAGTGGTCAGCGTTGGTCTCTGGGGGGGAGGAGCAGGATCGGGGACGGACGTCGTAGGCGTAGGGGAGATCGGGCAAGGTGTGCTTTGTCCTGAGGGATGCCATGGCTGCTGATCTGAGGGCGGGGGTGGCTCTGGGAGCGGTGCAGGTGAGGGAAGAGACGGTGGCGAGCATGGTCACGGGGGTCTATGGGTTGTCGATGCAATGTCGATGGCGAGTGGAAAATTGCCTCCCCATTATCATCCCACGTCGTCCACAATGCGTCATACACCCACGTGCATTTGATCCCGTCCACTTCTTTTGGTTCGCGTTTCTCGCATCAGCCCGCAACAACTCAAACAGCACCGCCCAGCATGTCCTATTTCATGACCCAGTGAGCTTGCTGCGTAGATATCCAAGGGAAGGGCTGACGCTTGCAGTCTGCATTCCGGCTGGCACGTCGACCAGGCCATCCTCGTCGAAGAAGACCGTGTCGTCTGTATCCGGTTCGGTCACGACCACGATGAGGACTGCATGGCCATGGATGAGACCCTCTATGGTGTCTCGGAAAAGGTCCAGAATTTTGCCGTCATCTACCTAGGCAAGTATCGCTTGTTCACGACTTGCTCAAGCTGACCATGGAGGCAGTTGATATCACTGAAGTGCCCGACTTTAACAAGATGTACGAGCTGTATGATAATTGCACCCTCATGTTCTTCTACAGGTGAGTATCTCTATGCTCTGTGATGGCGGTAGCTGACTCCTCTTACCAGAAATAAACACATCATGATCGACTTGGGAACTGGTAACAATAACAAGATGTCAGTCCTCATCATCAATGGAAACGCCCACTAACGAGTATCATTAGCAACTGGCCAATATCAGAAAAACAAGAGATGGTGGACGTGATAGAGACAGTGTACAGAGGAGCTTCCAAGGGTCGTGGTTTGGTCGTGGCTCCCAAGGGTGCGTCTTTTCATCTCTCGTCCATACTGAGTGGCGGTCGCTGATATTTGTGCAGACTACTCGACAAGACACAAGTACTAGAATCTCCAGAAATCTGGGACTGGGAATACGGACGTATGCGCTGCGTTGTATGTTGTTTATTTAAATTAATGCATGGGTTTACAATCGAAAGCGTTCCACGAGCTTGCCGTGACCGCTGATCTACTCAGCTATCTACAAGTATCAACACGAAGCCATGTCAGCATGACTGCTGCACAATTCTACAACGTTCCCAGAGGAACTTCCTCCACAGGGACTTCCTGAACTGGTACCCCCTCCTCCTTACCCATCCTCCTCGTCTTCCTGACTTTGCCGGTAGTCCTCTCCCTCTCCCTCTCCACATCCTCCTCGGTCCGCCCCTTGCCGCTCCTACCAAACCATCCTGCTCCCGCCGCCTTTGGCACCGGCAAAAATTCACCCGACTCGGGCATCAACAAGATGTGGTATTGGCGGTTTGCCGCCGGAGACGTGAGGAGCCATGTCTCGAGGAGTGCAAGATTACGCAAGTTGGATTTGAACAGATTGTCGATAAAATCGCCAATCAGGGGGACGATGCCGACCAGAACGTCAATAATGACGTTGAACAACTGCTCTATCTATCAGTCTGTACTCTCACACTGCGATTCCAGGGACGCACCATATAACCCAGGATGTTCGTTGGAACCCCAAAGATGAATGCCAGCCACACTTGGTAGAGCTGCAAGATACCAGAGACGATATCACCATAGATGGGAACCAAGGAGATTATATCGTCTAGACCCGCTCGGAAGGGCAGTCCTAGATCGGCCAGCACAGGCGCAGCGTCAAGCCAGTAGGCTACTGTACGGATATGGTTGTACATACTGCGTCTGTCAGCTCAGCATGCCTCGAGTCTGTAGGACGCGACTTACGCCTGGGCTTCTCTGTCATTGCGGGGTCTGCGGACAGCAAAGCCTGGGGGTCGGTAGGTAGCTTCGAACGCTCCAAACCTCTGTGGCTTGTCCTCGCGCTGAGCTCTGTGTCAAGGTCAGTGATGTGTTTGCCATGGGAGGGGCGGGACTTGCTGGCGATCCCGAGCGGCATTGGGCCTGTAAGAGGAGAGGAGGGGCCAGATGGCGGAGAACACTGAGGCCATGTTCTGTGAGTTGTGGATGCAACAGCAGAATGGCTGCATAACATCATGGCCATGCATGGCAGCGGTGACATCATTCAGTTACGTAAGGAGTTGTGCGCGACTGTCTTTGCTCTGTGGGTGAGATGTTGCGCTCGGGCCCTCGAGATTCTCGAGAAGGCGGGATCTCTTCTTACCATCCCATCGTCTCCTCGTCGCCTGCTCTCTACGCTGGCAGCCTACTCTCTCCTCTCCCCCCTCTCCCCTCCTCCCCTCTCTGCGCCCTCCTGTCTGACTGTCTCCCTGCCCACCGACTTTTCACACCATCCACCCGGTCCATATCTCTTCCCTCCATCAATCATGCTCCGAGAACACAGTCACCACCTCACTCATACTGCTCCCTCCGCTGCACCCCTCTCTCACCCCACAGCCGTCGACCCGCCGAGACCATACACGCCAAGTACACTCGAGTTCGGCCTCAACCCTCAACCAACCCGGCAGACCTCTGTGAACCCATACTCTGGACTCGGCATACAGCCCCGGACTCCTGGAAGTGATGGAAATGCTGAGGGACAAGGAGAGAGAAAGAGGAGAAAGTCGGTGTTTAGTAGTCTCAAGTTGAAGAAGCGTATCACTCGGTGAGCATCGTTGAACCCCTCTCCGCGTTGAGCGCACTAATGACTCTCAAGACTCGTTTGGCCCTTTATACCGTCACACAAGGGCCCTCAGCCACACCTCAAGGCTACAAAGTCGGATACCGCCCTTCCCCGCCGCCCCATCATCTCCAGTCCCACCCTCGCCAAGACCGACACCTTTACCAACCCTCGCCCGCACCTCCCGCGCATCAACACTCACCAGCCTACTAGAAGCCGGGACCACAATGCTTTGCTCTCGCCCGAGGATACCGTACCCACCGGACATGCAAGAGATCGAAGAGGTGAAGAGGCAGACAAAAAGAAGATGGTTGAGGATAGAAGGCGCAGGATGGAGAGAAGGGCGAGTTGGCCACTGATGGGTCCTCGGCACAGGGAGCTTCCTCTCGGGCATGACCACTCTGAAGACCATCCGGGAATTCAAAGGCTGGTAGCGAGTATCTACGAGGACCCCATCAGCGCGCAAGACCCCAGCGCCGACCTCAAACGGCTCAAGCAGGCTCTGGATCGTGACATTGGTTTCACCTTCAACGTCCCCTCGCTGAGCGTCGCTTCCAGAAACCGTGCTCCCCCTGCGCCCAAATCCCCGGCGGGCAAGCACAGATCCCATACTCTCCGACTGAAGCACCGCACCTCCAGAACCCAAATCAAGTCCGGTCGCAGTTCGCTTGTCTTGTCGCCCGAGGCGCAAGAAGCCCTCCAACGCCAGCTCGCAAGGCTTGAAATCCGGGACGAAGCGCTTACCAAATCCGCTCGAAGACTGTCTGCGATGGACAAGATGGTGCTTCAAGGCCGGGGTCCCGCCAGGCATCCGCAAGCCCGTCCGGGTCTTGGGAGACAATACTCTTACGTCTCTTTCCAAGACGAAGACGGCGAGTGTCGAGTCACCCGAGTACCTGCCGCTGGAAGTCTCTCGCCTGCCTCAGGCGACATGTCACCTTCGCCCATTTCACCCAGTACAGCTTACTCTGCCAAGGCCAGTAATCAGAGCTCGGGAATAGGCATGGCGGCGGGTTTGCCGATGACAGAGGGTGGGAGGAAGAATAGGATGTCGATGCCGGTGATGCGTCGGGCGAGCAAGGCCGGTGTGAGAGGAGCAAGTGTCAAAGTATTCGCCAAACCCACTTCCTCCACCCCATCGGGATCAGTTACCGACATGTGGGATGGTAATCCTCCCAGCCCTCCTCCTTTCATTCAAGCTCCTACCCCGCGCGTCGCGCCAATGCCTCGCCCCAGACAGAACGGCGCGCCACTCTACAACCCGACGAACCTGTCTCCGAATAGCAAGCGGGTCAATCAAGGGAGGGCCATGGCGCCCAAGGGATACAGCTCGCAGGCGAGGGTGGAGTATAGCAGGCCTGGCACGGCAACTCTGGCGGTGGATCAGCAGGCGCCGATGTACTCGCTTTACGCAAAGTTTTGAGGGAGAAGGGAGAGTTACAACGCGAGTTGAGTTGGTATTTGTTCAGCTGACAAGTAAACGGCTGACTTGCTGTCAGATTAGAACACAGATATACGACAATTTGAGACAATGTATTCGAATTTGGCGATGGGACGTGGTATTCAAAAAAGTGTCAAGGCCTGGTGCCGCCGCGAAGAGAGATGTTGGTTGTCAGTAAAGCGTCAGTACATCGATGCACTTGTCACATATTTCACAGTGCACATTCAGCTGCAAAAATGGGATAGCAATGCATGATGCAACGAGCTCAAAGGAGCTTGAGCTTGCCAGTAATAGAGTTGATGAGCTTGGCGGGGCCGCTGGGACTCGAGTTAGCCCAAGCCCAAGGTAATATATCCTATACTTACGGTCCAATACCGACAATGGTCTTTGATCCAGGGGCCACTTGTGTCCTACCACTACGTAGAATGTCAGTATAGTCTCTAGGGCTACGTGAAACAGACTTGCGCATCCCGGATAGTCCTCGCACAAAGGTTTACGCTCCGGGCCTGAGCCGCAAGGATCTCGAGCTCCTCAGTATTGGCGGTCCTCAGAGCAATTTTTGGCTGTCCTTGCATCTGCCAAGCCTTGAAGAGCTGTAGCATCGAGTCAGCACGCCAAGAACCCCGACATGACACTGGACACACCTTGGGGTTCGCCTCCTTCAATGTCAGCGCACAAGCCAACGTCGCATGTCCCGCCTGCGCCGCAATCTTGCCCTTGGTCATCTTGAGCTCGTCATTCACCACAAGTACCAGCTTCATCTCGTCGAAGCTACTCCATTTGGGCGCTGTCAGGTCTGTATTGGAGACGGCTGAAGATGCGTCGGATGAATCGGACTCGGCATCGGAGAGGGAGTCGTCGTCGTCCGAATTTTGTGATTCAGAAGCTTGGAACTTTCGGGGCGAGCGGGGCTTTGATTTGGGGGCTTCGAGGGGGGTGGGAGCGGAAAAGTAGTTGTGGGCGTGGTAGCCAAGAGCAAAGGTGATGATGGACACCACAATCGATGGGACGAGTCCGACTGGAGAGGGATTATCAGGCTCCGCACTGGCACAATATGAGGACTTACCTTCCATCTTGGCAGAGCTCATTGTCGTTATTGGTATACAAGTCCAAAATCCAAACAGGTCGAACAGGTCAAAAAAAGACAAAAAGGACGGAAGACAGAATTGCGATCCAATGACGTCGACGCTTTTCGGGCTTCCGCTTGACAACGACGACTGAAGACCGCTTTTTGCCTTTTTTGCTCCTTGCCGTGCACTCTTGTTCTATCTCGATATTTTGTCATTCTTGCGACCTTGGGCGTGCAAGAGAGCATACCCCTCGCCCATCTACCCAATCGACGAAATCCATCACAATGGCCACCTTCACCACAACGGGCACCGTCTCGAGTCCTCTCGACCTCTCCAAAGTCCAGGGAGAACATGCCAACGTCAGCTTGTCATCGAACAAGAAGAACGTTCAACCTGCTGTCAAGGTCACCCTCACTAGCTTGACCCCTCACAATGTTCGTAGGATCTCAAAGGATTCTATTGAGGGACCGGGGGCAATTACTCGTATACACATGAAAGGTGGCTGACGGTGGCATGTAGTCTGGCACATTACGAAAAATCAACTCTGTTGTCATCCCCATCGTATACTCGGACAGCTTCTACAAGGACATGCTGGATCCGAACCTGGATGATGCCAACAAGCTCAGTATGTCATACGTTTGTTTCACAACACGACGCGTGTCTGATCAGTCCATCTGCCAGTCTATTACGCCGATATCCCCGTCGGCGCGATTTGCTCCAAGTTTGATAACCTCAAGAAGGGCTCCAAAGAGCCTCCTACTCTTGTTATTCTGACCCTGGCGTAAGCTATTTCCATCCCTCGTCGGACATGAGCACTGATATCTCCTTAGCATCCTTGCCCCCTACCGATCCCTTTCGCTCGGCACCTCTCTCCTCCGCCACGCTCTCCACGCTGCTCTCCACCCCCCGGAACCTTCGGCCCCCGCACCGTCGGACAAAAAGACCAACACCCGAGCTCAGTTGGCCAAGCCCGAGACTAGGCCGCCCGTCAACAGGGCGCTTGTGCATGTGCAGGTCGGGAATGAGGGGGCAAAGAAGTTCTATGAAAGATTGGGATTCAAGGAGACTGGCATGTGAGTACTTTTGTAAGGTCGTTCCAAGACGAGACTGATAGATGTGTAGCGAGGATAACTACTATTCCAAGATGGAGCCCCGAGGAGCTATCTTGATGGTTTGCGAGGACATTGCGGCTGCCATCGGAGATGCTTCTAACAATCAAGTTTGATTTCTATGTGGTCTCCCGTCTCAGAGCATGCCCGCCATCTTGTCATCGCCTGGCATACAAAATTCGCACTTTTTCGAATACCAGAATGCATTTGCTCATTATGCAAAGCTTACCCAAGACCTTGCGTTACTAAGAACTGGTTGCATATCAATTACTCTTTCTTTCAACCTGTATATGAACCTTCCAGAACGTTGCGAGTCGAAAAAAAACGGGCTAGGCCAGTCAAAAAGAAAATGCCTCCGTGCCGATTCGAACGACAGACCTCCCCATTATCGTTTTATTACGTACTAGTGGGGTGTTATAACCAACTAAACTACGGAGGCTTTGATATTTGACAAGGCTAAGCTCCAATCTGATGTAGCCACGGTTGATAGTGAACGAGTACAGTTTCCTTTCAAATGTGAAAGTGAACATCATTAGCTGTAGCGCTAGCATTGTCGATGCTACTATGCGAGATACATGAGATTAGGGCCAGCCAACAGAGTATGACCATTTTATGCTTTTTGAGTTGGGTATTTTATGCTTCTACTTGACACGCTCAACAACCTTCACGGTCAACTGCACCAACGCATCCCTCGCCCCACTTTCGGGCAGCATCTCTACCAGCCGCCTCGCCTCTCCCGCAAATGCCTTCGCCAGCTCCACCGTCCTCTGCAACCCATCGCTCTTCCCAACGATGTCCCGGGCAGTTTTTACGTCTCCCGGTTCCGTAAATTTACGAAGGATGAGTGGTCCGAGGGATGGGTTAGTCTCCCAAGCGAAAAGGGCCGGGGCGGTTGCCAGTCCCAGACGCAGGTCCGCACCATTAGAGGGTTTGCCCAATGAAGGGTCAGGGGGAAGGAAATCCAGGGCGTCATCGATCAACTACAGCCCGCGTCAGCAACCTTTCGTTCAGCATAGATGCGATGAGAACTGACCTGGAAGGCAATACCCAGGTTTCTTCCGTATCCATAGGCCACATCTTTTACCCAAGCACCCTCAACTCCATCAACACCACAACCGCCGAGAACGACGGCCGATCTCGCGCTCTTGGCCATTAGACTCGCGGTCTTCAAGTACGTCTTCCTCATATAGTCCTCGAAACCTTTGGGCGTCGGTGTTTTCTCCGGCTCGCTCGTAGCACGCAGCTGCATGACCTCGCCTTCGATAAGGTTTGCAATCACTGTCGCCATAAGCTCAACCACTTCTGGTGAACCCAGCCTGGCCAAAGCGACAGACGCTCGACCTAGAAGGAAATCGCCAGACAAGACTGAGAGCTTGTTGCCAAACGTTGACGGCGCAGAGGGCGCCCCACGGCGGAGGTCTGAAGCATCGATGACGTCGTCATGAAGCAAAGAGGCGACATGGATCATCTCTGTGATGCTGGCCAGCCGCCTCTGGGTAGGAAGAATTGAGGGTTCGCCATTGGCGCCGATCGGGTCGTCAAATTGGGAAGGAAGAGGAGCAGGAGGCGGTAACCTTTGTTCAGGGTTCGATGGGATTCGGAATGGGGAAGCGAATATCATGCTGGCAATCCCAGCAGCAGGTTTGGGCCCAGAGACTTCGGGGTTCCAGTCATTGAGGACACCTCCTTCAGCTGTCAGACTGTCGTCCACGTTTCTCTTGATAGCCTCCATCTGTGCACCTTTCCAACCCTTTCCTCCCAGTCCGTTTGTTGCTTGGCTGATGAGCAAGACTAACAACGGCCGCAGATGCTTGCCTTCAGCCTGGAAGTAGTACTTTGCGACAGTGTCGAGAGCAGCGTTGTCTGAGCCCAGCATGCGCCAGAGAGAGGATTTGAGATTGCCGATTTCAGCGTTGATAGCCGACAAAGGGTCGTCGAGTGAAGTCGCATTGGAGGCGGTGGTAGAGGGGGGAGGAGTCAGCACTTGGTGCGCCGACTCGGTAGCAGCTGCCCAAGTCGATTGGCGACACCGAGATGGAAGCGTTGTGGCCCGCAGAGCTGACGAGGAGAGTAGGTTTCGGCGGGAGCTTATGACAGCTGCCCTTTTGGGGAACATGGCCTCGGGGATTTGGAGCAGATAGGGGCTACAGGGGAGAAAGGAGAACTGCAAAAAGTCAGACATGGACCACGAAGACGATTGCATTTGCGGCCGCCCCCGATCATACTTACGTAAGACCACAAATGTCTGTGGGTAAAAAATGTTGAGCTTTTGTTGTTGCAGTGAGGGTTGTCACATTTGACGTATTCTGCGATCAGACATGAAGGGTGAGCGGCTGTCATGTGGCGAGGCTAGTGGCACTAACTGTTCACAGCTGAAAGTACCAAGCTGAAAGAGATTGCTCCCAGCTCTGAAGAGGACTACTCTTCCGACGACTCCTCTTCCTCAGAAGATGTCACCGAGGATGAGGACGGAGCTGAGCTCACTCCTGCCATGGACGCTGCCATCTTGAGAACTCTGAGAAAGATCAAGGGGAAAGAGGGCGATATATACGGCAGGGAAAACATTATACAAGCGGAGCTCAAGAAGGCGCAAGAGTTGGCCCAGAGTAGAGGCCTCAATAGCAATGTAATCAAGAAAGTTGTTGAGAAGGTATGTACAATGTCCATTTGGCGCGCAATACTGACATTCTAATCTAGCCGTATCTACTCCAAGACTATCACCGAAAGAAGCTGCTTGAGGGAAATTTTGGCGAAGACGAGGAAGATGACGAACCGTTGACCCACGTCGAGTCCCAATATCGTCTTCGACAAGAAGCCCGCTCTGCTTTTGCTGGCTTGGTTGAAGAGTCCGACGACAATGATTCCGATGAAGAAGGATTCTTGAAGAAGCGCGACAAGGAAGGAGACGAGGTAGACGCAGATGATGAGGAGTACCGAAAGTTCTTGTTGGAGATGGGTGGGGGCGAAGAAGAGGTCAAGCAGCTCTTGGGTATGGGTGACCAGCCTGCCATCCTCCAAACTGTCGATGATGGTGACGAGGAAGAGCCAGGACAGGCCGTTGCTGTCAGTAAGGTTGAGAAGGAGGAAATGAAGAATGAGAGGAAGAAGAAGAAGGAAATGAAGATCAAGGAGGACGATGATTTTCTCATGAAGTGAGCTACTTCGTCACAGATGTATCATTTCGCTGACAATCTAAAGCTACATTCTCAACCGAGGCTGGATTGATCGCACGGACGATCATGTCCCCACGTACGACGAAGTCGTTGGCAAGACAACATCAGAAGAGCCTGAACAGGTCAAGGCTCCTAAGGCCTCCACATCGTCTCACCCCTGGGGCTCTTTGGACGACGATGAAGACTTTGAAGATCGTGCGGAGCAATTTGAAACAGAGTACAATTTCCGTTTCGAAGAGCCCGGTGCATCCACCATCATGACCCACCCCCGAGACATTGCTTCCCTTGTTCGACGTCCAGATGATGCTCGTAAATCCAAGCGTGCCCGGAAGGCCGAGAGGAAGGCTGCCGAGAAGGCTGCCATGGAAGAAGGGCTCAAGAAGGAGAAGGGAAAGAAGAGACGGGAGATGGAAGCCCTGAAGAAAGATCTCGAAAGAGAGGGTGTGAAGGGCGTGGAGCTGGACAAACTCGGAAAGGTGTTGGATGGTGAATGGGACGAGAATATCTGGGACAAGGTCGTTGGTGGCATTATTGGCGATGATGTGAGTGCGATCCAGTACTGTATATATGCGTCCATTGCTAACCCATTTGCCAGGCCGAAGACGACGATAATGTCAAGCCAAGTTGGGACGATGACCTTGGAGATGCTCCCTACGACGACGATGCTGAAGAAGGTGACTTCCACTACGAAGCCACTGGGGAAGATGCCGACGACATGGACGTCGATTACGACAATGATGGCCCTATCAACATGGACGCTGATTTCATGAACGAGCAGCCGACATCCAAAAAGTCAAAGAAGAAGTCCAGGAAGGACAAACAGTCTAAGCACAGAAATCCTTCTCCGTCTCCCGAATCTGAGGAGGAAAGAGACAAGGACATGTCTATTGCCGAAAAGGCTCAGGCCCTCAAGGAAGCCGCCGAATCGTACAACGCCCTCGCGTACGAAGACTTTATCGGTGACATGCCCACCAGATTCAAATACACCCAAGCACCCTCCGCCTCCTTCGGTCTGACGCCTGCCGAGATATTGCTCGCGACGGATGACGAGCTCAACCAGATTGTTGGTATGAAGAGCATCGCACCATACAAGAAGGGTGGTATCGGTATGGCCGGAAAGGGACTGGGGCAGAGGGTCAGGCAATTGAAGGATCAATTGAAGGAGAGAAGGTGGGGCGAGGAGCCTGGCATGCCCAGCAGTGGAAAGAGGGAGAAAAAGAGAAAGAGAGAACACCATGATACTCCTGTCAACGGTGAGGCAAGCGGAGAAACAGCGGTCGAGCACAACCAGGCCGACAGGGAAAAGAAGCCGAGTGACAAGGTGAAGAATGGAAAGAGGATGGGCAAGAAGGAGAGGCAAAGACTGCAAGCGGCCGAAGCTAGCTCTGGTGAAATCGTCTCCGCCGATGTGCCTGCGATGCCTGTTGCTGTCTCTTCTGCCAGCGAAGTACCCGCCAATGAAGGTGTACCCGAAGGCGGCGAGAAAAAGAAGAGGAGAAAGAAGAACAAGAGCAAGAGTGAAGTTGCTGCTTGATATGATTCCAGATTACCGTCTCACGTAGATCATTATCCATAGTTAGATGTGCATAGAATCAATGCATTTTCTTCATATATCCCATGTAGCTCTCATCTGCCGGTCACGTATTGACAGCAGGCTTGAGTGGGCAAACTTTTCTACACCGACACCCACAGCCAGCGGGACAGAGCGCAAAGCCTCCGTTGTTCTCCAGATTGCCCAACCCTGGCTCGCTTTCATCATCTGGCTCGGTCAACCCGTCGCCGTCTACATCGGTGCTGCTGACATCCGTGCCAGATTGAGTATAGCCGGAGACAGCGCTAGCATTGTAGCCCGAAGTTAGGCCAGCGGTTGAAGCATTAATCGATTGCGCGCCACTTGCAGCCCCGGCGGAGCTGAACGATATGTGCGAGGCCTGAACACCCTGCTGATGTTGATAATGATTTGTATGATCGATGGGTGATTTACCGAAGGGTACCAGTGTCGCCCGGGAGTGATAAAGACGCATACAGGCATGATGGCCTCCATGGCTGCATTTTCGGCATCCCATCCACATACCCTTGACAGCTTTTCGGCTTAATTCAGGGTTAGTTTGCCAAGCAGCACCAGTCAGTGAGTTGACGTACCACACCGCACATTCCTTGGCTCCCATCTTGCACTTCTTACACCACCAAAACACCTTGCCCTCAACGCCGATATCTTCCAAACTGCCAGTACTTTTACCACAACGGTCGCAACCGAGGGTGTGTGTCACCCCTTGGTCCTGCGCCGTGACTTCCAGTGACGGAATTCCACTGAACCTGCGTATATAGGAAGCCGGAAGAGGCAACCGGAGCGACTCGAGCGCGTCAGCATATGCGTGGGCGATTCTTTCGAGCTGGAATGGCGGAAACTGATGTAGCGGTTGCGCTATCAATGCAATCGTCGCCGCGAGTTGGACCTCTCCCTGTGCTTGCATCAGGGATAGCTCTCAAAGCATGCAATCGTACTCACGTTATCGACACAAGCATCCCACCAGGTCTCCAAGCTCTTCATCCTCCCTCTTTTATATTCCTCCCATTCTGATTTCTCAAACTTTTCCTCTCTTCCTCTCATTTCCTTCCCTAGCATGCTACCAGATCCGACTCTGGAGTTGACTCCAACCCCATTCGCTCCAGGTGCAATGATAGTGGCACCCTCGCCAGAACCACGGCCAGCGAGGGGTGCTTCAGTGATACCAGAGCCGTATTCATGAGAAGCGAGGCCGGCCGCTTGGGAGAGCTGCGCAGTGGGTATTGTTATAGAGCCACCTGGGAGAGAGAGCAGTCCCATTCTGGGTGAGGGTTTGAGACCCAGGCTGAGGGCGGCGAGAACCGGACTACTCCTTGTGCTTGCGCGACTTACAAGCCCCGCAGCTCCCGTGACCATACCAGTTCCTGGGCCGGAGTAAGACCCAGAGGATCCCGTCGCTGTAGTGGTTCCGCCGGTCCCAGGCATGACAAGCGTCGTCGATGACATGGGTTGATCCGGTATGATACCATATGGGTCGGGATAGAAATCGAAAGCCGCATCGGGCTTGTGATGATGATGATGCGAGTGCGCGTGCGGGTTGGGTCGGGAGAACATCCTCGACAGTGATTTTTTAGCACCAAGACTTCCAGATAGAGACCCGCCAACGGTGTTGCCTTGTCCCGCAGCAGAAGCATTATGTATGGCAATGGGCGATGACTCTCCTGCGCCCTTTCTCTCAAACACAGGGCTACCTTGACTTGATCCGCTAGAGTCCCGCCTCATCGCTTCGCCATGTAATTTCAGCTCCAAGCCTCCCTCGGCTACTTGAGTCTGCGGCTCCATAAAAGTTACAAACCTCGACTTGGGTTTCCACGATTCTATCTCTTCTTCCGAGTCGTCCTCAGATCCTTCATCGGACGATGAAGAGGGTAGTGACGATGTCGACCTCTCGGGAGAATGCAGCGGGGAAGGGGGAGGGGTGAAGCGCTGAAGAGCGACACTGGTGTATTTTGGTGTCTGCCGTTGGGGGGCGGGGTCTTGAGACTCGGAAAGTCTCGCATGTCCGCCTTTGGGTGATACGTTTCTCGACGTCGTGGGCCTCTTCTCCTTCACTTGACCTGACCCCTTCTGCCATACGTCTTCGAAACCAACCGCCTTTGCGTGGGTCTCCGCTGACTTGAACTCTTCGAAGAGACCTGCCATAAACACCCATAATCGCGCATCATCCTCCCTTCCAACCCAAGCTGCAACCCCCGCATTCCACCGGCAAAGCTCTGCCCCTCCTCCTCCTTCCATTCGATACCATTTTGCCATGAACGTGGTCTCGGGCGGGGAAGGAAGGGAGGAATGCAGGGGTATAGAGCCGATGCTTTGGATCGGATGATAGGGGGGGTCAGAAATTCGAGACACATGATAAGGGTTGGAAAATGAAGAATTGTAAGGGTGGGGGACTGGACGCGAATACTCTGGTTTGAGGTCATCGAAGGGAATTTCTCCAGCTTTAAACCTGTCGACCGCGAAAGCCATGTCCCCTCTAGAGCTCCAGCTTGAGACTTGTCTCGGTACTTGATCCAAAGGCAGCGGCACAGGTAACCGTCCTTGTCCTGAAGCGTTGCGAGAGGTTGGATGGATCTTTCTTTCTACATCCAGCTGCGCCAGGCCGCCATTCTGAAAAGTGACGACCAGAGATCCTTCGTCCCTCCATGCGGCGTCGATCGCGACGCCATCCTGCGTGGGGACATTGTACTTCGCGACATGATGTCTACGAACATGCCAGATGGAGAGGTGTGCGGCGTCATCGTCCTCCAATGGATCATCATCCTCGGTGGGACTGTCGCTAGCCTGAGAGCTCGAACGTTTGAACAGTTTAGGCACGTTCAGCCTGGTCGACTTGTCTTTTGACTCTATTGGAGCCACAGTCGGTCGTGGTAAACTGGAGGCAGGGTCAACACCTTGGGCTGTAGACAAAGGCTGAGTGACGGGGACGACAACAAGTTCTGTGGAATGATTCGGCCGCCAGGCTATCCGCCGGATTGGATGTGGTGTATACAGTGAATGTGTTGATGAAGGCGCCTTTTCCCATGACTGGTTCATGTCCCATATCTATGCCTCATCAGTCGTGTTTCGGAGACAAGAAAGATGCCCACCTGTACGATCTTGTTGGCACCAGCACTGGCCAACCAACCCCCGCTTTCACCACCTCCTTCATCCCCCACTTTCCACTTGAGATCCATCACTGCTTTACTTCCATGTGCTCCATAAGCAGTACCCATGTGCTTTCCCGCCATACGCCAATCGTACCGCTTAATGGTGCCATCGTCTAAACCTATGACAAATGCAGACGCATCGGTGGGCGAGAAGCACAGGGAGGTGATGGCCGAAGAGTGCCTCAGTGGCCGTCGGGATGGCGGATCGCCTGTACGCAGGTCGAGTAGTTTGATATTGCCGTCCGCGCCACCTATCAAAACCATATGACAGTACGCCGGCTGATGGCAAAATGTCGCACAATTCAGTGGTCTGAATGACCCACTCGATATTTCCTTGTCTACTTTTTCCTTTTCCACATCGTAAAGCATGAAATTACCGCTCGGAGTCGCCGTTACAAGTTTATGATCCCAGGCAGCGACACCCCAGTCGAGATCGTTGACGCCCTTGCCGACGGGCCAGGATGATTTCCATAGATTGACGACTTCAGAGATGGTCGCTCCGCCTGGACCACGTGCAATGACATTGCGGTCGGAATGGGATGAGGGATATTCTTGGACGACAGGGGTGGATGAACCTGAAGATGGGTCGTCTATGTGGAACACTCGAAGATCTACCTTTCATCAGTCAAGGTTCAATTCTTTGAAGCGCGAGACGCACACTGTCCGCCACCAACAGCATACCTGCCGCTTGGCCCTTCTGCCATCCTGTTCATTCTCGTAGTCCCTGTCGCGCTGCTCATCCCCCAGCCTTTCCTGGCAGTACTCCCAGCGGCAGCCGCCATAAGGTTGACCCTGACCCCTCTATCACTTCTTTCTCTACTCTCACTCCTGGCCCTTGGCGTGGGGGTTTGAGATGAGGATGCACTGCGGTATGAGGGAGGCTGCGAGTAAAGCCCTTCATCTGTGAGATGCCGCAGAAGCGTCGGCCGAGAGGGGCGGGTGAGAGACGGAGGAGCATACGATGGGAGCGGCGGCGCAAGAGGAGGGTAATATATTGACCGCGGGTCGTCATAGACCACAGATGAGGGCGCATTTAAGCGCCGCTCGTTCGGTGTACGCACTGAAAGATGGGTGGGGAATGGGGGTTCGAGAGGGGATGAGATATGTGGGGACTCTTTGTGGTGTATGGAAGAGGTCTCTGAGTTTGCAGAGGGAATTGCGCTGTGGCTGTGAGCGGGGCAGGGGCAGGGGTGGCTGGGGGATACTCACGCTGAGAATGCGTTTGTGATGCGGTTCATGGCGGGTGCATCGCTGTTTGTTGTTGTTTTTGCCGTGCAAGAGATGATGCGCGGCCAGCCGAGATCAGCCAGGATAAACTCGCGGAAATAACCACAAAATAATCCCCGTCCTATTATCGCTGACTTCTCTTCCCTATCACTGGTCCATCTCCTCGCGCACCATGTCCCACGGCTACAGACAGTGCGTACTCCTCCCGCTTCACAGCCGCCACGCTCACAAGGAGCAGAGATATGCCCCCGTCCGGGGGGTACGAAACCCTCAAGTACAAGCGTAATCTCCCTCTCCGAGGTCCTTCTGGTGCCGTCATCTTTGGCAGTGTGTTTGCTATCTGCACCCTTGGATTCTACCGACTCGGACAAGCCAACAACGAGCGACGGTGCGCGCGCAATACTCGTACTCCTGAACGACCGGGAGAGTCCTGGAAATTGAGCTAATGTGTGAATTGAAATGTAGTGAACTGAAGCGCGAAAAGGCCTGGTCCAGGATCAATCTTGTGCCCTTGATCTTGGCGGAGCAAGACAGAGATGCGTACAGACGTGAACAAGCGGCGCTGGCGAGGGAGAAGGAGATCATGAAGGACTATGCCGGGTGGGAGGTGAGTTTTACTTTCCATGTGGAGTAGACGTGAGATGAGGCTGGAGAAGCAGGGGCTTGCCGGCAAGCGGGGAATGCAGGCTGACAGATGTCTCAGGCTGGCAAGAGCTCCTACAACACCAAGCGATACACACCAAACTCTATCGTCGTTCTCTAGGGCTGGTTCGAGGGATAGTGCTTCGCGTTGTACCGAAGATGTATCAGCATTGCATATTGTCAGGGCAAGACGTGTCGACATGCGGGTCATGAGCTGCACCGTCATAGTTTGATGGTATGAGGGGCTTGCTGGTTCTCTGATCTTAGTAGGATGCAATGGTTACGTAATCGACCTTGTTGTCTTGTCGTGTCCTCTCTGTCCTCTGCAGCAGTGTTTTGGCAGTGTTCTCCATCTCTCCCCTCCATCGCCCCTGTACTGCATACCCCAATGACAGCCGGCCTCAAAAGTACGCGCTTCCTTTGTCCCTGCCTGCCCCGTATCCTCGTTGCTCACTCTCTTCCTCATCAACCCTCTAATCCGCTCTCCATGTCTCGCCTACACTCCTATCACCAACCCGCTTTCAACAAAAACACAGCCGTCATCCTCCTCTCCTTTGTGCTGGCAGCCGGCTTCCTGCTCGTCATACTTTCTTGTGCCCTTTGGGCCAACTGGCTTCCCCTCCTTGTCGGTGCGTCAATAGGGTCTCATCCGCTCTTAAGAGCCTCCTTCTGGACTTTTGCTCACCTCTCACCAGCTCTCACTTTTATCCTCGCGCCATTCCCCAACTGGATCGGTTCTCGATGCGCCTCGGCGGACGAAATCTCGCCAGAGTATAATTCCGCCTACGTTGACTTTGGAAGGTTCCTCACTGGAATGCTCGTGGTAAGTGAATCTCGTTTCATGCAGGAAGGTGGGAAGGTGGATATGTAGCACCGCATTCAGCGGTCAACCCGGGTGAAGGCAACCAGTGGCCCAGTGGCCCAGTGGCCCAGTGGGCGTGTCACAGCGATCTTCCCTTGTCGAGCATGCGGTCCGTCTCCGAGGGCATGACATGCGTTCGACAGCGCCCCAACCTTGCATTTTGGCGTCTCCACGCTGACCATCACGCTTTGCTCAGACGACCGGCCTCTCCCTTCCACTCCTCCTGGCCCACTCGGCCCTCATCCAACCCGCAGCATGCTGGATGTCCATTGCCGGTGGTGGTTTGGTTTATGGTACGATCCTGGTGTACGCTGGATGGTTCGGAGGCAACAACGAGGATGAGTTCTAGATCAGGCCTTTGAATACTCGCAGGCACTTGTATGCAGCAATATTAGACGGGACGTATACAGAGAATTGGTAGAAATTGTGGAGTGGCAGCCTCAACTCTCAAGCAACGCACGCGCCGCATTTTACATCTCTTGGTCTTGCGGCTTTGCAACATTTCCTCGTCCACCAGCTATATCCCCATACTCTCATTTCCACATCTTCGCCAGCCCACGGCACCCCGCAGTCGCCCCTCCAGCCCCAGCCCGAGCAGTGCATCCCTCATTCCAGCACCACCAACGCCTGCTGCGGCTTCACCGCCTTTTTCATCGCCATTGCCCCCTCACCCGTCTCCCACATCGCACCTCTCGCATGTCCTCATAGATCCGACCCCAGCACTGTCAGCACATGATGGTCCACGCCACCCATTTCCTCACCATCCTCTCCCTCCTTCCCCTTTCACTCGCCGTCTCCGTCTCTAACACGACAACACAGCCAGCTCCTAATCCTCCCTTTGCCAATCTTGCGCTGCCGCCTGCCCATGCGGCTCGGGATGTCCTCGGTGTGGCGCACCCATCGCCAAGCACTACACACAGCCATGGCATCAAGAGAAATGTAGAAAAGTCGAGGGGTGTTCGTGCGCACAGCCCGAGAGACTTGCCAGCCATTGTAGGCGACATACCTGCCATAACAATCGGAGGCATCGACCTGCCCCTCATTGCGCGATCCCATTCTGGCTCTGGCCTCTCCAAGCGGTCAACAGACAATGCAACCCTGCTTCCTCTGGCAACCACCGAAAAGTGAGCCGTGTTTATGCGCAAAAAGAGTGACTTTACGTTAACACTCCAACAGCACATTCATCGTCCCTGTCTCTATCGGTTCTCCCCCAACTACCTACCCTCTTCAGCTCGACCTCGCCTCTTCAGATCTCCTCCTTGCCTCCTCGCTCTGCACCTCGTCCTCTTGCCCATCCTCTTCATCCACTAATCCGTACTATGACGTCGCCAAGTCTCAGGCGGGATGGGAAGAGGTAAACGGGAACGGAACGCTATGGAACACGAGCTATGCGGACGGCACGGTCGCTTCAGGCTTTATTGGGAGGGAGGTCATTACGCTGGGGGAAAGCGTCGTGCAAGGACAGGTGTTTGGAGTCATCAATTCGACGAATTTGACACTCTCCGACCAAAGTATCTCTGGAATCTTGGGACTGGGATTCCCCAGGTTATCAGTGATGGGACACGTGCTGTTGAGGGAGTCTGAGGCTGCGACTACGCTCAACGCTACTCCCACTGCCACTGATAACACCACCGCGAGTGTTACAGGCACCTCCAACAGCAGTTCCACGAGCACTACCAGCTCTGCAAATGCCACTTCCACGGATATTGCCTACCTCCCCACGCTCCTGGAGAACCTGGTTCGTACACCTCATCTCCCCTATCCTGTCTTTGCCCTTGCTTTGGCTCCTCCCATAAACGACCCTTCCTCCTCAGCCTCGTCCTCAGCCGCCTCTGCTAGCTCCACGGCGCGATACGATCCTTCGCATGGGTCTTTGACGCTGGGAGGCGTGTCGGCGTTTTACGTGGACGAGAAGGAGGGATCGGGGAGGACTGTTGGGGATATCGAGTGGTTTGATGTGGTTCCCTTTGGGCAGCCACTGACAAACAACGACACGACAACCAACGACACCTCGGCGGAGAGTGTGACTACCAGCGATGCTACCGCTACTGCCACGGCCTCCTCATCCGCTTCGTCCATGCGCAAACGGAGTGACGAGTCCCAGATCGACTCTCTCCCTGCGTCTACCACCGCGCTTTCTCAAGAAGAGTACCTCCAATGGGCTCTCACTCTCCAAAATATCTCTCTCAACGGCACTGTGATCACTCCCAACTCGTCCTACGCTTCCCTTGGTCTCGGTTCCGTGGCTTTGCTGGACGCGGGCTTCAATGGGATAGCGGGTCCCCAGCAGGATGTAACTCGGATCTTTAGTACGATTACGGATGCCAGAGAGGTCCAGACGGGACAGTGGGTGGTACCCTGTAATACCAAAATGACCATTGGATTCAGCTTTGGGTGCGTCCTTTCTTGACTCTATTGTGCTTGTGCTTACAATATGCAGCGGGAGGTACATTCAACTTCAACCGTCGGACTGGATATACGCCGGTGTAGAGAATTCCGAGCTCTGCATGGCCTGGCCCATTGCACAGGAGGGCACTGGGGATGGAATTGATTGGCAATTGGGAACACCATTCCTGAAGAATGTCTACAGTATCTTTAGGTTCGTCTGGCATTTTTGAGCGACGAGACCTCTCTGACGCGACCATAGCTACGGCATCAATGGCAAACAAGCTCCCTTGGTCGGCTTCCTTCCTATGGAGTATTCCTCGGATACGTCCGACAACTCTACGACGACCTCTGAAACCTCGACGGCCGATCCTGATTCTCCCACCCCTACCACCATAGAGGGCCTCTCCCTCACAACCACGCTCAGGACTCGGCTTCCAAACGCCGTTCTCGCTTCTCCCACCTTCCCCACCCCGTCTTACGCCTACTCTTCTTCTCCTTATGTGCTGCAGACGGGCGCTTTGCAGTTCATGGGTCTGGGTAACGACACCGAGTATGAAGTTGGTGATGTGGCGGTGGTGAGCGTGGATAGCAGTGCAGTCAGTAGTATTGCTGTGGGCGGCGGGAGCTCCAATAGTGACGGGGCGGTCAGCGGGGCAGAGAGACGGGTATTGAAGAGTGGAACGGGCTTGGGTGTAGGGATGATCGCTGGTGGTGTACTGCTTGGCACCATGTTGATCTGATCTTTTGCATGAGCACCCTCATGTCCAACTTGATGTGCGAATAGAACAAAACATATAGCATAGATTTTACAGTCTTCGATCTTGCCTGATGACGAGCCGAACATGAACGTTTTCTTGAATCCTTGTAACGAAACCCAATGTATATGTATGTCTTTACTTTGATACTTTTTGGACAATGCATATAGTATTACAACTTGTCGGGCGTGCGATCATTGTGAGCAACCTGGACAAGTATGCAGCACATCGTGGATGTATAAATCACAGTCTGCGCAAAAGTCTTGGGCGCACTTTGAGCAGCGGTATCGGCCTGTGGGAGAGACACCGTCTTCCACCTGAAACGAACCCGCTATGGTCGGGAGAGTTTCACGCTGCATAGGACGGTATTAGTGGGGAGCCAAAGAGTAGAGAAGAAGACTGACGTCTGGAAACGGAGAGTCACATCCGAAGCATGTTTCGGGCTGGGATACATCAACCTCTTCAAAGCTGAGGGTTTTGTAATTGGCCACGGGAAACAAGAACCAGAAACTGTTCGTTCTTCAGCACTCGTCGCATGTCATTACAAGAATGAGACTGACCTTCTCGCCAAGTGCGGTGAGCTGACGACCATCAACCCACAGACCTCACAGTCTGTTGGTACATCACAAAGCTTGCTTCCACACCTCGGGCAGAGGTATCCTCCCTTTTTGAGCAGACCATGGCAAGCGCACATGGTCTCTCCACCGAGCGGCAGCCGGATAGGGAAGCCCATGACCATCAAGTCACCAGCAGGAGCTTTGCCTGCGGCGCCATTGCGACCGCCAGCTGCGAGGGCATTGCGTACGCCGAGCGTGGCAGGGGCGATGGTCGTGGCCGGTGGTGGGATGGTATCCCAGAGTAGGTCTCTCAAATGTTCTTGGTCCAGAGCGACCCCGAACTTCCCGCTAGTCTGTTCGGCAATCTGTTTACAGATCTTGATCTCACCAGACAGGGAGAGGATGGACGTGCGGATGTGAGTCTGGGCGATTTCGGACAAGGTGGTGTGGATCGTCTTGGGTCCGTCGGGATCGGCGGTAGAGATAGAGGAGAATACTATCAGCATTTCGAGGGACGAAGTTCCAGGAAGATGCTCCATCCCGCTCTTAGCCATGAGAAGTCCATTCTGGAGAGACGGCTCTCCGGACGGTTCCAGACGACGCTTGTCTGAGAGTGCTTGTACAAGCTCTTCTGGCGAACCTCCCATGGGCACTAGGACCTCCGATAGTCTATCTCGTAGAGTGATAAGTCCGATTTGGCCCAGGGGGTTTTGGTCGAACCATTCAGGGATGTAAGAGCGAAGATAGTTCAAGACAACTTCGAAACGAGTGGGCCGGTAGTCTTTGTCGAGCATTGATTCGGAGAGGTCGACGAGAATGAACATGTGCCGGATGATGGATCGCCGTACGGGTGCTTCAGACATGAGAGCCCTGCAATGGGTCAACTTTGTCTCTTGCGCATCGCAAGACTGACCTCTTCCGCCGACCCCTTGCCAACAGACTCTCGACAGCGCTTTCCAGCGAACCCTTCTCATCTTCCTGCACGATATCCCATGACTTTTGATATTCTCCTTCCCACGCTGCTCTTCCAGGCTGCTCAGTGTCAGTGTTGTGTCCGCTTGAGCAATAATAATGCCGCTCACGTCTTTGGTCTTGCCCTTGCCCTTTGCCCCGTTGCCGGCTCTCGACGACGGCCCTGGCAGATCATCCTCGTCGATCTCCTCCTCATCTCTGTCTTCTTCCTCGTCGGAGGCGGGGCTGTAGTTGAGATCTTTGGGCATGCTTGTTGTGGAAGAATAGATAGGCATAGTCAGTCCTAACGAATGCCAGTACAATCCCAAGCCCCCCGGGACTGCCATTCATTTCGCTCACCAGAACCCGATACTGCATCTCTCTTGCATCCAGCTTGCATCTCTCCATCCCTGTACATAGCCCCGCCCCCCAGCCTCCAGCAGACACAGGAGCACCCATTCGCTCCTCCCCCGCACCCTGCAGCTGCCGCAACCCGCTCGCGCTGCCACTGCCGAGGCTGTAGTCACCGAGGCACGCTCATCGAGTTGCCCGCTGCAGGGTCGGTGTCTCCGCCGACGTCCCTGCGCCATATATCCCCCGTGTCTTACCATCGCCACTTACTCTCGCCGCCTTGTAGCTCGCCACGCACAGAGCCTGCTTCCGGAACCACCGTATGTGCTCTGGTCTCTATCTCCAGCTCAGATTACAAGAGTAAGAGCGTATGCTCATGATCGAGCCCACTGTAGTCACCACCGGACTGGGGCTGTATTATCTCGACTCGGGTCGAGCCGTCCCCCCAAGCAACCATAAAATAACGACCAACTCGGTCACGCCGGACGCGTTCTCCAGCACCCCGAACCTATCCATCCATCTACCCCTCTCGAATTCCACCGAGATGACATCCACCCACTCGTCTCCTTTGATGAAAGAACGCAAGAGGTCGGCTCATTGGTCTGGGCAAGATACCCAGATTCTCATTAATGTTCTTCTCCGGGAGAAGGATACCCGGACAGCAGATAATGGCTTTCCGCCAGAAGTCTGGCAGGAGGTGTCTGGGCTGTTGATGGGGAGCAATCCCAATCTGGCCCAGGATGGATCAGAGTTGCTGCTAGGGGGAGCAAAGACGCCAGAAGCGTGCAAAAGTCGGTGGCAGCGTGTACGTTACAAAACGGATCACGGCATTTCATGACTGACGGGAAGAGTGTGCAGCTTCAACGCGATTACAAGGCTGCGAAAGAGCTCGCCCAGCTCCCGGATATCACGTGGAATAACGCAACCCACAGGCTGGAGGCGACTGAGCATGCATGGCAGAATGCTGCAAAGGTGCTCACGACGTCAAGAGTGGGAAGTTTACTGACATTTCTCGGCAGGTCTACGAAATAACCAACAAGCACCGCAAGATCCATCTCCCATGGTGGGATTCCCTCGTCATCCTCTGCTCCAAAGAAGCCACTCGTAGCCGCGGCCGTCGTCGCCGCAAGAAGAGCATTGAGGCCGACCAAGAAGAATACCAGGCCGAGCTCCTCGCCGAGTCTAGCCGGCACGCGGCTCAGGTTCACGCCCAGATGACGAACGGCCACGGGCACCACGGGTACGACCCCATGTCAAATGGCCATCATCCTCATCACCATCATCCGCAAGAACACCATCAGCAGCACCTGGATGGCATGCATGATCCGAATCAGGGAGGGTCGGGATTAGTGGACTTATCAAATGGGGCACTGCAGGCGGTTGAACATGGAGCTTTTAGCTGGGAAGCGGGCTCGAGTGGTGATGGGGACTTTGACCAGTCGTTTTTGGTGAGCAAATCTCGGAGACTAATTCACGTCTGTGCTGACTTTTGCAAAGCCAAACCAAGCATTCATATCGCAAAAACGAAATCCCATGTTCGACCCGAGCCTCTTGACCCCCGAAACGTCCTCGGCAACCACTGTCTCTGCGCCTCTTACCCTTCAGGATACTCCCAATAAACGCCAACGCACTTCGTCCCGCACATCCCAGACCCACGTCCTTCCCCACCAGCATCTAGGCAACATGCCTGGTGCCAACTATTCTTACGCGCCCATGGCGTCTGGTAATCAAACTGCGACGGGCCCTGGGGCGCAAAGCCCGGAGTATGGGAGTGGGGAGGGGCTATTAGACCCTGTCTTACTGCAGGCGACGGCATCGCCGGGTATAACGCTCAAGACGTATACGCCGCCAGAGAAGGGAGGGCCGGCCACGACGATGCAGGGTTCGCTCGGCAACCCTCAAGTCGGTCGCAGAGCGCCTTCGCAATCACAACCCCAACCCCGACACCCACTCACCTCCCATTCCTCTTCCGACTCTTCATCTACGCACAATAATCTTCAAATCCAAGCGCAAGCACACAATCATCCTCAGTCCCGCCCCCACTCTCAAGCGCAATCTCAACCCCAATCTGTACATCAACCACACCTCACCCAGATTCAGCCACCTTTCCAGGTTTCTCCTTCCGATCCCATGTTCCTTTCATCCCTCACCGAGTCTCAACGGCGTACTGAAGCACTGCTTCAGCTGCAAACTATTGACGCGGATATGAGGGATGAGGATATGGTAGAGGTGATGGAAGAGTTTGAGATGAATGTGGCGGCGGCGGATACGTATCTGGCGATCAAGAAGGAGGCGCTGAGAAAGATGTGGCTGGCCAATCTTTTAAAGCGAAGGCAGAGATGAGAGGTTATTGCTGCAGGAGCGTGTTGTTGTCTTTACATTAGGCATACATGACGGTGTACGAGTATTACGGGGATCTGGTAGATCTTGTACTAGGTTATAGAGAAGTCTCTTGACAATGTCACGATTGATGTTGAGCTTGCAGTATACAAACTGATCGTGTGCCCAGGTCCGAGGAAACAAACACTGAAACCGATTTCAGATGCACTCGGGCGTTTCCACTCGTCGCGTGTGCTGTTGTGGGACAGCCTAATTCCCGGTGGATTGTGCTTGAACGCGACTATGATGTAGTCCATTTCTGTACTCTTATTATACATTCTGCATATTGACTCTCTCGTTACGGCGCAAGCACTTTGAACCCGTTCTGGGATCAAACCAACCTAGAGACTGCCATATCCCATCTCAAGAGTTTCCCTTAGCATCTCCTCCAGAGCCTCTCTCTCCCATTCATTGTCAATACGAATCAACGGCTGAGCAACCTCGGTGCTCGCAGAGGGCGGCATAGAGTAACTCCCAGAGCGATTGATTTCGATGGTATCGCTGTACGCGATGGCGACGGGAGCAGAGGGACGGGTAGGGTTGACGGCTTGCTGAATGTCTTTGAGCATGGCGCACATGGAGTTGATGGTTGCCTGGAGGTCGCCGACTGTACCCTTGTCAGTATATGAGCTGTGGTGCAGAGCAGACAAGCAGACTTGCCGCTCTTTTGCAGTTGGTCATTCTGCTTCCTTCTCTCTTCACTGTCCTGGACGACGATATCCAAGAGATGGTCTATGTCGACCTTCCAGTCATGCTTGGCTTCCGATTGCCAGGCCGCGGTCGAGATGTGGGCTTGCAGCTGTCCCCGGTAAGTCTACGCATTGTGCATGCAGGAGAGGACTTGCTTGGAAGATGTCCACACAGTCGGCGAGGTCTGTGGTGGCCTTGGCAATGTTGCCCTCCGTCTTGTTGCGGTGCATGTAAAGCTGGAACCAGGAGAGTTCGGCTACTTGTGAGAGGAGGTGGGCGTTGCCAGTCAAGTGCCTGTCCAGCGTTAGCCACCTTTCCCCATGACAACGGACCGCCTGGACCCACTCCACCAAGGCGTTGATATTTCGCTGCATGGCGTTCGACACCTTGCCCTTGCATGATTGGACAGCGTTGCCCACCGCTTCCACCACCAGGGCACATCTCTCAACCTGCTATCGTCAGCCGCGGCTTGCATTCGCCACTGCATGACTGGCCTCTCCAGCACACTTACAAGCTTCAATGCCGAGATCTTTCCCACGCCCACCTGGGCGGCGCTGTCCAGTATCTGGCAGACCAGATTGCACGCGAGCCCCACGCCGGGCATCCATCCACCGCCTGCGCCGAGGCCTTGAGCGACGACGCCGAGGACGGTTGTGATATTTGTGAGCCGGTCGACTGCTTTGGCGGCGGAATTGAGGGCCTCCTGGGCATGGGAGGGGGTGACTGTGGGGGGAGGGGGTGGCATGGGGATGGCTGGGTGTGGCCGTGTGGCGCTGTTCGCTCTGCCTCATATATCCATGGCTAGGTGATGACGTGGCAGGCACAGGCACGGTGTTTCACGTTCACTGCTGGTTGTTGTTATTGTTATTGTTCACTTTGGTTTCATCAGACTCGGTTCCTGCCGCCTTCCTATTGTTCCCTGCGCCTGGCCATATGCACGTATTCCCTCCATCGCTCATCTCCATCTCTCATCTGCATCTCATCTCCACACACCATGGCGCCCCCCTCAGACACATCCCGCTGGTCATTCAAGTCCCGCTTCTCCATCCAGTCATTCCTCCCCGCCCGCCACCCTCCCCTCATCACAGGACCCCCTCGAATGCCCCCTACTCTACCAGGCCCACGCCACGAGACCATCGTATCAGACACCGTCTCCCCCGTCCACAGCGAGTACCCCGACCTCGCGCTCAGCACCCCGCTCCCGCCCACCAAGAAGAGAAGCTACGACGGCAGCCCTCTCCGCTGGGTCCAGGAACAGGAGCAGGTCCTGCAGGAGAGCAGAGAGAGAAAGAGGGCGCCGCCACCGCCCCCTCTTGATTTGGACAGGACACACCGCATGTACCCTCCCAACCACGTCGACGTTGTCATCGACCCCGGTACGCCTCCTCCTCCTCCCAAGGCAAAGAAGGAGCGGGCTATCATCGAGGACCCGTTCGAGGTCGCCGAGGTCGAGGCAGGGCACCGATATCCCTTCTGGAAGGGAGGCAGAGTCGACATCCGTCCCGGCCAAGTCATCCCCCGCGGTATGAACCCTTCTCTTTCAGACTCTGACAAGTCTTCGCGCAAGAGCAAAGCCCCGCTTTTCACTACGCTCGCCACTCCCGATAACTATGACTCTGTCCTTCACAACGTCCTACTTACCCCGACCTACCTCCCATCCCCTTCGGTCCAGCCCACGCCTACTTCACCCTGGTCCTACATGGACGAGAAGAAGAACCGCCGTCAGACCTTGCTCGATACCATCTCCAACGCCGGTCGACGGGCTTCGCGCTGGGCACCGGGCAAGAGTATCTTGCGCAACAACCATGGTCCGTATGGCGATGTCGACAGGTCGCTGAAAGCTATGCGTGAGAGAGAGATCCGAGAGATGGACAAGTTCCGGAAAGGCGGGGTGAGGCTTGATGTCCCCAACTCTGCCTACTCGACTGGGTCGAGCCCGGCTAGGGAGATGAGCAATGTTTACTCTCGCAAGAGCCCTGGATGGCTTGGATCCAGAGAGGCGGCGATTGGGTTCTCCGGTGATGGCAAACATGCCTCGCGTCACGGCGACAAGTCGTGGAGGGTGAGCAAGAAGGAAGATGACAAGAAGAAGAGGAACAAGAAGCTGTTGAAGGTGAGTCGTCTTCATTGCCGCAAGTATTCGGCTGACTTTTCTAGATTGGCACTATCATTGCCGTGCTCATATTGGTCGCATTGATCATCGGTCTCTGCACTACCCTCTTACGCAAGAAATCCTCTTCATCCACCCCTTCATCGAGCGACTCTTCCAACTCGACCGCTACAGCCTCATCCTCTGCGGCCGAAGCTTCAGCGACATCATCCCGAACCCTCTCTGCATGCCTCGACCAATTCACAAACTCTGCCTCTTCCTCTCCCTCCTCCTATCCCTGCTCCGACTGCGTCAGCGTCCTCACGTCCACCACCAACGACTTTTCACAGTCCCTCGTAAACGGCAACTCGACCGGCGTAGGATCGGCGCTGCAGTTCTGCGCAATGATGGACATTTTCAACAAGGTGGAGGATACGAGCGATATGACCAAGTGGGGTGAGGATGCGAGTCCGTGTGGATGGGATGGGGTGAACTGCGACTCAAGAGGGAGGATTACGACTTTGACGTTAAAGTATCCAAAGGTCCCGGATGAGCTTCCGGATACGCTGGGCAATGTGTATGGGCTCAAGGCTTTGCACCTCACGGGCAACTCTTCTATCCCAAGTAAGTCATCCGCCTGCTGGAAGAAATATCGCTGACAAGATGATAGCTGGAGAATTCCCTTCGTCGCTTCTCAAGCTTCCCGACTTTACCACCCTCGACCTCGAGTATACCGCTCTGACTGGCTCGATCGACTCGGCGCCTTTCAGCGATGCTCCAGGTCTGGTCACGCTTGCACTCATCAGCAATGCCAACCTCGGGACAAAGATGCCGGATCTGTCGAGCAACACCAAACTGGTGACTGCTGTCGTGACTGGACAGAGTCTGACGGACCCGAATGCAGACAAGCTGCCGTCTTCCTTGACCTACCTGTAAGTGTCTTCATCTTTTTCATTCATGACACACCTCTGACTCACCACAGTGACCTCTCATACAACTCTTTGACCGGCCAAATCCCCTCCTTCTCCCAACTCACATCTCTCAACACGCTCTACCTCCAAAACAACAAATACACCTCCGCCCCCAGCTCTCTCCCATCCTCTCTCCAATCCATCTCTTTCACCTCCAATACCGATCTGTCTGGCAGTATGCCTTCAGCAGTGTGTTCGAGCACGACGTTGACGTCGTGTGATTTAAGGAGTACGAGTTTGACCGCTGGGTCGGGGACGAGCTCGAGCTCAAGCTCGAGTTCGCAGGCTGTGTCTCCTTCTGCGTTATCGTCGTCGGGAGCGGCCTCCAGCTCGGCAGCTAGCAGTTCAGTCGGCAGTACGTCTGTCGCTGGCTCTACGTCTAGCTCGGCAGTAGCTTCCACCAGCGCAGTGTCCAGTAGTGTGGTTTCGTCAAGAGCTGCGAGCTCGACGGTGGCTTCTGGGTCTTCTTCGGCGGTGGCGAGTAGCTCTTCGGCACTGGTTGCCAGAGCAGAGACATCTGGTGTATGTGGGGTGTGTCAGTTCAGCTAGAAGAGTTTGTCCTGGAGGAAATTAGAAAACAAAAACGGTATATACCCGTACCAACAAACTATCGTTCTATAAACATTATAGAGTCATACACGGAAAGGTCGCCTGCAATGGCGGTCCTTGTATATTTTGCCACATCTATCAAATATTGCTATACATATGAATCGTCTGCATGAAAGTCTAAACTGGATACCAACTTCCAAGATCCCAAACGCAATGCAGGCTCTCCACAGAGAGACCGTACAAAGACGGTTCTCCATGGAGGGCCATGCACTGCTGCTGTGGGTAAATGAGAGTCAGCTACCTTGTTCGTTCAGGAGAAGCAAAATGACGTACGGGCCCTTCCAAGGCCACCCATGTCCAAGCACAGAGGTCAAGTGTCAGGCTACAAGTCGAGTCAAGAGGGTATGATGAATGCTGTTGCTTGCAAAGAGATGCGAGGTCGAGTTGCCGGGTGCTGCTCGAGAGGATCTACAGTGGCGATCAGCGACCAAGACGAGGATGGAACTCACAAGCATGGGGCCGACTACCAAGATGGCGAGGCTTGATGGCAGATGGTGAACATGATGACGGTAAAGGCAAGGATGGTGAAGGTAGGAGTAACGAGGAGGAGCCTGATGTTGGCGGGAAGTCGTTGGGTTTCCAAATGTTTTCGAGCTCTGGGATGATTAAACGAAGAATAGTGCCGTGAAGCGCCTCCTCCGTCGTAGGAGGACCCACCCGCCCGCACCTCTGCCTTTTGATGACCTTAAAAGCGTATTCCAATGAAGTCGGCACAGGGAGACGGAGCGAAAGAGTCGAAGAGGCGAAGACGTGTTGCCGAGAGAACTGTATCCATCGGGTAGCGGCTAAAGAAGAGGGGGGATATTCAAAGGCGAAAATCCAGAGGGCTGATGCAGACAGTCGGGGGTAATGACGAATTCAAGAGTGGTTGGTGAAGAAGGTGATGATAGCGAGTGCATCACATTGAAAGCGGAGGGTGAAAAGGGAATCCAAAGGAGCTGAAGAGATATGATGTTAGCGCAAGTCCAAAGATATAGGCGAGGGTACCCACGGCTATGAAGAACAAGAAGCGAGATTCCCAATCCCGTCCTCGTCGCTAAAAGATACTGCCAAACCAAAGATCCGCATCCTTTTCCCAGGTAACGCTTGAAGGAATTGATGATGGCGCGAAAGGAGAAGCGGTTTTCAAGGCCATTCCAGTGGGGGTGAAAGGTGAGAAGTTGGAGGAAGTGTAGCATCCGGTCCATAAAGCCATGGCCTGAGATCTGATACGAACGAATGGATGACTGAGCGTTGGCGAGGTTGAGAGGGCAATTCAATGATAAGCTCAAAGGTGCTGGTGCCGAACAAACGATCCAGAGGTCCAGATGGTGGTGTAGAGGAAGGTGAAAGGGTGAGTTCTGTCCAGGTGGAATCATGGAAGGAATTGCTGAAAGTATGACATGAGATTCAGGGGGGCTGAAAAGACCTGACGTGAGCTCAAGTTGATTGATGGGAAAGATAGAGGTACCCACGGCTTGAAGAGACAACGTCGCAGCTGATGAAAGCGAACCTTTCGTCGATGAGGCGGTGTCCTAGTGATGTTGTCTTGCTGGGGTGCTTCAAAAGAATGTCAATGGGGAGAGAGATGGGGCGATGTTGAAGGAGGCGGTTCCAGTGGAGAAGGGATAGAATTTGGAGAGTGTTTATCCAGAAGTAACATCAAGAGGGGTCCGACGAGAAAGTGCTGTGTGATGGTGAATCCAAGTTCGTCGAATGGATAATGAGCAGAGAGGGAGGTGAGGTTAACGCGTCGGCGAGAGCTGCGGTTGAACCATGTCAGGCCAAACTCCATGATGCTCAAGACTGACGACACTCACGGCTGTTACGAGACAGGAAGAAAGACCTGAGCGATAGCCTAGTACCCACCTCTCTGCTTCCTGGTCATAATAAGGTCCTGCAAGCGAGAAAAGAAAAAGACAAGTCCGGGTAACGCGATGTCGAATCCTGGCTGGATGGTGGTGGAGGCGGTGGATGATATGGTGCAGGGGGCTTGGTCCAGAGGTAAAATCCAAGAGGCTTGAGCATGGGGATCACCGGTAGAAAACAAATAAGACAGGCGCTGGTGGGATTGGAGAGCTGTGCACCATGTCAGCTCAAGTTGAATGATGCGGTGCAAACAAGAGAGAAGAGGAGACTCACCGCTATGAGAACAATGTTCGGAAAATCGAACTTCAATGTTCCATCCCAGTTATAAATGAATGACAATCCGGAGGCCAGGGTAACGCGGTGTTGAGTCCATGTTCCGGCGGTGGAGATGGTGGATGAGATAATGAAGGGTGTTGGGTACAGAGGAAACATCCAAGTAACAAGAGGCTTGAGGAGGGCGACATCTGGTAGAGAAGGGAGAAGAGAGCTGGCATTGAAGGGAGTAAGCTGCCCAAGTTGAATGATGCGCAAAGAGAAGAGACTTACGTGAGTGCGAGAACGATGCCAAGCGAAGCCCAGCCTTCGGTGAATGAGGGACCCTCCCTTTAACGTGTTCTTGTCTCCTAGTAGTGATCGCGTGCGGCGCATGAGGGAGACATGGTGGTTGAGAAAGGCGAGAGACAACGGGTGTGGGTGTCGGGGGCTCCGGTGAAGATTGAGGCGTTGAAGGGCGCCAGATCCAGACGTAACATCCAAGAGGTACGAAGACAATGAGTCTTTGAAAAAAGGGTATGCGAAGGAGATTCCAATGCAAGTCTGTCGATAGGATAGCTAGAAGGAGGGACGGTTGGTGTAAACAGCTCCCCTCACATACCTCCTTTCGGAACGCGAAAGAGTCGACGTGGTTGGCAAGATATAGTGTCCATGATATTTCTAGTTTGCGATGTTGCCCATACACTTCGCCCTACAGGGCTCTCGTCGTGAGGAAATGGTTGCCTAAAGGTGTCGAGTGAGAATTCCAAGAGTGTTGTTCAGGCACCTTGATGACTGCGGTGTGAAATGCGACGAGAGGCGGGAACACTCACCGGCTCAATCAGAGCTATAGGGGAGGTCAGCTGATAATCTACAATCACTTCAAGAAGAGATGAGAAGCACAGGGATGGATGCAAAAAAGTCACACCGCGGCGCTGCCAAGACCCAAGGCCGACCTCCCGAGTGGCGGCGGGAGGATGAAGCCGACGCCAGTGGTGGAGAGGAGGTAGGATAGATGGTATGAAGGGTGCTCACTGGTAAAAAGGGAGATGAAGAGGTCGACTGAGGGCGGAGGTAAGGCAAAGCAAGCGTCAGTGGCGAGGATGGGCTCGGTGAAAAAAAAAACTCACACATGACGGGCGGTGCTGACGTGAGGAAGAGAGGGGTGTGCAGTGTCGAGAAGGCGAGACGTGCAAGTCGAGGTGTAGTGTATGGTATGGTAGAGGCAGAAGCAGAGAAAAAAAGTGAATGAGAAAGAAGAAAGAAGAATGAAAGATGAGGAGTTGCAATTCGAGGGGGCAAGGGGCTGCCTTTATATGCTCTTTCACGCGGCGGATGAAACCACGGCGCCAGACCGTTTCCGCACCATCATGACTCATCTGCCTCCGAAAGTGGGGGACCCTGTTCGGCCCTGGTTCCCCTAGGGGTGAGAAGAAGTATTACTCTCGTTCTAGATACGGTCCAGCCCATGATCTCATGTGAACCAAGCGGAGGCCGGCCGGGCGCACACCCCCTCTTCAATTCCAGCTGCCCGCCAGTGCTTCCTTGTGCATCTGCGCTTGATATCGCCCACTCCCCACTCTCACTAACTACCCCCACATTCATGCATAAGCAGATCCTCGGTACTTGCAGGCGTTTCCAGAGATACGAGACTTCTAGCTCACCCCAATGCACGTACCACCTCTCTCTTCTTTCTCACCGTATCCTACTACTTGCCGTGGAACATCTCCGCAAAGCCTGTCACATGTCATCGCGTTACCGTTGTTCATATCTTACGCTCTCAAATACAGAGACCAATACTTTACAGGGGCCGAAATGGTATCGCTGGTCCTGATGACCAACAAGCGGACATCGTCAGACGAATCTAATGCCTGGTCCCATCTGCGCTGCGGGTCAGTAAAGAAGTTTGCTTTCCAGCCTCTGCACGTTGGTGTCATTGTCTGGCGCTCCCAGTATACTGCATGAAAGCAACCATTTTGGCTAATCACTATCTCAGAAATAGACAGACATTGTTCTATCTGTGGCATAGCTTCACTCAGTAGACATCTGTTTCTGCAGAAGCGTGCGACCGACGAGGTGTCGAATAATGACGCCTGTTCTCTAGGCATACTCGAGACACACCTGACCAGTGTCTTGATTCACCGAGAAATTGGCTTACCCTTTTGCTGCGGTGCTACTGTTTGGAGCACATATCGCCAGCATAAGTACAACGTTGCAAGTCTTTCAAGTAGTACGTAGCAGCAGTTTCGTCGTCGAACGACGCGAATAGATCAAGAAACATGGCAAAGCCCATGTATAATGACTGATCCTCTTGATCGATGGTACATCAGTCTGGGTACCTGTTAGTTATGCTATACCCCCCATCCTGTAAAAGTCTACAAAGATCATTGACATGTCGCTCGAATCAAACAGCTGCAGAACAGTGCGGGTCGCCGGTATGAGGTCGAGGAGTCTCGTCATGGAGGTTGGCGACATGAGAACGTGCTAGGCAGGGGAGAACAGAGAGTAGTATGGGCTGCTCCTGACACAAGGGGGAGTAGTGAGGACAGGGCGGCCGCTCGATCCTCACGAGACAGGCGAGTACAGAGCCAAGACGTTGTTGGCTGATGTCTCGCTGTATTAGTAGCCATGATTGAAGGTCGGAGCTCGATGCTTTCATTCTGTGGTGATGTCAGACATAGTGTTACTGTCATAATGTCTCAACTATATTGACGAATATGCTGAGATATCCTCACACTTGACTTCCTCATTGAGGTGAGTCTATCCACCATGACGACAATAATACCGCGCACTTGTTTTTTCTCGCCCGTTGGTATTGATTTGCAGATCACTAAGTCTTGGTATGTGCATCCGAGGAGTGGCGTGTTTTTCAGAGGCCGAAGTCTGTGATATATGACATGTATTTGTTCGACATCTGCAGAGACTTGGCGGGCGTAAAGCCAATTCAACTCCAGGGGAGAGATACCTTGACGGTATCACAGTATACCCTCGTGTACTACCCTTATTAAAGATAGTCATCTGGGCATTTGTGAAGGATGTGCTGCCCCCCACCAGGACGGTCAACCCACAACATCAGCAGCCTTCGTGACTGGTATGGTTCGTCATGTGGGATCGGCTGTACAAGTATGCACTGTATGCGCGGATCTCTGTCTATGCTCTGCATTATATGCAAGCTATGCCAGTTCCGAAGATGCCGTCTAGTAAATGCGCCAGGATGCGGGCCAACCGACGATCTGTCATCGCGATAAGGGCAGCTTTTGCTGATCAAGCCTCAATCACCTCCCCTAACCGTACCCTGCGATGCTGGTATCCGGCAAAAGAAGATGCATGGTGCCTCGCGGTCATCCATACAGCCCCAGGGGCACAATCCACCGCTACATACATACAGGCATGAACGCGTTCATGGGCACAAGCCGCGGCAAGCGACATGTCCCCCCGCACAGTAATCTCTCCTCGGCATGCCCCCCGACACAGCAACAGGTGTCATCTACCCGCCCCCTCGTGTCCCGTCTGCTCAAGGGTGCTGTCTATACTTATAGTGAGGTCCACGGGCTGCATGCGGGGCATGCCAGGGAAGGTGAGGAAAGGCACGCCTGGCGTGGCAGCGCGGGAGGTTGATCAAGCCGCACCTGCCCTGTCCTTTAGCCACGCCCCCTTCCCCGCCTTCTCATATAAAACGCCCCCAATTTCTATCTCGCTTTCTCTTCTTCTTCTATAACTCCCCTCGTCCTCCTAGACATCCCATATAATCCCCACCACCGCCTCTCCGCACCCCGTCCACAAGACAACACCCAAGATGCGCTCCTTCGTCGCCCTCGCCCTCGCTGCTGCCGCCGCTGTCCAGGCTATCCAGATCACTGCTCCCTCCAACAGCTCTGGCTGGTCTACCGACGGCCCTCAGGAGATCCAGTGGCAGGTATGTCACCTCCCGCTCCCGTCTCATCCATCTCCCGGCCTCCCGAGGATGAGGAGCCCCCTCCTTGCAACGCTAGGCATGTCCCAACTGACGCTCCCCTCTAGTCTGTCGGTACCGACCCCGCGAACTTTACCATCACCATCTCCCTGCCCCAGTCTTCCGACCGCTCGGACATCACCACGGAGAACATCCAGACCTCTGAGGGTTCTTGGCAGTACACCCCCGACTCTGCGCTCGAGACTGGCGACGGCTACAGGGTCAGCTTTGTGTACGACGGCGCCATCTTGGCCCAGAGCGAGATGTTCAGCGTGACCGACGGGACTTCGTGAGTGCTTCTCCTTCGTCCCGTTTTGAGGGTGTTTTGCGGTGTCGGAGTGGCCGGGCAGGGGAAAGGACCATACAGCTTCTCTCGCTCAGACCCGTTCCTGGATCGATATGTTATTTGTTTGTTACTTTGTTGACCCTCTGCAGCTCTCTCTCCGCCACTTCCTCCTCCTCTTCTTCTTCCACCAGCGCCAGCGGTACCACCACCGTCTCTGAGACTGGCTCGACCACCACTGGTTCCGTAAGTCTTCGCGCGTATTGACCATACAAGTACTGACGATTCCAGTCCGCCTCTGCCACCGCGTCCGACTCTGCTGCCGACCGAGTCACTGTCGGCGGTGGTCTTTTGATGCTTGCTGGGGCCTTTGCCATGCTCGTGTAAGCCACTCCCGAGCACGTCAACCTTTGCCTCTTTGCCTCTTTGCGTTGAGAAACCTTTCCGAGATTACGAGTTGTTTATAGATCATTTGAGAATAGACTTTCGGTTTAATAGGAGTCGCGATGGACATTTAATCATGACAGTTTGGGTGATGAATACATGGACCTAAGGCTTCTTCTCTTCGACCACCTCCAGCTCGTCCATCTTTTCCTTTTCTTCTTCTGTCGGCTGGGTACTCTCTGAAAGCTGAGCTTGCCAGAGTTTTTGGTATACACCACCAGTGTGCGCAAGGAGCTGTTCGTGTGTTCCCTGCTCGGCGACTGTGCCGTCTTGAAGCACGATGATCAAATCCGCATCCGATATCGTCCTCAGTCTGCAATCTCGTCAGCATTGTCCACAGTCGTAAAGTAGACTTACCTATGCGCAATAAACACACTCGTCTTTTCCTGCCCCGTCAATATCGAGTTGATGTTTCTCATCAATTCTGTCTCTGTATACACATCTAACGCGCTTGTGGCCTCGTCAAAGAACAGCACAGGTGGGTCCTTGAGCAAGACTCGCGCCACGGCGAGCCGCTGCTTTTCTCCTCCTGAAATCATCAATCCCCGCTCGCCGACCTTGGTATGATACTTGTCTGGCAAGCGCTCGATAGTGCCTTCCACATGCGCCTTCTTGGCCGCCTCATACACTTCCTCATCGCTCGCGTCGAGGTTGCCATACCGGATATTGTGCAAAATATCGGCATGGAAGAGGGGCGTGTCTTGTGGGACGACACCGATTGAGCGGCGGAGGGAGGAGAGGGTGACGGATTTGATATCTTGCCCGTCGATGAGGATCTGGCCAGACTGAGAGTCGTAGAAACGGAAAAGCAGGCGGAATACGGTCGACTTGCCGCACCCGGACGGTCCTACAATGGCCACCTTTTTACCCGCTGGGATCTTGAACGAAATGTCTTTGAAGATTGGTCGCTCGGGGTGGTACCCGAACGCCACATTCTTGAATTCAATTTCACCTCCCTTCAGGCGAAGTTCCTTGGAGGTGGGCTTGTCGGCGATGGCAGAGTTGAGGGATTGGAGGTTGAACATGACGTCCATGTCGATAAGCGATTGGCGGAGTTCACGGTAGACGGTACCGAGAAAGTTGAGTGGGAGGGAGAGCTGGAAGACGAGCTGGTTGACGAGGACGAGATCGCCGACTGTCATTGTGCCTATATGCCAGTCAGCGTGAGTGATAGGAGCAGTAAGCTGACACACCTTTGACAATTCCTTGAGCTCCGAGAAGCATCATCATGGTCAGGGCGCTGGAAAAGATGAAATTTTGTCCCGAGTTGAGTGCGGCAAGGGAGGTGGCAATCTTGATGGACGCCTTTTCGTACCCCTTGAGGGTAGTATCATATTGCGCGACTTCATACTTTTCATTGTTGAATGCCTACTCGAAGTCAGCAGCGCACCACGAGACACAGAACGACATACCTTGACAGCCTCATAGTTGATCAAACTATCCACAGCCACCGTCGCACCCTTGTTATCCGCCGCATTCGCCTGCTTCCTAAACTGCGTTCTCCACGCCGTCGTCTTGACTGTAAACCAGGTATACAGTCCCATGGTGATGACCGTCACCGCTGCAAAGTCCCATCCAAACTTCCAGCTCAGGATACCACACACCATGGAGATTTCGAGCGCTGTGGGGATGACGTGAAAGACGATGGAGGAGAGGATGAAGGAGATGCCCTTTGTGCCTCTGTCGATGGCACGGGTGAGGCCTCCGGTCTGGCGGGAGAGGTGGAACTGCATGTCCATGTTGAGGAGGTGCTCGAATGTTTCTCGGGCGACCTTTCGGATGGCGTTTTGGGAGACGGAGGCAAAGACGGCGTTTCGGAGCTCGCCAAAGAGCGTGGTGAGGACTCGCGCCGCGCCGTCTAGTGGAAGTGAGCGCTGTCCACACATAATATAAAGGTCACTTACACCCGGCTATACTGGCTCCAGCCAAGACCCAGACCGTCGTATTATCCGTGATGGGCACATTCAACGCATCGACAATGTCTTTGAAGAAGAATGGCACCTGCACATTGAGCACTTTACCAGCAATGAGCAGCGACAGAGCAGCAATGACGCGAATCTTGACGCCGGGATTGTTCTTTGGCCAGATATTGCCTGCGAGCTTGACGATGATGGACCAGTCTGTCTTGTCCTGCGACTCGGGGGCTGGGGGCTTGGCCGTGTTGGGCGAAGGCGTGGTGGCGGGCGGAGATGTGGTTTTCGGTGGCGGTGTGCTTCTCCGTGCTGATGACGAGAAGAGGGCTATGGGGGGCAGTCTATAGGGGTATACGGAGGCTATGCGTGGTGGGCGTGGTATTGGAGCGAGGGATGTCCTGGGCGGGAGGGGCACCCGTGAGTACAGGCGGACATGGCGACTGCACGAGCCGAAGCTCATGATGGAGGACCGGGGGACTTTGTTGCTGGGAGAAAGGCGAGGAGCGCAGTTACAAGTTTACAACTTACAGAGCATAGGCTACTCGATGATGCGAGTGATTGTACCTGGCGGGGTGCGCCGCTGTGCCACGGATGCAAACGCCGGGTACGGAATTGCCGGGTCGGGTATGTGGTGAGGGTGTCCCGGCGGGAGCAATTGGCAAGTGAATCACATCCCTCTATTGCTCTCGACGACGATGAAGCGCACGTGGGAGCAGCCGCCGCAGGGAGACGCCCCGTGGGTGCACCTCCCCGCCCACCCCTATGCCCAGGCCTACTTCACCCCCTCCCCCCTGCACACCTCCACCACCTACCACCCCGCCGCCCCACAGCCCGCCCACAACAAGAGGCAAAAGACAGACACAAAGAAGCACTCCCCTACCAAGGACCCCGACAGCGAGGGGGACCCCGACGACCCCGACGACGATGACGAGGACGACCCCGAGGACGACGGAAAGCCCGACAAGGGCAAGGGCGCAAACGGCAAGGGCGCAAAGGGGGCCGATGGCAAGCCAAAGCAAAAGCTGACGAGAGGATCGAGGGCCTGTATTGCGTGAGTCGACTGTGGGATTGCCATTCTGTCATGTGCTGATCATCGTGCAGCTGCCGCAAGATCAAGATGCGCTGTATTCCCGATGATTCATCTGCCGGCCAAGGCAATGGTATCTGTAAAGTAAGCCATCCGCGCTTGTCCTGGTTGCACTGACTCCCCGGTAGCGTTGTAAAGCAGGCGGCCATGAGTGTATCTTCGAAGAGTCCAATCGCGGCAAGCGCAGCACCCGCAAGAACGAAGCGCTCGCCGCCAAAGTATCCAAGATGGAAGCCGCTCTCAAAAACATCGGTCTTGTACTGTCGAATGTCGACCCGAGCACCTTGAACAGTTTCAACTCGGCCTTGCGCTCGGCGACGGACGACCAAGATGTCATCAGTATGATCACCGCGCACGCATCCTCGAGAGCGGCGCAGAGGATGACGGCGGGACAGAGGGGCGCTTTTTCGGGGCACGATCACGAGGGAGGGCACCAGCCACCGCTCTCCCCGCGGCTGCACTCTTTGCCCGACAATGTCCTTTCTCCCCTCGGACTCCTCGCCGAGGCGTCCTTGCAGAACGACACGTCGAAACGTAAACTCATCGACTCTACCGGAGCTGGCAGGTCTATATCCCGCCCTCACTCTGCAGAGCATCTCCAGCCTCCACGCAATGGGAGCATCAATCTGAATGGCGCATCGACGTTCCGCATGGCTACCAGCGATGTCCGCGGCGGCGGAGAGGGCCACGACGAGGATGATCAACTCGGCCAGCATGGTCTGGGGGTGTCCAGTCACAATTACTTCAAGCCGGGCACGGGGAATGTGTCGTTTTTGCCAAACCTGCCGGCAGAGAATCGGCTGCCAGAGCTCTTGGCGATTGCCACTAGGGAAGAGATTGGAGAATTGTTCGATATTTTCTTCGACAACAGTGCGTACCTTTTCCCTTTGTCATCTCATACTTACGTCGTGTAGTGGGCAGTCACGTACCATTGGTTTACAAGGAGTTTCACACTCCCGATCTCGTCCTCCAACGGTCCCAATTCCTCTGTACAGTCATATGCGCCATCGCCGCTCGTTTCTACCACAAAAAGCCCGAGCTCCACCATTCTCTTTCGGCATACGCCAAGCGCCTTGCTTTCGAAGTCCCTTCAAGAGGCTACAAGAGTGTTGAAGTGGTGCAAGCGTACCTACTCTTGTCTCTCTGGACGCTTGGGCCCGAAAAGACGTTTGAGCAGGATAGGACGTGGTTGATGCTCGGTATGGCCATCCGTATGGCTACCGATCTCAATCTTCACCGAAAATCCATCATGTCGGGGCTCGATACAGAAGAAGGCCGCGCAAGAGACTTGGAGATTATCAACCGCGAAAGATGCTGGTTGCACTGTTTCGTCCTTGATCGGTCGCTCTCGGCGCAAATGGGCAAACCATATAGTTTGAAGGAGGATTATATCATCCGGTCGTCGTGCGAGGCTACCTGGGCCCAGCAAGCGTATAGTCTGCCCTCTGATGCGGCGTTGTCGGCGTATGTGATGCTGCAGCAGATCATGAGCCGGGCGATCGACAGTATCTATTCGTCTACCACGACCGTCTCGGGGCTGAGGGACGATTGCGATTGTGAGTGTTGTCTGAGTTGGAAGCAAAGCTGACAAAAGTAGACATGATGATTGTCCGATCGGCGCACGAAGAGCTCCGGCGCTGGCTTTCCGACTTTTCCCGCTCCATGGACAATGGGTGAGCCTCTCTCCTCTACTACTCGGAGTGACTTCTGACGATACATTCTGATGCGCCCCGCTTAATAGCGGTGGCACTTCGGAATGGAGCAGTCGTGCCAACTTCTACTTTGCATACTCTTCTCTGGTGCTCTACTCGTTTGGATTGGAGAATGCGCTGGAGCGGGCCAAGATGGACATCTCGTTCTTCCTGACGAACGTGTATGAGGCTGCTACGGTAGGTGCTCATGTGACTATCGAGAAACGGCTGACAGTTCGAGTAGAAGGTGTGCACGGTCGTCAAAGAAGAGTTCATGCCCCGCGGCTGGCTTCCTTACCTTCCCGACACCAACTTTGTCATGTGCTCCTATGCTCTCCTCTCCCTCCTCAAACTGCTCAAACCCGAGCTCCGGCCCTATCACGACTCTGAAGACGCCATCTTCAAGCTCGTCTCCGAATTGGCGGACGTCCTCGAAGAGTGTGCGGTCGACCCGTCGCATCAGCCAGCCATCTATGCGGCCTTCATCAGGGAGATTGTAAGAAAGACCAAGGAGCTGAGGCATGGAGGCGCGGGAACGGTGCCGAGCAGTCCGGGCCACCATGGTCAGGGCCATGGGCAGGGACAGCATGCCATCGCAGCGCACATGACGCACTTGGCCGCCAGCCAAGCGGCTTCCATGGCTGTCTTGAACGAGGCCGGCTCTGCTGCTGCTGCTGGTGACAATGCCCATGGACACCAAGATGGAAATGTTGATGGGCAGCATCACTTTGATCCGTCTCTTATGGGCCAGGGGGCGAATTGGCACCACGATGTGCTCAGCGGGCAGGAAACGCAATTCACCTTCATCCCGCAAGGCGGCGATATGCTCATCCTCCCCTCGCAAGCCGGACCTTCCATCGCCCCGTCCCCAACATCCGCCTTCCTCGCCAACCCTGGATCTTCTCAGTCCAACGCCAACCCCGGATCTGCGCCTAGTTCAGGCGGCAACATGCCTGCGGCGGGCCAGAGCCAGGGAGGGACGGGTACGACTCCGCACTTTGGGACACCTTCTGCAAATGGGTGGGCAGAGTATATGCCTACGTTCATGAGCTCGGACGGGTTTGATGGGTGGGATGGATCGATGTTGTTGCCGGGTTTCGGAAGGGGGCAGATCACGTTGAGTGGTGGATTGTTGCATAGTCAGTATGGGAGTGGTATCATGTGAGTATCTCTTCTTCTTTTTCAGGGTCATGGCTGACAGAATGACAAGGACGCCTTTGCACCAGACACCTCTACAAAGTAGGATAGGGAGCAGGGCTGGGAGTAGGGCGCAGTCCCCTCACCATGATCGCCACTGAGGTCTGATTCCTTGTATTCTTGGATAGAGGCGTTTTGTCGGAGAGGTGGATCGTTGGAAAAGAAATGTCCAAATATAAGAAAGTTTATATTAACGACCTTGTATGTATAAATGATCACTACTAGCATGCCGCCTTGTCATGGCTAGGGAGGACACAAGGCGCATGGGGAGAAAGTCTTTTGAATAATCGGACAAAAAGGTGTAATCATAGATGCATCATGCAATGAAGAGGCGCTATGACCTCTATGCAAAAGCTACCTGTCTCGGCAACCTGAACGAGAGACAATACATGTCCTTGTTTGGCGCCACCGACCGCACGTGGTGGAGATTGTAATCCTGAGCTTGTGGGGTCAAGTCGTACTCGAGATAATGAGATGCTCGCTAGATTCTTGTCAGCTGTTTTCGCTACGTCGGGACGCGTACTGACCTGCAAGATATCAACCTCTGCCTTTTCCGGCTCAATCTCCTTGGTAAAGCAATAACAATGCACCATACCCAGCTCCACCTTTTCCTCTCCCGCCTCTCCATACTGCTCCACAAAAGTAGGCTCCGAGAGCAAAGGGGAGTACGACCCGATGTAGTTCCCAAGGAAGGTGAGCGCCGAGTCGGGGAGGTTCATGACAAAGTGCGAAATCAACTTTGGCGCTGGTGGCAGCTTTGGTTCTGTCTCTTGCTCCACGGGGGCAGGCAAGCCCTGCGCTTTAGCCTCATCACGTTTCCGGCGGGCTTCACGTGCTTCTTTACGGTTCGGCGCACGAGGTGGGAGGGCAGGCTCGAATGGGTCGGTCCATGCCTGGAGAGGGGCGATTCGGATGAATTCGTGGCCGTCTACTTCTGTCACTCTCAACGTCGGTTCGACCTAACCCCATCAGCTCTCTCCCCTTATAGACATAGAAGGGCATACCTTGTTCCGCAGACGATTCTCCCGCATCCACTTGACACTCTCCGGATTCAAGTCATTTCCCATGACATAGCACCCCTTCTTGGCCGCTGGTACGGCAAAAGGTCCGACACCGGCCATGACATCCGCAACAAGCGACTGGGGCGGGAAGAGCGAGATGAGCCGTTCGTGTTCATGGTGCAAACGCGAGTTCCAGTAGACTTTGGAAAAGTCGAATGTGAACGAACAGCCGGATTCGTTCTGGGGCCTATGTCAGTTGATGTGGGGGGATGTAGAGGGGGACATACGGCGGTGGTGAGATAGTCGGTTTCACCAGCAATCACCTCCATGTCAAAGTATCTGAACTGGGCGTGGATGGTATCCAGCTTGTTGACCACCGTTCTCAATGCTGGGTTTTTCTGCGACCTCATCAGCTCTGATCGACGGAAAGGAGAAGCACTCACGTCGAGAATGACCTGCCCGATGAGGAATCGATAAGGCAACCACTCTTCTCGCAGATTCATATGCCCAATATGACCGGTGGTAGTAAAAGATGAAGGAAAATCGTCGCTTTTGTCTGTCGGGAGGCAAGCTTCCAAGATCTCGGCTGTTTTCGATCAGCACCCGGCTCATTTCTCATTGCAGTGGAAGACGCACTAGGCCCAAAGTTGTCATACCCCATAGCAACAGTGTCCCTCGCTGTCCCCTTGGTATACTGCTCCAGAAGCGCCCTAGTTTCCTCTGCGATATCATCGAAGGAAGCGACATTAAGCCAGAGCACTTTGAGGTTTTGAGAGTCTTTGCAAGAGGCGGGGATCTGGTCTGGAGGGCAGTCGGTGATGGGTCTGATTTTGGGGAGCTCCAATAACAGCCTTGGTCTAATGAGCTGTATACGCTTTTGATATATAATAAGAGCTTACTCTCGTACAGGTCGGAGCGCTCTGATTTTGGTAACATCCCTGGGCTCGACAATGACACCTAAGATGTCGATAGAAATATCAAAAGCCGACCGGTCGAGCTTGGTCATGCCCTTTTGCTTGGGAGGCGAGATACTGGATGTTCCAGAGAGTTTTAAAGTGTTGAGTGAAGGTGGGGAAGACATGTTGTATGCAGGTGTTCGGTTGGCCCGAGGCGAGGGGATATGAGGCAGTTGCGAGGTGAACGAGCGAGCTGAGCGAGGTGTTGGAAATGCTTTAAAGAGACGTGGATATATGGACGCCCTGAGCATGGAATGGTGCGAGGATGGTTCGCAGAGTGCCCCTTGGAGTGGATGGGGAAGCGTTAGAGATGGATAGAGCGCAAATAGAGCGGCAGCCCGAAATCTTTGGGATGAGAGGAAAAGTGGAGGCGAGGCGGGGATCGCCGTCCTTATTTGGTCTTGTCATGGACTCTGTATTACGACGTATGGGATCGGGCGCGTCGTACATGGCTACCGCACCGTTGAAACGCGACCGGGAAGGCTAAATGTCAAAGAAGACAAGACGCGTTCTTGCTCACCAGATTGTTGTTATGTACCAGAAGCCAGATGCGTTGCCGCCAGAATGGGTGAGAGATCTGAGGGACAGATGACGAGTGACGGCGAATGATCTTTTGTAGAGATATCTATCGGGTGACTCAGAAGTCGGATGGGATCTGTTGTTTCTGTTCGTGTCTCTGGTGATTGTTCTCATGCATATGCGTTGTCCGAAGACCTCGGGCCCGATGACATGGGAGGCCCCAGGGAGGGGGATGCAAGACAGAGATCGATGGAAGTGGGGGAGGAGGAGAGTTTGTTCTGGAAGAGCTGGAAGAGAGCTAAGGAAAGAGGGTGACGAGAAGACGCGACGTGACAGTGACATTAGGGCAGTGCCAGTGGCGGTGTGTATGGGGTTGAAGCTTGTGGATGGGAACTTGGGAAGGTGTGTGCCCCGTTGGGTGGCCATGCATGCACCAGCACAGTGGACATGCATGATGCGGTGGCTGGGAGGAATGTAAGGTCAATAAGCCATGCAGGGTGATCCAGGGGCTGGCCCCTGAGAGGAACGCCGAAAGGAGAAATACTCGACGAGGACAATAAGCACAGTTCAATTTGCGCCACATCCTCGTCCACATCTCCACATCCTCCATATCCATATATCTCCCTGGCTCACATATCCTCCCCCTCCTCCCCCACAGCTTCACAGCGCCCACTCTCCTTACTTCCTGGCGAAGACTATCCACTCTGCCCCTGCTCCCACCGCGCTGTGCGCCCATCAACAAGTAATCCACAATGTTTACCTCTCTCATTGCACTCCTCCCCCTCCTCGCTCTCCCCCTCTCACACGCTGCCGGCGCCTCAGACCCCCGCGAACTCGACTCGCGGGCCATCTACGACGCCGACGCCGCCCTCGCTCCTCGCGGCACTGATGCTCCCGTCAACGCGCACGGACACGGTGCCAACGGCTTCCGCTCCAGGGCCCACACCTCTGGCGTCCGTCGACGCAGAAACCACGGCGAGGCTGGCCAGAAGCTCGTCAGGAGAAAGGTGAACGGCGGCAAGGAAAACAAGGAAAAGCGCACCAGCGAGAAAAAGAAGAGGTCTTGCAAGGCCAAGACGAGCGAAGCTGCCTCTTCTTCCACCGCCTCGTCCTCTGCAAGCCTCGCGTCGGCTGCCTCCAGTGCTGTGTCTAGCGGGTCTAGCTCAGCGACCGCCGCCAGCTCTGCCGCTTCTCTCACCAACTATGCGTCTTCTGCCGCGTCCTCCATTGCCACTGGTACCGCGTCGGCATCTACCAACGACACGGGCGATAATTGGACAGCTTCGGTCAGTTTCCAGACCACCTACACGGTCGGAAACAATGCTACGGCTACGGCTACCGCGACTGCCACCAGCTCTCAGGTGGCCAACGCCACTGCTTCGGCCTACGAGAGCGAGCTCTTCCCTTGGGGTACCGGTCTTGCCTCGTGGACGACTTCTGACGGTCTCTTGTCTTGTACGTCCCTCCCTCCTTTGTTGTGTGTGCCATGTTGACCTTGCTCGCAGACGACAGCGCCTTGAAGCCTTTGACGTCTGGTAAACTCGCCGACACTACCAACGCGCCTGATGGCACCTCTGCCCTCTACGCCTCCTACCCCAGCGGTACCTACGGTCTCTCTTCCGACACCGGTTCTGGTTTCTCTTTCTACTCGCCCGGTTACTCTGGTGTCGAGATCGACAATGCCACCGAAGTCATGCTCTCCTACTCTATCTGGTTTGACAGTGGTTTCCAGTTCAACAAGGGCGGCAAGCTTCCCGGTCTTTACGGCGGTACCAGCTTGAGCGCCGCCAAGAGCTGCAGTGGTGGTAGGCAAAACGACAGGGGCGACTGCTTCTCTGCCAGGTTGATGTGGAGGACCAACGGTGCTGGTGAGATCTACGACTACCTTCCCGTTTCCTACACCGATTCCGACAGCGGCTACGGCGAGTCTAGTAAGTCCTTCCCTTTCCTACTTTTCTCTCACTGACATTGCATAGTTGACCGAGGAGCGTTCACCTGGGCCACCGGCGAGTGGGTCACCGTCGCCAACCGAGTCAAGCTCAACGACGTCGGCTCTGCCAACGGTGAGCAAGAGATCACCATCAACGGTGAAAGCAAGATTAGCATCACTGGTGTCACTTTTGCTACCAAGGACAACACCAAGATCTACGGTATCATGGCGCAGACCTTCTTTGTAAGATTCCGAGCTCTTCCGGCGGGGCAAGCGCTGATAAGAAACAGGGTGGTCACGACAGCGACTGGGCTTCTCCCCAGGACCAAAAGGCCTACTTCAAGGACTGGTCTATCGCCGTCCTCGCCTAATCGCACCCCTCCTCTCTCCTCTCCTGATTCACCGCTAGTCGGGGTATCTGTGCAAAACAATGATTGCTTTTCCTTTGGGCTTCTCTCATCCTCTCTTCCTTTTTTCTTGGTATTAATGCGATGTGATCAACAGTTATAATGGGTTATCATGGGTCTGGATACCTATTTGCGCATTATATTGTCCATCTCGTCTTACTGAGAAGGGGTATACTCCTCTCTCCCCCCATCTCTTCAGGTGTAGCCTGACAGAAGGGGCCGTCCATCATCCGACCCGGCAGGCCCGGGGAAGAAACCCTGTCTATACGCTTCCGACCAATGTTATCTACTGTGTATATAGCGATGTGTTTGATTCATGTATATATATTTCCCTGTGGGAAAGAATACGGTTTGGGTCTTGTGCGCTGCGCGTGCTGCCGTGTCTGATGTTTGGGTTGCGTCTTGGTTGTTCGGGTCTATGGCTAGTCTCAAATATAAATTTCTGGCAGGGTCAAACAACTAGACAAGCAGAAGCCTCATTAACAGCCTACGCAAAGCAACGAGCCGCATATCCCGCAGAGGAAAGACAAGAATAGATCTGTAACGATGATTATGCATTTCAACAAAGACCGGAAAGAAGACCACAAGAAAGAAGGAGAGTAGTTCGGGAAGCAGGTGGGAGCTTATTCTTGAACGATAAGCTCTTCGACTTTCCAGTCCTCGAAAGAGTTGTCTACGCCCCATATCAGTATTTCTCGCTACAAAAGAGCAACGTGGGGGAACGTACCGGGGAGGTATCGCCGTATGACAAGAGGGATCTTCTTGGCCGCCAGCTCTTTGAGCGCAATCTCGAGCGGGTCCGTTTCGCCTTCGACTGGTACCAACACGGGGGCGTTCATACTGTGATACTCGATCAGCTCTCTGCAACCCAAAAAGATGTTGCTGGAAGAGGCGAGGGAATCGGGTTCGGTATGAAGGGCTCAGGGTTTCGTTTTTTCTTTGCACATGCTCTAAAGGAGCGTATCTCAAATACTATCTTCGAAAGAACATCATAGCCCCCATCCATCCCCCACTTCCACAAGCACCCCTTCCAACTTGGCGGATTATATCTCGAGAGAAGCAAAATACTCACGAGATCTGCAAAGCCCTGGTACCCAATACTCTTGCTCGCTCGTATTTCGTCATGTAGGGCGTTGTGACGCGCACTTCGTTGGCTTTGGCGGCTTTGCCTGTGCGTGGACGGTCGCCTTCTGGGACACCAGACTCCTATCACACGGTATCAGCATGCAACAGGGAGAAGGAGGGTATGGGGAAACGCACGACAATCATGTTTTCGTCGGCGTCACCGTTGGCTTCTTCCTCTTCACCCTCAGCGTGGTCTTCGTGGCTGTATCAGAATCAGCATTTGTCTGGAAACGATTGTTGATTTGGTGTCGTTCCCGGTTCTTCTTCTCTCTGTGCCACAAGGCAAACGTGAAGCTGCGATCCCCGCTGTTGATTCTCCTGCAAGCCCAGTCTCGCCCTCCGGCTTTGAAGCTTTCCATCATTCTCCCCGTCTTTCTCCATCTATCCACCCAAGGCAAAGGCCAACTCACATCATGGTATCCGGGTCATACTCCTGGTAGTCACCCCCCTCGAATTCCATCTGGCCGTCGTCAGACATTTTGTCTTGCTTGATCTAAGAGTTGGTTGGAAAGTTTTCGAGATTGAAGTTTTTGATTCGGGGACGGTTCCAAGGACGAGGTCGAGGCGGATTATATAGTTTTACCGAGGCTGTTGCAGTAGGTACGAGAAAACGGATGGGGAGTCTAGGTTTGTTGTTTTGGATGGTTTGTGGAGAAGGGACGGAATGGAAGAGAAGAGTTGGAGGTTGGTTGGAGGCCAGGCAGCGTCAGTTCGGGATCAAAATGCGGGACCAATATGTGAACTCCATCTAACGTACACGGGTGGTCGTCTGACATGCATAGAGTAGTTATACATAGAGGGATGCTTCCCAGATCACAGCTTGATGTCAATAGCGATGCATTGGGCGTATGCATGATGATGCAGTGAACGAGATGACAGAAACGATGACGTGGAAGCTCCCCACTCTTCCGGATGGCGTTCCGAGTTCCGTATTGTGGTTCCCTCATCAATAGAGCATCTCTAGTTCTTCTCAATCCTCCTCTTCTTCCTTTTCTCCCAAATATCATGCCCCATTTACCCTGAGCATCAAGTCACCCACCCACTCACCATGCAGCTTGGACGCTACTCTGTCTCAACCCTCCTCCCGCCGCCAGTCCACAGCATCACCTTCTCCCCAGACGGCCGCTTCTTTGTCGTGGCTGCAGAGAAGGGATACGAGGTCTGGAAGACATGGCCCCTGGGACTAGTCAGAAGAAGAGGTAAGCTCTCCAATCCAAGCACAAAGGCAAATGGTCTAGCCGGGTGGCAAGGACAAAGGGTACGCGTCGTGCTAACGAGACTTGTAGTTCTCCCGGGAACTCTCGCACTGGCTCTCATACTACCACACTCGCCTCTTCTTATCCTCCAAGGAGGCGGTGCATCTCCCCTGTATGCTCCCAACAAGGTCGTTGTGTATGATGACAAGGTCGGAGAGGCCGTTGCTGAGCTCGAATTCGGGTGCGTCCTCTTGACCCGGCGGGTTGCGAGTCATACTAATGGTATTTAGTGAACGGATACGAGGCGTATCAGCAAGAAGAGGACTTTTCTGTGTTGCTCTCTCGCGAAAGGTCGTTGTCTTCGAGTATGGCCTGAGTGCAAACGATTCGCTTGGGAAGGGCAAGGGCAAAGCAGTCGAAGGGGAAGAAGATGGCTTTTGGATACGAAAGTTTGGAGAATGGGAGACAGCCAAAAATGAGCAAGGTGTGTTTTTCAGTCTGTGAAGAGCGATAAACTGACAAGGTCTAGGTCTGATGGCATTGTCCACAGCCCCGGGTTCGACATTGCTGGCTCTGCCCGGCCGTCAAGCCGGTCATGTCCAGCTCATCCCCTTGCCCTCTTGTCCATCCTCTTCCCCCGATCCGCCTTCTCCATCTCGAACCACGCCAAACTCCACCTTTCGCTCTCCCATCATCCTTGCTCACACCCACTCTCTCGCCTCCCTCTCCACAACTCCGTCCGGCTCACACATACTTACCACCTCGGAACGCGGTACACTCCTGAGAGTCTGGGACACGCAAAGGGGAAGGCTGGAGAGGGAGCTGAGGAGGGGAGTAGACCCAGCCGAAATGTGGGGAGTGAGTTTTGAAGGGGACGTGGGTGGCAAGGGAAGGGTGGTGGGCTGGAGCGATAAAGGGACGATACATGTTTGGGGCCGTGGAGAGAACAAGGAGAAACTGCAAGTCGATCATCCTTTCATCCACATGCTTGCTGACATCAATTAGTCCATCACAACATCAACCCTCCCTGACCTCTCTTCTCTCACGAACCCTCCCTCTTCCGAAATACTTTTCCTCGACCACGTCTTCCGCCCAATACCACCTCCCCCGAAAGAACCCGCACGCCTTCAGCGCGGCCTTGGGAGCTGCGGGAGTGCCGAGCATGTCTATGCGGGAGGATGTAGAGCTGGAGGCGAATATGGGAGAGCGGTTTGTGGTGGGGTGGGTCGAGGTTGACGTACCCGTTGTCGCAGAGGAGAGCGTGGGGGTGAGGTTCGGAGAGACAACCAAGGAAAGGGATAGAGAGAGAGAGGAGAGACAGAGGAGGGCGATACCAAATCCAGCCATGGGCACGATGGGAAGCGGAATACCCATGGGCTCAAGGGGCGAACGTCTCTCATTCGGTTCGGACAACACGAGCCGTACGGCAACTCCTTCTCATCGAGCCGCCACTCCCACCCAAGCCAACATCAAGACTCGAGGACGCTCTGTCGCACCACAGATCAGGCTACGGGGCATGTCGAACCACCGCACTTCTGCATCGCCCCATTCGACAGAGAAGAGGAAATTAAAGCCTGGGGCTGGGGAAGGAAAGATGGAGACGAAGAAGGAGATGCAATTGGTTGCCATCACGTTCTCGGGAGATTGGTATAGGCTGAGGATACCTGATCCCGCTCCTTCCCTGTCTGGACCTGGCAGCGGCGGTGGTAGAGGGGATCAAGAGAAGGCGAGGGAAGAGGAGAAGGAGAAGAAGGAAAGTCGGAAGTGTGAGCTTATAGAGTACAGGAGATTAGGTGTTGGGGGTGGGGGTTGGTGAGGTGTCATCGTCGGTCGTGTGGTCTCATCTTGTTACGTGTCTGATATCTGCGCTGCATGTGGCTTAATTGTATACTCTAGTGTAAGTCCATTGTATATGTTTGCATGATTCTGTCCAATGTAATGTTGCAGTCGCTTTTGACTGACTGCGAGAGTTCATAAGGCACATACAATATAATTATACATTCAAGATATGTTTCTATTCCAGATACTCTTTGAGACTGCCAGTGATCTTCTCAATCTTGGCCAAGACATTCCTCGCAGCAATCTCTACATCCTTACTCTCATCTTCCAAAAGCTCCGCCAAGAATTCGCTGACAGTCTCGGGCACCAGACCCACCATCTCCTCGGCCTGTGCCTCCCAGATGCCGCTCAACGCGTCAAGAGCCGCAAGACGGATCTTGGGGTCATCCGAACGAGTCACGAGACATGTGGAAGTGTTGAGTCGGCGAAGAACGGTTTCCGAGGTGGTGCTGCCAGCCAAGCTGGCAAGACAGTTGGAGATAGCTCGCGGCTCTTCAGGAGAGCCTGTTGACTGGAGGAATAGAGGAACTTGAGAGACCAAGAGAGGAAGGAGTTCAATCTGTGAAACGTCGGTCCAGAACGCCCCCTCATCAACTTCGAAGGACTTGGCAAGAGTACCGAGAAGAAGGTTCCAAAGAGGCAACGATGTGTTGGCACCCGATGAGAATGCGGGGAGGAGCTCGTGGATGTGGGGGAGGAGAGTTGCCATGTAGGGAGAGAGCAAGTTCTTGAACTTGTTCAAAAGACCGGTCATGACGTGGAACAATACGATCTTTCTCTCGTTCAGTCGATCCAGATCAACAGCTAGATTGCAGTCAGTATCCTTCACGGGGACAGGTAGACGAAACTCACTCTTTCCCTCGGCCAAATCGATGACCGCCCAGTCATACAACCTCACGAACAAGGGCTTGAAGGTAGCCTCGTTCAACTTGGTCACCAACTCGAGGAACGACCCAATCGCCGATTCCTCCACGTCATTGACCATACTGAGATCGACATTCTTCTGCTGGAGTCGGTGTCGAAGATCAAAGACGTCCAAAAAGAATGCAAACACGGGTTTCAGCATGCTCGGAAGGTCTTCTCGGCTGGCGTTCTTGAGCGTGAGACGGAGCATCTCAAAGAATCCCTTCATCTCGCTGTCCCCGCCGGTCTCTTGGGTGGTCTTCCACACCTCCATGAGGACCGGGAAGATGGCCTTGGTTCGAATCTTCTTGGCCAAAGTGGTAAGCATAGAGTATGCGGTAGCCTCATTGGTAGATCGGTAGAAGAACGTGGTGATCAGGGTAGCGTTAAGCTGCTTGGAAGAGATAAAAGTGGGAATGGTCTCGATCGTCGAAGCAAGTGTGGTGAAGGCTTGGGCCACGGACGACGCTGCTGATTTGGGCGATTTGATGAGCGCAAGTGTGGTGTCCAGAATAGATTGGACGTAAGGGATGGCCCTGGATGCGAGGTGCCGACTGAATAGCGATTAGCAATGATCCTAGCAAGATGCACGGAATGACCTACACAAGGAGCTCGACAAGAGACAAGGCAGAGACCACAGTCCAGTTGTCCTTGGCCTTGTTGGCGCACCCAACAACAGGAAGGACCGCACCAGCCAACGCTCCATCTTCTTGCGGCACCGCGGTCTTGACAACCGCCTTGATAGCATCAAGAGCAGGGCCAACAGTAAGGTCAGGAGTAGCCAACATAGCCGCGGACTTTTTGACGATCGCAGCAATCGATTGGGTGCTGCGAAGACGGACCTCGGATTTCATGAGGGGAAGACGCTCAGTGAAGAGACCAAGAGACATGACAATATCTTGCTCGGTGCCCTCGGCAAGAAGGCCGGCGGTGACAGCCAAAAAGTTGTCGACAGATAAGAGAAGCATGGTACCAGCAAGCGCCGAGTGCATACTCGAAGGGATGTCGGTGGATGCCATGACGGGTTGAGCCATAGAGGCAGCCAAGACAATCAGCTGGCGCACAGAAGCTTGAATCAAAGCTTGATCACACGCCTTGCCTCGGAGTTGAGCGATGAGAGATGACAGGAAGGTAAGAAGATGAGTGATCTGGCGAAGAGAGCGGTCAGAAGCGTCGGTCTCAGTAAGACTGCACATGGCGTTAGCAAAGAATCCTGCAGTGGATGAAAATCTTACGTTTCACTCAAGAACGCCTCCTTGTCGGTCCTCGACAGATCTCCGACCAGTCTGCCCAATTCCTGGACCACCTCTTGCAGCACGACGACCTTTTCGGTGACACCGAATGCGCTGGCAACGCTGCTTGGCAGATCCAACACAACAGAGACAGGCTCCTTGTTTCGACCAGCCTTGGTAGTGGCCCGGTCGACAAGCAACATTGATACTGGAGCAAGATAGTCGGAGGCACCAAGAGACTTGACAAGGTGAACAAAGAACGGCAAAGTTCGGTGGCGGGGCAAACGTCCGGCCATATCCGTGAAGATGCTCAAGAACGTCAAAGACTCGGTGTAGAGTTCCAAAGAGGTCTGAGCTTTCTCCTTGAGAGATGCCGTCATGACAGGAACGATCCTTGACACAGTCTTCTCGACTACACCGAAAGTGTAGGCGTCGTCCCTCTGGAAGTCACTGGCGCCCATAAAGGTAAAGATGGGCATAACATTGTGCAAGACAGCCTCCGGGATCAACCTAGCGAGCTCGCTAGCCACAAGCAATGCCCTCTGCGAGGTCCTTGGGTTGGTGGACGCCCTGACGACCTTGATGATCACCTCAATACCGACATGAGCCCTGTGGATCTCCTGAGCATCGTCGACACGTTCAACAAGAGACAAGATAGCAAAGAGCACCTCTTGTTCGAGGTAATCGATGCCTTCCTTGATGACGAGCCTCTTGGCGAGAAGTGCAGACAAGATTGACATGAGGGAAGCGATGAGGGGCGCAGACGCCGGGACTGAGGGCCAAGTTCGAGAGTCGATAAGAGTGGTGAGTTCCAAGACTGCCTGGGTAGGTCTGTCATCTTCAGAGCCATCCTGCCTCTGCCTCTTTCTGTTCTGGCTCGTCTCCAAGGCATCTGACAGATGCCCGATCAGTTCAATGAGAGCGTCAGGCGTCAACTCGAGTTGCTCGAGCACCTTGATGGTCTCGTGAGACTCTTCGGTGGGAAGAGAGTGGATGCACTGAATGAGAGCGGTGATGTAGTCGATCTTTTGTGAGGTAGTAAGAGCGGTGAAAACGCCGTGTACCATAGCCTGGAAAGACAGCTCGCGGAGCTGCTTGCGGAATCCTGCAATATTGTCAGTTCAACGTAATCGGTTGATAGGAAAGTGCACTCACGATCAGTCTGCGCCGTATCCAAAAGCCCCAAAAAGAACGCCCATCCTTCCGAGTTGTTCTCGGCGAGAACAGCGACACTTTGGACTCTGAGACTGCCCGACAACACTTGCAGAAACTCGTTTCGTGAGCTCTCCGGGACAGAGGAAAGCCAGGCGGCCTCTTCAGTCTTGTCGTTGGCCAGCTCCTCCAGAAGAGGAACAGCAGATCGCAGAATCGAGGTATCGTGCACATCAGCAAGCAGAGCGAGGAGCGCAAGTCGAGGGTGGATGGATCGGTACGCCGCGATATGCGACATCAAGAAACCAAGTACAGCTCGACGGTGGGCGGATTCCTTTCTGTTCTTGTGTTGCTGCATATTGAGCACTTCAGTGTGGAACGCTCGGATGCGGAGAGGGTCGATGATGAACTCGTCGGCAACTTCGAGAAGAGTCTCGATGTACTTCTTTCGGTCGACAGGCTTGAGCAACTGAGCAGATTCAGATCTCTCGCCGTACACAACGTCAAGCGCGTACACGTCGCCCATGACCTCACCGCCAGAGATGCCCTTGAGTACATCCACAGCCGCCTGGCGCACCTGTCGCTCGCTGTCCTGAAGAGCAATAAGCACTTGAGGAAGGATGACTTGGAAATCCACAGGAGGGTTTGATGGGGTCGCAGGAAGCGCGGCGTAAGCACGGATGAAGGCGAGAGCATGTCTCAACGCCGAAGTGCGAAGCGCTGAAGGGAAGAGCGCAGAAGGTGAAGTCCAAACGGACGCAAAGAACAGAAGCGCATCTTCGCCCAGCTGAGTCAAGAGCGACCGGAGCAGCGACTGGGCAATGGGAGCGGGCAAGACGGCAGTGTTGGCCCAGAGGTAGATCTGGTACGCCAAGCTCTTGTAGATTGGCTCCTTGTCTTTGCTCTCGCTAGCCAGCCAGATGATCTGCTCCTCGGGCTTGACTATCTTGGAAGCGGAGGCAAGGATGCTGACGACAGCTCTCAAAGTCGTTCGACCTTCTTCAGGTCTCTTGTACACGCCTTCGAGGTATTCAGTACCGACATGTTCACTGGCGTGCTTGATGTCTCGCAAGGAATGTCCAGCAAGACGAGGTGCGAGATTGACGAGGACGGCAGAAGCGGTCGAAAGCTGTCGAGGTCCACGGAAGGTGACAATCAGAGTTTGAAGGATCATATAAGCGAGAAGTCGAGCAGCAGACAGAGGGGAGGCAAGCTGCGAGACCAGGAACGCAACGTCGTGGGCGAAAGTGGCTGAGGCGTAGGTGGCTTCAGCCAACGCTTTGGCGATGACCAAGTTGCTCTTCTGGGCACCCTTAACGCCCTCCTCTCGGGCGTTGACGATTTCCGAGCTGATCTTGCCGAGCTTCTCCAAACCCTTGAATCCGCCATCGAAGAGCTTGAGCGCTTCAGTCTTGGTAAGAGGCTGTCGACTCTCGGTCGAGAGGAAGACAGGGAAAAGCAATGACTCGTAAACAATCTTGCCGCTCTCGGGGTGCGCCTTGATGAGGTGCTGAGACACAAAGTCGAGATGAAGACCGATAAGCTTGGGGCTGGGCTGAGCAGCCCAGAAAGCCACTTTGACGCCTGCAATGTACCGTTCAATGGGCATGATACTCAAAAGACCCTCAGCATCTTCGTACAACGTCTTGATGACCTCTTCCTCGCCATCACTCAGTCGCGCCTCAAGAGCAGAAATGATACTCTCGACATCCTCGCCCTTTTTGGCCATTTCAAAGACCGCCTTGACGCCTTCGATTCGGTTCGACACATCCGCGGCGTATACGTCGAGGAAGGCAACCTCGTCTGAAGGTTTTTGCACGAGGTCATGGTCGATGGGCTGGGATGAGATGGCAAGAGACGATGAAGCACTCAAGAAGGCAGAGTCGACGATGGTAGGGTGTCGTTGACGGAGGTTGGAGAGAAGGGACTTGCAAGTGGCTTTGACGATGTCGTCGATAGTGTTTGAGCCGAGCTGGAGGAGTTCGTTAGACGCCAATTCAGCGAGGCTGTCTGGAAGGACCTTGTGCTCGAGCACAGCAGCCAAGGTCTTGAGATGGAGGTCGGGTTTCTCCAAAAGACTCGCGAGAAGCACCTTGAGTGCATTCTCAAAGCCGTATTTGTCCATCGCAGCCACCAAGATCTGGTCCAGATGCCTGACCTTGACCAAATTCTCACTCGCTTGTGGTCCAAGACCGAGAGTCCAATTGGAACGGTCGTTGAGGATGAGGAGGAGAGTGAGCATACGCTGGGAAGCGTTGGCGCCAGTGGCGGGAGTGAGAAGGGAGGAGAGGATGGCGGCGAACGGCTCATCTGCGAGATGCTCGGCTCGAGTGAGGAGCACAAGAGGTGGGTAGATGGCGGCCTACAAAATCGGTCAGATATGTTACAGAGGAGTGCGATGACACTCACATTGACATCCTCTCCGGCCTTGGGTGTTTCCAAAAGAGTAACGAACGCCTCAACAAGCAATCTGACCACAGCCTCATTGACACCTTGCGCGCGCTTGGCACCTTCCAGAAGGTCGACCAGAGTAGCTGACCAGAACGTCAAGAGCGCTCGATGTACAACGCCTTCCTTGACAGCTTGCTGCACAGAGCTGATCAGATCGCCGAGCAAGTGAAGGGACTTGTCTTTGGCGGGTGAAATAGCCGTCACGATGTACGATCGAGGGATCGCTTGGGCATTCTTGATCAGGGGGGCGAATGGGACGTGGTACGGAGATGTAGTTGGGAAGGTGAGGATGGCGAGGATCCGGGGGAAATTTTGGGATTCGTGGTAGGGAAGGAAGACTCGAAGGACCGTCTCGGCGTTCATTTCGTGCACTCTACGAATTGTGAGATGCTGCAGTCGATGTATACAGACAGATTGAGGCTCACCTGAATCGCCTGACTAGCCACTCCAAACACTTGCCAGCAGCCATAACACCAATCCACCTCCCCAACCGTCTCAAACATCCCTCCAAAGCCTCGTCCAGCACATCGTTCTCTTCCTTGCTCAGCATCAACCTATCCGTCCTCTTTGCCCCCTCACTGAACAGGTCCCGTTCATATTGCTCCATCTCGGGGTCGATCTCCAGAAGCTCGTCAAAGCCAGATTGGGCGAGAGCAAAGATAGAGTCGATGTCATGGCCGGAAGCGACGTCTGGGGGAAAGAGGTATGATTTTCCAGAGGGGGCACCGTATGCGGAAGTGATACGGTCTGCGTCGAGGGAGGCGATCCCCTGCAGTTGCCTGGCGAGAGACGACATGGTGAATGTCTCTTGCTTTTTGAATGTTACAAGCTCAGAATGTCAAGCTTCCACCCACAAAATCATTCCACTGCTGCTGCCAAAAATCATCAAAATTAGTGGTTACGTAAGTGCCTGCTCGGTGGGCCGCGCACCTCCTCGACAGCGGCGAACGGTTCAAAGATATAATAATCTCTCGCGAGTGCTTTACACCATGTCCCAACCTATCGAGCTGGAAGCGCCTATACAACCAAAAGAGGGAGAACCAGGGTTTGTCGGCCTGCTAGTCAAGTCGGTTTTCGAGGTGCGCCCAGTCTCTTTATCGATCCGTCTTTTTGCTAATTCGGGGACGTTGACAGCCTGGAGCCAATGCTGCTGTGGTCCTGGGTATGTGCAGTACATTAAATGCAGTGTACCGGTAGCTGACTATCTGACAGCTATGAATGTCTGCTTCTTCTTCCTCATCCTCACCCTCTTCGGCCTCGCCGTCTTGACACAATGGAACAAACACGTCCTTCTATTACTAGGAGTGACCACGCTTCTTTGGGCGGCTATGGCATGGTATGATGCACTCTTCTTTTTGGCAAAGAGGGGTACATAGCTGACTGAAACGATAGGTTTGTACTGGAACTCACCCGCGTCCAGAACCATCCTAGCAATATGCCTTTGTCTGTCGAGATACCCGAGGACGAGGCATCTCTGTCAGACGAGCTGAAGAAGGAAAAGTGAGGGTAGACATCAAACTCTATGCATGTCTTCTGAGTACCCCATCTATATCAACGTCCGAGTCGTCATTGTCAACCCCAGAAATTCTGTACTTGTACAACTCTTTTTGAAAAGCAATTTATTCCAATTGTGAGACCAGATCTTTCTACTCAAATTGTCAGCTCCAATGGACTCTCACACATCAGATCAACGACTCACAAGGAGAGGCGCAACTTGCTTCCTGGTAGCCTTTGCATTCCCCTGCACCCACACCTTGACCCAGACTTCCTCCCCACCCACCACCTCCCTCTTTACAGCCTTCTCCTGATTCCACTCTTGCAATACCAACTCTTCACTCGCCTCCAGTCCTTTGACCAGGGAAGCAAAGACCTGCTCGGCGTGCTCATTGGTGTGGAAACCCCCGCCAGCGCGGGCAATGAGTGCAAGTTGGCGCTTGTGTTTACCCTTCTTCTCCGACGAATAGGTCGTGAGGATCCCTTCCAAATCAAGTGTTCGCTCCTGCATCCAAACTCGCACCCCTTCCATCAGACTCTCCCAGCCCTCGGGCGCTTTCGCAATCCAAGGTTTCAACCCCAGAGGTACTGTCGACAGACCCACTTTCAGGCTAGGATACGCCGCGGCTTGGGTGGGCCAGGTGTACTCTTTGTAGTCACGCATGAGAAGCTCGTAGGTAGAGAGGGTGGAGACGTCGTTTTTCGTCTCTGACAATGTCTCTGCGAGACCTGAGAGCGGCGCAGGGACGGCCTCGGCAGAGACTGCCGAGACTGAAAAGTTGCTGCCGATCTGAGGGAGAGTGGAGATGGGATAGAGGAACGCGGCGGCCTCGTAATCTATAGGGGTAGCTTTACGGCCCGGTTTGAGACCACCCGTGTCGATGAGGATACCCGACAGGAGGAGCGTTGCAAGCTCGGAAGGGATGGGCGAGCCGCGCGATAGAGACGCTTCCCACTGCTCTCTAAAGTGCTTGGTCACAAGAGATGTACAGCTTCCGGTGGGGAATGTGATTTCTCTGATGGAAGCGTCGGTATGAACCCCTTCGTCTTCATGATGGTCTATCACCGACTCTACTTGGCCGTCTCCGAATTGAGGCAACAGCCGGTTGTGGTCCACCAACGCGAATTTGACGCCTTGGCCGGCGAGTTCGGATGTGGCGATGGGGAGTTGGTTGGTGTGGAGTAGAGAATACAGTGGAAGAGAGGCGTTACGGAGAGCAAGGAGGTTTTCGGGGCGGAGGGGCATGAATTTGGGAGGGGTGAGGATGAGAGGGATAACACGAGAGGCGAGAAGGGTGGAGGAAAGCTGGGAGAAGGCGATCGAAGATGCAAGAGAGTCCAGGTCTGATCACAGGTAAGCTTGGTACTCCAATGAATCGATGCAACTTACCTCCGGCTTCGTTACCCATTACGACTGTCCAGCCTTTACCCTTGCCTTCGCGCAGATCTTGCAAGAAAAGGTCTCTTTGGCTGATAAGAAAGCCAGCGAGGCGACCTTCTTGGACATCCTCGGTTTGTATTCTGGTATCGCTCATATTGGCGAAAGGTTTAATGGCTTGGCAGGAAAGGTTGTTGTGGGCTGTGGTGGATAATTTTGAGAGGGAAAAGGGGAGGCAGAGGCGCATAGACTGTGTGAGATAGCCTAGGACGGAGAGGAGGAGGAGGGCGAAAGCAGCAACGAGAGGGAGAGTCTTGTATTGCCTGGGCCAGCGCATGCGTATGGGTGGATGAAGAGGAGATGAAGAGGAGATGGGCGGCGGGCGTCATAGACAGCACACTCTCCCACGGTCCCGCGCGCGGCCACTCTCCGCTTGCAAAATGGACTCCTATCATCTCTAATACCATCTCTAATCTCATCTCTAATCGGCCCGGCATCTATTACAACCCTGATTAGACTTGACGCACACGCACGGACTCGATTACACGCACAGACCCACACCATGTCGCAGCCTCCACCCTCCTCGTGGGCGGACGACTATGAGGATCCGAAGCGTGACTCTCTTCTTCTCTCTTCTTTTTGCTCCCGCTCACCCCCTGCAGCCCCCCCCGTACAAATGTCCACCCAGAATGACGGTCCGTAGCCTTGTGCCCTTGTGACCAGCCCACTCACAGACAATACAGGCTGGGGAGAAGCCGACGCCACTTCTGCATCCCCGACTGACCCTGCCCCCGCCCCCGAAGCACCCCAGGACGCATGGTTTGACGCCTCCGTCCCCCAGTCTGCCGCCCCTCCCCAAGCCGACCACGACCCGAGGGAAATCCAGTTGAAGGACGACACCCAGAACCTGATCACCAACGATTTCCAGGTCGAGGTGCGTGTTTGGAGAGGTCTTGTGGAATTAACCCGGTGGCTGACTCCAGCGACATAGGTCAAACTCGCTGATTTGCAAGGCGATCCCAACTCTCCTCTGTACTCGGTACAGTCTTTCAAGCAGCTCAACCTGTACGTTGGATGATCAGACATGGATGAAAGCTAAAGTGTAACAGGCATGATGATTTGATGAAGGGCATTATCGCCGCCGATTTCCAAAAGCCCTCCAAAATTCAAGAAAAGGCTCTTCCCCTCCTCCTCTCCAACCCGTACGCCCGTCCTTCTCCTACCGTCCATTGCTGACACCGAGTAGCGCTCGAAACCTCATCGGCCAGTCCCAATCCGGTACCGGAAAAACCGCCGCCTTCACCCTCAACATGCTGTCCCGTGTCGACCCCACCATCCCTACCCCCCAGGCCATCTGTATCGTCCCCTCCAGAGAGCTGGCCAGGCAGACGCAAGAAGTCGTCGACAAGATGGGCCAGTTCACCCAGATTGGCACTTTCCTTGCCGTCCCCGGCTCTTGGTCGCGAAACCAGAGAATCGACAAGCAGATCCTCATTGGAACGCCGGGAACGTTGGTGGACATGTTGATGAGAGGAAACAGGATCTTGGACCCCAGTATGGTTAGGGTCTTGGTGTTGGACGAGGCGGACGAGTTGATTGCGCAACAAGGTCTGGGCGAGCAGACATTCAGGATCAAGCAGTCAGTCTGCCCCTCTGCGGCTCCTACAGTGTGGCTGACCCTAGCAGGCTCCTCCCTCCCACTATCCAAAACGTCCTTTTCTCCGCTACATTCAATGACGACGTCACCGAATTCGCCCAACGCTTCGCCCCCGAGGCCAACCAGATCTTCCTCCGCAAGGAAGAGATCACCGTCGAGGCCATTCGCCAGCTCTACCTCGAATGCGACTCGGAGGAACAAAAGTACGAAGCGCTCTCTGCCCTGTACGACTGCCTCGTCATCGGCCAGTCTATCGTATTCTGCAAACGCAAGGTCACTGCCGATCTGATTGCCAATAGGCTCATAGCAGAGGGCCACGCGGTGGCCAGTTTGCACGGAGACAAGATGGTGCAGGAGCGTGATGCAATCTTGGACGGGTTTAGAAATGGGCAGACAAAGGTGTTGATTACGACGAATGTGATTGCGAGAGGGATCGATATCCCGCAGGTCAACATGGTCGTCAACTATGATGTGCCGGATCTCGGGCCGGGTGGGTCAGGACCAGATATCGAGACTTATATCCACCGTATCGGTACGTCTTCCCATCTCCACCTGGGATCATGCTGACTTGGTTCTGCAGGTCGTACCGGTCGATTCGGCCGCAAGGGTTGTTCCGTCATCTTTACCCACGACTACCGGTCCAAGTCGGACGTTGAGCAGATCATGAACATTCTCGGCAAGCCGATGAAGAGGATTGACGCGAGGTCTACTACCGATATTGAGCAGCTGGAGAAGGCGTTGAAGATGGCTATGAAGGGACCAAACTAGGTCTTGCAAGGGGGGTGTTATAATGGAGAATCGGGAGAAAAGTAGAGACATTTTCAGTGGATGTATCAACCTTCCGAAGCACTGCACCAGCAGTGGATGGCAAGTTCATGACGACTGTGGACGATGAAAGAGGACGGTTTACCTCAAGCTTGGAGCACGGTACGACAACATGCATCAAGCGCATTGCTTTTATATTTTATCCTTCTAAATTCCTCCACCTTCTAATTTTCAATCTCACATGGTAGGCCTTCCACTGCCCCTCTTTGCACCATCTCCAACCAACGAGCTCGCACTCTTCCTCAACTTCTTGCCGGCCTCCCACGCGGTGACAGCCTTGTGGTCTCGACCGATCGAGTCTTCCGACTTGACCTTGTAGATACGGACGATCCAGTTCTCAGAGGTGAACGCCTCGTCTGTTTGCAGGATTAGCTTCTACGCTTGTAGATTTGTAGTAAAAAGACGTACCGAGGGTGTCAAGCTGGACGCTGTTGGCGGGGATCTGCTGCCCACGCACCCTGTCCTGGGCGGGGTGACCACCGAAGAGCTCGGGGAAACGGTAGTAGCTCATCTTGTACATGAGCGAGTTCTTCATCGTAGGAGTGCTAGACCAAGATTAGCTCCAATCTATCACATGGTAGACGAAAGACTCACGCCCTGTCATCGACAGCATACTCGCCCCTCTGCGTAAAGTAATTGGCCTCTTGCACCTCATCAGGCCAGACACCCTGCGCAATCCTGACCATCCACAAAAACTTGTTAATGTCATCACCAGAGTAGCCCAACAGGCCGCCAAAGATGACGAGCACATAGTCGACATCGTGCTGGCGGAGAATGGGGTAGGCAATCTCTTCGGATGAAGACATGGCTTTGCCGACGGTGGCGATATGGGTGTTGTTCCAGGTGTTGTTGTCGACGAGGGTAGGGCGGTCAGCCATACCAGCGATCTGGTAACCGTAATCCCACCAAGACATGATGACGCTGTCTTCGGCAGTGTTCTGGCGGATCCAGTAGTATGCCTCTCGGAAATCATCGATAATGTTTTGGCTTCCGTCCTGGTTTCGCGAAGCGAGCACAACGGAGGGGGACGAGTAGGCGGAAGAGGTCACGTAGGTACAGTGAAGGACAAAGATGAAGAGGAAGAGTGACAAGACGGAGACAACGGCGAATCGAGTGTCGAGGCCAAAGATGCCAGAGGTGGACTTGCCGCCAAGGATACCGGTAAAGGCAAATTCAGACTTTTGGGTGTTGGCTTGAGCAGCAGCGATCTTCTTGGCCTTGGCTTTGCTGATGCTCGCAGGCTTCTCGGGCTCTTCGTCGTCCTCGGGGGGAATGACAGGGTCGATATAAGCTTCAAGGAGCTTGCTGAAAGCGATGGCGGCGCAAACACAGACGACGGGGGTGATGACCAACATCAATCGGACCATGACACCGGCAAAGTAGGCCGAGAGGACAGAGTAGACGATGAGGAAGATTTGCTCGTCCTTGAGCTCGCGGAAGCACCAAAAGACACCGGCGGGGAAGAAGAAGATGAGCATTTCGAGGTCAAAGTAGAAGGCGGGCCAGGCGGTAGGCTGGTGCTCGGACACGGAAGCAATAATGGGCACTATACAGGGGTTAGCTCAGTCGACGACGATAGTGGGGACTTACTGTGAACCTTGGCATAGCCAGTGTCCCAAAGCGAGTAGAATCGACCGGCGAACGGCGCAATCCATCCCGAAAAGGTCAACGTCACAAGCGCCGCGAAACTGATACAAAACACGCCGACCACAAAGGCCTTCAACAACATCTGGAACTGCTTGCCAGGTACGAGTCTCCTCACAATCTCAACAAAGCCGATGAGCTGCAAGAGCCCAAAGACACCGAGGGCGGCCATGTGCTCCGACGTTCGGATGGGGAGGAACTCGACGAAGGGGACCTGCATGGAGGAGATGGTGCCGATGGCGTACCAGGAGGAGTAGGCGATGTAGAGGCGGTTGTTGAAGCGGCCCATGAGAATGAGGACAAAGGCATGCAACGGGATCACTACAAGGTTTTAGCTCCTTGCTCGTGCACCACAAAGCATACTCACTGTTGGTGATGAACACGTAACCACCCCAAGCAGCCACCATCCACCCGTAGAACAAGGCGGTGATCATACCGTAGAACGCGCTACCAGTCTTCATAGCCTTGATCCAGGAGTAGAAGCATCCCATCAAAAGGAAGATGGCGATGGCTTCGTTGTCGTAGGATCCAGCGACGGAACGAGAGATGTAACCGGGGACGATACCGATAAAGGCGGCAGCCAAAAGACCGGCAGAGGGGGTAGACATCTCGGCAGTGAACCTGCCCTGGTCAGCCTTCATCCCAATTTTCTTGATGGTACGCACAAGTAGGTAGCCCAAGCAGTCAAACCGGCGAATCCAGGTGCCAGCAACACACAGACATTACGAATGTCCACAGGCATGTTGATGGCCCTCAGAGCGTGCCAGATCAGACCGGAAGTGACCATGAGACCGGGGTAGAGAGTTGTTCCGACAGTTCGACCAAGGGGGTACCAGGCAGAAGGGTCGAACCAGTTCCAGAATTCGTAGAAGCCTTCATTGACGAGGACCTTTGAGGCTCGGCTGTAGACGTGTCAGTGCTGCATGAGAGGGGGTTTGAAAGATGCTTACAAGTTGAACCAAGGGTCACTGCAAGATATCAGCGCTGTTCATGATAATGGCGGCCTACTTACAATTCGTGGATGACACTTTCAAACCTGATGACAGCGAACAGTCGACTCCCGATAGCCGCACCGCATATTAACGCCAGAATTACGAATCTGAGCAGACTCTCAGTGTTGTTGATAGTCTCGGGCGAGATTCTGTTGGGAAGAGGGTATGCGAGCTTCCGATTGGACACGGGTGCTGAGGTAGCGGCAGCCACCACGGGCACGGGAGAGGCTGGGGTGGTGGGCGTGTCGACCTCGACGACGGCCTTGGGAAGGACATCGGCCGAAGCTACCCTAGAAGGGGTGTCGACAGGGGTAGGGGCCTTCTTGGAAGCTTTTGATTTGGTGACCATGGTGGGCGGGAGGCTGGGAATGAGGAGAAGACGTGAAAAAGTACCGAGCTTGATGGGCCCAGAGATGCTGCGGAGTTGCCTCGGGTTCAGACGCAGCAGACGAGCTCTTTGTGCTGAGCAGGCGTAGGGGGGAGAGAGCGAGGGCGGGGGGATGGGAGGCGAGCTGCCTTGTTTGAGGAATTTGGAGAGAGAGAAAGGACAAGACGGGTTAAACGTACTCTGCGAGCAAAGGTGCGTGACGTGGAACGCGTCGAAAGTGGAACATATGCTGCTATCCTGGCTTTTCATGCATGCTCAATTCGAAAAAATACAAGGCGTGCATGTGTTGTGGTCTGAGGTCATATGGTTGCTCCACTGGGTAAGTCTATGCATCGACAAATCAGAAAAGACGCGAAGGACAACGCCCAGCAACTGAAGGAAGAGACCTGACTCCAGTTCCTCATACCTCCCGTGTCACCATTTGCTTATATTCCTTGTTTCTCGCAATCACATGGAGTTTTCGAAGAAGCCACTGACTTTGACAAGCCAACTCCCGTTACCCAATGATAATCAACTTCTCCTCATGACTTGCGCTCAGAATCCCAGCGAGCAGCGGCTGGCCCGACCTTGACTTTCATCATTGTCTCTTCCGCTGAACAACGATCCCCGGCCTTCCTGTCCGACCTATCCAGCCCAATAAGCCCACGAATGTGGAAGATGAACTGCGATAGATTGAGCTCTGCCGGCAACTTGGGGGTTGAATGTGGCATCATATGACTCTGAGTACGTAAGGCATGACGTCTGTCGGTTATGCGGGAGTGTTTGCGTCCCAAACCGGCATCTTCGTCTTCTATTCCTCTCTTTCTTTCTTCTCTCCATCCGCCATGGACGTCCTCAGGCCAGGCCACGCTCACCGCTCCTCCAGCGACAGGCTCCTCAACAACTACCTGCAAGTAGCCCCCCTCCCACACCGACCCCGCTGACCCCCCACAGCGACTCCCAGAAATCTCTATCCACCTCCCTCCTCACCCTCCTCTCCCACTCCCACTCATCCACATCGTCCCTTCTCGCCTATGTCACCTCCTCTCCCGGCGTCATCCCCACCATCCGCCGATCAGTGCGCCATGCCGCGTTTGAAGGGCCGCTGTCGTCTGGAATGACCGAGGGCAGCCAGCTGGGATCGGAAGGCGAGGGCGGCTGGGCGGCGTACATATCGAGCTTGGACCAGTTCCGGAAAGACCTCAAGCAGATTCATCTGCTGGAAGAAGAGATCAGTCGGGTCAAGAGAGACAGGGAGATCCTCGTGGGCAGGCTCATCAAAGCGACAAAGGGTAGACCTACAAAGTCGGATCTGTCTGCCCTTGCGACGACGTACAATGCGCAGTTTGACGATCCCCGGTCATCGAGGGCGTCTGTCATGTCGGACAGCTCATCCAATACCAAGGCGGGGAAGCGTGAGGGTAAGCTGGCGGATGCGCAGGCAGAGTTGCTTGGGTGTGAAGAACATTTGAGAGGGCTTGAAGTCCGGATCGAAGCGGAAAGGAACAAGGTCATGGCAAGGGGTCTGGAGCAGCGATTCCGGGCCATGGAGGTTGTTGGGAGGATGTGGGTGCAGCAGGCGAAAAGGGGACTGTCCGATCTTGACAGGATGCAGGGTGCGTTAAATCTTCATTCCCCAAAGTGTTCATTGACACTTCTGCAGACCTTCCGCCAGATGCGTTCGAGCTCGACTCCAACGGTTCCCTCGCTCCCTCTCAGTCTGCCTCTCAGGTAGCCTACGACGATGTCCCAAGACCTCACCCCCTCGGCGGGGCGCCTTACCCCCGTCATCTGCAGCCCGAATTCGCAGGCAGCATTGACGGAAGCATCGCTGAAGAGAATGAAGATTCCTCTGATGAGGACATGGACGGACTTCAAGTGCACGAGAATCATCCTGGGCAACAACTCAGCCCTCGCGTGCCTCCCAAAGGACGCGAGCAATCCCATCCTTCCGGTGTCCCTTCCATCATTGACTATTCGCCCAAGCTTGGAAATCGCCGAGCTGCCTCCGACATTGGCACTGGTGCTTACCGACCCACCCCTCCCCGTCAGTCACTGCTTCGTACAGTGTCCCATGACCGCGGTACCTCTCGCCAGTCTCGTCGAGCCGGGTCAGATACTAGCAGTATCCGCGAACACAAGCCAAAGAAGAAGGGCTTCTTTACCTCTATCAGGACTTGGTTCAAGGGAGGCAAGCACCATGGGGAAAGGTCAAGCTCGCCCCCATATGGTAGCGGTGGCTCCAAGGCTGGGTGGCAGACCAGGACAGACGGCAACATAAAGCGTGGCAGTACGCTACGTGGAAGCCGACCGGACGAGTCGTCTAGCGATGAGAGCGAGGGTGGCAATTTTGTGAGCGTGTCCAACAACCAAAACTCTACTTGGGCTGTGGACCATAACCGCGGTGCGGGGTCCAAGGTGTCGCGTACAACCTCGATGCCGCTTGCTACCGGCCTCATACCTTCCAAACCCGCCAAGCCGACTCGCTCTGCTTCTCAGAGCACCATTACTGCTAAGCCCCGACCCAAGTCGTCCTTGTCGAGATCTGGTACTGTAAAGAGCGCTATGTCGGACGCTACCGTCAAGTCTTCTGGTGGTACCAAAAGGAAGACGCGCCCTAACGGTTCTATCGCCCGATCTACCGTGTCCTCCAATGGCCACCACAGTCAGGGTGCGGGAACAGCCGGCAGGAACATCATGTCCCTCGTCGACTCTTCCGGGCCTGTGATGCCAGAGGTTCCCAAGGCGCCCAGGAGCGGCAGCAACCCCAACATGCATCTTCCCAGCGCCCCGGGAACATCAATCGTCACCGCCGATGCCCGTGTGCCCACACCCAAGAAGGCTACGCCGAGCGCTGCTACTTCTGCGGGTCCGCCTACATTAGGCAGGAGTGTCTCGCAAAAGAGCACCGCGAGTAAGAAGAAGAAGGTGGAGAGGGAAGGCGAATCTGAAAAGGACGACAAGACGTGGCGGCCCACGACGCCGTTGCCACCTTCGCGGTTGCTTTCGCCTCCGCTCAAGTCTGCTCTTCGACCCACATCGCCTAGCCCTTCGCCTCTGCCCCTTGCACTCCAGGAGCCGGTCAAGCCAATGTACTCTATCTCTGCGCCTGCGCCCATTCCATACGAGGAGGTCAAGCAGGAACAGGAGAGGGAGCAGTTGGAGATTGAGGAAAAGGAGAGAGAGAAGAGGGCGCAGTTGCTGAAGCGCAACTCGTACGTTTCTGTGCAGAGCGATGGTGCGTCCGTCTACGAGTCGGCCTACGAGGACGAAGATCAAGGTACCAGGGGTTACGGCCCCGAAGACACCGACTCTTCTGATGACGAGGATGGAGATTACCAAGTCTTCAAGAATGAAAAGCACATCAGGCGTGGAGAGATGGCTTCTGGAGACCCCGACTATGGCAAGCAGTATGATGATGTAGGCAGCGACCTCACGGTCGGCGCCAGAAGTGAACACACCACCGTTGCACCTACTGCCCCCAGTCTCGCCCCTGCCCTCGAGCCCCCTACAGACACCCCGAGGCGTAGAAAGAGCGTCAGGATGGCGGTGCCCGACTCGCCCGTGACAGATATCATTCCAAGCATCTCTCCTCCACCCACTGCTCCCGGTCCTGTATTTGGGTCCCCTTCACCAAACTCCAACCAGAACCCTCATCCTCTTTCACTGTCCGAGTCTCAGCCAGCCCAGGCTCCTCGCTCGCGTACGCCCTCTCCCGAACCCGAGCGCCTCGAGCAACAATGGTCTACGAGAATAGGCAGGATGCGCGAGGACACGAGCGATGAAGAAGATGATGTGCCAGACTATGTGAAGGCGCGCAAGAAGCTGCAGCGGAACAGTGGAAAGTGGGAAGTAGATGGCAAGGAGGAGAAGAAGGGGAAGGGCCTGAAGAAGAAGGGCAGTGTGAAGAGTAAGGGCATCAAGAAGCTTGTGAAGGCTTGAGTAGTTTCGGTGACGGTTTGTTGAAGATTTGTTGTCGTACACGTTGTCTTTTTTGCTGCTATACATGCTTCAGTAGTTTTCAATCCACAAATAGCGAGCAATAATAGTTATTCTTTACTGGGGTACACGTAACATGAAATCATAATTAGGTCGACCATACCAGTGCATGGGGTGAAAGGGTCGCAGTTTCCACACTTGTCACTCCCTCGACTGCGGTGTACTCGTATACTTGTGCGTTCATCGTCGGTTGCTGGATAGTGTGAAATCCTTCTCATCGTGGAACAGTGATAGGATGTTTGACAAAGGTATCACAACAAGAAAGCAACAAGACATGGCATGCATGGACCCAGAATAGTAGACTACCTCCGAGAGCCCTGACATAAAACAAGTACGCGGAACTAAGTGCTTTACCAAAGACATCAAAGAAGAAGGAGATCAAGAATAAAATACCTCAGCAAAAGGAACCACCTAGCACAGCTATATGCTCCCCGAGCAACGAATGAATGATACAAGAAGCAATCACCAGATTAGGAGGTGCTGAGGGCGAAACATCTTTCAATGTTGTCCTCGTTGTTACCCCACCAATTCTTCATCGCCACACCGGTGGTACCGAGGAATATAAAGATGAAAAGGAGGTTGAAGTTGAATCCGGTATCGACTGTTGTCCGAGTAAGCATATAATTTTGTAAAGCGGACCACATATACTCACGAGCAGCGCCAGAGATATAAGCCCAGGTGTTCCAGAACTTTCTCCTGTACCTGTACAAGTAAAAGTTCCATACGGTTCCGACAATGAACGTGGTGAATGGTCCAGTGCTCAGGTTACCGTAGAATGTAGCAGCGCCAGAGAAGAAGATCGTAGTGTTGAAGAGGTCGAAACGGACCTTGGGGAATCGCTTGTGAAGAAGCCAGACGATGACGGGGGCAATCGCGCCAACCCTTTCATACACATCAGCTGGGATCACCATGATGATGTGTCTAAAGGCTTACAGGAACCCATAAGTCAGAGGCTGTTATACACTCGACTTGAACAACCTTGTCGGTCCCACAAGCGAGTACTGCACACCTGCAGAGTTATAGCTCATGAATTCTTGACCCGTCCACTGTCCCGCCGGATCGGTCACCTTGCCACTGACATAGTCAAACTTGCTAGCAATGACCCAGCGCATGACACCGTAGTTGACAGGGATGGCAAGCATGTTTGCGAGTACCTGAATGCCGATGACTTGGCGGGGAGGAATGTGGAAGTAGTGGCCGATCTGATTGGTATATGGTGAGCATTTGATCAACATAAGCTGTGGAGGTGTGTATACCTTTTGATCTTCCAGTACAGTACGAGCATCGTACCATACGTTGCCAGAGATGATACGATACGCGAGCTGACCTAGGGGATGACGGGAAGATCCAGGAGCCTCGATCATATCTGTCAACGTCAATATTGGTGATCGCTCACGCTCAACGCTACAACGTCCACTTACATCCATAAATCAACTCGTTGAAGATACCCACCTTCATCGAATAGCCGGACTGTGCGTACACCAATGACATGGGCAGCATCGCGGCCGCACCGAAACCAAGGCCGACAAAGTAGGTCCAGGTGGACATGTAGAGCTTTTTCGTGAGAATGACTCCTAAGAGCATGAAGAACGGTATCAAACTGAGGAGTCCCCATTCCCTATCGATTGATCAGCCCCCTGTAGCTATGGGTAACAGATACACCCACCACCAAGTCACTTTGGGATACTTAGCGATGAGCCGACTCAAGCGGTCAGTGTGCGCCGGTCGCTTGTTACGGAAGGATTTGTAGACGTGCTTGAGAGTGGGAGCCAAAAAGAGGCCACACCATACAAAGGAAGAGATGTACGAGGCGTACCACATGAATACGTTCCAGAGGTACTGAGCTCCAGAGTAGGCGAGGCCGATTTCTTCATACCTGGTCTCGTTGAAGACTTGGTACCCGGAGGAGTCTGTGTCCACTGTGAAATATTCAGTGAAAGTCCAAAGTTCCATGTGCCATTCTTACGAAGACTGTTGAAAGGGTAGGTCGTGCCATTCGCCAAGAAAACGCCATTGGACATGATGTTCCAAGTAGGTGACCCCCAAAGGTTGCCAAAATATGCGATAGGGATCAAAATCCAGACCCGTGCCAGGGGTCAGCGATTATTGCGCAACGAGTGGAAAGAGCTCACCATGATGACGAAGGAAGCAAAGATCGTGATTTGTACAGAGTACGGGTATGTAATGACAGTAGACGTGATATTGGTCCAATCCAAGGTAATGTTCAAGAGTCCAACACCACCTCGACCGGCACCGAGGAAGTTGACCTTGTGGTTGTGGGGCGCAAACCAGCACAAGGGGGCGAGGGCGGCGACGAATGGAAAGACGAATTCGGGAAGGAATTGCCAGGTGAACATGACAGCAAAGATAATCCAGAATACCTGCCACGATGTTGTCAGTGATAATTCACAACACGATGATGCTTTGGGTACACTCAACTTACTCTCATCTGCTTTTGCGATCGCCCAAGATGCAGCTCAGACGTTCCCTGGATACTTCGATAGACCGTGACCTGCTGCATAGACAGAGGGAAGACGAATTTCGGATCGTCGATCAGAATAGGTCGAACCATGGCCGCGAATGAAAAGCCCAGAAGAGCAGATCCCTATGAAGTCATTGTTAGGTTCATTGCCTCTCGATAGTAGATCGATTATAAGACTTACCCATCCGAAAAACAGAGCAATGGCGGGGTTCATGGTGATGTTGTAGTACAAGGCAGCGTTTGTGGGCAAGAAAGCTGCGTTGATTGATGTCAGCAGATTGTCCCTTCTATAACATAATATGAGATGCGACGCTCAGTCGAGACACTCACTTGCCCATTGCCCCTGGCTTCCCGCGTTGGCTGCGATACCAATGATAACGTGCTCTTTCACTGAAAAAGGTCCAGGGTTCAGATTGAAGGAGAAGCGCCCCAGAGGTAGTGTCCATGCGGGAAGGACTTTGGCGAGGAACTTTCCAAGGGGGTGCGATGCCAGTATCACAAAGAAGACGGGGAATGCAGCGGTGGTAGTACGGAAGCTATGAATTCTGATCAGTTTGCACTCTCCACAACAGAACAAGAACCCACTATGAGATCTGAGAGATGACACTTCCAATGGTGCAGAAGATAGCAGAAAGCAAGATTGCTCGAAATGTGATAACGGGCAATGTGGGGTCGTCTTCGAAGCTGACAGTGTTCCTCACAACTTCAGGGATATCACGAAACTCTTCCGAGTCCCAGTCATATCTTTCGTCGCGGTTGATAAAGTCGTCCAGCTTGGCCTCGTCTACGTCGACCGGCTCACTTGGCTCGACGTAGCCGTCACACTTCTCGCCCTTCTCGTCGATATCGGGTGAGGATGGACCAGTGGCCGCATCGGCTGTCAGCACCTCTGTGGTGTAAAGATCGTCTGGTTTCTTCACCTGCTTGGGCATAGTGGGTGATTCTACCTAGAAGCGAGCTGGAAGGCGAAATGTGGACCGGATGGGGGGGCAGGTATATATATCCAGGGATGGACTCTCCCATCCTCCACTAAGATTCATTTGTCGGCATTCAGGCCAAGACATTTCGGTCCCCAAAGAAGTGTTCGCCAACTGATAACGCACGAAGAAACGGTGAGAATGGCGTTATCAGCTCTCAGGCACTCTAGAACCAAGCACGCTCTATGTGGTGATCATCGACTACTCTAGCGAGGGGCCGGGCGAGGCCGGCGAGAGAGCGGTGGATGGGTACAAACGTAGAGCCGCAGAGCTGAATACGCCAAGACGAATATACTCCGAAGTCCAAATATCCAGCGTTGGTGGCAGATAAAGAGGAAGATATGCGCCGTAAGCAAGTTGACATGATTGTGAACACTCGTTTTCGGCGATCCCCGAGTCATGCGCGTGCAAGACTACGTCGCTTTGCATAGTGGGTCTATCGGTGTATGTGACTGCCGCAATCTGGCCACCGCTCTCTGCCATATCTGCTTTACGTGCGCTCCGCTTGACAGCCGTACAGGCGCAAGATTAACGCATTGCCCTTAGGGTGATAGATGATGAACCGCGTCGTCAGCAGGTGGGGTTCACCCAATGACTTTCAGGGACCAATTGCGTATTGGATGAAAAGTGCCAACTGATCCTACCGTCTTTGCGTCGTCTGGGCCATATCGGAGCAAAATTACTATTGCTGCGATGAGGAGATGATGCAAGGCGCCACAAATCATTCAACGTAAACGACATTCCCCCTAAAATGTCCACTGCGGAGTGCGCTTGCGTCTATCTACTCTTCGCAATCATTGGAAGCTTCAGTCTAGTATGAAAGCAGGTAATCAAAGTGTGGCAACTGATGTTGGCATATGCATAGGGTGATAGTGGTACAAAAAAATCTAAGGCTTGGGCGTTGGTCGTCTCCGTCCCGTACAGTATGATACCTTTCGTCTCAAGTGCTCAAATGCTTCATAAATTGGTCAGCGCTCGTTACCCCTGCGCAATCAAGGACTAAAGACTTGACATACCTCATCAGCGATATGATTCTGAACTCGTGACCCCCCGAGGGGTCATTGGTAGCTCTGAGCAACTCGCAATGCATCGTATGCTCTCCCGGAGCGAGATCGTCTCTTATCCGTGTTCCCCTGATAGTCACTTCATCAGACTGTTCACAGCGATTAGAGATAGTGGCACTCACTGTCCAATATTATACGTCATTTCCCAGTGCCCAATAAGAGTCACCGCCTTATGATCATCGTCATCCACCCAGCAAGCTATATTGCCGAGTTTGAAAGTCTTCGAGCGGAGGTAGAAGAGCTCGACGGTACCCAGCACGGTGGTAAAGTTGAAGTCGGCCTTGGACATGGGTTTATCTGAGACCCAGTAATTCTACAAACAAGTCAGTACATATCGATTGTGTAATTACTTTTCGCGCACCTTATCCTCCCAGGCCCATTCCCGCCTAGAAGAAGAGAGGCAGAGATCAGATTTACTCTCATAATGCATATCTGAGCCGACTTACCACCCATCGTTCATGCTGGGTACAAGCCTGTTGCTGCCTTCCGAATGCGCGCTCAAACAATTTGGGGAGAGTCTGGGGGTAACGGACGAGTCGTCATACGGCTGCATGAGGCGCATCTACCCTTCATTTCAACACCGGAGCAGAGAAGGAAAAGTGGAAGTGGCTTACTCTGGGCAATGGTGCGACATGAAAACGCTGGTAAGGCTTGATACGCAGATCCTCCCTTTTCCCCATCTCACAAACCTGAGTTTGGAGGTACGCTATCCCCAACTCGCCCTGCACCCTATGTCCCTTTTGAGAGATCTACACTCTCTCTATTAGCTTTTGCTCTGCCGACCACCCAAAAAGTCTCGAGACTGACGTGTCGTACGTCAACACTCCCATCTTTATGGTGGATGAAGTACTCTGGAACGAGTGAAGCGTTGGCAAGAATATCGTGAAGGATGGCACCGCGGAGAGAGATTATGGGAATGTCGTAGAATTGGGAGACACCTTCGTGCTAGTGAAAGTGAGTTTGAGCTTCTCGGTAGTAGTATTGTGTAATACTTACGATGTCCCCGCCTAAGGCGAGCTGCTTGAATACCAGAGCGAAAACCCTATCAAGTCGGTCGGTCAGATGATTGGGTGCACATCAAGAAGAATGCTGACTCACTGTAGATTCAAAATGGCTGGGTGGTTAGGCATGTCTAATACTCCTCTTATCAAGTTTTCGTACGATTCGAAATTTTTGAGTAACCTGGCATCCTGCTGTTAGCCATGGGCGAGAGTATAATCTTTCTAGTAGGGCGTACAGCTCATCGTTGATCGCTGTCTTTTCGTCAGCGGTTGGCACGCGGGCAGAAAGCTCTAATAACTCACACAGCTCCAAAAAGACAAGATCCGTTTCTTGAGGTATATGCTCATGGAAACAATACGAAAAGTAATCGGATCCTGCGTCTTTGATCAGTTCATCCATGTGCGCTGAAAGATGAAAGGTCGACATACCTGTGCCACCCAAAGCACCACTGACAAAGCTATTCTTTCCCTCCTCATAACGTCCTATACTGACACCCCCTTTTGCAGGGAAAAGCTCGTTCAGATGATCAAAAATACGTCGATGGAGATTCATGGGAGCGATTTTGTTGAGCGGGGTGCCAAGGCCTTGTCCATTGGACACTGCGGTTTGTAGTAGTCAGTTAAGGTCTGAGGAAACGCTGCTAGATGAGAGTGCAAGCTTACCTGATCCACCTATCACGCCCACAGTGAATCCCTCGCCAGATTTAGCCTTGGCGATGAACCGTTGAATACGCTCTCCAGTACCTAAATAGCCACCATCAGAAGACCACCCCACGGCGAGCTGAGAGTACACACCCAAATATGCCTGCGCCTTTCTCATATTGTTCTCGCTACGGACGATATCAGTGTCTTGCGCACTGACACTTTGGGGAGACTCACCCTATCTCTTTGCAGAGCTCAGGAGCTACCGCACACATCGAGCAGTCCTGCAGCTCTTTCACCTGACCCACAGCCCCCGTCTGACCGAGCCCCTTATCATGATTCACTTTGCCTGTAGTTACCCACAACTTGGGGTGCCTGCTCCATCTGTCTCTCTCTATATCTCGGATGGACCACGTCGAAGGCGGAGTGGGAGTAGGGCCACATGAGGAAGTAGTAGCGAGCGAAAGGTCGGGTGTGAGGGTATGATGGAGCGGAAAGAAGGTGACGAGGATGATTAATATATTGAGAATAACTGAGAATTTGAGGTATACTGCTGCCTTGTATGATCCGGTCATAGTGTCCAAGGGATTTTGTAAGCGTTTGGTCTTTGCCGTCGCTGGACTATTTTGAAGGCGGGCTCAATTTTAAGAGATGTCGTCGTCAAGAGGCACTTAGAAGATTATATAGAGAACAGAAAGCATTACATTGCAAAGCATTTGCCGGCCTGTCCGCTGAATGTAATGAGTGTGGCTGTGAGCCAAATCCTGTGGAGACGAATGAGATGGAAGTGAGCTCCAAAATGTTCCAAAATATCGCCCAGTCAAGCCAACAATTCCAACAAAGTTCGCGCGCTTAAAACAGCCGAACGACCCGAGAGTCCGAGACAAGAGCCGAGAGCCGGCACTCCAGTCCCCAGATATCCGGGAAACTTGGTCTCCTTGATCTTCTTTCACCTGTACTGGTCTGCTTCCGTTCGCTGCAAATGATATAGCTGTATGTATAACTGCATAACTACCTGCTGCGTGCCTTGATTGTTGTACTACCCGAGTATGGAAGACACGCGACCGATGGAACACCCCGATGGAGTGAAGTAGCAAGTGGAGCCTGGGACGACTTTTGATGAAGCAGGTGGCAGGCGGAGCAGCCGTACCCTAAGATGTTAATGGAAGGCAGGCATGGCAGGCCCACTGCAACCAATAAGCTGGCTTATAGCTCTGAGGCCGGTGAAGATGATAGGAGATTCGGAAATTTCGGGCAGCATGTGGGTGCGGTGCCTGGGGCCTGGGGCACGAGTAGCGACGATCAGGTACCGGGTGCCTCCCACAGGAACGAAGGGTTCTGGCTTGCTGGGTTTGCCATCGTCCATCGCTCCGGGAAAATTCATGGCCCTGCTGGGCCTATGAGAGCACGCACAAGAGCACTCCTGGAGCAGATCCTGTCTCCAGAATCCCGTCAGATCTCTCGCTCATAGATATGATAACCTCGGGGTTCCTGGCAACCGACCATCATTGACGTTTGACGGTGAATTTCAGGAGTATGTGAGTCAGTCCTTCTAACACCTTGATAACGCTCCTTTGTCACAAATGTCCTGGTGTGCCCAATTGCATGAGGATCCTTTGTCAAAGCGGTAGACGCCAGGATCGATGACTGAGAATCGAGAGCTGTAAACGACATATGCACATCCCGTCATCTCCGTCAGTAGCATACCCCGCAATCAGGCGATAGATCAGGAGGAGCATTATACATAGCTGATTCATACCCCACAAGCCACCTCTCATGGTCCCCTCATAAGTTGGCAAAGGGACGGCCGGGCACAGTTGCTGAGACGACCGCTGTTGACGAGACGACGTATATACGTATAACAGCAGCTGCTTCCTTTCACTGCTGTCTTCCGTCCGACTGCCACTGACCCCACACTGCGACATCAAAGCCGGCAACCTATGACCTTTCCAGACAGCATGTACCGCAAACTCAAGATTGCCGGACTCATCCTCGCCATGTTCCTGTTCGTATCATACCACCGTCTTCGATGCTCAATATCGGAACCATCAGAGCCGCCCCAGCGAAGAGACGTCAAGCTGGATTTCAAGACTGCTGAGGTTTGGGTGTTTGAAGAAAGCGTCCATGATGGTAGGTCGTTCCCTGTACGTTGTAGTGAAGCTAACAGCTCCTTTACAGAAGTCAATGGCGCCATAGCAGTGGGGCTTCAGGCTGCCAAAGTAATGCCCACCTTTGCTTGTGAGTATCTAACAGCAGACAATGGGCCATGCGGCTGACCAAGGATATCTCTAGGCCACTTTCGGCATGAGTTTTCGAACATTTTGTCATCTATCGTGAAGGAAGAACCTACGGTCGTCAGACCCAACGGGCCTGATTTCCACAAAGCGCTTGCTGAAGACTCCATTGACAATGTCATTTTGACCACTTGTGCGTATTCTCCTGAACTCGTTTTATTTCTGCTAGGATGCCCTAGCTAACGCTAAAGATAGGTCTCAGCTCGTTGCAACGACACAAAACAGCAATCTATGCCTCCACTGCCCATGTCGTCTGCCTGATACACCATTCCAGCCCCCACGTCTACCACGAGCTCAAACCCTTGATGGAGCCCCTGGCAGAGCAAGGCCGTCTATCGATAGTGGTGCTTGGCGAGCATGTCCGGGAGAGGATACAAGGGGATCTCAACATCTGGACCGAGAACATGGAGAGTACTGTGTGGGAGAGTGTTCCTGTGGAAGTCATGCTCCCTGTAAGTGTGCTTTGACAAGGTGCCCGTCAACAAATGCTGATTGAAGCTGTCAACAGATATTCGACTACCCTTCTTCGTCTGACAGACCAGAACCCGCCATTTTTCCCAGTCGAGCCATCGTTCAAGGCAACATTGAGCCCGGAAGAAGAAATTACGAGAAGCTGCTGTCAGACCTTCGAAATTCTTTCCTGAGTGAGCAATTCAACATACATGTCTTGCCTCGAGAAGTCTCTGACGTGAAATAGAATCACCTGCTATGTGGGGATGGTATGGATTAGAAGGATCCCCTCTTCGTCCTCTCCTTGACAGCTCGCCCTTCACCTTACACCTAGTCGGCCAGATCAATCAACAACATCCCGTCGTCATCCCAGTAGAGCTCCGAGATGTCGTGCAAATACATTACGACCTTCCATACCCTGAATTCTATCAGCTTATATCCGAAGCTGCGAGTCTGACAACTCTTCTCACCACTGGCAAGCACTGACGACCTGTAGGATGTAATGATCCCTGCATTCAGAGACAGAGGACCCTATGAAGATACCACCTCCTCCTCGATAGCCGCAGCCGTAATCACCAGGATCCCCGTCCTCGCCAGCGCCCGCCATCTCCTCGCATACACATATCTCAAGGGGCCAAGCATCATTCAACGACTGATATCTACTTCCGAAGTATCAGCTTTGGAGGCTATCCGAGCCCAAGGGCAGCCGAGAAGAAGGGAAAGCAAGGAAGAATGGAAAGAGTTCCAGGGTGAAATTATCCAGGATAACGCGGAAATGTGGGGGAGGATACTGAAACATCGATCGTACGGTGGAGTGATTGGGGGCCAAAAGTAAAGCCATAGGGCACTAGACATAATAGAAGCTATTTGTACAGTAATGTAAGATATAGTCAGATCGTCATAGCGTTACTCCGAACCAACAACTTTGATTGCGGGACACAATAGCAGTCATCTTTGAACGAGGGATCACAATGATCCGACCAAGCGGCAAACAACCTAAGGTTATCCTTATTGACATGTCAGAGTAGAATAGAAGTGATTGAGAGGTAGGCGAATTGTTTGTGGTCAAATCCGTTATGTAGATATAATTTCGAACGAAAATATACAGGAGTAGTGCGACAGTGGTTACTCGGTTCGATTAGAATTTTGCAATTCCTTCATCGAATGCCGTCAGGCGCGCAGGTTCGAGTCCTGCCTGCTCCTTGCTTTTTGCATTATCATCTGGCCCCTGCTTGACAGAGGCAGGTTTGGGAGCGTTCTTGATTTTTTGATCAGGCTGGTACTTGATCTCCTCTGGCTTGTGAAGTTGTGACTGTGTGATTCTTGTTGCTTCAAGCTGGCATAGTAGATACATGTGCTTTTGATTCACCTGATGCATTTTTCCTGAGCAGCGTATGTTGCATAGTTCTTGAGTTATATAGCCCAAAGACAACTATCAAAAAGTCGTCGCGAGTGCAGCAAGGAGCCAGGGAATTCTCCGGTGCCTCGAAAATGTTCTTCGGAGATACATAGTGAGGCTCAACAAAGCCCCTCAGCGCTGTCGCCTGCAAGCATCTTCTGTAAACTCGAGTGGCGCACATGAAAAGGAGCGTTGACCCATGTGTTACTTGTCACCTACATAGAATTATAGATGCCTCGGCATATCCCGAAGACGCCATCGACAGAATCACCAGAAGAGAAGCCTGATAGGCGTCATTACAGTAGTGGTGTCTTTATTACTTGGGTGATCCACACAGAACTGTCTACTTAACATATATACTACTACTTGTGTGTTTTATGGGGGCTAAAGTGTTAGCAGGAGTTATCGGGATGAGGATGGTTGTGGCGAGTGCTGTGTGGTCTGTTGGCGTGCCTGCCCTTGTGTGGCCTGTTCCGTTTAGAGTAGCGTCTTCGGCTTGTGGTTTCTTCCTTCTCTTCTTCTCTTCTCCATATTCTTCTTCCCTCTTCTTGCTCGTCCCCTCGCCCCCCTTTTTCCTACAGCCTTTTCTTTTTCTTTATCATGCCTGCTCGACCCCCCGACTCCTTCCTCCGCTTCTACCTGGGCACCAGGACCAACGAGGAGCTTCGTACCGTGCTTAACGACGCCGGCTGCGGGCCTACCGACCAAAATGATAAGGCTGGCCTGGTCTCCCTCATTATGGACAATCCCTACGTCCCACTCCCGGAATCCTGGGATGTGGACTTTGCAGGGATCGTCGCTGACATTCGTAGGACCGAGGCTCCCGCTACCACTACCGAGACACCCGCTACCACTCCTTCTCCTTACCCTCCCCCGCCTCCCCCGCTCACTAGTCTTGACCACTCTATGGCACAACTCCAGCAGATGATGAGGGACTTAACCACGAAGGTGGACCAGCAACGCGAGTACATTGACCAACAGCTCCGTGAGCCCCTTCCTACTATGGCTACTTCGTCTGTGCCCGAGCCTGTGCCCGAGCCTGTGTCCGGGTCGTCTACTTTTGGTTCTTCTCTTCCTCCTGCTGTCCATGTTTCTCCTCCTTCTGCTGTACCTTCTTCTGCGCCCCCGGCGCTTACCAACCGGTCCCCGAGTACTCCCCTTCGTGGGGCTGTACCCTCCCCCAAGGTGGATGCCCGGTCCGAGTGGGCCTATATTCCTCCCAGCGTTTTTGACTCTGTGGTGGATGGCTCATTCGAGATCCGGGATCTCTGGAAGCTGGACCCCACCCGTCGTCTGGAAATTGACAAGATGGGCAAGGCGGTTACCAGCGACCGCGCCTTGAACGGCTTGGCTGAGCTCTTGCAGAGCACCTCGGCCTTTGCTGAACAGTCTCGGTCAGCCACCAAGTATCGTTCGATGGACGACATCATTTTGCCGTGGTCGGTCTTCTGCCGTATTCGCGATGTCGCGCAGCCTGGTAGCGGCCACTACCTGTCTGCCCACGTCACCCAATTGTACTTGGCCTCCTTTGCCCTGCGTAAAAACTTTCACGCGGTTCTCCGCTACCACCTAGACGTCTGCCAGAAGCGCCTGAGTCTCGGTGACGCCGTCGTCTGGGACGACTGGTGCTCTCTCGACAATGTCGTCCTTAACACTTCTCTGGTCCAATCTTTCGCGTCTTCCTCTTCTACCTCTGGGGTTCCCCGCCTTCCTTCTGTCTCTTCTCCTAGTGCTTCACGCCCCCGGTCGTTCTGCCGTAACTGGAACCAGGGCACGAAGTGCCGCTTTGATCCTTGTTCTTGGCCGCACATTTGCTCGTCCTGCCTTGCACCTGGACATCGGGGCCCCGCCTGCCCGTCGGCCTTGCGGGCGGCGGGTGGTCCTGCGAAGGATATCGCCTTTTACTCTTTTTCCTTTGCTTGTTCCCCATGACACGATTTCTGTGCGCCTCTGGCTCTCAGTATCGCTTTTTTACTCTTTTTCCTTTGCTTTTCGCCATGACACGATTTCTGTGCGCCTCTGGCTCTCCGTATCGCTCTTTTCTCCTCTTCTATCATAGTTTTCTTGTTAGGGCTCCTTTTTAGTCGCTCGCGAGTATATCTCTACGGCCTTGTGGAGCGGACGTCGAAAATGCATATGTCTCTAGCGCTGGGCGGGTCTTGGGTGGGCACTGTTGAACAGAAGACGTGGAGGGAGATAACGGGCTCAGTGAAGCAATGCTAATGAACATTGAACCTTGCAACAAGGACAAAAAGATAATGTGCCTCCGTGCCGATTCGAACGACAGACCTCCCCATTAGCAACTTATTGATCACGTACTAGTGGGGTGTTATAACCAACTAAACTACGGAGGCTGAGTATATATGCGATAATCCTGTATTGTGTCGATCAACAGCGCACGGTTTGAAGCTGGCTTGGCTTTACCTCGAATCCACAAGATTGTGCCCGACAATAGTTCTATACACATGCGGCATGACATGAGTGTCTTTCCCTAAACTAGCTAGTTTCCACCGTAGGATACACAGTCACTAACTCGTACAATGCGAAATCATTATATATGCGAAGAATGCGTCTGCTTGACGATGAAGGACGATCAACCAACGCCAGTGCTATACGCGACCACTACTCTTCAGACACCTTAGGACTCCAAGATCTCGGGGGCCCTCCAGGAGACATCATCGGTATAGTCCGAAGGATGATGGAAGGTGTTGAGAATTTGACAACGAGTGACCCTAAAAGAGTCGCTCGTTGGTGGGATGTGAGGGGTGAAGTGTGAGGAGGCGTGGGATTGACAGATACAGTCGACAACCCTTCTGCCTCTGGGATGTCTGCTTTGGGATACAGAGCCAGCACCAAAGCCATAGCCTCCTCAGCTGTCAAATCTTCCTCCAAAGGCTCTTCCCTCCCCGGAATCGCACCCATATGCCAAAATGGCACCTGTGGGCTTTGTAGGATATCCATTGCCTGAGGGAATGTTTGGGCAAGGAAAGCGAGGAAAACCGGATAAGAGGCGTGGGATTTTGGGAACACCTGAGGTGATGCGAGAGTGAAGGCGGTGAGAGAGAAGAGTAAAGACGTCGACAGTCTGAGGAGTCGCAGAGATGGGAGGGGAAAGGGGTTTGGTGGTGACAAGCTCGATGAGAGCATCACGAGTGAGAAGTGGGGGGCGAGGGTGACATCCCTTGATGCCCGAACAGCTTCCTGTATGATCATCTTCCAGTTCAACATCGCGACACCGGATGAAGGAAGATTGGGATATGAGGATGTTGATGTTTCGTCTTTGGAGTAGTGGATCAGAGCTTGTATGATAGGATTGGCCATGTTCGCGGCTCGTCTGAGAAAGTCGTGATAGAGTTCGGGCCCATGTACAGATACCAACTAATGGTGGAAGTCAGTCTCACGTCTCTCGCTGCCGCGTACATGCACTCACATTTCTAATCTCATTGGACGCCCTATCGAAGTTGTCTTCTGTGAGAGTTCTCACCATGAAGCCGACTTGTCCCTTGACGACTGAGATTGCTTGTACTGGATCCCTTTTCCCTCCACTTCCACTGCTTCCACCGATATTGACACCCGTCCCAAACCCCATCGTGCTATTCCAAGTCATGGAAGCGGAGTCACTACTGGTAGGAGATTGAGGGAGAGCACCGCTCCAGCTGGCAGGGGCTGACTTGATGGTCCCGCCCCCCAGTCCGGGAGGAGGGATGGTCATAGGTTTTTCGGGTTTGCGCGAACAGCAGGACCGATCTCGTTGAAGAGTTGGCGAGAGGGGGTGCGTCTGGAAGACTCAGTGCTTGCTGGGCCGTAGATGGATGGCCGCTTGGTGAGACTTTTTGGGGTTTTGGAAGGGGAACGATGAGCTGAAAGGGTGGCCGAGATGCTGGGGGAGAAGCTGAAGCAGAGAAGGAGGCTAGACACCAGAAGAAGAGGCAGAGAAGAGGCAAGGCCGCTCACGGCTCGTATCCTCTTATACGATCTGCTTTCGCGGCGATGTCCGCCCCATCTTTGCGTAGGTGTATGAATGGATGTATGATCCGAATGCCTCTTTGCCGTTGTCCAAGCTAGCAAACTGCCCCTCATGAGTTATACCAGGTGCCCCGTGTCATACCTATAATGTCAGAGAAAGGAAGGACTTTCTTTCAACTCATTTTGGTAATGAGCTGAAGGGAACCTCCTGCTGTTCTTGGAAAGCACGACTCAGTGGTAATAACAGGATTCCATAAGTCCCTGGGCTTGCCTCTGGCTGCAGAAGAGGTGTTGTCTTTTCTTATAGTCTCCGATGACTAAGGAGAGGTTTGGCCTAAGGGCTTTCTCAAGTCGGTAAAATGTATTTTTGGGGAGCATATCATAGTCGTCAAGAAGTTCTTGCCACCTTTCCACTCTCCTTGGAGGCCTATACAAAGAGCAAGCTTCTGCCATAATGATAGGAGTGCTGCGGTTGGCCTTGAGAGATTCGGCACGGTAAGCGGGCAACATGCTGTGTGTTCGATTGTATCTTCGAGAACAGGTCGATCGATGGTACAGCTCTGGTCTGGGGGATCATCGATGTGATAGGATTGTTCAAGATGCATTGTGGACTTATACACGATTGAGGGGCGGGTTATAGGAGAGGGAAGCACATCGGAAAGACGGCGGAAACCGACTGTTCGACATCACACTTTCTGACAGCCGACGTTCATTCGTGACTGCGTTGACTTTGGTTGTGCTCACTGTTGTGCTCACTCATGATAGTAACATTATGAAGCCACCAGTCGGACCACGGCAACAGACATGCATCCCGCCCTGTCATGGAAAGGCAGAGCACCAAAGTGCCACCGGCGTCACCGGCCATCACATTCCTCTTGATGCCCTCCTACTTGCACCCAGTCCGCTCTCTGGCACTCCCTCGAGCAGTACTTCGCCCAGTCACAACCGCCACACTTATAAGACGGAGGCGAAAGCCTGAAGTTGAGGCACCATCTACAGACTTCTTTTCCTCCCCATCTATCTTGATCTTGTGGCTTGTTGTCGGGACGATTGATCAAGAACCATGTAGGCGAGCCGATTTCGTGAATTAGTTGAGGTTTGTTGTAGGCGTTGTCTGTGCTTTCAAAAGCAAACTTCATGTTGTTTTTGACGCATAGACGGATGGAGGCATCATTCCCGGTCGTTGGGTCAGACTGGCAAATACTTATAAGCATCCGTCACTTGGGGGCTCGGCGGCAATGTCTGGACTCGCCTGCACCACAGCACACCCGACCTCTTCCATAGCGAATCGTAGGACCTCCACAAAAGCCTCTCCCATTATCCCCTGCCCCCAGAGCTGAGGATGATTCTCATAGAACATCTTCCCGGTTAGTCCAGCTTGGTGCAAATGGGCGAAGGTCGGTTGCGTGAAGACTTCACCCTTCTTTGGGAGAAAGGACGATGAGGAAGGGTTTTTGAAAGAGAGTGACAGAGCTATGTTACCTACACAATATCAGTAAACGCTGCAGGGAGATGCACGCTGTTGCTCACCGAGATATCCTTCGGCAGACGTGATCCGGTTTGTGATTTTGATATTGCCTGGAGGTTTTATCTCGATCAAAGACGGATCAACGGCGGTTATCGCAAAAACGTATTCTTCCCTGAACTTCTTGTCTGGAGTTGTTGCCACCCGAGGCATACTAGATAGATTAGATAGGTCAGCTTATGAAGGTGTGGTATCGACTGAAACGCATGTACCTCGATCTTACGTATCTATTTTGGAATGATTCTTTGATATCTGACATCGACGGGGAGCCGTATCTGAATGGAAGTCAGCTTGAAAAACACACAAGTGACATTTGACACGTACAGCTGAGTCTTCTGAACCGAGGGCTCCATCTTGATCCGTCTGATCCCCGTGGTGTCACCCACTTCAACCTGCCGAAGGCGAAGCCTGGGTGTCTTCAATTCTATATTCTTACATGAAGGGGTACGGAAGATGTTGAGAATAGGACGCGTCTGTTACGGGGGGATACCCTCTTCAGCAGATGTTCTATATCGTAGCGAGAGAACATACCCGATCATCAAGAATGTACCAAGGCGATAGAACAAATTGCTTGGCGCCTTTCTTCAAATCCTTCTCCCACTTTCTAGTATCTTCTGGTGACTCTGGGACAGGTGCAGGCGGCTCTTCTGGGATATTGCCCAGCCATACAGCTTTTGTCACTGAGGCCTGTACGCATAAGCACATTTTCTAGCTTCCAATGTTGCTTCAGCGAAACTACCCACCTTGCTTTTATTACTCTTCTTTTTCTTCTTTTTCTTCTTCTTGGAATCGCCGCTCCCAAGATGACTTTCTCCTACAGCTTGCTCGTCCTCCACCTCACTCTCGACATTGAGTTCGCCTTCGGCCCCGGTATCAAGACTGACTTGGTCCAGTTTCTGTATGACATCGGTAGTCATTCTGACGATGTATCGAGTGATGTTGGTCTATAGAGAGTCCAGCCAGCAAGTCCCTTCACGGGGAGATACCACTGTGAGGTTTGTTGTTTTGACCACACTCTCCTTTCGAGTTCTTTTGACTTTGGACAGCCGCCGAGCATTGCGGGGGCAACAGCGCCTGCAGAAGAAACAGAAAGTGGAGGTCATTTACGTAATTCTGCAAAAAGTCTGGCTTGTTGTTGCTAAGCAAGGAATATGGATTGCTGAGTGATACACGGCCAGCGTTCTCGTCTTGCACTCCCTCACTCATCAATCTCCTCCTTTCACCCCGACAAAAATGGCCAGCAGCGACATCGAATGGGCCTTACTACGAGGGGGGTCAATCCCTGTCGACACGGTCGCCAGCACCCTCAAAACCAAGGAGCTCGCGACGAGTCTTGCCGAAGCTGACTTCAAGTCTATCCTTCTGTCGCCCGAGGCTCGAGCAGTCTTTGCTTCGACACCCGACCTGTTCGAGGGGCTTCCCTTCTCGCCTGCCTCTGCAGACTCTTCCGCAGAGACTTCTTCGGCTATCCGACTGATTGTGGCCATAGCCCTCATTCACTCTTTCGTCCAGGTGAACTGGACTGGGCCCGAGCTGTCTTTCAATACCCTTGAAGTGCTCGATACAACGTCATCAAGCGAAGAGGACCTGAATAACGCGGCCCTCCCCTTCCTGACATTGCAGGGCGAGCCCGCATACCACCTCTCCCAGCAACCGGCCCTTTTCCTCTTGGGCAGAAGACTTTTGCTTTCCCTCGAGAGTGATGCCCAGATTTCCTCGGTGCCTGCGTGGACCCTTAGACTTCATCTTATCCACCTCGCCCTCCTCGACGAACCCGTCCCTCCCCCTACTTCCGTCCTCGACTCCATCAAAGCTCTTCTCGAAGATCCTGCTGTCAAAGCGGATCAGGATCTGACTGCTCAAATTCATCTCGAGCAGGGTCTATTGCATTTCCGATTGGGCACAGACAAACATGCCAATCAGGAGTTTTTGTCTGCAGCCAAATCGAGTGGTCTCGAATTCGAATTGACTGGTGCGCTGGGTAAAAAGACCAAATACCAGGTCGCCGCGCACAGTCAGCTGGTGCTTTTGGCAGAGTCCAGAGCTCGGGATGGGGAAGGAAAGGAGAGAATTTCGGCGGATAGTGAAGAAGGGGGAGAGAAGTTACCGGAAGCTCTGCTATTGAACGACGACACACTGTTGGAAGAGACCGAGTTTACAAAAGTCACCCGCGACGACAAGTCGACCTCGCGACTAGCCCACCTTGACCCTTCCGATCAACCGCCCCTCCACCCGCTTGATCAAGCTCTTCTCATCTCCTTTTGTCTTTCCCAATCGAACGACTCTCCATCTTTGGGTCTGACGTCTCAGCAAATGATGCCTTTCCTCTCTCGAGTCATCTCGCATCCTCGAAACTGGTCCGTCCATACCACCGCTCTTCTGCTGCGATCTCGTCTTGAGGCAGGCAGATCAAGGACTGTCGAGCGTTCCTGCTTGCAGCTCCAGGCCCTCATCGAGCAGATGCCTACGAGCGACTCTGAGCCGAAAGAGAGATTGAGATACTTCCATCAGCTTCCTTTGCCTAGCAAGTGGGAGATGGAGAGCGAGCTCGCCAAGCGCTTCATGACAGTCGGTGTCATTCGAAGTGCTCTCGAGATTTTCACTCGCTTGGAGATGTGGGAGGACGCCATTGGGTGTTTGCAAAAGATGGAGAGGGAAGAAGAGGCTGAGGGAATTGTGCGAGATCTGCTGGCGGGCAAGAAGGTAGAATCAGAGCTGGTGCCTACTCTGGGACGAGCGACAGTTAGCGAGATGCGCAAGCAAAAGCTGACTGCCGCTCGAGAGGGCAAGCTTTGGTGTCTTCTCGGTGACCTTGCCCTTAACGTTCATGGGGCTGCTCACGATCCTGCTGCTGCCCGTGCCACTTCCATCGAGCACTACAACAAAGCCTGGGAAGTTTCTGAACACACTTCGTCTCGGTCTCAGCGTTCGCTTGGCTCTCTCTACATGGGCACGCAAGAGTTTGAGAAGGCAATCTCCTGCTTCCAGGCGTCGCTCAACATCAACCCCCTCTATTCTCGTGCTTGGTTCACTGTGGGTGTGGCATACGTGAGGATGGAGAAGTGGCACGATGCCAGGGATGCGTTTAGGAAGCAAGTTGGAGTGGATGAAGATGATGCGGAGGGGTGGAACAACTTGGCGGCGGTGTACCTCAGGCTGGAAGAGGAAGGCGTTGCCGAGAATGAAGTGAGTAGAAGCGGACGATCATGTATCGAGCTGACATGACAGGCTCCGCCGGTGTCGTACGAAAACAAGATGCTGGCTTTCCGAGCTCTCCGCCAAGGTCTTCGATTTGCCTACACCAACTGGCGCATGTGGCAAAACTACATGATCGTCGCTGTCGACGTCGGGGAGCTTTCTGAGGCTGCCCGCGCCATGACACGTGTTGTCGAAACACTTGCCAACTCCAATCCCGAACAAGCCATCGACGCCGACGTACTCGACAAGCTCGTGGATAGTGTCACTCGAGACGACTTTTCTTTGAGCAAGGACGAAGCCACAAAGGTTGTGCCCAAGACCAGCAACGAAGGGTTTGGTCTTCTACCCATTGTTGAGCGATTGTTCGATGTGGTCATTTTCCCTCGAGTCTCCGACAACCCTCGAGTATGGAGGACACATGCTCGTCTGCTGAGATGGAAGGAAGACTGGGAAGGCGCGATGGAGGATACCCTTCGAGCCTGGCGGTGTGGGCCTGTTGCGGATGAGGGTGTTGAGAGAGATCTCGCCAAGTGGCAGGAGGCCGTCACGGAGCTGGAAGACTTGGTCGCTGTGCTGAGTGTGTTGGGACCCAAGGCGAAGGCGGTGCAGGAGAGTTCAGAGGGCGAGAAGAAGCGAAAGAGTGATTGGAAGTTCCAAGCCAGGGGTCTAGTGAGGACATTCATGGGAAGGACGAAAGACTCGTGAGTCGTGAGAATGTTTGGCGACTATGAGACCGCTGACAATTTTGCAGATTCGAAGGCGAAAAGGATTGGGAGAGACTACAGGAGCTGTTAGATGAGCTCAAAAGGTCGGAATAGGTCTATGTGACCCCGGTCTATCCGTTTCCATTGCATCTATGTCATATCCATCATCATTATGCACGGTTGTGCTCTATATCAGTGTCTGGTGATGCGTTTAGTGACGACCATCGGCACGGTAAATGCAAGCTTGATGAACAGTCTAGAGGTCAAGCTATAGTCGGCTCATTCCATGATATGGCGTATGCAGTGGACTCATGAGCGGCTATCCCTGCAATGGGGCACGAGTGATTAGTGACCCTTTCAAAATGACTTCAGATGCTCTGTAGGCGCCAACTCGCGAATTCGATACATATACCATACTAACTCGATACATGGGGGGCAATAATCCGTCATCACCGCGAACCCAGCTAACAAGATGTCTGATGATACAGAGAGCTATATGGAAAGAAAAGACCGACTTTGTAATTCACAGATGGCCGTCGTTTGACGAACCGACCGACCGAACTAGATTTTATAGTGGGGCTACCACCGTCCCCCGTCGAAAAAAGACATGATCCCAGTTGTAGACATGAAACAAGCAGCTATTCACAGTCCCCGTGCCGGGCCTCTGAGGTGTATGCTGAAAGTCTGCAAACGCTTATGCGATCAACTAGTGATGCTGCTTTGCTTGATGACGCTTCAGAGCGTCCATCCTAAACACGAAATCAGCAATGTCTCATTTTTCTCGTTCAACGTCAAAACGTACCTCGTAAAACTTTCCCCACATGTACCACACTGGACCTTGGGCTTGTCCTTGAACTTTCTCCACAAGACCGCCTTTTCATTATCGAGCGCACCCTCCACCACCAGCTCGCCTTCTCGCCGAGCATGACGGGCCATATGTCGAGGTAGATCGTATTTACGGGTGAAGACGTCGGTGCAGCGATTGTAAGGCTATAATCGAGTCAGCTCTGATGCTTTCAAGATTAGAGACATGTGACTTACAGGCAAAGGATTAATGTAATCACACTGTACTCCACCAGGGGGCACATGAACAGCTTCCTTCGACGGTCCTTTGGCGAGTCCATTCGGCATATCTCCAACCTTCCTGACCTTCTTGATATTCCCCTGCTTCGTAACACCCCCGGGGGCAGTGGCAAGGTCGACTTTGCTGGCCAAAGTCCTACCTCTCGGCCCTCCTGCCGCAGCGGTACTCCCCTTGGGCCGGCCTCTTCCTCGACCAGTCACTTTCCCACGCTTCGGTGCAGAACTGCTTCCTCCATAATCACTATCGTGATCGCTCGGTACGGGCTCTGACGTTGAAGGAGAATGGTAGTCGCTAAGCTCCTCCTTGATCGGCTCATCCTCGTCCACCTCTTCGAGATCCTCGTCCATCGGCTCCAATTCCATCTCGCTTCGGCGTCGTTTTCTGGGAGGACCCGGGACAGGAGGCGTGCTGCCTTCTACCTCCGCATCGCCCCCAGGCGGGACACCTGTGGGTATACCACTAGCTCTCCACTTGTCCACCGCCTCCGCACCAGCTTTGCGCTTGCCTTTGTGCTCGAACGCGGGATCATACGGCGTACCAACGTGCGAGGCGTGCGGCAAGCCATGGGCTGCACGCCACAAAAGGTCGAGGCCGCTCTGAGCAGATTGAGATGACGTAGAATGGGAGCGTTCGCGGGCGGCGTGGCCGACTGTAGCCGCATCGTCGTCATCTTCTGGTGGTTCTGACGAGGCGGCTGTGGAAGCAGACCATGATGGGCGAGAGGCCATGCCGGGAGGAGGCGTACCCGCTGAAGCACCGACAGGGATAGAGTTGCGATGCTGTATTGAACGATCGGCGGAAGGTCGGCGAGGGGAGGAAGGTTTGGTGGAGGATGGAGGAGGCATGCAGCTGAATGAAGCTGTACGCTCCTTGTCCCGGGCAAATTGGCTGCCGGGGCTGTTTAGGTAATTTGACTGCTGCCACTGGTGGGCGGGTACCCATTCGATCGACGGTATACACCAGTCAGACTCTTCGGAGCTCGTACTAGCAGCATCAGTGCTAGACGATGTGGACGATTGGCGAGTCACAGGAGGACCAGCCTGCTGAGGAGTGACAAAGTTGGTATAATTGCGCGGTATGGCAAAGTTGTCGGTGGGATAGGGAAGGCCTGGTGTAGGCCCTTGGATGACGGTGGATGTATTGTTGAGCTGGCGGACAGCTTCATCGGCTCTGGCAAGAGCCGCAGCTTGTTTGGCGGCTACATCGGGGTCGTTACCATTGCCGAAATACCCCAAACCGCTGGCCAGGTAAGACGGATAGGCCATCGGACTATCCATCGGAGATTGACTTATCGGGAAGCCCTCCGGTCCATAGCTCGATCCGAGATAGGAGGGTGGTACGGGATGCTGGGAGGAGGATGACTCGGTAGAGCTCGAGTACGATCTCGATACGCCGTGCCCATTACGCCCCACGCCGATCTCTTTCCCATTACTGCCATCGTTCCCATTTGGCTCTTGACTCGGCGGCTCGACAGCCATTTCCTCCGGGGTCTCGCTGACTGCGTTCATCATGCCCAGAATTCCCTCGCCCGGTAATTGCCCGTTATTGGAGATTGGGGATCGGACATTGAGCCCGTCCATGTCGCCCGCCAACTGCTGCTGCCCTGCTCTCGGCGTCCTTGTCCCGGGCGAACTCGGCGACAGAGGTACGCTTTTCATTGCGGGACTAGCAGTCCCCGACTCTGATGTCGCCGTTGTCGCAGTCGATCCTCCCGACAGGACCCGCTGCAGAAGAAACGCTTTCGGCTCTATAGGATGAGCCGCGTCTGGTTGAGCTTTGTCAGCAAGGACAGAAGTGAGGGGGGCGAACGAGTCGGCAGGTTTGGGGAACGGTGATTTAGATGATTTAGGGGATCGTGGGGATGATGGAGGGGGGGAGCGCGTCGAGACCATGATGATCAAGCAGGTGCTGGGGCGAGTGAGATGGCAGTTTTTGTGTGTTCTGTTGTGGGCGAGGAGGAGAGTCAGTATGAAGAAGATGGCTCTGGCGGCCTTGGCCGGTGTCATATCTGCGTACCTGGGAAGATGGGGTGGGTGTCCGAGTGACTTGAGCAAGGGCTGTGGGGTGAAAGGACGGGGCGGAGACAATGGGGGAAGACTACTGCAGCAAGAATATAACAGGAGGAGATCTCGTCATGATGCATCGATGGCGGTGTTAAACAACGCCCGGGCGGACATTGCCGGGTGGCAAATCGCCCAGTACGTAATCGCCATCGTTTGCCAGTCGCCAACAACAAAGAAGGGATTGCTGGTGCATGTATTCCTGGAGGCGAGGCATGTCATCGGCCGGAGCGTGCGCTATGGCTGGCGCGCTCCACTTTCTTACCAGCCCTTGCCTTCAAAGCCAAGGTTCATCATCTGAGGATCTCAAACGCCAGATGTATGCTCCAGAATAGATGATCCCTAGGCTGGAGGTTGAAGAGCCTCATACTCATACTCTTACATGCCTTCATGCCGTCATGTACACCTCACCCTATGATCTCCGCCCAAGAGCCCCAAGGTCCAGGCACTCCGTCTTCTCCAACAACTCTGAGCTCTACATTTTCGCAATTCGGCCCTCCAAAGAAACCAGTAGCTTTCCAGCCTCGCAGTTGAAGTAGCGAGAACATTCCTAATCCCGGGTCAGCTTGACGGTCTCCAGTGGTCAATTTACATACCAAACGCTTCTCGTTCAACTGGCCGTTGCCCCTCTGGCAAATTACGCACGTATGCCAAAGAGAACCTATACTGGAATTGCCTATTGTCCACCTTGGGTTTTGGCGGAGCAGACCTTTGTTCGCCGACATCGTTGGAAGGAGCGGCGGGAAGCATGCGTTGGATGGATTCGCGCGAGAGAGAGTAGACGTCAAGATGACCAATGGTCGTCAGGCCAGAGACGATATTGGAGAGGTTCGTGAACGGGTTGGAAGTGTGGATAGAGTCTCTGTCAAGGGAGTCAGTGAGTTTGTAGTCAACAGAGCAACGTCGACCTACTTTTGCTCTTCTTCAGCGGCCATGAGGGCCTTTCTTTCCTTTTGCTTTTCTGCCCAGCTTTTCTTCTTCTGTCCCGCTTCTTTTTCCCTCTTTCTCCTCTCATCCTCCACTTCCTTCCCCAGCCTCTGAAGTGTCTCCAATATAGTCTCTCCCCTCTGCATCAACTCCCACGCAGCCCTCAGCAATTCCCGCTCTCTCCGCTCCTTCTCCTCCCCGCCACCAGATTCTTGGGCCTGTCGCTCCTGCTCCAAGCGCTCTTGCTCCTTGTGCGCTCGCCGAGCCTTCTTCATCCCCTCCTTGTCGACATCGTTCATCCAGACGTCGTACTTTGCTTCCGGATCATCGTCATTTTCCACATACGTCTCACCATCCGCCGTAAAGCGCCCTTCATTCATCTCATTCTTCATGTTGAAGGGGGTAATGTCGACACCCATATCACCGTCGAGCCCCGTCTTGCTGGGCTCTTCAGCTTCCGAGTCGCTGTCCTCCGCGGGCCCCTTCCCCTTCCCAGGAGCAGAAGGCCGCTCAAACTCTTGCCCCTTAATATCATTGAGGTCCATAAACTCCTTCTTCTTCTTCTCCTTCTTCTCCTCCTGCACATCCTCCGCAAACATATCCACATCATCATCCTCCCCCTCCTTCTTCTTCTCCCCTCCCCCTGCCCCTTCCCCATCCTCATCCTCATCCTCGTCCCCACTGGAATCACTCGCATAAGCCGACTGGTCTACCCGGCTTTTCGCTTTGGACTTGGCAGTACGCGCGTTGGAGACGATATCATCTTGGAGGAAGGCGTCGTCGTCGTCCTCTGTCTGGGAGAGGGGGGTGTTTTGGCCGGAAGCTGAGCGAGAGGCGGATGCGGAGGGGCCAGAGACGCTGGGAGCTGGGGCGAAGCGGGTTCGTTTTTGGGTGGAAGAGGAGGAGGGGGCGGAGCGTTTGTTGGACATGACGCTGAAAGACTAATCGTCCGCGAGAGGAAGAGATCTGGGGGCTCCGAGGAGCCGTGGGTGAGGGGGTGGGCGAGAGGAAAGCGATAGTCCTGACGAAAACAACCCAAGTCATGCACAGTATGACGCTCGTCAAGTCCTAATGCACATTTGGTCCCGCTAATGCTTTGAGACTTTTCAAAAACTTCTATTTGGTTCAACCAGCACTCGATATCTGTCCACTCACCAGCTCCACTTTCTTCAACTTTTCAATCCACTCCTCACAATGGGTAAACTCAAGGCCGCTCTCGCAAACCAACAATTCGGTGCCGCCAAGGCTGCTGCCAAAAAGCGTGCTTCAGCTGCTGAAGAAGCCAAGAAGCAGAGCATCAAGGCGAGCGTCGATGGTGTGAAGAAGGGCAAGAAGCGGGCCAAGGCCAAGGCTGGACCTTCCGCTGGGCCCGTCAATGGGTCTGAGGGCGTTCTCGAGGGCAAAGGGAAGGGAAGGGAGAAGCCCCCGACTATACCGATTGATCCTCTAGACACGGTGCTACTTTTGGGCGAAGCAAACTTTTCATACACTCTCGCGCTTCTCGCCCCGCCTCACAACCTCCCTCCGCACCAGATTCTGGCAACAGTGTATGATAGTGAAGCCGTCACGTTGGAAAAGTACCCCGATGCGGCTGAGAATGTAAAGACCTTGAGAGAGAAGGGTGTGAGGGTCGAATTCGGAGTGGACGCCGGGGCGTTGGAGAAGTGTAAAGCTGTCGGGAAGGGGAGGAGATGGAGTAGGGTTGTGTTCAACTTTCCTCATGTCGGTGAGTACGATAGGCATAGTATTGATTGCATGGGCTGACTTTGAGCTAGGTGCTGGCATAAAAGACCAAGACCGTAACGTCTTGACAAACCAACACATGCTGCTTCGCTTCTTCCGTTCGGTCGAGCCTCTCCTCACGGACGGTCCTACACATATGCCTCTCCCCCAAAGATCCAACAAGAAAGGGAAGAAACAAGCGCCCAAGGCAAAGAGAGCGGACTCTGAGGACCCAGAGTCTGAACTCTCTGGCGTCTCGGATGTCGAAGACCTCGGCTTCGAGGACGATTCTCTCTCCCTCCCCTCAGCACCTCAGGCTAGGGAATTCACCCCTCCGACACGCGCGGGTTCGGTCCTTATCACTCTCCTCACCTGTCTTCCTTACACGCTCTGGTGTCTTCCCCAACTGGCTGCCCGTCCGCCTAGTGTATGTCCCGGCACGAATCTTCCTCAGCCTCGGTACACCCTGCTGAGGTCGTTCGAGTTTAAGCCGGCGGCTTATCAGGGGTATGCGCACAGACGAACGATCGGGTGGAAGGAAGGGCTGAGTAAGGGAGAGAACGAGGAGATCATGGGGAGGAAGGGGGTGCCCAGGACGTATGAGTTTGTGAGATCGGTAAAGGATGAGTAGTATCGTGTTATCAGATATGTATCAGCTGTAGAGATTATCACGGGGACATGACCACTGCAAAGGACCCAATGCGCGATAGATCATACAATGTACATTGGAGTTGCCGAGTAGTTTGTTATAGCTGTACTCCTCTAGGGTATCGCCGGTGCACTGCCATCTGGATCAATTTGATTAGTCTGCTCCGAGGACGTGATGATGAACGACGTACCTGGACACCACAGAAAGCCACAAAGAGGGCGTAGATCACGGCGGCAGCATAGCACGTTGACGCGACGAGATCAGGGTCTTCGGGGTCTTTTGTCGATCCGGTAAGGACTTCGACACGACGAGAGAATAGGGATCCGAGGGCTGCAAGTGCGCTGTCAGTATGGAGAATGCAAGACGGGGCCGGTACGCACCGACGAGGATGACGATGGCGATGATGGAGAAGACGGTGCAGCAGGACGCTGAGGGAGGTCAGTCGATTGAACACGGAATAACAGAGGACATACCGAGTCCCTGGCCGACTACAGGCTTTACGTTGATGGCCATCGTTGCTGTTGATGCTGGACTCCATTCATCCATCGAGAAACAGCAACGACAGTCACAGGCGGCCATCTCCGACATTATTCGACCGCCCGTTTATTTGTTTTTCAAGATTTCCGGCTCGACCTCCACCTTCCGCCTTCAACTTTCACCTCAAGCCATACAAATCCACAGCCATGGCCAAACGCGTCAGCAAAAGGGGCAGCAAGTCTACCAAGCTCCAGAACGGCCTCCTCAACAAGAAGGCCGCCGACAAAGAGGCTGCTGAAGCCCCTGAAGCCCCTGAAGCTCCTGAAGCTCCTGAAGTTCCCAAGAAGGAGTACAACATCAGCGATGCCTTGCGCCAGGCGGTCTTGGACCTCGGAGGAGACGAGGGAGATTTCGATCTGATTGATGGTGTCGATGATGATGATGAGGCTCCAGCTCAAAAGAAAGAGAGTAAAGGGCCCAGCGACAAGGATTTGAAGAAGGAGCTCGGGGATTTCATGAAGGGGCTGGATTTTGGAAGTATCGAGGTTGCTCCTGTGGAATCGAGCGAAGAAGCGAGCGACGAGAGTGAAGAGGAGGAAGAAGGGTCCGAAGATGAAGATGAGGAGGAGGAGGAGGAGGAGGAAGATCATGACGAAGAGGATGAAGATGAGGATGAAGATGAGGATGAGGATGAGGAGGAGGATGAGGAGGAGGAGGAGGAAGGATCAGCAGAGGAAGCAGCCCCGAAACCTGTAGATGTCGCCCCTGTCAAGAGCATCAAAGAGTCTTTGACTCCCAAAGCTGCTCCGGCTGCGTCTGACCCTGACAGCACGAGCGGTGTGGTGAGTTGTCTCTACAACGAAAGAATCGAGCTGAACCCTTGCAGAATGTACCCGCTTCGACTTCCTGGCCCGCTCTTATTCCTCCACTCGAACCGGTCGCCTCTGTGTCCAAACTCGGTCCTCACGACCTCAACAATCTCAGACAGCGAGCCACCAACCTTCTCGAAACCCTTCCCGCTCTCCACCGATCCTCTTCCTCTGCCGACAAGGCTTTCATCACCCAGATTCTGCAATCCGGTACCCACCAGGATAAGCTGTCTGCTTTGGTCCTGATCGTTCGGGAAAGTCCCGTTCACGGTGTGAAGGAGCTCGACAAGCTTCGAGCTATGGCAGGATGGAAGGAAGACGGCATCGGCGGGGGTGGTAACAAGGACCAGAGAGTAGCTGTCGTCAAGGCGTTGGCGGATTGGTGGGTGTTTGGCGGAGGAAAGCAAGCTGGCAAGCTGCGCTACTTTGCCGACCAGCCTCTGTTGGCTCACCCCAAAATTACCGATCGTCACCTCTTGATGTTTGCCTTCGAAGACTACTTGAAAAAGTGGTTCTTCAGCATTCTGCAAGTGCTCGAGGTCTTGTCACACGACACACTTCCCTTCGTCAGGACACAGGCCCTGCATATCATCTTCCGACTCTTGGCTGGCAATGCCGAGCAGGAGCAGAATTTGCTGCGTTTGGGTGTCAACAAACTCGTAAGTCTGTCGCTTTGTCTTCAAAGCCACGCTAACGCTCTCTCAGGGTGACACCGACAGACCCGTCGCTTCCAAAGCTTCCCACCACATTCTTCAACTCCTCCAGGCCCACCCCGCCATGAAGACCGTTGTTGCCCGTGAAGTTTCCGGCCTCGTCCTAAAGCCTTCCGGTGCATCTGGCCCGGCTGCCTCTTCTTCCCACATCAAATTCGACGATGACAAGAAGAAGGCCGCTCAGCCTCCTGCAAAGAGTGACGGTGTGGAGCATGGGAGATACTATGGGTTGATCACGTTGAACCAAATGACTTTGACGAGGCAGGATCAGGACGTTGCTGGAAAGCTCGTGGACCTCTACTTTGAGGTCTTTAGGGAGATTCTGGGTGATCCTAATGGACCTGAAGAGGAAGAGAAGCCCGTGGAGGAGCAGGAGAAGGTTGAGAAGGTAGCTGGAAAGGTCGAAAAGTGGCGCGGACGTCGCAAGGGTGCCAAGCCAAAGAACGGTCGAAAGACTGCTTTGGAGGAAGAGGAGGAGTTGATCGAGACGACAAAGGCCAAGCTAGTCGCTGCCGTTTTGACTGGTATCAACCGTGCTCTTCCCTTTGCCAAGCTCGACGAAACCATGTTCACCACCTACATGGACACCCTCTTCAAAATCACCCACGCCGGCACTTTCAACACGTCTATCCAAGCCCTTCAACTCATCTTCAAGGTCTCTACTACCGAAAGCGAGAGCCAGCAGACGGTCTCCGATAGGTTCTACCGAACCCTTTACGACTCGCTGTTTGACCCGAGACTGGTCACTTCAAGCAAGCAGGCAATGTACCTCAACCTGTTGTTCAAGGCGATGAAGGCGGACCAGAGTGTTGCCCGGGTCATGTCGTTTGTGAAGCGTTTATTGCAAATGCTGTCGTTGCACCAGCCACCATTCATCTGTGGTGCTCTCTATCTTCTAGGCGAGGTGAGTCATCTGGCTTTTCGCGTCGTTCATGGGCTGACATTTTGGTAGCTCTTCAGTGTCACTCCTGTCCTCAAGAGGATGCTCATTGAGCCCGAGGATGATGGCGAGGAGCACTTTGTTGATGCTGACGGCGACAAACCTGCTGTGCCCACTGCTCAATCGTCTAGTGTCGGAAAGCAGTATGATGGCAGAAAACGCGAGCCTAAATATGCCAACGCTGAAACCAGTTGCCTCTGGGAACTTGTGGGTACTGCGCGCTTTCTTGCTGGACCACGCTAATTTGGTCATAGGCACCCTTCCTCAACCACTTCCATCCCTCCGTCTCCCTTCAAGCCCACCAGCTCCTCACCTCTCAACCGGTCACCGGCTCTCCCGACATCTCCCTCAACACCCTCATCGCTTTCTTGGACCGATTCGTCTACCGAAACCCCAAAAAGACTATCCAGCCCAAGGGTGCTTCCATCATGCAGCCAGCTGCTGCGAGCGACAAGACGGGTATGATTGTCAAGGGCGAAGGCGAAGCGGGTGTGATGGTCAACAGCGAGGCCTTCTGGAGGAGAAAGATTGACGATGTCCCGGTGGAGATGATGTTCTTCCACAAGTACTTTGCGGAGAAACTCAAGAGGAAAGAGGGTATGGGCAAGGGCAAGAAGGGTGTGGAAGAGTCTGAAGCGGATGAAAGCGAAGAAGGCGAGGATGAGGATGAGGAGATGAAGTCGAGTGCAGCAGAAAGCAGCGATGAGGAGGAGGACGAGGAACAGGCTGTGTCTGACGAGGACTCTGATCCCGAGGAAGCCGAGATCTGGAGGGTGAGTTGGAATTATTGGTAACAAGTGTATCTGCTGACATCTTTTGATAGGTCATGAGAGCTACCATGCCTCGCGCCAACGACGATCTTGGTATCAGTGAGGATGAAGACATCGATGATGATATAAGCATATCCAGCGGCTCTCACGAGGAAAGCGATGATGATGAGGACGAAGACGAGGACGAAGGCGAGGACGATACCGATGAGTCGGAAGTAGACGAATCGGAAGACGAAGAGTCTGAAGAAGAGTCCGCCTCTGCGCCCAAAACAAAAACGGGCAAACGCGCCGCCCGGTCACCCTCCCCCGCCTTCTCAAATTCCTCCTTCCCCAACTTTGACGACGAAGATGACGATGTCAATGACTTGTCTGACGTTGACATGCCCGATATCGTGCTTAATGCCGATTCGGACGACGACGAAGAGGAGGAGGACGAAGATGAGATCGGAAAGAAGAGGAAACAGAGGAACCAGGAGAGGAAGGATAGGAAGAAGAAGAGAAGAGAATTGCCGACTTTCGGTAGTTATGAGGACTACGCGGCTCTTATCGAGGCAGGAGGAGAGGATCAGGATCAGGGGTAAGGGGGTGTATCTATTAGGTCTCTTGACTGTTTCTCTGGTCATGTGTGATGCATGTTTCTATCAGCATCTGACATTTCTATCAGCATTTGACATCCACTGAGCCATCATAGCGACGCAGCATCTAGATAAAGGCCTGCGCGGCAGCTGCTGCTGCCTCAGCCTTCTAATATTCGGCAGCCTGGTAACTATATGTGGTGCTTGTGATGAGATTCCAGACAGCAGGCGTATTCATAGAAGCAAACACAATTGACTAACTAAAATGTTACCGTGGACGGGCTGATCAACCGAAAAGACGTCTCGAAGCCGGAACTATAGCTCAGTTGTCAGAACTCAACAAGCTGAAGGACTGAGTACCACTCACCAGGGCCGAACCATGCATTCTCGTTCTCGGCCGCTGGAGCTGAAAGACGCGACCTGCCATCATCACCGCCAGCCGAGCGAGAGTCCGATGCCATACTATCGTCCTCTTGGGACTTATTCACAGCAGCAAGTTTGCTGATCTCGTCTTTCCACCACTCCTCGTCATCTTCATCTTCAGCCCAATTGAAGCCTGCCAGGACATGATCAGTAAACGTTTCTTCTGTCAAAAGTCCCCGAGACAACACTCACTTGACTTCCAAGGCCCAGCGGTTGCGGTCTCACGCGTCTCGAGACTGAGCTGTACAGAACGGCTCTGCTCAGGCGCAAGGGATAGTTTGTCAATGAGCTCTTCTACTGGTGGTGACTCCTCTAAGCCTCGCGAGGCTTCCCAGGCCATATCTAAATATTGTTTCGCGGCTATAGCGTCCATATGTTTTTCTTGCTGCAAGGTTTTGGAGTTGCTGCTGTCGAAAACGACGGGATAATGATCTTTCAAGAAGCCTTCGGCTGCATAGAGATCTGCACTGGCTCGATAAGAGTTCACGCGGCTTTCAACGGTATCTTGCTCATTGTGAATTTGCTCAAAGTGATCGCGACAGCTTTTGACTTTAGTGTGCAGGGCGCGAGCCAAACTCTCGACCATGGTGTCATATTTGGCTTCAGTTCTGCTTGCATGATCATGATCTCTTGTCAGCTTTCTGCTAGCAGTCCGTTCCATCGATTGACGATTAGCGTGAAACGCTTTGAGCAGTTCCTCTCTTGGGGCGCCCTCAGTCGCATTACCACCAGAATTATCTCTCAAAAACTTGTCAAACCGATCATGAACTTGATCTCGCAAGCCCACCAGATTACGGAAGTATGACTGGGCGATCGAGGGGCGAAACACGGTCGTCTCCGGCTCATACTTGTATTCATCTATAAGTGTGTTCAGCTGTTTTGACAATTCGTCATAGGCCCTGGACTGGAGAAGTAGATCGGTTGGGATCCCAAAGTTGGAGACGCCTGGTGCCACTGCCGATCATCAGTCATGATTTCTATACGGGAAGATGAATCATACTCGAGTAGACGTTGTCCCGCGCTTTTTTCGAAGCTTGAGAGAAGTCACCGGGATGACCAGTCGCAGTCTCCCAAGTCTCTTCTAGCTCTTGCAGCGAAGCTTGAAGATGCTTTTTCCTCTCGGGCAATAGCTCCAATAAATCTCCAACTCGCGAGTGGTGATACAGGCCAGGTTCCACACCATCATCAGCATGGTTAAAGAGATGCTCGTAATATCTACGTCGGGCTACCTTTTCGTCCTTCTCTGACAAAATTGTGTGAAATCTGTCCGCGAGTTCCTCAAACTTTTCGAAAGCCTCTTTAGTTCCAGGCCATTTCTTGGAAGAGCTGAAACGCGCTACTGCGCCTTCTATGTCTGAGAAAGACCGATCCCATTTGATGGTGTTTTTGTTCTTCCTTGTGGAGGGTGCCGCGTCGACTCTTGCCGTATGCACACTGGCAAGATCGTTATAGATTCTGCTCACGAGGAAAGGTAATGCCTCCTCGGATATTATATGACTTCTTAAGCAGTCTGACAGATGTCTTACCCGGGAAATCTGTTGCAGATCTTCTATTTTTGGTGCCGTACCACCTTCCAGTGTCTCGAATACTTGGTCCATGAATTGGATTAGTCTTCCACTGGGGTCCTTGGAGCCATCTCGTGTCATCTTTTGGTAATATGACTCTCCATTTTCCTCGAGGTCGGCAACCGTTTGGTGAATATACCGGGCCCAATGACTGGCGTCAGCCGCGTTCCATTCGCGATGGTTGTTGTTACGTAGCACCGCGTCCGGATCCTCAGAAATTCCCCGTCCGGCAGTTTCAACAAGAGACAAAGCGCCGAGGTTGGTGAGTTTCCTGTAGTCCCTATTGGGATCCAGGAAGCCTTTCTGGGACAGTCTGTCTAGGATCGTTACGGTACGATCAAGTTCGCTTTTGAGGCGGTCTATAGTTGCGAGCTGTCGATAATGCGCTTCGATCTGAGGGAGGGCAAATATAGGGTAATTCTCCTCAGACATGCCGATCCTTGTAGGGGACAGACCCAACCCTAAGTCAACGTCCATATTAATGCCTTTCCGCTCCTCCGGCTGATGGTCGCTACTGCTTGAATCTGTCATCATGCTGCTGGTGATAGTTAGTGATGGCCTACTTTCGTATTGTTGGGAGGGCTTGTCAGTATATGTACTAGGTGGGCAGATAACTATTTTTAGGATCGTCACTGTGAGTAAACTTTTGCTACTCAGGCTGCTGGTTCATGACAAAGGTTTGATGCAGAATCACAGGGCTGCGGAGAAGAAGAGCCGCGGAGGATGAAACCAATGGGCAACAAGGAGTGGTTTGTACACTCTCAATGAACCGACCCTCGACTTTCCATCCTCAACGGTGAAATGTGAACAAGCGAGGTTTCCCATGATGTCTCCCATGTCTCGGCTTCTCATTACCTGGACCTTCCCATGAACCCGCCTTTCAATGATCCAGCTATCCATTGTCCGAGCCACAGCCACTATCTCACAGCTGCCTTATTGATGCTGACGCCTTCTGGGAACCGGAAGAAGTGAGATGGGATGATGCACCTCAGACTCTGTTAGAGCCTGGCGCTATACATTGTCCGTCACGTATCCCAAGTAATACCTCATCACCAATTTTCAGGTTTTCATCGCCTCCTATCACTACTACCTGTTGTCTGCTCCGTTGTTTATACTTTATACTTTCTCTCTTGAGTTCACACGCGGCAGAACCAGAAAGGCTTCTGCAGACGCAAGACCCGCGGTGTATTTCGGGATCTTGGTGAGTCACTGCTGAGAGGACATTTATCGCAGTATCGAGCCATACTTTTGAAGACCCTTTGGGGCTTTGGTTAGTACGTTCGGAGGCAAAACGCAACGAATGATTAAGCGAATGTAATCCAGCGAGCGAGTATGTACGTAGCACCGAATGCTCATCATTCGAAATGGGTTTTGGTAGCAAGACCCTGTACTATATTTGAACAGTTTTAACTTGAAATAACCAGCCTCCGTAGTTTAGTTGGTTATAACACCCCACTAGTACGTAATACGTTGTTAATGGGGAGGTCTGTCGTTCGAATCGGCACGGAGGCATTTGTCTTTTTGTTTTCATTCTTGCCGTTCTTTTTGCTAAGTCTTGGCTCCTCATGGGCGACGACAGAAGAATCAAGCAGCTATTCAGTTCATAAATCCCTCATGCGTGTCACGACAGTAGGTGCAACAACAATATCTATCCAACAGATCGAACTCTCTAAATCGCCGGCTTCTCCTCTATAATTTGTCCTGCCACCCCAGCTCGCATCTGTATCTCCATTATATCTCTCAGATACCCCTGCCTCATACCATTCTCTTCGTCCAAAAGCATCAGCCTTGCTTTTGCCAGCACATATCTCGCCTGCCACCGGCACCTGCTCAGCACCTGTATTGGACCGCTCTCGGGGTCCTCGGCGTCGTCGATTTGCTGGACGAGGGTGGAGGTGAGAGGGAATATGTCGTCGAGCTCTGCAGAGGCGTGGGGGTTGGCATCAGGTCGAGGGGGTATGACGGGCTCGTCCAGAGGGTTCGGGACAAGATCATCCAACACCGTTTTTCTCCTCTTTCCAATCACCTCCTGCCCCGACCCTTCTCCTCTGTCCCGTCCACCGTCTCCTTCCGGAGAATAATCCGGAAACATTCGATGTTTCGGAAACTTCTTTTCCGCCACCATCAGAGCGTAAAGCTCTTCCTCCGACTCGGGCAAGAACCGCCTTCTTGCGCGCAGGCGGGGGATGACATCGTACAGCTCAGAGTCGTAGCAGAGGTCCGAGTCTGGTGCTGCAAACCCCGGCGGTATCGACTGAGTTGGTATCAGCGTTGGCGGTGTGCGTGCACGGTAGTTTGCAGAGGTGGCATCGGGGAGAGCATTGGATGATGAGGCTGAGCCAGCAGCAGCGAGGGATTTTCTGCCTTTGCCTCTACCGGGACCTTTGGCTTTTGGTTCTTTGGGTTCTTTTGGTTCTTTGGCGGGTTTGGGGGGCGCACCGTTGGGGTTGAGCAGGTCGGCGTGGACGGTACGTTTATGTTTGTTGAGAGCATCTGTACGGGCAAAGGATTTGGCGCAATCTGTCGAGTATTGTCAGTGCCCGGTATAGGAAGAGTTGGCAAGCAGCATACCTGCAATGTTGCAAGTGTACGGCTTCTCGCCCGTATGCCCTCGAATATGGGTCAGAAGTAACGACCTGCCCTGTTTCTGTCCGACACGAGCACATGTACGCCATTCACAAGCAAACTCCTTCGAGGCATTGATATGATCTATACCAAGCGTCAGCATAGCACCCCAACGCGTCACGTCGCTACGCACCTTTGACATGACCATAAAACACTTGCTTATCCGCAAACTCATCTTCACAATCTCCCCACAAACACTTTTCTTTCTCCTCTTTCTTTTCGTCTTCTGCTTTCACTTCTGCTACAGGTTCCGCTTTCGGCGGCAGCTCTTCGGCCGCCTTGTCCTCCGCCTCGAGTTCATCATCCTCGCCTTCCATCCGGACATCTTCGTCCACGTCCCCGCTCGGAGCTGGGGAAGAGGTGTGACTTTCAGTCAAATGATCCCGGAGGTGAGGATGTAAAGCGGCAGGAGGGGCGGGAGAGGGGGAAGGAGACATGGTGGATGGGGCGAATTGTGGAGGCTGCTGAGTCTGGTGAATGGAGGCTGAAAGCCGTTTTCAAGAAGGCAGGCGGGATGGGCGAGGAGGCTGTCGGGGTGGCACTTCCAGGGAGCTGGCTGGCTGTTTTGGGTATTTTTGTGGGGAGAGCAAGAGCGCGCATGCATAGAAATGGCGTGGTTGCAGTGGAGCGAGGACGACGGGATCAAATATCGATACACTGACGCTCGGGCCTCAAACGCAACGACTGAGAGACGGACGCTTGAGTCAGTCACTGCATCTGGTGCATACACATGTACTCGACATGGCAGGTGATCCTACTGACCTTTGCTTCCATGATTCATAAGCCTTCTTCGAAAGAATAGCTCGGTGCGAACACTCCGCCACTACGCGTAGAGGGTGATGTCTGCGATTATACTCACTGATCAGTCTTCGCTTGGGTACGATATTGGTTATGGCCGACAGCTCTTTCCTCAACCAAGACTCCATCTCCCATCCTGGAGGTGCGAGTGAAGAAGCAGACTCTTGGGTTACGAAGGAAAATGTCCATGATGATGGTACACGGAACACGGTTGTTATAGGCTGTCTGTGTCTGTTCGATGCTCCTCACTTGGATGAATCCCATATTTGTCTTTTGTATAGGCCCTCAATCTATGACAAGGGCCATGAAGATTGTTCGTCAGGCGATTGTCGTATATGGCGACCTGCTGAGTAGTTCAGACGAGGTGACATCCGCCAAAGTGATCGGTGTGAGTTCCTCGAAGGCACTGGAAAGCGTTCGTATGGCCCAGAGTACCTCAGGCAAGACCATTGACACCCTATGTACTCCATACAAGAATGCATTGCAAGATGGAAAGCGCTCAGGTTACAGTCTCAGGTACGCGAATATCGGCTGATTCTCGGTGACGTTTATTGCCGAACACGGCCATCACCATGCCCCATCCATCTCTATCTTCCTTCGTTTTCTTCCTCCATCTCATTCGCCATGCTGCCCCTCCTACGCCGCCCCCTCCCCCTCCGCACCCTTGCCTCAGTAGCGTTCGCCAGGCCCTCGTCATCCCTCTCCCCTCTCGCCCTCAAGGCCGCAGAGGACGTGAACAAGTGGAAGGGTACCACCGCGAATGGGGGCAAGACGAAGAACTATATTGGGGGAGAATTTGTAGACAGCAAGGCTGACAAGTGGATCGAAGTCAGGGACCCTGTGAGTATATCATATCCTGGGGAAGGGGTGCTGACAGCCGTGCTAGTCCTCCCAGACCTTGATCAATACCGTCCCAGAGACGACCGCAGACGAGTTCAAACAGGCAGTCGATGCAGCGTCTCAAGCCTTCAAGACATGGTCGCAGACTAGTATCATGCGCCGCCAACGTGCCATGTTTGAGTACGTACATCCTTTGCACCATGTGCCTACGCAGGCCGGAGCTCAAAGCTGATCCCGTGACAGACTGCAACATCTCATCCGCCAGCACGCCCCCGAAATCGCCAACTCTATCGTCCTCGAGCAAGGTAAGACCTATGCCGACGCTCTCGGTGACGTCGGTCGTGGTCTGCAGGTGGTTGAAACTGCTACCGCCATCACCTCTACCCTTCTCGGTGACAAGCTCGAAGTCGCCAAAGACATGGATACCTACTCGCGCAGGCTGCCTTTGGGCGTGACGGCCGCAATTACGCCGTTCAACTTTCCAGCGATGATTGTGCTTTGGTCCGCTGCGCTCGCGACGGTGACGGGGAACACGCTCATTGTCAAACCGTCGGAGAGAGACCCGGGAGCGACCATGATCATTGCAGAGCTTTGTGAGAGGGCTGGGCTTCCTCCCGGAGTCATCAACGTGTAAGCTGCCCCATCTCCTAGTTTCATTCCATCTGACGAAATCCAGTGTCCATGGCTCTGCGCCCACAGTTAACAGAATCTGCGACGACCCAGCCATCAAAGCCATCTCCTTCGTCGGCGGCGACAAGGCCGGTGAACACATCTACAACCGCGCTATCCCTCTCGGCAAGCGCGTACAAGCCAACTTGGGGGCAAAGAACCATGCTATCATCATGCCAGACGGTATGTCGACGTCTCTATTTTGCTACTCTGGTCCGGGACCCTTGAGGAAGAAGCTGATGGGGGCATGTAGCGAACCAAAACTTGGCGCTCAACTCTGTTGCTGGCGCGGCTTTCGGTGCTGCCGGTCAGCGATGTATGGCACTCTCTGTCGGTACGTACAGCCCCCATTCGCTTACCCTGATGGTCTGACATATAGATAGCTATCTTTGTCGGCACCGCACGAGATATGATTCCAGACCTCGTCGAGCGTGCCAAGGGCATGAAGGTCTCTGGCGGATTTGAAGAGAACACCGACTTGCAAGTCCAACTCCTTCTCACCTCCTTTCCCTCTAACAATAGGATACAGGGGGCCAGTGATCTCTCCCCAAGCCAAGGAACATATCGAATCCCTCATCTCCTCTGTCGAAACCGAAGGCGGCAAGATCCTCCTCGACGGCCGCGGATACTCTGTGCCCGAGTATCCTAATGGAAACTTTGTGGGACCGACTATTGTGGAGGCGGTCACTACCATGCAGGCTTACAAGTGAGTCTCCTCTTCACATCATCGGGGCAGTGAGCTGATGGTAAGATAGGACGGAGATTTTCGGACCAGTCTTGACTATCGTGGCGGCTGATACCTTGGACGACGCTATCGCCATCATCAACGAGAACAAATAGTATGTCCATTCTCTGCTTCCTTCCTCTATCGTGCATTGGCTGATGGAGTCACAGCGGTAACGGCGCCTCCATCTTCACCAACTCTGGCGCTACCGCCCGCAAATTCGAGATCGAAGCCCAGCCCGGCCAGATCGGCATCAACGTCGCCATCCCCGTTCCTCTCCCCATGTTCAACTGGTCCGGAAACAAGGGGTCGTTCAAGGGAGATATCTCATTCTACGGCAAGTCTGGTCTGGACTTTTACACGCAGAGAAAGACGACGACGAGTTTGTGGCCAGAGGCGGATGCTATTGGAAACAGGGTAAGTACAGTCTCTCTGCTCTTCTTTGAGCGAAAAGAGGCTGATGGATGTTTTACCTGCAGGCGAGTGGGAACATGCCTCAGATTCATTGAGAGAGTCTTCCTGGTTGTACAATGCAAACAGCAATTTTGCGATCCACAAGAGTCCCAGTTCCCCCAACATGACATGTACAGTATGACCGTGCAGATAGCAAGAAACGAATATCCGTGCCATCACTGGTCGCCATTCAGCGCACTGTCCAAGCTCCATGCAAGGGTAGCAGCGTATGAGGCAAGAATACTCAACCTTCAACGGTGCAACGGCCGTCGTGCTGAAGGCGGCTCCTCTTGACTTCGAACTCGGCGTCTTTGCCTGAAGACCCCTTTACTGATGTCTACCAGCCGCGACCCTCATTGAGAGATAATGGGTGGCAATGAACGTGTATGTGACCTCGGCCATCTACGAAACATATATGCGAGTAAGAATAACGAAATGACAAAGAATGGCCTTAGTTGTTGACCTGGCAAGAGAGAAGAAGAAAGGAAACAGACCAAATATCAGCGATGATGCTCAAAGACGACACCAGGGACTCACTTGCGCGAGATCATCCCTCCAAAAAGTGAAAAAGGGGGTAACACCGTTCGCGCGGTAGTCATTGTACGGATCATGAGTGGATGACTTTGTATACCACAAACGAACAAAGGCTTACCAGCAAGGCAACCATTCCGTCAGGGTCGTCGCTTTCTCGAACGAAGAATTCGAAGTCCTTGAAGTAGGCAGAAATCGTTTTGACAAGCTCCTTAAAATCCTTCTCGAATGTAGGAACTCGCTCAGGGCTGGTAGACTCGACATGGGCTTTGAGAAGGGTGAGATAACTCTTGAGGCACGAGAAGTATGACCGTGAAATCATCAGACAATTTCCTACACATTCATAGCAGTGTACTCACCTTCTTGTCGAAGACGGTGGGTTGAAGACGGAAGGCCTGAACAACGTTGTTGACCCTTACTTTGGTGTCCTCTTCGGGGGAAGAGTCCCCTTCTCCTGATGAAAACTGATCAGTATGAATCTGCCGCCGGTGATGCCTGCGATTAGCTCAGTATATGCATTACCGTTCAGGTCTGCATCTACATCAATCCCTTCTTGGTCCATCATCTCACAGTCGACTTCATAAGCAATCGAGCGGTGTTCTTTTCTGGTATCAAAGCTCTGCCTGTCTGAGACTGAATACCAGGCAACCAGAATGCTCACACGGGGAATGCGTCGGAGAACAACTCATCACCGGTGATAACGTCAGTGAAGATGGGCATTGCGTATGTGTGATGATCGCTGAGCGTTCGCCTTCTTCGGTGGGATAATGGTATGAGGGAAGAGATACGTAGAGGAGAACAGAAAAGGGAAATGCGACAGGAAAGGGGGCATCTCGTGAGACGGTGAAACAGCCCCTCTGCGCCCCGTCGTCTTCAAGTGACATGAGCCCAGAGTCCGGCATCTTCTATATCACCGGCTGTGGCACCACTTTGCATGGCCATAACAACTTCTTTACCCAGTAATAGAGGCTTAGCTTGGAAGTGGATACCCCCATCTCATCTCCGGAAACCTGAAGCACTTCTTCTCAGTCGGCAGCAGGAAGAGCTCTGCTTCAGGCGACAGGCAAGAGCTAACGATATGTCTCCAGCCCGCCTGATGTCCTCATGTATTGAGCTCCCATCGGCCGTTGTGTTCGGAGCGACTTTGACATCCGACTCCCGATCTACGAAGACGAAATGCTGGCAGGCGCCGATTGACTGGAGAGGGAGTCGACAAAACGAGAACCGGGCGTTCTGTTGGTTTCAATTCTTGACTTCCTTGTACAAGTATGTAAACTCTAACGGAGTTCGTTCTTAGCAGCCTTTTCGTAGACATTGACGCCTTCATCGACGAACTTTCGGGAGCCCCTAAAGACAACCCGGTCTGGGAGCCTCTTGTCCAGTCTTTGACTCCAATCGAGATGCCAGCTCTAGAGTGGAAATCAGTAAATGTAGCTGATATTCCTTTCGAGGAAGTAGAACTCATTAACCACTTGGTGAAGGTACGTACTGTCCGTAATTGTTGCTTCGATCGGGCTGCCAGCATATTGTACATGGACAAGCTAATATGAGTTATAGACAAACATCCGTGCCCCCCTTCCCACTGAATGGGTCGACAGTCTGTCAGCGGAGCAGCTTCTTCTCGTCGTGGCATCTTATTACTCATACTCTCACATTGCAAACGCATACACCTCTTGGCGAACGTTCAATCCAGAGGGGTTTCCCCATCGGGATATCGACCCATTCGACATGATGGATCGTATGTTGATTATCTTCGAAGACCACAAAGAGTGCTGGCCGACTGTAAGGCGCGAGAGACTCCCGGCAGAGCGACTGAAGATGCTGGAAGAAGAAATGGAAGAAGCATTTGTTGGTCCCAAGTTCTTTGAAATTGAACTGGAGGAACTTGAACGGGCAAAGAAGAGTTCCGAGCTCTCCGAAGTCGGACCAGACCCATCCGACAAGGAAGAGAAGAGCTGGAGCTGCTCTGTGCAGTAGACCGACTAGCCCTGTAAATTTGCTATGTCTCCAAATGTATGATGTTTCTGATGTCATGTTCGCTCAAGACCCTTATGCTTTCAGTCATGCAATCGCCGAGCCATCATTGCGCTATTCGTGACAAATTTAGCAAGAAATGATCCATTTCCAATACACGTTTACAGTCATTTCACAGCGACACATATCCGAACCCCAAGCCAGACAATGACTACCTTACTCTGTTCTAGTCTTCATCCCAGTATCCACGAGCTGTACTCCCAAGTCTGCCCCTCGCGCCCTCAAAAAGCTCACCACCTCCCTGCCATCTCTCACTGCACCTGGTTGAACCCAACCAGAAAGCACCTCATCCCTCTCTCTTTCACGCTCCAGCACCCTGCCTCCATACTCCTCCGCCAACCAACTCTGCGCCACCACCTCTTCCCCTTGCTCCAGCTCTCTCAACACCTGCACGAGCTCCCGGAATGCTTCGGAGCGCACTCGGAGTACGTGCCTAACCAAGACTCGGGAAGATAGTTTCTTGGGCTTCTTCCAGACTTCCTTGGGAGTGTCGGGGGCGAGACCGGCAACCTTTGGAGGGTCGGGAGCGAAGGAGGAGTATTGCGCGACGAAGGCTGGGAGTGGCATCTCGAAATCTCGGGGAAGCCAGACGCCGACGACAAGACGCCAGGCTGCGGCGAGCTTCTTCATACTTTCCAGACGTCAGCGAGGCTGCAGCAAGAACCAGAAAATTGCTCACGCGTCGTAGTTTTCGTCAATAAGGGTGGAATGGTATCGGCCCAACATCCAGACAGAGACAGCTGCGATAACCGCACCAAAAGTCCATTGCTTCAGGACCGCATAAAGACTGAAGAATAAGACCGGATAAGTCAAGAAGCTCAGTAGCAACCCGAAAGTGATTTTTGTCTGCGCTTGTGTCTCCATCTCATCTTCCGCCAGCCTGGCGCCCAAAATCCCAACCACATACACCGGCAGATGTATCAACATTGGCACAATGAAGAAAGGAAGACGGACAAGGCAGTTGAGCGAATCCTTGACCAGGAGCCAAAGGGTGGAGAAGCGGTTGGGCAGGGTGACGGCGAATTTAGGGTTGAGCTGGTTGGGAAGGGACAGCCCAGCGAGGGCAGAGTTGGAAAGGCGGGAAGATGTGAGGAGGCGGTGGTAAGTGGCAAGGAGGTTCTTGAGAGCCTCGATCTTTTCGTTGGGAGTGCAAAAGATGTCTACCAACGTTTGAGAGACTTGGACAAATTCTCCCAAGGGCAGATTGTCCTTTGGCCAAAGAAGCTGCCTGGCCATCTGAGCAGCGAGAGAAGTGTTCCTGAAGGGGCATCAGTTACAGCGCGTAGTTACTATAGTCACAACATACCAGTCAGGGGCGTTGACAGTCATAGTCCTGAACTCGAACGTGATCGCCTTGGTCAAAGCCTTAACGGCAAGCTTGTCTGCACCCTGCTCGTTGCTGAGGAAGCTTGCCTCATAGTCCTCCATCTTGATGGGGGGTCCATAACTTTGACCAAGTCAGCATTCATCCCACAACTGTGTATCAACTCACTGCACAACGACACTGCTCCTGTACTTTGACTTGTCCACATAGGCAATGCCAACCGGCACCACTACCGCTTTCTTCCCACTTTTGGCACCTTTGTTCTCTTCAGTTCCCTGGAGGTAGCGAACGTATTCGAGAGCCGACCAGGCAGTACCATCTTTGAGGGGAATTAGGTGCGGCTCGGTGTGGGAAGTGCCTTCGGGAAAGACTCCGATCGATTCTCCGCGCGCCAGAGCTTATAATGATCAGCAGGAGTTATAAGGGTTACAAAAAAACGCACCCTCAAATGTTCCACGGAAGAGCATCTGGTTGTTCTTGTTCTTTCTGTCGACGGCTACACACTGGTTAGCGATGCCGCCTGAATGTAGCAGACAACTGCGAACCAATATTTCCCGCATTCCGGAGAAGCCACCCTACGGCGGGATTTTTGAACAGCGAGTCTTTGACCTGGGCACAGTACAGTCAACATCTACACGCGCGAATCAGACGGATCACGGACCCAGTAGTGCAGCAGATGACCATGCGGAATGGTGTTACTCAGCACGGCGGGCTAAAAGTTGTCAGCGCAGCTTCCCTCGAATTGTGGCGTCTTACATCAACCGCCATGTTGGCATGGGTACACGCACTGCAGCAGTCAGCTCTACTCGGGTCGGATGGGCACGACTCACAAAATGATGGGACCCTCTGTAGGGACATTCTCAGCGCCGTACACCTCGATTTCGCGGAAGAATGAGCAGATGGCCGAGTCTGCCAGTGCCACCAGGGGCTTGTGTGTGAATCCGAAGGGCATCGGGGGAATCGGGGGATGGGAGACAAGATGAAGACAGAGTGAACAAGGACAGAGAATAAACAGAGAACAACCGACAGACACAGGCGGCCGAGGCGGGCGGCCCCGAACCAGACGCATCCCACGTGGCCTCCACCTGTCTTGTCGATTCCGGAATTTACCATCGATCTATCAACAGTCCTCGAGATTGAGCCAAGACGCGTAATGTGTCCTTCCACGAGTGACCGTCCCCACCCCAAGGAATTGCAACCCCAGCACACATATCTATTCGTCGCTAAACAGAATTGTACGAAGCTAGAACTCGGTGGCATATATCCCAGTATTCTACTACACCGGATTGTGCTCCTTTCGTATCAGCTTAGATGCGTAAGTTTAACAATTACTACAACGGAACACGTCTTTGATTCTTCCATCATCCATCCTCCGTGTTCCAACAGTTGAACCACCCGCACCACCAGCAGTCGGTCCCCGCCGGTGATCGCCGCTCCCGCAATATTATGTAACAACAGTTTTATCTCCTCTTTCATTTTTGTTGAATTTTTGTTGCCCCCTCCTTTATCTAATCTACGACTTCTCAAAATGGCGACCCAACCCTCCAAAGAGCTCGACGCCGCCGTCCTCGCATACCTCGTCAAGAGGGGCTACACCAAATCCGTCAAGTCGTTAGAGAAGGAGGCTGCTGTCAAGCTCGCCCCCGGCCAGGAGGCTGCCCTCGAGAATGCCTGGGCCGCTGCTGCCGTTGCCGCTGTTGCTTCTACTTTGTGAGTAAAATCGTTCTTCGAGAGGATACGTCTAATCTTACCTATAGAGCTGAGGCCGATCCCGCGTCTGTGCCCTTGCCCGACTCCAGCTCTGACTCGGACAGCGATTCTTCTTCCTCCTCATCATCGTCCTCCTCCAGCTCCAGCTCTTCAGGCTCTGATTCTGACTCGGACTCCGACTCGGATTCCGACTCTGAGTCCTCTTCCAGCAGCTCCACTGTTGGCAAGAAGCCCGCTGCTGCGTTCTTGGACGTTGAGGCTCAAGAAAGTGACGACGAAAGCAGCAGCAGCGATGAGAGTGGAAACGAGAGCGACTCTAGCTCTTCATCTTCGTCTAGCTCTTCATCTTCTTCGAGCTCCTCTTCGTCTGGGTCTTCTTCCAGCTCATCGTCGGACTCGTCCAAGTCTTCCAAGGCCTCCAAAAAGTCTTCCAAGAAGTCTTCCAAATCGTCTTCCAGCTCTTCTGGTTCCAGCTCCGACTCTAGCTCCAGCTCCAGCTCTAGCTCCTCGTCGTCATCTTCCTCCGACTCCGAGTCTGAAGAAGAGGAAGTCGCTCTTCCCGTCATCGGCAAGCGCAAGGCCCGCTCCCCCTCAACCTCTTCTTCCTCTTCCTCTTCTTCGTCATCATCTACCATGGCCGAAGACCCCGCCCCCAAATCTCCCGTTGTGACCGTAGTCACCACCAAGAAGCGCAAGCTCGAAGATGGTGTTGAAACTGTCACTTCCACTGCCACCATCTCTACCCCTGCTCCTGTCGCTTCATCCCGCGACTCCAGCACCCCCTTCAGCGGGGCTGGCACTCCTCTGAGTGCCAAGGGCAAGGGCAAGCAGCCTCGCGTCCAAGGACAGAGATTTGAGAGGATCAAGCCTGAGAATGTGACCTTTCACGACCAGGGGTTGATGGACAACTCTTTCGACGCTAGGGAGAGAGCGGGGGCTAGCATGAACGATTATGGAGCAAAGGCGTCTGCGGACCTTATCGTGACTAGGGGTGCTGGGTTCAGGAAGGAGAAGAACAAGAAGAAGCGAGGAGTGAGTATATCTCGATTTGTGGAATGACTGCATACTGAAAAGGTTGTGCAGAGCTACGTCGGTGGTGAAATCACTCTTCAAACCCACAGCATCAAGTTTGATGACTAGGCACCCCTTTTCCTGGTTCTTGGCCCGTGACCATGAGATTTTTTCGTTCTGTATAATCCTCTTTTTGTCTCTTGTTGAAGATAGATGCATAGAATATTGCATGAAAGAAAACATAAAGACCCCAAATGTGGGCTGCCTAGTGACACCCCTTTTCAGATTCGTAAACACCAACTTCACTTACTAGTGATCAAATCTAGCTATACTGTGCCTACGATACATATCTCTTCTGTTCGCCCGCCCTCTCTTCGCCCGTCTTCTAGTGAAGCTGGAGACCGTTCAAGTCTGTTGCTGGGGAGCGAGGGTAAGAGAGACACGAGTCGTGAATCACATTCAGCGCCTTGACTGAATCCTTGTTCTCAATCACTACATCACCTATCAGCTTTGATCCTTCCACTAAACGTCATGAAGACTCACCACAACTGATGTTGATCTCACTAGCTCCCTGACTGATCATCTCGATGTTGATCATCGCCCGCGCCAAGCTTGCAAACATCAAACCCGCACTGCCAATAGCATTACGCATATTCCGGCCAACGAGAGAGAGAATGGCCATGTCTTTGGAGACAGTGATGTCGCCGATCTTCTCAAGGTCCTTGACGAGTCGGTCGAGGCGTTTTCGGTGATCGAAATTTTGCATGGCCATCGACACCTGCAGGTCATCAGCTGGAGAAAAACCGAAAAGGACGATTGCGTACATGAACTTCACTTGTGCTGATCAAGTCGACCACAACACCAGCCCTGTCGAGAGTGCCAAAGATCCTCGCCAAGAAACCATGAGACAATGTCTTTCGGTTCGAGTGGATGTTGAGCACGATGATGTTGTCCTTGATGGTGACAGCGGTCGGCATCCTCTCGTCCACATCAACAACGCTCTCCGCCTTGGGCGGCGTAGAATTCAGACCTCGAGGGAAGCTCTCATCGGGGTAGATCACCGTACCAGACCCAGAGGGGTTGTCTACATTCTTGATCCTGATGGGGATCCTTGCTCGAATGACTTGCTCCATGGTGAAGGGGTGGATGACCTCGGAACCATAGTAAGTGAGTTCTGCGGCTTCGTCGGGGGTAATGATGGGCACCAGTCGGGCAGTAGGGACTTTTCTAGGATCGGCGGTAAAGATACCATCGACCTCTTTCCAGATCTGGAGTTCGGCAGCTTGGAGACCAACAGCACAGAGGGCCGCGCACAAGTCGGTGTAGCCTCTGCCAATCTGGGCAAGAAGTGAACCAGGGACGGGACCGAAATAGCCAGTGACGACGGGGACTCTTTGGCCGCAATCCTTCAAGCGCTCACCGAGACGCACAGCAAGTTCTGTGTAGAACTCTTGACCGAGCTGGGCGACGCCTTGATCGCCCGCACCGGCGAGAAGAGATTCGCTAGCGGCAGTCACAGAGGCATCAACGATGCTGTCGAGGACGACGAGTTCAGAGTCGACACCCTAGGCGTACATTAGCAATTGCTCGATGCTAATGGAGAACCAAGACGCACCCTATCTCTCAGCGCGGCAGCGACGATCTTGCAAGCTAATCTTTCACCAGTGCCAACGATGGAATCTTGACTTCTGGGGCTGATCTCGTCGATGATCTACACCATCATTAGCTCGACCCCAGAGAGATAAACATCCCCACGCACCTGTGCAGCGTATAGGAAACCCCTCAAGCTCTCGCAGTCCCTCTCAATCTCCTCCTCCAATTCATCTCTCAGAGGACCCTCCTTCAATGAAGCCCGAGCGGCTTCCAAATGCCCCTTCTTGATAGTGTCTACCGTAGCATGGAATGCAGCTTCTTGCTGACCACGCGGTTCCAGCCCGGCTGTGGAAGGGCTTCGTGGGGGAGATCTGCTAGAGCTGCTCTGGAACGGGCTAGGGCTGGCGGACCTGCCAGTAGGGTCGAGCTGGGAGAGGGACGAGATGGAGGAGGCCATGGACTGCTGGCCAAAAATGCCAGAGCCGACTCTCTTGGGGTAGAAGGGGGTGGTAGTGCCGGAGGCTGAGTCAGACGGGGCACTGCCAGCAGCAGGCTGAAGAGCTTCGCGGGAAGCTTGTAGAAGAAGGTTGGTGGTACCGAGAGCTTTTGTCTGAGAGGAGCGGGCAGAGCATACGATGGCTACTCGGGATCCGGAGGCGATATATGAGCTGCGAGGGTGAGTACAAAGCCGTGTTGGGGGTGTCATACTTACTCGACAATCTTTGTGATGCTCTCGAGACTCTTGCCGACAGAGGTGCCGCCGTATTTTTGGACGACCCATGGAACGGAGGGGTCTGTAGAGTTGCGTATGAGATGCTCGGGGGTGGGTGTGGCGGACATGGTGAAGTGGAAATGCGTCGAGAACAAGAACAACAAACTCGGATCGCCCGAGAAAAAGTCGACTCGCGAATAACACCAGCTCGGATTCTATATTTCTCGGTTAATCGTAGATCGGCGACCGCCGCCTGCGCCGCCCACGCATGTCTTCTTTCCTCTGATTTGCCTCTGATGCTGTTTCTAATTTCTATACATCATTCTTTGGGGCTGGCGTGTTCCAATTGGGGCACCCGGACTGTGTATCGATCAATGGAACATCATGCATCGGGATCCGGCGAAAAAAGGCGACCGCCAAACATCACTTCGCTGATAACGGCTCGGCAGTCGAATATTGATTGTCTGCATCGTGATCTACGTGTGCTATTGAGAAAATCACCATATCAATACAAGTACATCATGACCTTCTGTCCCAAACGCAACACTGGCCCCCCACAGAGAGACCGTACAAAGACGGTTCTCTCCATGGAGGGATCACAAAGAAGTCAGCCGCATATACTTGTTTGAACAGAGGGGTCGACTCACCAGGCACTGCGGCCTTTTTCGCTACCATACGTCACCAAGCAACTACAGAACTAAAAGTGAGAGACCTAGGTCAGCATACAAAAATCCCAACGCCACAACCCAGCTGGGAGCGCCGACATCGCCACCAACCCCGGTGAATAAGGGCTCCTGAAGGCGGGGTGGGAGTCGACGGGCCATACTGAGCGGGGGAAGGCAATCCATGTCTTTTCGTGTGCAGCAGTGCAACCATCATCGATTCAGGGAGGAGACAGTGTCCACTTGAGGAGGTATATGTTGCGCGAGCTGAGTAACGGCCCGTATGACTCAAGATGGTTAAGATGGTTTGATCCTGGATGATGGAGAGAGCTAGAGCTGGATTGAAACAATCGAAGGCGACAAAACAAACAAGGCAAGGTTGGAGGGGGCAGAGAAGGATTTGTCCGGGGTGTTGACGTTTGAGATGGATCGAATTGGAAAGGAAGTTCCTGTCAGATAGGTCAGCTTCAGGCGGGGTATGAAAGCGCGCGCGAGCGCTCACCTTGTCGCACCCTGTCTCTGGAAGACCGCTCGCCGCAGCACCAATATGAAGCGCCGACGATCAGGGGCACGATGGGGTTCCAGGGAAAAGCAATCTATCAACAATGCGCGGTGTTCAAGGGAATGGGTTGAAAAATGATATTGCTGTAAACGCTTGGCTGCTGTGATCGATAGTGTTGCGGTGCGGTTGACGAAGGTGTATTGTTGCTGTTGTGAAAAGATAGGAATGATATGTTGATGAACTCAGCCAAGCGTGAGGGGCGTCAGCATAGCTCAACGACTATATGTGGGAAGCAAGATACTCACGAAAATCATGAAGAGATGCGCGGCCAAGACGCCTCCTCCGTCGTTGAGGGACCCACCCACCCGCGCCTTTGCCTCTTGATGATTGTGTCGATGTTATCCTGCAATGGTGTGGACAAGGGAGATGGTTGACAGATGTATGTGGGAAGAAGAAGAAGATTCAGCGTCCTGATTGTTGAGGTAATGTAGTCCGGGGGAGGTTCCTTATAATCCCGGCTGGAAAGGGGCGGCGGGGAAGAAGAGAAATCCAATTCCGACTTGCAGACTTCCACCAAATCTACCGTCCGCTGAGCTGAAGGACTAACTCGGTGTTAGCTAGCGGGGCCTGACAGGTCGTCAATGAAATAGATTCCGCCTTGAGAATGCTAAAGAGGGTTGCCATCAGCGTAAGTTGATTGATGAGCAAGGGTGACACACATACTATTGGCTGTGCCCAAACGAGAACTCATAAGTGATTTCTCGACGGTTCCTGATGTAGGGACTGGGAGAGCGGGAGATGGTGAGGTGAAAGGTCGGGCAATGTCGACAGGTCCCGGGTAGCAGATCATTGATGGATGGCGACGATGCGGCTGAGACAGCACGATGGAAATAACGAAGCTCGAAACGAATAGAGTCCTATTTCCAGGTGAGAACAGAACATAAACGTGTCCGAAGGTGGGCTCCAAGCCGGCAAGGTGATGACAAAACGATGTGAGGTGGAAGATAAACAAAATATAATAGATCGAAGTGGTGGTGATGTCCGCACGGCGCTGGCGAAGTAGACCAAAGACCGACTAGAGCAGCATCACCCCCACCTACCATGGTCGAGGTGAAGTCGAGGCGCAAAGCTATGAAGAATGAACGTCCAAAGAGTCCTGTTGACGGTGTAACGAGGGTCGGTGTGCGGGTTGTTGGTTGGTTACGTTGATGGGCGCGTGATGATGTTGAGTTCTTTTCTCACCGAGAATAAGTAGCGATGGTCTGCACGTGTATCAGAAAGGAGCACCAGGGAGGAGATAAAGATAGAAAAGACGGGTGTGAGAAAGTCCCTCAGTGGCGATGCCAAGACGCCGGTGCGAAAACGGTAACGCGCGCGCGGCGGTGGTGAGAAATGAGATCGGAGTGGGGGACACGGGGGTGAAGACGAGAGTGATACGTACTGTTTCCATTGGCTGAAGTGTGGATGATAACACGAATTCAAGAGAGACGCTATGTATGAGGGTCAGAGGCTAGGATGAACGCGTTGTGAGAAATGGTACTCACACGGGAATGGTGCTGACGTTGTGATGGAAGAGGCGGAGGGTGCTGAGAAGGCGAGTTGAGTCCATACTTGTATGTGAGTGGGAGCGTAGATCACGGTAGTCAGAAAACTGGAATTGGAAGAGAAAGAAGCAAGAAAGAAGAGAGAAGAAATGAAGATTGTGAACAACCGCCCCCATTTTCGCGCCAGGAACAATCTTTGTCGAAGTCTGAACTAGAGGACAATAGCGTGTGGTAGTCCAGCGAGGAGGAGACTCAGCCTTGTACTGCTGTCATCATCGTGAACGATACTTCAGTAGACTCTACTCCTAGCGATAGGTCTCGACTGCGGTACCCTTGTGTGGATTCCAGAAGTAAGGATCATGAAATTGCTGATCCCCCTGGGCTGGTCTATGATTCACGTACAAAAGGCCTCTCAGATTCTCTTGCGGTTGTTCAACACGTCTTCTTTTGCACTGCTGCACCACTTGTTGGTGGCAGCCCCGAGCAAGCCCTGGCTCGGCGCAAGTCCTTCCCTCCGCTGGGGGTGGGGGGTGGGAAGGAAGGGCTTGTGTCGAGCCAGCGAGCAAGCCCCGAGGACGGATTCTCGGGGCTGAGATGTGGCGGAGATGACCGCCAGGCACGCCGCCGATAAGATAGTTACGTGATGGCAGTCCCGACCAAGGTGGATGTCGAGCTGGATCTGTCTTCTTCCAACGCAATATTTGGCTATAGCCCTCTCCAACCCATCCAACCCACAGGCCAATCCAACCTGCCATGGCTGAAACCAAAAACTTCACCCTCGAAGGGCTCTTCTCCGTCAGAGGCCTCGATGTCCTCATCACTGGAGCCGGCACCGGCATAGGCAAGTGCGCATCACTCCTGTAAAGGCAGGTATACTCATACCCCAGAAGGGCTTTACATGGCCAAGGGATTTGCCTCGAATGGCGCGGTTACCCATATAGCTGGTAGACGAAAGGAGAAGCTTGAGGAAGCGAAGGCGTCTATTCTCGAGCTCGCTCCAGACGCTCAGGTAGTCATGTGAGTTGCACACTCTACTGTGCCATGCTATAGAGCGGTATATGCTTATGCTACACATTAGACATACTATCGACATATCTGAAAGAGCTGCCGTCACTTCTCTCGTCGCAGATCTTACCAAGCTCGACGTCCTCATCAACTGCGCCGGCATCGTCCTCCCCGATCCACCAAGCACCCATCACAGCCCTCTCCCCGAACTACAAGCCGCTCTTCTCTCTTCCTCCGCCGACACCTGGTCCCGCACCTTCTCCACCAATGTTGAAGCCCCTTACTTCCTCTCTTCCTCCGTCCTCCACCTGCTTGCTGCCGCCCCCAACGGCGGGCGCATCATCAACATCTCTTCCATCGGCTCCATCATGTCCGACCCCAACACCCACCAGCCCGCATACCAAGCATCCAAAGCTGCTGTCAACCACCTCACTAGGCTTCTGGCAAGCAAATTCAGAGAACATGGAGTGAGGGTGAATGCCATCAGTCCCGGGTACTTTCCAAGCCAGATGCAGAATGCGAGTAATCCGAAGAGCATGTTGGCGAGGGCGAAAGACTTGGTGCCGCTGAAAAGGGGAGGAGAAGAGGAGGATGCGGCCGGGACGGCGATATATCTCGCGAGTAGGGCAGGAAGCTATGTTGATGGCCACACTATAGTACTTGGTGGTGGGCGAGAGTGGGCATGAGTAATTTTTGGGGCACATGGATCGCTGTATTTCTCTTCTTCAAGTCTCTATCGTACCCTGATCGTCGTACCTACGGAAGGCTATTATGAGGGCGCATGTACAGTATGCTCTGTACTCTACTGTACAAGTGCAGCACTCGTATAGTAACTGTGTGAGTATATGGAGGTCCCAATAAAAGAGGCTTGCAGGTTGCATCAATTGCGCCTTACAGCCTAAATTCCTCCGTTGCATTTATTCTCTCTTTTCACAATCATATCTGAGTATCGGCCTTGACCTGAAAGCACACCACTCCTCAACATACCGGGAGGGGCGGCTTCAGTCTTCCCTGGCCCGGGTACACTTGCAACATGGCGCCTTTCAGGCAAGGCTCCGTCCCTTCCTACCTGCAATTTGCACTCTTCTTCGGCGCTCGGACAATTTCGTTCTGACAGCTCCGAAGGACGACGAAATCACCTCACCCCTGCGGTCCTTGCCCCCTGCCCTTTGGTCACCCGGATGGATATGCTCAGTTTCTGCACCTCGACTCTCAAACGCAAACACGATCAAAGCTGCACAAAGCACACCACACCATGACCATCCAAGGCCTCCGACGACCGCTGCTGACCTTGTTCGCCCTCCTCGGCGCTGCCCAAGCCCTCCCCGCCGTCCAGCTCCCACTCACGCTCTCACCTCACTTTTTGATGTACCCTCAATAGATACCTGGGCCCTCAATCCTCTAGGCGATGTGGCTATCATCCGTCTTGCCACTCCTTCTAGCTCCTCGTATGTCCCACCTCCCATTTCATGTTTGCCTTGGAGTAGAGTAACTACCAGACACTGACACAATTGACACAGGGAAGAGTATGAACTCCATTTACTGGCTATCAATGTGCAATATACGATACCTACCGTACTCCACGGCCCCACCGATCCTCGAGCTGTATACACGTTTCTCGACGACCATACCTTGGCCACGCTCTCTCCTTCCTCTCCAGCATCCCCATCATCGTCTCGGCTACGCGAGGCCAGCAGAGACAAGAAGCCGGAGGTCACGCGATGGGAGCTAGTGGTGCAGAAGCTAAACTATACCTCACTCCCGTCTGCTTATCCTCCGTCTTTGGGTAGGGAAAAGCTCGTCAGAAGAGTGGAGCTGGAAAGACCCCCGGAGAAGTTATTATACTCTCCCCAAAATGGGGCTCTTGTCATCGTGCTTTCTGCACCTCAAGCACTGGAAGGCGAAGAAAGAAAGGAAGAAACAGAAGGCAATGGGCCAGTGGTGCAAGTTCATCTCGCCCTTGGTGACAACGGGCAATGGACGACAAAGTCCAAGTTGGAAAACCCGCTAAAAAACACCGGTCTAGTGGGTCTTCGCCCCCATTTTCCTTGCTTGAAATTGGTGCTGATGAAGAACAGATTGTCCTTGAAGCAACTATTCGAGGACCCATACTGGCATTTTCAGCTCTCAATTCGTCCCTCTCCATCCCCAGCTCATCCTCCATCGTGAGTCCACACCCATACCTACTTGCGTCTCGTGTCCTGTGCCTGACATTTGAATCGTCCATCAGCTATACACCCTCGACATGTCGTCGCACAAACTCACACAAATCAGCTCTGCTCACCAAGGCTCTGCGAACTCCCCTGTCATCAGTTCTGAAGGCAAGATTGCTTGGCTCAACCAGCCCCCCCTCCATGCTGGAAACAAGAGAGTGGGAGAGGTTCGGAGAGCAAGAGAGGTTCGGAGAGCACTTTGGTTGTCAGATGATGTTGATGGAAAGAGTCGGGCGGTCGGATTACAGGATTTCGAGTTGAGCCCCACCGGCGTGGTTGTGAGCCTTTTCTCTACACCAGATGTCAACGGCGGGGGGTGGGCTAATAACGCATAGTTTTCGAAAGACGGCAAAGCCATCAACCTCCTGACTCCACACGACAACTCTGCCTCCCTCTTCCACATATGGACCCCTTCCTCTCGATCCTCTCCGCCCGCCAAACCCGTGAGAATTCCATCTAATGGTACAATCTACGATGCCGTGCACGTCGGCATCACGCCCCTGGACCATTCGCACTTGATTGGCTCCATGTCGGAGAAGACCGACGGGAAGGGGAAAGAGTTGTGGGTGATCTCACACTCACCCCATGAAGATCCTGCCGATAATTATGAGAATATCCGGTTGACTTGGTTTACGGAGGGGTGAAGAGTGTACCACGAGCAACCTAATTCTTGTATGGGGCTGCATGCATGAGTTGGACGATTGCTGTGGAGACGCGCGTCGGTCGTTCAACATCGCCCATCGTAGTTGGTGGTACACGTGTTCATCAGCGTACCAGAGTTCTGGCCTAGACTTGAATAGCCACCCGTAAATACTGAGTTGTGGTGTCTAACAGACAGGGTGTACAGTGTGATCCACAATCTCAACCCCAAGAACTCGTTGCTGTCGCCAGGACGAATAGAGGTTAAGCACGTTCACCTATGACGACCAAACAACGCAACCGAGCAGCCCGGTTTGCCCTTTCCCGTCCCGTTTCCCAAGCCAAACAGCCCAATCTTCCATGCGGCTGCCAGCAATGCATTGACGCAGTGAGAATCTGAGGATGTGCGTTCTCTACATATATGCATGAACGTGCTCCCTCTATCCTGTTGTTTTGCATCTCGAACACGCCAAAAGTTGACACCTTTGGACATGTGCGTGGTTCGGGTTCTGCGCTAAGCGCTTCGGGTCGCTCGGACCGAGGATTTCCGGCCCAAAGCACAACATCAGATCGAGATCCGAAAACGTTTTTGAGTGCGTCGTCGTCGTCGCTATTTTCTGCATCTCTTCTTGTTTTTCTCTCTCTTCTCTAATTCTCGCGAGAAAACACAAGCCTGTTCTGTCAACAGCAGCACCACGCACGCACCCCCTTATCCTCACTGTCTGTCTTCCGTTTGATCCTCGTTTGGGACGCATGTTCCAGGCAAACAGGACGCAGTATTTGCTGATCAATAGGCATCATCCCCATTTCCCCCTCCCCATTCCGCTCTCCCATCGCCCTCCGATACGACCGCCCTCCTCTCAGCAGTCTCCCCTTCGAGACTTTGACCAACGAGGCTAGCCCGAACGCCATCTCCTTTCGATCTCTTCCGGATTGCCAAAATCACCGCATTTTTTTCCAAAGCGTACGCAGCGCAGAGCACCCAAGCACGCGTATTGCTAAACAGTTCACCCGGATCTCCTCTTTTTACATAGCTCCCCATCTACTCGACAACAGGTCGTTTGCCGAAGTAATATAAAAGAGGTCCACTTTGGAGCCCGCTTAAATCTGCCCGCGCCACTACTCTGAGGAACTATCATCTTACCCGAGATGTCTACCACAAATACTTCCGCTACCAGCATTCGACAGCCCAAGGACATCGAATGTTGGGGTCACAGAGGTGCCAGTGCGCACCTGCCTGAGAATACGTGAGTCCTTTTCTTGTGCATGCGTACATCGCTTCTCGCTATGAGGCATTTTCGCGGAGACAGTCACTGGTCTGGGTGTCCATCACCATCACACCCCATGTCATCAATGCTGATGTATCCACGTTTCACAGTCTTGCCAGTTTCCGCGCTGCCATCTCTGAAGGATGTGATGGTATTGAAAGCGGTACGTGCCGGCCCCATCCGTCGGCTTTCTCCGTGACTGAATGCTGACTATGCGCTATAGACGTCCACGCCACTTCCGATGGTGTTGTTCTCATGTTCCACGACCCCACTCTGGATCGTACCACCACTGGAAAGGGGTTGATCAAGAATCAGCCGTACAAGGATGTCATTGAGTATGTGACTCGTTCTCTGATTTCATGTCGGGCACTGACATGTATAGGCACGTGCGAACCGTCAAGGAGCCGGTACAACCTATTCCCTTGTTTGAGGAGCTTGTCGCTCTCATCATGGAGCCTGAGAACCGACATGTCTCTCTGAATGTAAGTCACATCGCCCGATTGGGAGTTTGGATGTTGACGACGAATTTATAGATCGACTGCAAGATGCAGAACGACCCCCAGCGACTCTTCGTAAGTTTCCTTAAAGCCTCGTTCAACTTATTGCTCACCACCGAACGATCAGCCTGAGATGGCTCGCATCGTCACGTCATATCCAAACTACGAAAAAGACCTCAGTCCCCGTATCATCCTCGGTCTCTGGCACCCCCTCTTCATCCATCCCGCTATCAAATACCTTCCTCACTGCCGCCGCTTCCACATCGGCTTCTCCATTCCCATTGTGAAACAATTCTTCTGGGATACTTGTGAAGGCTTTTCCATGGCTTTCCCTCTGCTAATGGGTAAGGAAGGCCAGGTATTCATCAAGGAATGTAGGGAGCAGGGCAAAGAGGTCACGGTGTGGACGGTGAATGACGAGGCGGAGATGAGGGTGGCAATGTCGATGGGTGTCAAGGCTATTTTGACAGATAAAGTCGGGGTCTTTGTCAATCTCAAGAAAGAGGTACGTCCCCTGATCTCTTGCACTCCTGCTTGCCTCCCACTGACCCATCATGCAGATGGTCGAACATCCAGAGAAACTCCCGCTTCAAGGGTTGGAAGCCTGGACTTTCCCATGGTCACATTGGAAGTACTATTCGGTCGCACACGTAACTGCCCGTCTCGCTTCCAAGATGTTTCTGAAAGCTCACGGTTCCCTCTCCACTCCTCCTTCCCCTTCCGACGACCCTGAACCGCCTACATCTATACCAAACCTCCCATTCCCCGCACCGGCTCCTGATTCTTCCTTCGGTGATGCTGCGTCCACCCCTACCGCTCCCTCCCCCTCCCCTTCTACGACGACAAATGATCCCACCCTGTCGCCTACCGTTTCTATCGCCCGCGCCCTCCTTCCTCGTGATCCTTCATGACTGCCGTCCCTGACTCTGTTGGGTTGTTAAAAACAGAGCTGGATGCTCCGTACCCAACTAGACGTCATGCGCACTGTCTGTTTCCAGCCTGGTCCTTTGACCATGCCGGATCTGGGCGAGTTCAGCATGGCTGCCAGTGGAGAGCAGGTGGAGGCTGAAGGTCCAACCCAAGGCAAGAAGGTTGGGAAAGATGGAAAGGAAGAGGAGCAGGACCAGGTGGAGAGGCTGCCCTTGAGCGCTTTGCCTGAGAATGCTTTGTAGAGTTTTGGTAGGCTAATGAGGAGGGACATATGAGAGGTTGTGTAAGATATGTGTACGGACATTGCATTGGGGTTTTGACATCCATAGATTGGATGGGTTGGAAGGCAGAGGTGATAGAGGAGATCTGTTTTGAATTTACATGCATTAGTCTACAGTCTCGATATCCCTCATTTAGCAGATGCATCAAAACCACCTACTGAACCAGGTATCGTCCAGCAGTCTCGGCACCTCACGTTCCTCACTCAACAACGTGGCAAGTGTCTCCGCTGCTGCTATGATGTGACAACAAGATAGGTACGGCCAGACAAGAAAACAACGAGTCTTTGAACTGCAAACATGCATAACAGCAGCTAGCACTACTGATGAAGTGTATGCAGGCGACGGATCGGCTATCTGCTTCGGCCTAGTCCTTGGAACAGGCGCTTTGAGGCTGGTAGACCTCCTGCATAGATTCGTCAGTCTCTGGGGACCACGAGGAGAGGATTTCTGCCTACCAGGTCTAAACCAAGCATTTCCTCCAGTACCAGTCGCACTCGATAGATCTGTCACTGACGGGTCACTCCCCTCCTGGTCGTCACCAGCGAAAGAGGACCCGGTCGGGGTCGTCGTCTCCCCTCTGAGCCTTCTGGTCTTCTGCCTGAATTGGCTTTCTCCGACTAACCACCAAGTCAGATCTGCCTCGTCTTCATCCTCAGCCCAATTGAAACCTGCGGTAGAGGTGGGCTAATCAGTACATAGCCTCGTGCATCATCCAGGTGATTGCCTGTGCAATACTCAGGTACTCACTTGACTTCCACGGTGCAGCGGTTGCGTTATCCGGAATCTTGGACCTGACCTCCTTAGGGACGTCTTCCACTTCCTCTGTTACGTCCTCAAGAGTGACACGGCTAACGGCATGTTCGAGGGCTCCTTCTGTTTGCGCTTCGTCATGCGTTCGCGTTGCTTCCTCCCAGGCCAGATCTAGGGTCGCCTTTGACTTTTCCATGTCCAATTGCCTCTCATGTAGTTGCCTACTCTTTTGCTTTTTGGTCGTAGCTACCTCGGTGGGGTAATATTCTTTCACTAACGCGTTCGCTGCACTAAGGTCTGAGAGCGCTCGATAGTGATTGACCAGACTCTGTTTCGTACCCTGCTGTGTGTGTATTGCTTCATAGCCGATTTGGGCGGTTTGGATTTTACTGTGCAGATCATGGACAAGATTTTCTACCATGGTATCGACCTTGGCTTAGACCTTGGTTGAGCCGTAATATTCCCCGTACAACTTACGAGCAGCTTTTCGAGCATCTGCCGAGCCGGTCATTGAATTGCGCTTATGGTCAAAGGCCTTAACCAACTCCTCTCTCGGTGTGTTCTCTTTGAACTCGCCTTCTGAGTTCTCGATCAAGAAGCTATCAAATTTACCATGCACTTGATCTCGTAAGCTCACTAGGCTTCGCATGTACGACTGAGCAATGGAGGGACGGAAATGGGTAGTCTCTGGCTCATACGTAAAGCCGTCTACCATCATTCCGAGCGCTCGAGATAGCTTATCATAGGCTTGGGCGTTGGTTAGCAGGTTGGACGGAGCACCAAAGCTAAAGATGTCCCCTTTCATGATGTTAGTCATGTTACTATAGACTACAACGACTGTACTGGACTTACTTTGCGCTGCACTCTCGTCCTCTTCACCCAATGTTGTACGCACAACTCCCTCTGAGGTTTGCTCTGCCACGTTTTTTGCGGCATCAGAAGAGTCCAATCTATTGAGAAGTAGAGCATTCTCAACGCGTCGGCTCCTATTGTCCAACAGCTCGCCCAAGTCCCCGAGACGCGCACCCTTGAATATGGCATTAGAGACGTTGGGACGGGGGTCGTTGAAGAGGGAATTACACTGCTCTAATTGAGATTCTTTCTCGAGCGGCTCGCTCAAGACTGCGTGAAGTTTTTCTACCCTGTCTTCGAATACCTTGAGATCTTGACCTTCTTCGAGTACCCAACCAGGGTATGAATCGAACCGCGCTTTTGCACCTTCGATATCAGAAAGGGCTTTATCCCATTTCAAAGCTGTCTTCTTTCTCGTCGAGGGTGAGCCAGAGAGTTTGCTTGTGTGTGCAACTGACAAATCCTTGTGAATCCTAGTCACAAGCTTCGGAAAGACCTCCTCGGAGACGACTTGGCTTCTCAAGGCATCCGCGAATCGTCTGGCGTCAATAAACGATTCGAGATCACCAACCTCATCTGCCTGCTGCTTGGTGATCATGCCATTGTGGAGTTCGTCCAAGGAGCCAATTACACTATGGTAGTCACCTTCGGAAGGGGCCCATGTCCCATTTCCGTGATACGCCATCCCCCGTTCTTCGAGTAAATCGAACTCTTGATGTAGCTGGTGTGCCCAGTGACTGGCCTGGGCTGCATTCCAGCCTCGATGACTGTTGTCTAATACTGCGTTTTTCGAATTTGCGGAGACAAGACGCCCAGCGATATTCAAAGTTGACTCGGCAGCTTCTCGAGTGAGCACCCGATAGTCTCTAGCCGGGTCGAGCAAGTCTGTCTCAGCAAGATTGCTGAGAGAAGCAACGATGTCTTTGATAGTGCTTTGACGGTGCTTAATGTCTTCAAGGTGCTTTTCCATCCGATGTATAGCCGAGCTGATGTCTTCCTGGGAAATGGCATCTTTCCCCTCTCCTTGCTTTGGATGTAGAAGTGCGTCGCTTGGTTCTGCCATGATTATTGATATGTGGTGATAAGTAGTAGTCACTACGAGATAGAACAGCTTTTTTGGAAGGAAAGGCAGTACGTACACATATACCACTCTGGGCCTTCCCTGCTTGCAGACTTTTCGAGACCCTCCTGAGAAAAATCTTTCTCGCGTGAGAAACTTCTTCGGCTCGTCGAAGTGAGTGAATGGTGCACGACTCTCGCGGTCGCTGGGAAACATCGGATCGTGAATGACTACACTAGTTACTTACTAAGCCATTTCTGCTACCTGCCAATGACAAACAACGTAACAACAACGGCTGCCATTGTATGATTGACTATTATGGGAGAGGCAAGCTATAGTAGCTCTCTATCATGACCAGCGAATACTGAGCCTCGATGATCGTGATTCATTAAGTCCTTCATTCCACTGTTGCCCCCTATACGTCATCCTGTGCTTCCAGGGGTCTAAGGACTGTCTGATGCTATATTTGTCCCAGCACTGCTCTGCTGCCAAGAGACTTCGGGGACCACTCCTACCTCAACCTTTCATTCATGATAGTCCACCGCCAGGTTTCTTCTTGACTCTGTGGTAGCCTTTGTGATCTTGATATCCGATCAAAGGATGCCCGATACCCACCTCGCCTGTAATTTGGTGCTTTATGGCCGCTGGACCGACCCGATGTCACACGTAGTAATTCCCTGAAGTGGCTTTGGCGCTGAGTTGTGTGGATGGTTGAAGGACGCGCGGTGTACATACTCAATTCATATCATTGTTCTACTCTTTCCTTATGCGATAATACCGAAAAGGTCTTTTCCCCTCCAAAAACACCTTTTCCAGTTCCCTCCCCTGCTGCGTCCCAGCCAGGCCGTGACACCCGATGGAGCACAAAATCAGCCACAGTCACCCCGAAGGCGGAAGTCACATTAGAGTCGAATATACACTTCAACGTGCCAATGACGTCCTACATCAACGCGGATAGTGGTCAGCTCAAAGGTTTTCGACAACCCAAAGATGTTGAGTGCTGGGGTCATAGAGGAGCCAGTGCGAATCTCCCTTAAAACACGTACGTGGAGTTCAACCGAGCTACAGTTCACCAGCCGTTCATCTGGCAATTGCAAGGAGTGATCGTTCCGAAGGTAGGCTGATGAAACAACGTGATCAGACTCGCAAGCTTCCGTGCTGCCATTGAAGAGGGATGCAATGATATTGAAAGTGGTACGTCGGGTTGTAGGAGCGCGTTTCTCATCATGCAATGCTGACGAAATGTCTCTCGTAAAAGATGTGCGCGCCACTTCTTCTTCCGATGGTGTCGGACCTGACCTTGGATCGCACTACCAAGGGGAAAGGTTATATTCAAGAGCCTACCATACAAAAAAGTGATTCGGTAGGTTATCTTTCATACCACTACCGCTACAAAGTCTGACGATGATCAAGAGACATGTACGGACTATTGAAGAACCCATACAGCCCATTCTGTTGTTTGAAGAACTCATTATTGCACTGATCATGGAGCCTAAAAATCGACATGTGTCCATAAATGTGAGGACTTTATCAAAGTATCCTAGGGTAACATTATCCTGATCATTGATCGCGCCGTGCATATCGATTGCTAGATTCAAAATGACTCACAGCGCCTGTTCGTAAGTAGTGTTATCTCGTGCCCATTCAACGTCGCTTACGGTAGACGACGAATAGCCTCAAATGGCCCGCATCATCAAGCACGTAAGCCTCAACACATGTGCTATTACTTGGCCCACTGCAGAAGCTCAATGTGTTGCAGTTCTTACAAGAACCATGAAACCGATCTGAGCCCCCGCATCATACTCGGCCTATGGCACCCCCTCTTCATCCGCCCCGCCGTCAAAGATCTCCCCGCCTGCCGTCGATTCTACATCGGCTTTTCCATCCAAATTGCTAATAAACAACACTTCTGGGACACGTGTGAAGGCTTCTCCATATCTTTTCCTTTCCTCATGGGTCAAGAGGAACAGGCGTTTGTCAAGGAATGCAGGGAGAAGGGAAAAGAAGTCACTGCTTGGACAGTCAACGATGAGTCGGAAATGAAAGCCGCTTTGTCCATGGGTCTCAAAGTTGTTTTGACGGACAAAGTTGGCGTATTCGCAAATCTCAAACACGAGGTACGAGTGTTGGTAACTCATCTCACGACAAGCTAATGTCTGCCTCGTTCGCAGATAGCCAAAAACCCAGAAAGCCTTCAGCTTCAGGGCTTGGAGAGATGGACGTTCCCGTGGTCAAATTGGAAGTATTACTCCGCTGGACAGGTGAGTAAACAGCCATATTGTTGGATAAGCTCAAGAAGATCTTCCATCCAATAATTGAAAAGTGCTCATAAGTGATGATAGAGATGGATCCTCAGGACGAGAGTGCAGCAGTTGCAGAATCTCTGCTACCAGCCTGGCCCATTAACATTACCAGACTTGAGTGATCTTGACACGGATACAGGGGAAGACCGGAGCAGCCAAAAGGGCGGGGGCACAGTATGATGCAGTGATGAGCATCTGTAAAGAAGGCAGAGCTGGCCGACTGCAGCAGCAGATCATGTTGGTCTGTATCATGTAGAGAGGGCTTCACCATGTACAGACGAATACACATGCAGCTTCGCAGATTGCTGTACAATACTGCCGCGCATACTGCCGCCACCCCAAAGCTGCACGTGGGCGGAGTGAGCGTTGACGTCCACAATATAGAGAGCGAATAGTCTCTTATTGATGCGGCCCCCTTTTGTGGTATACTCGGTACATTCTACTCGAACAGCGAACCTATAAAAACCCTTCCATATTCGTTTTGGGCACCGCCTTTGCCCGTCTCTCGCTTCTAGGTGGTAGGCTTGGTGATCCCTGTGCACTTGGCGTCTGTCTTCCATTGTCCATTCCCATTCCATTCCCATTGGCACCACTCCCAGCCGGTGGAAGCGATCTTCCCAAATTGAGGGGCGGTACACTCTGCTGGACTGAGCTTCCGCTTCTCTCTCGCGCCACACGACTCGCCCCCGATGTCGACCTCTCCCGTATCTTGGTCGGACTAGTAGTGTAGCCAGAGTTGGACCTATCGCGCGCTATGGATGGACGGCTAGTGCTGTCGGACAAAGCAGAGTAGGCGGAGAAGGTCTGGTCTCGGGATCTTCCTGAGACAGGAGTGGAGGACGGGTGAGGTGAGGTGATGGCAAAGTATGTTTGCGCGCCAGCGGAGGGTTGGAGTAGACTGGTGAGAAGAAAGGTAAAGTCGAGTCCGACATCTCGTAACAGCTAAAAACGGGTCAGCGATAAGAAATGAGGACAAATTATCACTTACCTTGCGATTCTGAGAAGCGGTCACATGCAGACACTCGTCCACCACGCTCTGGTCGACGTCGGGAACATCAACCTGGCGTCTAAAAAGGTCGACGAACGTCTCAATTTGTTCTTTGGCCCATGTGACAAAACCTGAAGATACGAGTAAGCCCATGTCATCTTGGCATCCTCAAACTCACCGGACGCCATGCGCGACTCTTTGAACGCGTTCATATACCAATCGCTCGTATGTCTCACAATGGTGAAACATACCACCGCCAGCTCATTGATATAGCTGCTGATATCACCCTCGCATTTGATGCTCCTCACACGCCGCATCATGATTTCGCGTCTAGCTTTCAAGAACGTGTCTCGGGCGAGTTCTGAGCGGTCGAGTTGGATCAAGAGCGAAATCAAGCGGGCGGAAGCGGTTTTGCGGAGGCTCGGCGAGGAAAGGTCGTGGCACAGGGACGAGACGAAAGTGGGCACGAGCTGGTCGAGTCGGGTGGTGATCAGAGCGTGGGCCGAAGGATCAGATTCGATCGTCTTTGCCAGCGCTTGTCCCTTTTCGACGAGTGCCAAAGCCTTCTCCCAGTCTCTGGTGGCGATAGCCATCGTCAGGTCATCTCCAAACTCATCAATCCAACGAAGGTCTTTTGAGTTTGTCATGGATAGACCGATCGTCGACAAGGCTCGTCCTGGGGTTCCCATGACAGACAAACTATCCCCACCCTTCTGAAAGAGATGGTCAGCCATGCAGTAGACAACTGGGCGCTACGCACATCATTTCCACCCAGCCACATTGTCTTTCTTCTTTCTTGCTCCTTTTCATTATCCTTTCGCTTCTTCTCATTGAGTTCTCGCGAAATCTGCTTGAAAGCGCTCAAGATGGCTCTCTTCTCGTCGGACTTGTTGGTCTTGTAGACGCAGTATTCCTTGCCTCTCTGCACCTTGATGACATTGACCAAATCTGCACATGATCAGTACTTGTCAATTTGTCAATTTCAGAAGGAACTAACTCACCACCACCATCCTTAACATCCACAATAACCAGTTCCGACAGGTTCCAACACCTCTCCGCGACCAACCTGCCCCTCTCCTTCTCTTTATCCTGCGTGCCCACCTCCGCGCTCCCTCCGCCTTTCATCCGTCTCTTGCCAGCTATCAGTAGCACATCACTCAGCAGGAACATGCTACAGCTCTGCTTTGGCTTGTAAGTCGCAGCGTTGAGTTCAATGACATTGTGTGATTCAAACACCAAATGTCTGCCCGGGACGACAGGAAGATATTTCTGGGAGCCTTCGACGATGGACCAGAGTTGGGTGAGCTGCGTACGATAGAGGTTTTGGAGGTCGAGGACCGAGTTTCGTTGGGTGCGTTTGCGCTCGACTATGTCACATATCAGCTGAGCGATCAAGAGAAGGCAATGTACGCACGGTTACCGTTCTTGTCAAGGGTGGGGGCAAGGGTGTCTTCCATACCCATCAGTTGAGGCAGATCTTTCCACTGTCCTAGCAGCTCCTTGAGTTCCAGCATGTCGTTCTCTAGTGTCGATATTTCCTTGGAGATTGTCACAAACTCGGCATAGCTGTACCGTTGTCAGCAAGCCCCACTGAACGATCCCACACAGAACTTACTGCTTGAAGACTGATCGCTGTAATTCCTTCTTATTCGACTGCCTCTCCCTCAGCAGCGCCGCCTTCAGCCTCTTCTTCTCTTCTTCGTCTGCCCCCGTCAACACCTTCTTCACATAAGCTTGCAAGTCCAGCTTTTCGTCCCCCAACTGCGTCAAGTCCCACTCTTCATTCGCCGTCGCATCTGTCGCTCCCCTCCTCCTGATGCCTTCATCGGCGAGGTGTTCTTGCCTATCGCTGGAGCGGTCGGTAACGCGCAGAGGCTGGGTGAAAGCAGATTCGTTAAACTCCGGTGATCCGTATTCGTTGAACATGGTCCCGCCGGCACCATCGTCGGGGGGAAGCTCTTCCATGCCGCCATAAGGATCGTTGTCGAGGTAATCTGGCTGGCTGGGCATAGGCGGGGCGATGGAGAATGACTGGTTATCGGTATAGCTGCGCGACCGCCGATCAGCATGTGCCATGAAACGATCATCGGACAAGACGTACCGCATACTCAGACGCTTCTTGATCTTGTCCCCGACTTTGGACTTGCGCTTCTGTTTCTGGTTGCCATTTGGCAGAGGTGGGCGGGGGCCACTCTGGATGGGGCCGGTGTTGGACCCACGGGGCGGCGCGGCGGAGGGGCGACGTAGGGAAGCCATGGTGGTTGATCGGGCGGGCTTCTTGTGGCGATAGGGGCTGAAGATGACCTCTCAGCGGGCAGATGGATATAGCTGAGAATACGACTGGAAAGCACAAACCAGCGTTGAGCCCCAGCAACAGCCGGCCACAGCTCACCGCGACGACGTGCCTTACAACGTCACCACTAAAGTTGTTTTGACGCAAATGTAGGAGCTTGCAAATCGGCTGCAAATACGTGTAGCGTATGCATGGGTGAATTCAGATATGGCATTATACAGTATGACTACAAGATACAGGAGCTTTTGTGGTGATGACACAGCTAGACCAGGGGTTTCTTGGGCAACGACGCGAGACCTCTCCGAAATGGGTCCTTCGTGTCCTTCTTGGCTTCTGCGTGCTCAACCGAATGATTCGATGTAGACGATCCAGAATCCCCTTCGGCACCATTAACACTCTCTTTCCTCTGACCCAGCTCTCCTTGGATTTCTCTCTCCAGCTCCAACGCTGCCCTCTTTCCTTCTTCTTCTCCCATAGGCACGTCTAACGGCGCTGGCGACCCGCTCGCAGACGATCCCAACGCTGGAGAGTTTAGATCTGACCCAGGTGTCCAGTCCCCGGCAGGTCTTTGTTGGGCCATGGTGGCCAGCTTGGCTTCCATTGCGGCTATCTGAGCTTCGGCACTGAGGAACAATGTGAGCCGACTTTCGCAGACTTTGAGCACCACTCACCTTTGTGGCTTGCGGCGGCTTTTCAAGAGAGACAAGGTCGTAGTCTTTGGAGGTTCAGCGCGGCGACCTTTAGTTTGCAACATGGTATTGTCAGGGGGTGCCTAACAGCCGTCAGCAATGTTCTTTGAATGACACATGTCTGTGGTCACTAACCGAGCTGGCAAAGGTCACTACAAGCTTCCTCCCTCTCAGAAGCCTATCATGAAGCTTGACCATCGCCTTCAAAGCATCCTGTATTCCCATAAGCAAGTTCCCACGCCGCACTTGCACCACTTACTCCTTTATCTGAAAATTGTATGAACGCGAATCCCCTGGGTTTTCCCTTCAATGGACCGGTCTTGTGAAACATAAAGTCCATTTTGGTTATCTTTCCGTATTTGGAAAAGACTTGGATGAGGGTGTATTCGTCGACGGTGGGGGCGAGGTTGCCGACATAGAGGCGATCGGCATGGGAGGGGACAGTGCTGGACGACGACGAGGCTGCTGGCTGAGACTGCATAGCGGGAGAGGGATATGCCGTGGGATCAAAATAAGATAGTTGGATTGGTTGCTGAAATGTGATTGTGAATTGAAAAACGGTCAAAACAACACGCAGATGGGCGGCGAACGGCGTGTAATTTGATTCCGCTGATTATAGGCGCTCGCCTATGCTTGCTCGTCGTCATCTTCAAGTCATTTTCGGAGTCCGCTCGAGGAGAACAACCGGTCACAGCGATCGAATTTGCGTCCCATGCACATTCACAATCCACCATGAGTGCCACAGCTACAGTCACCCACAGCGGCCAGCAGGAAGACCTCGAGCTCGCCACCATCCCCGCTGTCGTCGCACGCGAAGCCGGCGAGAGGGATCCTTACTCCCTTCGCAATCGAATCGTGGAGGACGATGTCATTGACAATCTCCGGAAGTGAGTCTTCTCTGCATGTCCAACGGCTCCTCCTCTGACCTGTCCAAAGACGGAAAGCCGGTGGCAAAAAGATTGCCAACTTTTACGAAGGCCAGAATGAGCGTATCAACCGCATGCTCAAGCCCCTCTCTGCTCACACTGCCGATGCCGAGCAGAGTGCCGCCGATAACGCACTGAAAGTCAAGATCGCCATCAACGTGTCGTTTGCGATGAACATCTGTCTCGCCATCATCCAGCTGTATGCGGCTGTCAGTAGTTTGAGTTTGGCCATGTTTGCCACTTGTATCGATGCAGGTGAGTCGTCTCGTGCTCCAGGAGTCCAGTTTACTGATGGTTTCATCCAGTGTGTCAGTCAACTATTTTCCAGGCAATCGGCTGGCAATCTGACACTCTGTAGTTGACCCGTTTGCCAATTTGATTCTCTGGGTTGCTCATCGGAAAGCGGACAAGGCGGACGAGAACAAATGGCCAGTGAGAGGATCACGATTTGAGACCAGTGAGTTTGCCTCTGTCTATCAAGTGAAAACGCTAATGCGACTTTGCAGTGTAAGCGATTATTCAAATATAGCACCTACGTATGTCCGACCTGAGCTCACTTGATCCCAGCGGCAACATTGTCTACGGGTCCATCATGGGCGGTGTCAATGTCATCCTCATCGTCCAGGCTATCCAAGAATTTGTCACTCACAAAGGTTCCGACCTCAAGACCTTCCACCTTGCATCCATTATCGCTGTCGCCGTTGCCTTTGGTACGTTGCCTTCTTCCTCAGCTATGCACAAGGGCTGATGGGGTACGCTAGGTGTCAAGTTTGCACTGTTCCTCTACTGCATGGCGATCAGGAAGAGCTCTTCTCAAGTGCAGGTTCTCTGGGAGGATCACCGTAATGATCTTTTGGCGTGAGCGAACCAAGTCCCAATGCTCAAAACAATGGCTGATCTGTCTGGTAGGAATGGTTTCGGTATATTGACTGCGTCTGCAGGTGCCAAGCTGGCATGGTGGGTGCGTATAAATGGAGAATGTGGTACACATGCTCATTAGTGAACAGATCGACCCCATGGGTGCTACTATCATCGCTATCTGCATCATCGCCGTCTGGACCCACACAGTCTACGGTCAGCCCCTCCCTTCTCCCCTCGTAGAGATTGAACTGACACCGCCACAGAACAATTCACCTACCTCGCAGGCATCACCGCCCCCACCGACTTCATCAACCTCGTCACCTACAAATCCATGACCTTCTCCCCCTCCATCCTCTCTGTCGATACCGTCCGCGCCTACCACTCTGGTCCAAACTACTTTGTCGAAGTCGACCTCGTGCTCGACCCGCATATGCCGCTCTGGCAGGCGCACGATATAGCGCAGGATTTGCAGGATCAGATTGAAAAGCTTGGGAATGTGGATAGGTGCTTTGTGCATGTTGATCATGAAATTTCGCACGCACCCGTGAGTATTCCACTTTTAGCTATCAAAGGGCGGCTGCTAAGGAATCAATAGGAACATCGAAAGAGAGAGTAAAAGTCTTGAGGGTTGATTGTATATATATTCGAAACCGCGTATGCTGTTTGACATGCTCTCACGTGTGAGTAGTCGCTTGTTACTAGATACGAAACATGCACTCAACAAACAACTTCCTCACACTATGCATTACATTTCGTCGTGTATATGCTCAAAACCAACTTCTTTCGCTTCTCTTATTCCACAACTTGTTTATACGCGTTTACTATACAGCAAGATATCAAGTCTCCTAAAGACCGAGGTAGTGGTTGCCCAAGTCGTTAAAGCTCGAGTCGGCATTCTCAAGACCGTTGGCATTGCCGGCACTAGCAAAGCGAGGCATAGCACCGAACCAGGCCCAGCGCTCGACAATGTCGGCGCCGTCACCTCGGAACCAGGCGATGGCGGTGTCCATGAAGGACTTGACTTCATCGGCGTTACAGTAGTAGTTGGTTCCGTAGCCCTGCGAGATGGGCCAGAGGATGATAGACTTTAGGGAGAAATGCGTACGACACAGGCGAATTCGGTGACCCAGATAGGCTTGCCCTGGCGGGGGAAGGACTGGAAAATTCAAGTCAGTGTATCTGGAAGCACGAATAGATGTCCTAGTGCGTACTTGGATGTAAGAGATCAAGTCGGCAGCGCTGGTACCGTAAAAGTGAATGGGCACAAAGTCAAAGTCACAGTTCCCGCTACAGGCTGAGATCCAGTTCTAACAAACTCATCAGTATAGTTAATAGCTGCAAGGGGAGACTGACGTTGAACCAATCAGTACTGCCTCGGGCCACGGCAGGAGAACCAATCTTGAGGGACTGGGAGAGCGCGCCGGTCCACTGCTGGTGGATACTTGAGGCATCGCTAGCACTGATGTCGGAACCACCAACGTCTGGTCGGCTATCATGAGTACGAGTCAATCAGGCATCTCTTCGTTCGTCAAAGATGGGTCCGGGACGTACGCTTGTTGAAACCGAGGATGTAGGAAGCTTCCTCCCGAGTCCTGCCGCTGACTTGAGACTGCAAAGGCCATCAGCATCCTGTCTAGGTATGATTTACAAGGAGGTCACTCACAACAGAGTCTCTGCCCCAAACCATAGGAACAAACTCCTTACCAGAGACATCCCAAGGGTCAAGGGCCCAGCTGTAGTACCACTGAAGGTTGGCAGCGCCAGAGTAAGAGCTGTAGCCAGTGTCATCAGAGCCCAAGCCGATGGGGTTGATGTTGGCGCGCTTGGTAGCGGGAGAGGGGGCGGGGGCGGCAGAGACCAAAGCTAAAGCCTGGACGAGGGAGAGAAGGACAATCGTGGAGAGCATTATGGAAGGATAGTCGAAAGATTCAAGTGTGAGATTTAGGCCAAGTCTGATGGCGAGAGAGTTCACTCACGAGTGGAGGCTATATATATGTCTCGAGAAGCTGCGAGGACAAGGAAGCGCGGCCCGGCCAAGGTCAGCAGGGCAGCGGAGTGGGGCGCTGCTAGGTCGGCCGGAGATTGGTGTGGATCCTGATTGTGGACGAGTGGGTGAACGGGGATTCCGAAGTACGAGAAGGCTGAACGTGCACTGATCAGAGATGCCGACAGAAAGAGAGTTACGTGGCCTGCTGGGGCAGGGACTGGCAGTGGTGTCGTAAGAAATTCGAGATCTGGCCGGCGCGTACCTCGTGCAGCATCATATGGAATAGATGGCAAGCCGACTGCTGCCGGGATGTCGGTCCAAGCGCATTGGGTCGACGAAAACCAAACAGAGACTCGAGACATGGTTGTTGAACAGTACGAGGCACGATTGTTTACTACCACTAACAATTGACGCCGCCCCGAAAGCCGATTCAAGAAGCTAGTCCAGAGCAAGCCAGAGCTCGTTCATGCAGTGCATCGCACGTTTGCCAATGTCGGCGTGGCTGCTCTCCAGCCACCTCAATCTCCTCGAAGTCTGGGGGCGCATATTGTGGTTTGACGGAGGTGTGAGGCGATGCCGCAAGAGAGTGCCCTAGTCCGGATTAGTGTCGTAACTCAATACGGAGGGCCAACAAGCATTTGGTTTGTGCTATAGATATCTGCGTGCAGTCGGGGACCCATTCTGACAAGCAGAGACAGCCAGTCATGAGAGTCGTAGCCCAGCCACTTACTGATCTCGGTCTCCTGGTCTAAAACAACTTACTCTTCCACGTATCCCATATCCCGGAAGGCCGACTTGATCTGGTACCTTCGGCAGGCCGGCGTGCTGTATTATCGAGCATCGCGCTTCTACCCGACGGGGGATACCTCGCCAGCTTCTAGTGCAGCGAATAAATCACCTTAATGAAAGAAGCTCCCGATCCCCAGCTCATCAAGGCCGGTGGTCTTGGTGGTAACCAAATGCCACCACACAAGTCAAACGATGCTCCTCTGATGCTTCTTCCGTAGCACCGGCGCCTATTTTTGTACGAAAGAGTGACGTAAAACAAGATCTCGTACATCGAAAAAGACAAAAGAAAGATATGTAAGTGACTGCTAGAGCCGCCGGCACAAAGAGGATAGGATCAAGATATTGTGAACCATCTGCAAGGCAAAGGAGGATCGAGTCTTTGAAAGTGTCTCAAAGCTCATCAAAGCGCCAAGTACGTCGTACCCAACTCATTGGTAGTCCCATCCGCATTCTCCATCCCATTGGGATCATCCGCATACTTGGGCATAGCCCCAAACCACGCCCACCTCTCCACATACTGTGCGCCCTCGCCCCGGAACCACGTGACAGCGGTGTTGATGAATATGGACACCTCATCGGCGGTACAGATGTAGCCGGTGGAGAAGTCGCGGCAGGCCATCTCGGTGACCCAAATCGGTTTGCCATCAGCGGGGAAGGACTGCATCGTATTGTCAGTTTAAGTGAAGTAAAAAATGTATTGATGTATACGTACGGTTACATAGTCGATCAACTCTTGCGGGTCGATGCCGTAAAAGTGGATCGGGACAAAGTCATACTCGCAATGACCACCACATGCAGTGAGCCAATTCTGAAATTCCATTATCAGCATCTGGTACTCTGTTTGGAGGCAAGACGTACGTTGCACCAAGTGGTACCACCACGAGCAACTGCAGGCGCGCCGACCTTGAGGGAAGACGCCCCAAGTTGAGCCGTCCAAGCTTGATGAAGCGTCGCAGCTTCATCTTCGGTGATATCTGAACCTCCCACAGCAATCGTCTGATCCGCTACCCCACCACATTAGTCCTTGCCTCTAGTACAATATAGTGAAAACTCACGTTCGTTGAAACTCATGATATGACTCGTCCCACTGGGGAACGCGTCGATAGTAGCCTGATCAAACGCATCGGCCATCTCGCTGCCCCAAACGCAGGGTACGAACTGGCTATCAGGGAGGTCGAAGGATACCAAGCCCCAGTTCCAGTACCACTCCAAACCCGCAACGCCGCTGAGCCCTTGCCAGCCCGTAGAGTCGACACCAAAGCCGACGGCAATGCTCGAATCACCGACGGTTGCGGCGGCGGATGTGGTGGCTGCGGCTTGGGTGGAGGAGATGGTAGCAGGCTCGAGGGATGTGGTGGTGATGGGAGTGGTAGAGGCGATAATCGTCTGGACCGCCTCGGAAGAGAGGATAGAAGACGAGGCGTCGAGAGCCGAGGATATAGCAGTGTTGATAGGAGAAGCGATACTCGAGATATCGATAGTCGGGCTGGTCTCCACAGCAGCCTCGGACGTAGTAGTGACCGCGACTTCGACAACAGAAGTCCCAATCAAAGTAGCGTTCGCAGCAGAAGTCTCCACCAGCGCAGCATTCGCAGACACTCCCCAGCTCGGTCGACCACCAGATCGACTCTGACCCCCACCGATTACAGCCAGATCGATCCCAGAGGCGCTGGCGGTACTAGCCGTAGCCTCAGAGGAGATGGACGACGTGGCAGAGCCGAGCGCGAGAGTGTCGATGGCAGCGATGGCAGATGCTGAACCCTTGGCGGGGCAGTCTCGTTTCGCGATGGCCGGGGCTGGTGCGGCCGAGACGTATACGAGGTAAGGGAGGATAGCGAGGAGGGCGTGAAGCTGCATCTTGCGGCTGCGGTTGAGGGGCAGATTCAGAGTAGAGAGTGAGGTATACCAATACGCGTTGTTAAAGAGTGACTAGAAGGTGAGAAGAACGCTTGTTGGAGATGAGAGATGTTGGAAAGATCATAGTCAGTGCTGCCCATCTTATACTTCCCTCCACGACTCCTTTGACAGACGCTTAGAGATACAGATAGCAAGCCCTCACATCTTGGCTGGCACTGAAACACGGGTCAATTGTACGTGATTGGGTGCCTTTAGACAGATATCAATATGAAAGAGGAGGCCGAGGAGGCCAAAGAGAACGGATGGGGACGATGTGATGTGGGAAGGAAAGGGACCGGGTGTACCTGTACCTGAGTGTTTTTGTCCTTCGAAGGACATGTGTTGTCAGGGGAGAGATGAGTGGCAGGGACAGGAGGGCAAAAGTGGAGATGTCCTTGTCTCTGGAGATTACTCTGAGGCATGGGTGGGACGGATTCGATACCCTTGATCGCCTCTGCCGCAGGTCGCAAAGTGCAGAATACACGAGCATCGCTAGCATCGCTATCGGTGTTGTGTGGGTGGCAGAACTGGAGTTTGTCTTGAAGCTTGAAGGGAGTATCAAATGAATGACAGAGGCGGTTGACCGCAAACCGCAAACGGCCAAACGCAAATGGCTTGGAGACGGTACGCCGAAACCAATGGCACCCTTTGAGCGCCTCGGTCGAGACCGTTATTCGATGTCTGTATGCGCATCCATAAACCGATATGGACACCCGCCATTCTCCAAGACTCCAAAACCTCATAGACATCGCCCACATGTCGTATCCCCCAACCACCGCGTTTTCGACACCAAGTCTCGCACCTCATCAATCGACATCCATGCCTGAAGCCTTCCCCTTGGCCCGGTTGACCTTTGCAGCCCCATTGTTCGCTGCCTTTCCGTTTCCATTCTTGTTCTTTTTCGACTTTGATGCTTGGCCGGGAGTAGAACCCAGCCGAGCGAGGAGGTTGTCGCCGGAACTCTTGTTCTGAGCAGCCGCCTTGGCCTTCTTTCCAGCACTATCCGAGGTCAGCCCTGTTATTCAGTACGGTGTTATACGCCACTCACACTGGGGTCGGCGCAGGCTTGCCATTCTTCCCACTGATCCTGCTCAAGAGCGCCGCTCCTGGTGGTTGGTTCGATTGCCCGGCCTTTGCTTTTCCATTCTGCTGCTGCTGACCAGCCTTCCTCGGCGCCTTCTGTTGGACTGCTGGCCGGGCGGAGGGCTGGGATCTAGCGGCGGGCGCTTGCATAGCCTTTGGTCCTGAGGGTATAGACACGTTTGAAGACAACGGCAGGCTGATATAGGATGGGAGGATATGGTGGACTTGAAGGATATACACTGTTTTCACCGTCAGTGACTGTCATCCCTGCCACCCTCGCAAACCAACATACCTCCATCGATATCACGTCCATTATATTCTTCCCTGATCTTCTCGGCTTCTTCCCATGTGTTGACATGCACGAGCGCAGCATTGAAGAATACCCCGTCTTCGCCGTACAAGCTTGTCACAGTCGTCGTGAGAGTTGGGAGGGACAGTGGCTTGGAGATTATGAGGTCCTGGAGCATTATAAGCGCCTGATGCTCTGTCTAGCTGCGGATGACTCACTCTCAGCTCGGTTGCTGTAATGTCATTTGGCAGGCCGGCAAAGAGGATGCGATGGGGTTCTTCGGCAGGGGCAGCTGGGGCACTGTAGTAGCTGTTGGATGTGCCGTATGGGGCGTTGTAGCTGGCGTAGGACATGGCGAGGATATGTATGGATATTATACATGAAAGTAGACGATGCAGGATGATAGAGGTGATGATTTGGTCCCGCTGGTTGATCCCGTCCCGCCGGTCGTTAATAAAAAGTTATCCGTCGCTGTCAAGTCGCTGTCCCATACATCCCATACTTTTCAGCAACAAAAGCACAACAATGGGTGTCCACGCCGTCGTCGCCAACACCCGCAACGAGCAGCAGCCGCTCCTCCAGCCATACACCCCCCCACACCCCTCCGCCACTGCAGCAGACATCTACCAGTCCTATCCCTCCTATGCCCAGGCTCTCAAGGACGGGGACAAGCAGAATGGGGAGTCTAACGGGGCAGGACCGAGTAGAGTTACGCTCGATACTATAAGAAGGGACAGTTATGGGACAGCGTCCGAGGGGTCTACGACTGGAGGAAGCTGGAAAGGGAAGGAGCCGGAGGATGTAGAGAGAGGGCGGGAGATGGACATTTATGACCCGGACGAGCCCTTCGAGCCTGTGATCGATGGTGAGTATATGTCCCTTCTATCCAGTGCGATCTTAAACTGACAATGTCACAGTGACCTGGAAATACATGTCAAGATTGTATCTCCTCGTGCCCGTCTTTTCCTTGATATGGTTTGGACTTCTTGTCCTTCTCGTCACTTTTGCCTGGTCAGTCTTGAAACCTTACCAACAGCATATACTCATTCGCAGTAGGCCTCCGTCGGAAAAGGAAAGACGGGCAGGTCAGCATTACCCCCTTCCCTTCCTCTTCAACCCCTTCCTAGTCGGCATCTTTGCATCTTGCACCGTTCAAACCTTGCGAGTGCCAATCTATGTCATTGTCTCTTGGTTTGGCATGTCAATCACTTCCGTGGAGTATCTGTAAGTCTATCGCTATTGTAGATGTTGCCGCTGACGCGACATAGGTCGCGAGTCGTCCACACAGTCCTCCACGAACTCCTCCGCCTCTCCTCCCTCCCCCTCTCACCAGCCTCCCCAACCTCAGGCTTCCACTCTTCATACTACCTCGGCCTCGGCTGGGGTATCGCCGAAGTTGCTTGGGGAACCGTACAAGGCTGGGAACAGCTCGCTCTGTATCAAGAAGTCATGCTGCCCTCTGCATCATCTGTCAACGATAGGATCTGGCTCGAGTCTTCTCAAGAGGAAGAAGAAGCCGCGAAGAGGGATGGGATGTTGAGTTCGGTAGAGGAGAGGGATGAAGATGAGAATTCGCTGCTTGAGGATGAAGAGAGTGATATTAGCAGCGAGGATGATGTGTTGGACGAAACCGAGTTGGGCAAAAAGGTAGAGATACTGGAAAGGATGAGGGAACGACGAGAATTGGAAGAGGTCATGGGTGTCGCCTTCCCTGTAAGTCGCCATACTGCTTCAAAGATCAATGCTAACCGACTCCAGGCCATTCCATTCGCCCTCCACCTCCTCTGGCGCCTAGACACCCTCCTCCTCAACCTCGGCCTCACCCTCATCCTCTCCTCCTTCTACTTCAACTCCACCCCCATCTACCACCACTCCCTCTCCCCTTCCCCAAACACACTGTCCGCCTTGGGCGACCATCCCATGGTCCCAGAGAGAGAACCCAGTCAATGGCTCTGGCTCGCCTGGGCAGCGGTGGTGCTGGTGCATGTGGTTGTCAACCTCGTTTGGAGGGGCGTGGCCAAGTTTGGGATTGGGGCGGTCACTTGGGGTGCGCTGATTGTTGCGCTTGGGAGTGTGTTTGCCGGCCTTGGGTTCTGGGGCGGTCTTGTGTAACTGTGACACACGGGCATCAATCTGCAGAATCGAAAAGGAAGTGTGATATTGGCATTGTTTGAATTGTATACGACCTTTCGGTCATCTATGGAATTGAGGTAGCGGTGTAAGATATGGAGAGCTTCCTTGCATGAGTCGGTCTGAGTGTCGTAATCAACGCAAAATGCATTGTCTTCAGATACACCAGCCTTGAAGAGCCTATAGTGCGCTCCAATGTTCTCCTAGAGGGAGCATGTCTTGTCTTATGTCTGAGCGACATATGATACATAAGTGACTGCAGAGTCTACTCTCCTGAACCAGGCCATTGCGATACCAAATCCAGTATCCCCGCATACCTCTCCCTCTCCTTCTCCACAAGCCCCTCCTCTTCCCCATCTTCATCCGCCCTCCCCTCCCCCTTCTCTCTCTTCAACGCCAAACCCACTACGACCCCCTTCCTCGCCTCTCCGCTCGTCTGCAAAGCCCACCATACGAGCGTCGCTATCTGCGACACATACAGCTCATGTAACGCTTGTTGTGGTGGGGAACCGAGTAACGGTGTGAGGGTCGTTTGAGGAGGAGGTGGGGGGAGAATGGATAGGATTTGGAGGTGGGGCGGGATTTGTTGGAGGTCTTGGGATGGAGGTGGGGGCGTTGGGAGAGGGGTGAATTGGGGCAAGGTCGCTTGGGTCTGCGCTTGGTCAGCTTCCATCTACATTCAATATAGCGGAAGTATACATACCAAGCAGCCTACTTTACCACTCTGGGTGACAATGACAAGCACGCGATCGTCGAATGTTTGTATGAGCAGATCTGTAGGGACGGCGCAGATGTCTCGACGGAGAGTGTAGGTGCGGATGGGGCTGGGCGGGGGAGCTGGGGGCTTCGACGTCGCCGAGATGTTGGAGACGGACTGGGCGGGATGAGATTCTTCGAGGAGAGAGGACATGGCGAGATAAAATACAAGTGAATGGACAAGTTCATAGTAGAATAGAGTACGAGTAGATATAGAGAGCTTCGGCCTTCCATGCACTTACGTAATGACATTTGATCCCGACATTCTTTTCAGCTCTCTTTTGACATTCCAAGTATTCATAAATCCACCAACCACGATGTTTGGCGCCCTCAGACCCACCTCGCTCGTCTCAAGTGGTCTCCTCTGGTACGACTTTTTAGTCAATACGAGTCAAGTGACTAATGTGGAAATAGGAAAAACCCCTGGCGACTCTCTGCTACCCGAAAGGCCAACCAACGCAAGAGACTGAGGCGTGTCGATGATGTTATTTCGATGGTTTCGGAGAGTGGGGTGGTGACAAAGAGTTTGGTCAAGGCCTTGGAGTTGCCGACGGAGGCCGAGATGCCGCCCAAAGGTGAATCTGTGTTCGAGTCTCAGGTTGGCAAGGGAGATCTGAGCCGAGGAGAGCATGAGACGGCAGTGAAATCAACTGGGAATGTCTTTGGAGGGTGGTGCTAGACACCACAATTGTCTTGATGAAATTGACCCAGAACAACGCACTGACACCCTGTACAGACAAATACACCACCTTTTCAAAACACGACCCCAAGTTTAGAAAATCACAGCACAAGGTCCCCAAGTGGACAAGAGTACGCCGAGTCCCCTTCAAACAATCTACAGTGATATGGATACATGCTGACATTTGACAATAGTTGACATTACGCGAAAACCCCAAGGGTTTCTAGAAAGGGTGTATACAAGTGTCATTATTTCGTCTCCGTCATTACTCATCTCTACATGTACCACTATCCCCAGAAATCTACTCCCGGCTAGCTGATGCTTAGCAAGCGCTACCCAACAATATAATATAAAACTGTAATTGGCAGAAGAAGCAAGAAGAAACGGAACGGCAACCCATCGGACAAGAAGCGGGTCACCCCATGTGCGGCCAAGCGGGAAACATGCCCCCGCTATACCAGCTCACCCCATTATTGTAGGGCATATTCCCTGCACCATTCGGCGAGAAAGGCCTCTGCCCCCACCCATTCTGGACCCCAAACCCCATCCCATTCGGCTGGTTATACCCTCCCCCCGGCGTCATCCCATTCAACCCCGGCCCCGGCCCCGGCGGTAGATCAAAGTACCCCGGACCCATCCCCATCGTGCCCATACTCGACTGTGGTGTCATACTATGCGGCGGCGGGACGTGGGGCTGGACGAAAGAGCGGTTGTATTCGTCGAATACGTTTTGGGCGGGGAGTGACATGTGTTGGCGGTGCCGCCGGGGTTGTTCTTCGGTATAGTGGGGTGGGGCTTGGTCAGGGGGTGCAGGGGCGGGACGAGGGTGAGGCTGCGAGTTGCGCCGAGAGAGTCGGGAGGCTGTACGGCGGACGGACCCTGGGCGCTGTTCGCGTGTTACTCGAGGACGCTATACTCTGTCAGTTTGTATCACGTGTCGACTTCATCAAAACCTCACCTCATCAACCGAACGGATCACCCATGTCGTCAGACACTGCATCAAGGATGGTTCTCGTGCTTTACGGTCCAAGACCGGGCTGACCGTGCAGCAAGTGTAATCGGGACTCTTCAACCCAAGTTCAGCATGGCCCATCATCGCAAATGGACTGACTTACGAATTGTCCGAATACCCAGAGCTTCAGGTTGGTCACTGCAAAGAAGTAGACTTGATTCTGCACACAAGCATCATACACCTTCCCGCCAATCGATCAGCCTTCTCTTCTCAGACGGATGATCAAATTGAACTCACTTGCGCCTGCAACAAATTCGCCTGCCCCACTTCCCCAAGCACCCCCTCCCTATCCATAGCCCACCACTCTCCCCCTCCTCTGCCCTTTGCAAACTCTTTGATCACTCCCGCATCCACCACACTCGGTGGCCTGATCTCGATTACCATACTCCGGTCCGTATCGTCGGCCTTGTTGACGAGTACCATGGAGCCAAAACCGTCCCAGAGAAAGTGCTTGCCGTTGTGGGGTGGGTGGTGGGATGGAGGAGGGATGGAGGGGATGAGGTGGAAGGTAAAGTTTTGGGAAGAGTAGCGGAGCATGTGGAGGGTGGAGACGGCTGTCTGAAGGATCTGTCGCGGTGTTAGAGCTGGGTACGTTTTTTTTTCTCTCGGCAGGACTTACACTTCCACTCAACCAACTCAGCAGACCTTTATCCTCGGCGCCGTCCAAAGAGTCGTCGTAAAACTCGAGCGTGTCGTACCCCTTGGCTTGAAGGGCGAAAATCCTATCCAACAAGTCAGCAGGCGACGACAAGATAACGATCCTTACTCACTGGATACCCCATCGGTTGTTCAGGTCAATAGGGTACGCCGGCACATTCTCCTTCTGGACTACACCACACATCAGCTCAAAGTACACCGATCGGAGGACCACACCTACACTCAATAATATCCCTCTCCCATCCCCGACTACTCCCCTCCCACCCCCTCAACACCCTATGAGGCTTCGCCTTCTCCGCCTCCTCCAACCTCCTCCCCCACTCCCACCCCATATCCTCCCACTTTCCTCTCCTCCCCCTACCTCCTCCACCAGGCCACATCCCCATCCCCAGTCCCATCCCCGACCCCGACCCTGCTATCGGCCTTGCCCCTGTCGGGTGGGGCCAGTCGTCCCATAGAGGTACGCGCACGGAGCGGAGGTATTCAAAGAGGTTGTCGGCTGGTTTGATCAGGGCTCTGTTGGATCCAAAGGACATTGGCGGGGCGGACATTGGCGGCTGGCCATCAGCGAGCGAGAGGCCGGAAAAGATATTCCTCAAGCCTAACCCTTGGTCATCACCCGCAGGCAAATGCGTGGTACTCCTATCGTGCCGATCGATACTCCCTCTCGGCCCATTTTCCGCCCTGACGGGCGCACGCTCAACCTGTTCATACCCCTCCCTCTCCCCCGACCCGGGCTTCGACCGCGACCTCGTCCTAATCAAAGTCTTTTGCCCTTTGAAACTGCCCATGACGGAGCCTACCACGCTCATAGGCCTTGACGGTAGCGGCTTCTCCGCCACCTGCTGCCCCAGAGCCTGATTCTGAGGTCTCATCGAAGCAGCCGTATTCGTCCGGCTAATCGTCATCCTCGAACTACTCCTCAAAATCGGCTTCAGCATATCCGACGCATACGTTCTATGCTTTGGCCTTTTCGTCCCCAGCCCTATCACCTCCACCGGCTCTCCCCCGGGCCCTTTCATAAACGTCCCCGCAAGCCCGCCGTTGCCGTTTTTGGAATGGTCGAAGAAGATAGTAGGGCCTGGAGGCTGGGAGTCGCCGTCGGATTCGTAGCCCAGGTCGGAGCGGAGGGTGCGTTGACTACCCCTTGAACGAGTCGAGTCAAAGGAGACTCGGGAGCGTATGGACCTATCCGAGTCTACCCTCGATAGTGTAGTCATACCCGGTACCGCAGCCCCCGAGCTGCCTGACGAAGCTCGCCGACGACGGGAGGCAGAAGAAGTATGGGGCTCGGGGACTTTACGATGCGAAGGCGTGGCAAGCCGTTCAGCTAGGAAGGCTTGTTGCGCGGCGGTAGGCGTGGGGTAGATGGTTTCGCTTTGGGATAGGTGGCGGCTTGGTTGAGGCCGGGGTTGTGGGTAAGAAGGGTTTGCTTGGACTTGCGCTGGGGCAGGGGCGGGGGGTACGTTGGGCAGAGCACGGACTTGCGCAGGACGCGCTTGCTGAGCGTAGATTTGGGCTTGCGATGGAAAACTTTTCACTCCCTTCCCCGCTGGCTGGGCTTGCGCCTGCCCCTGGTGGTGGTGCTGCACCTGGTGCGCCACCTCGGCCGCCCTTCTCTCTCTGCCAATCGTATCCAAACTCTCCCTTCTCCTTCTTTCTGTCGCCGTGTCCGCCCGCTCTGGAACCATCAGATGGTCCGCCGAGGGTGTTTTTACGTGGTTTGCCTGAGTAGCAGTGGTAGTGGTGGTGCGGTGGTGCGGTAGAGAATTCGAGGTTTGGTGATGGGAAGGTGAGTGGTTTGGGGTATGGTTTGTATTGGGCGGCTGGTGCATGGTGCTCATCTCTGCTTGTCCAGCGACAAAGTCGGATGTGCGTTCTATTGGAAGGATAGTCGACGTTCACCAGGATGATAACCGTCTTGCGACTGATGATACACTCTCGTAAGTCTCGGATCACTGAACGAACGTCCCCTGCCAGGAGTAGGTCTTTCTTCGTCTCTCAATTCCTTCGTTCGATAAACTTTGTTGTATGGAGAGCCCTCTGGTCTGGGGACTGGGCTCTGGCGATACTCTTCTTGATGAAGATGATGTCTATTGTTGTCGGGGGTGGCGGTTCGATGAGAGTGTGGAGACTGTCGGTGAATCTCTCTCGGCCGTTCGTCAAGGGAATACCTCCTTCCTTGCGCTCGATACTCGTCTTCTGCGTACCGGCTTCTGGAAGAATGACTGCTCTGGAGCTGAGGCTGGTACTGATGCTGAGAGTAGTTGTCTGCTTACCCGCGCCTCGACGAGTGATTCCTCCCTATCTGCGGCTGAGGGCTGTATCTCGCTTGCGAGAATGACGGCTGTTGAAGGTGTACCGGCACGGGTACAGGGACAGGGAACAAGCCCGGCGATGGCGCGTACGAGCTTGGATAGGATACGAGTGGTGGCGGGATGGGAGCTGGCTGGATGATGATGGGGCGTTGAGGGATGGGATAGAGAGGGAGGGCAGGTGGCGGGATGACTATGAGTAAGAGCAGTCAGCAGGGCTCTTGCATGATTTCATCGTTGTCCTCTCTTTTTTTTGCCACGCTCTTTTTTTTTTGCCAACGAGATGGCCGATGCTGAGGAGGAGCGGCAAGACAATGGGGTGCCTCTGCAGACACCCACAGCAGCACCCTTTTCCGACCAAGATGGGCCTGCTCAGGTGATGCTCCGGGATGCACATAGCCACGTTCACCGCCAAGCTCCTTCCGCCGGCGACTTACCACGCGGAGGCCAGTGCTGGGTGTCCGTCCTGTCACAGCAAAAGTCACAGCACGGCCCGCAACAGCCGTTGTCGCAACAGCAATCGCAGCAGCAGTGCTATGGGTGAGCAGGGGACCGGATTATGTAAGCTTACAGTGGAGTAGCAGACGCCCATGAGATGTAGAGAAGAAAGAGTCTTCCCGGGTGATGCCCACCTCCGACAGGGACGGGCGGGTGTGTGCATCGAGGCAGTCGGCCACGTGTCGGCCATGCGATCCAGCCATGCAGCACAGCTTGTCTGCAGAGCATGGAATATGCATCGCTGTAAATGATAGAGGTCATGGGCGCAAGCACCAAGTTGACTGATATCTATACTCTTCTTCCCGCATCGTCGTTGTTCAACCCTGTCAGCGAGATTTCAAACACCGACATCACACGAGTAATTGCCGCCCCGGCCATCCCTATCGGCGAGTCTGCCCCACCATTACCCGGGCTCATCACCCATGCACCTTGCACCCCCAGTATAACGATAATGTCCAATACATATGCGTACGTGTGCGTGCCGACACTCTACACCAGTCGGGACCCCCCTCAGCTCTAAAGAACACGGAGACACTAAATAATCCAAAACCACCTCAACCCCAACACCTATTCGCGAAAAGGAATGTAGTTTTATAAACACACACAAATGATATGGGAGGTAATGATAGGGGTTTGGGGGTTGGGGTGTTTATTCTAGTTCACAAAAAAGTGTCAATTCCCGTACGTAGTTGAGAAGGAGGGGGTCACCAATCCGAGTATAATGAATGCTTGTAATAAAAAAATAGTCGTCTCTTTCCCTTTCAAGATGAAAAGGGGTAGGAGTCATGAGTCATGATGCAAAAGAGAGAAAAAGAAAGAAAAGAATCGTTTAAAGAACTGTTACAAACACATCTACGCCTTTGGCTCGCGCTGTCCCTCTTGGGGGTACTGTTGGTTGTACTGCGCATACCCTTGCCCTTGGTCAGAGTAACCTTGTTGGCCGCCATACACTTGCGCAGCACCGTGCTGGTGGGGCGGGTGCTGCTGTTGCGCATCTAGTTGCCGTTGGCGGGCTTCGAGCTGTTCCTTCTCGGCAGCCTCGGTGGCTTCGGTGACTGACCAGAGTGTTAGCGTGACGGAGGATGATACTGCGGAGGGTGACATACCATTTCCGATACCAGTACGGGTACCCCATCCGGTCTGATAAAGCGTGAAAGCGGCATAGAGCTTCATGATGGCGCTGCAGTCATGTCAGTACGAGTTTGTAGCCTGAAGGATATGACTTACAAGTAGTAACCAAATAGAATGAAAGCGGGGACGTAGATGATGTGGGTGGGGTTGTACCACAAATGGGGTAAAAGCTTGAGCGTTCTCGTAATCATGAGCCAGACAAGATACTACGCCGCGTCAACTTTACCCCCACCAAACAATACGACGACTCACAGAAACGACGATATCCCAAGCAGGCAGATGGTAACCACCATCATCAATACTCCTCGTACTCTTAACAATCAGGTAGATGACCAAACACGGTCCAACCAGCAACGTGAACGGATTGATAAACTTGTCAATCATCGTGTACGCCACATACGGGTGCTTGGTCCAGACATGCCTCTCGGTAAAGATCGACCTGATGTCGGATCGCCAAGTGTTACGAGTCCACCTCAAGACCTGAAGCAAGAACCGCCAGTTGGGCTTCATAGTCGACAAAAGCTCGGCCTCCTTGCAGACCTGCACATACGTGTTCCAGCCGTGAGACACCATCCATCGGGTGAGGAACTTGTCGTCACCAGAGTTGAGGTGGTACTTGCCGAGCCAAAAGTCGTTGGTAAAGCCGTGGAGGAATTCGGGGTCTTTGAGAATGATGGTACGGTAGGCAGCGGTACGGCCAGACAGACAAGGGATACCACCGTCAATGTGGGTAGAAGAGGCAATTTCAATGTTTCGGATGGTCAATCGGAAAGCGGCGAGCACTTCCCAGATCGTCATACGCTCGTTACAAGGCTGGACCCTCTGACTGGTACCGACACCACCAACCTGCTGGTCCTCAAAGCAAGCAAGGACATACGGCAGGAGCTGGGGAGGCCAGATAGCGTCGTCGTCGGCAAAGACAATGATATCGGTAGAGGTGTTTCGGATACCATGGGCCATTTGAAGACGCTTGTTGGCGGCAGGGACGGTGAGGACGCGAATCTTTTCAGGGTCAACGGCGTTGGCAAGGTCTTGCAGGGGCGGGGCCATCTTGTTTTCCGTGACAATGATGATTTCTTTCGGGTTGCCGACTAGCCATGAACGAGCGGCCTCTGTGAAGCAAGGTCAGTATGGTGCTCGCGCGCGCGCGCGGGAAGGCTAAGGGGGGGGGGGGGGGGGGGGGGGGGGGGGGGGGGGGGGGGGGGGGGGGGGGGGGGGGGGCGCGCGTACCTTTAAACTCTTCACCGGCATCGATGGTAGGCACGATGATGGTCACATCTTCGCTGGCAACGTATGTGGGGGTGTGTGGTAAGGGGATAGGGCGGTAGGTGAAGCGAGCCAAAAGTCGAATGCAATACCAAAGGTACCGGTAAAAACTATATACTTGGTAAGCTCCCGCTAGCCACCGTGAGACTCTTGAGCATATTCAAGAAATGCGTACCCAATGACACCGAATGGGACGACTGCATCGTGGTCAGTATACAGCGATGCTTGGGGGGGGGATGCCACGTACAGACAGGAAACTTGTCTGCGGTGAGATACAACATGTTGGCGTTGTTCTCGTAACGGCGTCAAACAAAGCTTGCGAGGAAAAAAAAAAAAACGGGATTCGACGCGCGCTGTGGGTTTAGACAGTCGACTGGGGTGGGGTTATACTGTTGTTAGGTGGTGTGGGCGTGGAGGGGTGGCCGTGGCGGGTGCTGGGTGGTGCAGCTGGCGGATGGGAAGGGTCGGTGAGGGTGGGTGGGAAGAGGAGGGGGAGGGGATGGCGGGGTGGCGGGGTGGCGGGGGGCGGGGCGGCGAGGGAGGGGGAATAGATGTTGAACGAGCAGATAGGGAACAGAAGAAGAAGAAGAAGAAGAAGAAGAAGAAGAAGAAGACAAACAATTAGAGATGCACACCCGTCCGCAGCACCAAAACGGGACCAATTAATTCCCTAGCACCAAAACCAAGACCCCCAGAACGCGAACTCAGTACTGACGTAACGTCTTAATTACAGTCCCTTACTAGCCATTGTTTGGTTCTCAGCTGCATGGAGCACACAGATGGCTGCTCGAAACGGCCAGACGAGGGGTAGAAGCGCAGTACCTGTGATAGCGATGGCCGGCAGTGCATTTGGAATGCCCCCTGGAGGTGGCCGTCCGTCGCCACCAGCTCGTAACCTGTCTCACAACCTGCCCTACCGTTCTCACAGAGCCGAGGGATATGCATGAGCCTGAGAGAGACTGAGAGCAGTGGAGATGACCGCAGTGACACTCATCCTTCGAAGACCCATGGCCGAAGCTCATGCCACTGCTCCGCTGCTCCTCGGCAGTTCATCGGTCCGGCCTCCCCGAGGAGGCATCATATTGTTCTTCTTTTCCTCTTGTTTGGACTGACACAAGCCCCCGCCTGCAACATGACAACATTATCAACATCACTCCCGACACCGGGCCGCTCCATCTCACATCCCCGCTCCAGGCTGTCCCCCGGCCGCGAACGCAACGGATATCCCTGCGCTGCCGAAGCCAGCCTCCCACCCGCCTCTGCCTCCAATACAGCAGGCCCCTCGACTTCACAAAATACTTTGCTCTCGCGAGACGACAAGGCTCCCAAACGAGGATACAGAGCATGCGCAAGTCCCTTCCCATCTGCCTTTCACCATGTCAGCTGACCCCGGGTAGATCAATTGCAGACTGCGTAAAGCGAAATGCGACCGTACGTGGCCTAATGGCTTATTTCTATGTGAAAAAGAAGAACATTTATAGATATCAGGGTAGTAGGACCCCCCAACAACCCGCGCGAACCGCCCTGCACAAGATGTCGTCGAGAGCAGCGCGATTGCGTCTTTCTTCCCAGCGTCAGTATGCGCCGTGATGATGTGAGGCCAGGCTGATGAGTTGTTGTAGAAGCGGCGGAGAATAAAAAAGTCTGATGCTCTCGAAGACTCGATGTTGAGGGATGAATCGGAACGGGTTCACGAACTCGACCTAAACTCGCAAACGGCCAACCAATCTCAACCGGGTCAATATCAGCCTCAAGCCGCATACCAGCGGTATGACCCGGCGAACGCTTCCAATAACACTTCCAACGGTAACCAACACCCGAATGAACTTTACCCACCCGCCGCCTTCTCCTACTCCGGCCTACATCCCACCCCACAAAATAACATAGATACGACCCCAGGATCCATCATCTCCAACGCCACCTCCGCATCCTCCGCAATCTCGCCCAACGGCACACGTACCAAAAGACGCCGTATTGATCCAGAGAGCCGCACGATCGTCAACGCGAGCCTGAGCAATGAGATGGACGCGCTCGAGATTCTTGCGAGCGCTGCGACGGATGGGAACGAGAACCGGGGGCAGGGGAGCAATGGGGTCAAGAAAGTGTCGTGGGGTGTGGAGGAGAAGGAGAAGACGCCGATGAGAGAGCTGAGTGCGTTCCCATTGATCAAAGCGGGTATCATCGACGAAGCCGGGTTGCACGAGATGGTTCAACTATTCTTTCAACACTACCACCCCACCCTCGTAAGCCCTCTTTCCCTCACCTAAAACACTCGAGTCTGACGAGACTATCAGCCGATATTCCAAACAGCCCGTATACCCCGTACCCGCGCCCAGCTAGACGCCCTTGCAGCAAACGAGACCTTCCTCCTCACATGCATCATCGCCGTCGCCTCCCGCCACCCCCCGTCCCCTACCTACGCCCACGTCCACGACCAAACATGGTCCATCCTCCGGGACGCCCTCGCAGACTATTCCTTCGCCGGTCTACAAGCCTCGGTAGGGTTTGTGGAAGGGGTATTGCTTTTGGCAGAGTATCTCCCGAAAGAAGGGGTAAGGCCGGCGGGGGAGGTTAGTATGGAGATGTTTGGTGGGGGTGGGAGGGGGCAGGAGGCTGGGGGGATACATGGGTCGGATAATAGGAGGAGCTGGGCGTTGATTGGGGTTGCGATACGTGCTGCGTATCTTCTTGGCTGTACGTCTTCTTTTGGTCACAAGATCATTCAACTGATGACGATATAGTGGATCAGATAGCCCTGGAAATTGACGAATTGCGGCGTACTCCCGACGTCGAAAGAGCTCGAAGTGTCTGGACTTGGTGCTACCTATACGACCGCACAATAGATGAGTTCATTCCAATCCTCCAATACCAAAAGCTGACTTGGAAGCACGTCTAAGAACAGGTCTCGCATTCTGGTCCCGCGGCCCCTCCCTCTGCTTTGTCGGCTACTCGCACGTCTCCCAAACCGGCCAAGCCGCCGCCCGACTCAACTTCCCATACCAGCTCTCCCAGTCTTCCGGTTCCAGCACAGATGACCAGCAGCACGATGACTCGGCGTCTTTGATGCAGAGTATGGTGGAATTGACGCAGGTGATGACGAATGCGCATGGTATCTTGTATCCGAGTAGATTGAGGACGGAAACGCTTGTGAGGCAGGGAGAGTACTTTTTGTTCTTGGATAGTTTCAAGAGAGGTTCGTTAGACTACGTTGGAAGGGAAATCGGGACTGATCAGATGATAGCGCTGGATAGCTACAAGATTGTATGGCAGCCGAAGAAATGGTCCAACCCTGTACTCGAAGAGCTCAGTTGGATGACCTTCCACTTTGTCAGGCAAGTGTTGTCTTTTGTGCTATCGGATCACCGAGCTTACAGCTGCCACAGACTATACATATCCTCCTTTGGCTACTCGGCGCACATCAAAAGAGCTCAGTGGCGCGCCGAAGAAGATGCAGCCGCCGGTCGCGAACGTCAGCCCGTCCAGCTGTTTCCTCGTGGTACGTTCCTCCCCTCCTGTATCTACTCGAGCTCAACGTAAGTGTAGGGACGGCAGCGTCGCCGGATGCGTTGTACATCTATGATTCGATCAGCGCGGCCAACGAGGTGTTACATATTGCCTTGCGCTTGGGCCAGATGGATGCTCTGCGGTATCTCCCGTCGAGATACTTGATTAATATCTCGTATGCTGCTGTATTCGCTTTGAAGAGTAATTACACCGAGACGGGCGAAGGAAAAGAAAATACTTTCAAGTAGGTCAACTTTTCTTTTCAAGGTTTGAGGGCTGATCAGGACCAGGACCCGAGAGCTAGTCGACGAGGTGTGTCATGAGCTGGGGGTGTCTTGCTCAGACAAGGACCATTTGGCAGTGAGGTTACTGAGGTATGGGCATATGCTTCGCATGTTGTCAAAAAAGCTTGAGCAGGTACACGAAGCGGTTAGCGTGAGTGCCTGCTACAACAACCTTTTGAATCTTGCTGATCAGGTACCAGACTGCTCCTTCTCGCATGCCTTCGCCAGAACCACCAGTAACAGCAAGACATGCTCAAATCAACGTTAATGCTATCCCCCAAGAGCAGGGCCGGCCCTGGCCTGAACCTCAACCCCAAACGAGCACATCGGACATCCCGGCCGCCCTCACCCCCGCCTCATTCCAGCTCCCTCCATTCCCCGACATGTCTTTCATCCACCCGGGCGCGAATGTGTACAATCCAGAAAACCCACAGCAACAGGTGTCCATGTTTGATTATGGGGATATGGGGCAGTTTGATATAGATTTGAAGGGGTTTTGGGACGAGTTCAACTTGGGAGAAGGGGGTGGGTTTCCGTTCAACTAATAGTAATTGTTAGAGTGTGAGACCATGCATCACGTCAATCCTGGAAGAAAGCGAGTGGTATTCAAAACCTGTGATCTTGGCCATTCTTTTTGGAAAATCGGAACGTACTCGTATGTACGGGAAAGCGTCGATGGAGCACGAAGCAAACGCGTGAAGGTCGTGAGTGTCGACGGGGTGAGCACATTGCCTACCCTGCCCCATGTTTCGAATGGCACCAGATGTGATACTAGCATAAGGCCTGGTCTACAAAGGATCCCTTGTACGTCTATGGAAGAACAAAGTAGCGTCCAATGAGGTTGAGGCATGAGGCCTGTCGTGAAAGGATAGTTGTTCCATCTGCGAGAGCTGCTCAGTGCCCAATGGAGGTCTATGAGTATATACTGATCACGGGATGGGCACCTTGTTTTCAAAGTCTATTATTTCAAAAGATTGCACTGCAATGTTGCCTGCTGCTGGGAGTCCTGGGATTTCGCCAAAGAGTCGCACTCCAATCGCAGGTGCCGCTATAGAATTCGTCGTTAGCAGTCCCACATTCGGCAACGCTGCTCGCCCCGTGACGATTACTGGCCCTCAATCTTTTCCCGATACCGCAGCCGCAAGCAGATACATCCGAATTGGAAGCTTGCCCCCACCTCCAAGACCGTCCTTGTCCTTATCCAGATCCGCGCCCACGGCACCGAACTCGTCAAACGCTGGGTCACATACTGGGAGTACCAGCGCACTGTCGCTCCTTCCTTCTCCTGCAGGATTGTCATCATACGGCTCATCCACGTCCACGTTACCGGGCCTAATCAAGGACAATGGGAGCAACAGCAGACTAGTACTGGGGGACTCGAGCTCGGCATTCACTTCCCAAGCTTCGCTTTTCGCCAACCTGCCATACCCCCACGTTCGATTTCCCCACATACAATCCCCTTCACACGTGCACTTACCAACCCCTGTTATGCCAGTCATACATTTGATGTTGATCATCTGTCATCTCGTGCTCTCCGTGTTGATACCGTATTTCCTGTTCAGTAACCTCATTCAACCGTTGGTCTTGTGAGTATGATCGCGCCAGAAGAGATGCCACGCTAAACAAGACACCTTTAGATGGGTATTGGCGACTGTGGCAGTGGTCATGGAGAGTCTGTATCTCGTTCCAGGCATTGTGCTAGAGACCATAGGTCTTTGTCGGCGGAGGCCAGTGTAAGCTAGCAGTGTCCCTGCTCAGAGATGTGGCTAACTAGCGTCAGGGATTCGGCTTGGCTGCAATCCGGCCTGCACTTGACAATCATGACGCTAGCCATACTACCTCACACTCGTAAGAGAGGCCCATTTGAGAGGTGACAAGCTGAGCAGCGCCACAGTCACGGTAGCCTTGTTGATCACGGCCAACCAGATTCCGACATGCCCTTCGGCCTTGGTATACCAAGAAATTAGTCTTCCCAACTTTGAATCGCACCTCCGTTGGTCCGCGTGTGCCGCTTTGCCGAAAGTGACGATACTGGGGATAATGAATGTGGTCGTTCTCATCCTGGAGGTTGTCGTCACTGGAGGAATCGTCGGTATCGATTACTGGATGCAGGGCCGAGAGATTGAGGAACAGGTGAAGAAAGGAGAGATCTCGATGACCCAGGATGGCGGAAAGATCGAGACAAAAACGTTGAAAAAGCAGTGCCGGAAGCGACGATGGATGACTGGAGTTGGCAGATTGCTGTGGGACATTGAGGGCATAGTCTTGCATCGTCGGGCAAAGAAGCGTGGTGTAAGATGAGGCGATGTCGAACGTATAATCATTGTCACATATGTTGAAGGGATTGCTGAGGCATTTCGGGGCCCGATACGAGCTAAAGTTGGGCGGGGGATCGTCATATCATTACATGTCGTCCTACATGATTACACAGTCCTCTCGGACTGAAAGAGCGTACATGGCCTGATCAAAATTAGCCTAAAATCTTGAGTGATACACTATGACTTACCTTGTCGACCGTCTTTTCGATCTTCTTCCAGTCTGCTCTTCTCTGAATGAATTCGTAGATGCTAGATGATAGATCAGCCTCGGATACTATCTTGGCAGCTGCGGTGCTTACTCTTCAGGCGTGAAAGTGCCTCCGTATCTGGTCACATCTCTCACGATCTGCGCGAGATCTTTCGCATCAGACACGATGAAGACGTTGCCCAGCATCTTCAAGTTTGAGAAGTCCTCTGTGATGCGCTGTTGTTTGAGAGACGCCACAAAGGCATAGTAGGCATTCAAATCGGCGATGATCTGAAAGCCACCTTCCAATGAGATAATCTGGCGTTTCAGGTGCCGTTGGATGATGCTAATCTCGCGTCAACTATGTGGCCAACGAAGTAATGATATGACTTACGTTTCCAGACGGATGCCGACCTCCTGATAGAATACTTCCAGAACATCCTTCGAAGTACTTCCTCTCAAGAGATTGCAGTGCATCTCCAGACATCGAACAGCTTCCTTACATCCTTCTGTCGGGCCAAGGTCAAGAGGTTTGTCTGCTTCTGGATAGTATTCTCTCGGGGCAGTCTTGACTTGAATGATGTGCTCGACCTGGATTTTGATCAGCGAGAGTTCAAGGTCCTCATATGTTGACCCTTACCTGATTCATCAGAACTTCGATACCAGCATTCAAACCGGCCGCCACAGCATCGTCCAGTACGCCCTCAAACCTCTTCTTTTCTCGCATAACTGCGTTCAAGAAGTCTGTTTTGTCGACATATGGAGACAGCTCCTGATCGAAGTAGACTTGAACCATTGACTGAATAGTATCGCCGATGTGGACGAGTTCGAAGAATTGTAGTAAGGGTGCGACACTGGTGGTTTCTTCATGCTCGGCTGGCTTGTAGGTGCTCATTTGGTTGGTAGCGCTGAGAAGTGTTAGGATCAAAGCAGCACAGAAAATATCAACTCACATTCGGAATCCAGGGGCGATATGTCTGTCGCCTGCAGCCTTGAGCAACAGGATGAACACCTCCTCGATCGCATCTCGCACTTTATACCCGGCCTTGCCAGGGTATCTGGCAAATGTCTCTGCTCTTTTCAGTGAGTCTCGGTCCACTTGAATAAGCTCGAGGGCCGTGTCTAGGGACACCAAGAGCTGGAGTCTGTCAAAGGACTTGTCATCCGACGGATCTGGAGTGACCGAACGCGGGTTCAGCTGTGAGGGGCTGGAAGAATGGCCATTCGTTTCCGGGACCGCCAAGCTAGTATCGAGTGCTTCTTTGACCTCCTCGGCGTCTTCCGTTTCCTCGATCCCAGCACCGACGTCCACAGCCCCCATATCTCCAGCCGCCTTCTCATCAACATCGCTGACTTCAAAGACGACCCCACCCTCCTCTCCTTCCTTCACCGCACCATTCTTGCCAGTCCACTTTTGTGGGTTCAACATCGCCAGACCGTTCACAGCCTGGGTACCTCCAGTGACGATGGCGTTGACACCAAAAGTGACTGTGCGGGGGACGATGGTTACCGGGAGTAAAAGGGCGTCTTTGAAAGAGGCAAGGACGTTGCGTTTGACTTGATCCGGATTGGATGATGTGAGGAATGTAGGTGTGGATTTGGTCTGGGTGGGAGAATCCGAGGTGCCAAGCTAGGGGTCGTCAGAACTTGTAGACACGGTTCAGATAAATCGCACTCACCTGAGTTTCCCATGCCCGACAGATGTCTTCGAGATGTTGCTGGACCCACTCCGTCTCGTCGTCCAGATACTCATCCAGATGCTCTTCGAACATCTTGAAACTACAGGTGTGTTAGATCTGTCCCTCTCGCAAATGACGTTTACCTACACAGAATCTTCGACTTGCTCCCTTGTAATGACCTTCTGCTTTGACCCAAGCACCTCCATGACGACATCGACAAGCTTCCACGATTGCACGAACGTGGCAGCAGTTGCTCTCAGAAAAAGCGCTTGAGAGACAGCACGAGCCTGCGATAGAAGTGGGTGGATGTAATCGCCAATCACTTCGTTGGCAAGCCTGTCGCAGAATGATAGGATGACTCGAGCATTGACAGGAAATACGCGATGAGCGGTCTCGGCGTCTATTTTGAAAGCTTCCAAGACGTGACTGATAAAAGCGTCCATCGGGGTGAAATCGAGTTGACGGGTGGTACCTCCTGCTGGCATTTGTGCTTTTCTGCAAGGTCATCAGATATGAGGAGACGACCGATCGGGATGCCCACCTACATTATGTTCTCTGCAGAATCCCATTTGGCAGAGTCATAGAAGACTTCCCTCTTCTCCACCCAGACCCTCCCGCACTCCCATTGCTCTCTCTTTCCCCCTCCAGCCTCCCACACAGCCCAGCTACTCTCTGCTGCGACCTTCATTCCCTCTTCATCCTTCCTACCATCGGCGACTTCAAACGCTACAAGACAAGTTGAGTCGAAGCGATCCGCGGCAGTCAAGAGAGCTTGCCGCAGGAAACCCCAGTCATGCAGTGGCTGTAGTTGCGGTGTAAGGAAGAGAAGAAGGGATAAGAGGACCTCAGATTGTTTGGGTAATGAGGGTGGTAATGATGTGATGGGCGATGGCGGGAAGAGCAGTGCAAGGGTCGAACTTGGTGAAGGCGACGAGCGAAGGTGGTGGCAGAGGGGCACAAGTGATAGATGGTGTTGTTTATAGGCATTGTAGAATGCCCCCGGGGCACTGGATGGGAAGGCTACCACATGCCGAGGAGCCGAAGGAGTGAGAGCAAAGAACCCTGTTGTTCTCGCCTGGCCACCTTGCTTGCCCGTTGGCCGGGAAGGCAGTGGTAGATCGTCAAAGTCGAGAAGATTGGCTTCTTTTGGGCCCCCCGAAGACACGCCCGGATCGGGGGAGCCTGCAGATTTTCCCACTTCGAAGTCTCCAAAGTCGACATCCTCAAAAGTATCATTGTTCTGCCCCGAAAAGTCTCCAAAGTCGTCGTCTATAAGCGGCGACGAATGTTGAGCGGAGAACGATGTTTTCTTTGGCCGTAGTGGTGAAGTTTTCAGAGTTTGATCTCTCCTAGGAGAAAGAGTTGGGGCTGCCTCAGCGTCAGTTGAATCCTGATCCCGAGCAGTATTCTGACCCACGTTTACTTTCCGGCTTGAGCCCCAAGAGCTTGCACCTCCACTCCCACCCCCGCTCATCCTTCACTATCTTCGCAAATGCCCTATTCGCTCTCGCCATATTCGGGAGATCACACACCGGTGCCAGCTCCACTATCCTGAGGAGGACATCTTCAGGCCATCTCCCTATGAGAGGCCCGCTGGACTTGGCATTATGTGCGCCGGGTTTTGTTGGTTTGAGAACAGAGGCGAAGCGGGAGGACAGATGGGCGGTCGAGGTCGAGGGATTCGAGGGTGCGATGGGGGCCCACTTGTCCATGATGGGGGCTTTTGGAGGAGACAATAGAAATGCAAGGTGACTACGATTCATCGCGCACCACGCATAACGCGCAGCGCCGGCGAGGCCGAAGGCCCGATTTTCATTACGTAATGACAGCATCTATCATTGATGGTCTTCGTTCTATCTTCTTCTGCAGCTGCTGCTGCTGCTGTCAAGTGTGGCTGAAGCAGAAGTGAAGAGGCAGCAGTGCATGGCCCATGCCGGGTGAACAACGAATCGCATATGTCACATGATATACATCAGAATCAGTCGACAATTGCGACAAAAAGGATCGGTCCATGACTACAACGACTGCTCGAACTCCCAAGCACCCTTAAGGTCGACTTCGATAAGCTTCTTAGTCTCGGGAGAGATCGTACCCAAAGGAAGACGGGCAGGACCACCAAGACCCTTCTCAACATAGTGGTCAAGGAAGTATTTCTAATCAATATATCAGCATGACCCATCGCAAGAATCATTCAACTTACAGTCCCCTGAATACCAGCTTTGACAATGGTCCAATCCGCCTCAGCCACCCTATCTTGCAGTTCCAGGGCCTCGGCGAGAGCCTTCGCGTCGCCCTTGACACCCTTCACAGACGACTCCCACAGTTTCCTGATGGTTTTGGGGATGGCATTACCAGTACCAGTGATGCAGCCAGTGTGGCGAGAGATGAGTGCGGGGAGGGTAGATTCGGAGAAACCTGGGAGGACCTGGAATTGTCCGGTGACGGTAGACGCTTTGAGAGATGCAGACTGCTTGGCGAGATAGGCTTCGGACTGGGTGTAGGCGGCGATTCGGTGACCCTTGCCGATCATGGCGCAAGTGAGCTGTTGAATAGTCAGCTTGGGGAGTTGATCAGTGATGCAAGAGTATAGCTTACTTTGACACCGAAGCAATTGGGGTGATTGGAGAGCTCGATAATCTCGTCAGAGGTAAGATCAATACCGGAAGCGGCACCACTGTCTTATGCGTGAGCTTTGTCCAAAACACTCGCGAGTTCACTCACGGGAAATTGTAGATCATGACAGGGATAGGCGACTCGTCAAAGACCTTGATGAAAAAGTCCTTGATAGCTTGACGATCCCGACCCATGGCGAAGGAAAAGTACCCAGGGGTGATGACGATAGAGTGACTCGCACCGGCCTCAGCCGCCTCCTTGGTGACCTGGATAGTGGTTTGAGCTGAACCAGCACCGGTACCGACCAAAAGCGGCGCGTCAGCGAACCCAGCATCGTCGAGCGCCTTTCGGACGACGACAGTGCACTTCTTTCGCTCCTCTGTAGAGAGATGAGAAGCTGTAATGATTAGCTATCACGCAACCCACGTTATCACACGAGGCTTACCTTCACCGTTGGTGCCCAGGAGAACGATACCCATACCGGCCTTGGCAAGTCGAACGGTCTGCTTAGCAAGAGCTTCATAGTTGATGCTCTCGTCGTCGTTCATGGCAGTGATGAGAGGGACGGAAGGACCGCCGGCCCAAAGTCGAGTGGGGGAGTTGCCGTTGGAAGTAGTCATGGTGGATATCGTGCGAAACTGTGAGAAGAGGAGAGAAGCTATATATATGTATAAGCGAGAAGCTTAGACGGGCAGGAAGCTGACCAACCTTGAAGAATGCCAACCTTGAAGAATGGTGTGCTTGAGAAGACAAGATGAGAAGAGAAAAAAAAAGAAGACCTGCATCTGACTTTTGTACTACTGGCCGGTGGAGACGGTAGCACTCTTCAGCCGGCCGGGCCGTTTCCTCCGAACCCGCCATTTGCCGGCATTTATTTGGTCCGCGGATTCGTCTTGAATTTCAAGTCTGTGGGATGGATGTACAATGATAATAATGCGATACATACTTTACCTGTACATGTATTCTGGGTCGCTCTTTATTCATGCGCGAAACAACGTACTCTGGTCGGTCCAAGATAGATTTAAGTGCCCTTGACCGCTCAATACTTCCCGAAAATCACTACTCAAACACACGTGTCCTTGGTACCCATCGAGGATCTATCTATGCGGGACGTCGTGCTATCGCCTGGGCCTTGACTTTCTTGTCATAAGTCGGGCGATCGTACCTGCCATCAATCAGCCTGGTAACGCCTCCTACAATCACGTGGAAGGGCTCACTTGAAAGCTTGATAGGCAGCGTCTTGAGCTGGATCATTCACATTGGCATTTTCCAAAAGGTCTTGGACACCCAGGACAATCTGCTTGACGGTAATGGACGGCTTCCAAGATTTCTCTTCGTCGAGGATGGACAGGCAGATGGTGCCGGACGGGTAGACGTTGGGGTGGTAGAGTGGAGGGTCGAATTGGCCTGGCAGATCTCAGATAAGAAACTTCTCATTGAATGATAGTACGATACACTTTGGGGGTTTTGTAGGGAAGTCTGGCAAAGTCTCATTAGCTTACGTTCAGGGCTCAGGCTACAGCACAGAAACTCACCATCAGGGAAAGCCATCTTCACGACATAAATTCCACCTTCCCAGTCGGTCTAGTCCAGTGGCGCTTTCAGCTCTCATATCGCCAACCATGAAACTCGAATACTCACACCAACCTTCCCCGGTATTCCGACCTCCCATTTCATGATGTTGAGCGTGCCATCGGGGTTCTTTATCGGCTTGGCGTAGAATCCCTATGTATTATGTCAGCCAGTTCCGATGGATCAGAGTCACAGTATGGCGAAGCTGTTAACGCCCCTAGACTCTGCAACACTTTATAGAGATGCGTCGAGAGGCAGAAAACCAACGTACGAATGGATGGTCTTTCCTCCACTGCTTTCTTTCCTCGTTCAAACGAGCTTGAGCCAGATTGGACTGTGGACTTATGTCAGCTCCAGCGCGATTGCCAGAGTCCAACCCACCATCGTTGGATTATACAAGCTTCTGGGCAAGACTATATAGACATGACTTTCTTTGTACGCGTTCCTTACTTAATATGTACTTAATCTTAGCGGAGTTGACGCCACGATTACGTAACCATATTGTTTTGCCGAGGAATTGTTGCAAGAAGGACAACAATTATGGAGGAGTAGCGAAGATGCTGCTGTCTATACATCTCACAGCAACCCCATCCACGGCCATGGACTGAGGCGAGGGTCTATCCGCATCCCCAGTCTTGCGAAACCGTTGCCTTGCCTGGAGGACGAACAGCATGCCGCCCATCAACGCGTCTGGGCAACTACTTTCAGCGGCCACTCGACCTCTCTTCCGGCGATATGCTTCACCTCCCCTATTACTGTCAAACCACCGGGTATCCAGAGCATATACTTCTCACAATAGTACAAGGATAACCCTTGTGGCGTTTGCCAGCTCCGGCTCTGACGCCTTTCTTGAATCTCTTCGCCGTCAAAAGGGACCTCGGCATGCTAAGGTCGCCGAACTTGAGAAGATACCCCATCCTCCGTCAGCGTCTCAATTGCCACCGCTGCCGCCTATACGGGATGAAAACATTCTGGAAATCTTGAGAAGCGCCGGGGAGGGTTCTCGAGCCAGCGATCATGAGCTGTATAGGTTGGCATTCCTGGGCGATAGCGTACTCGACATGTGCGCAACTTTGGCTTGCTGGAATACTTGCAACACTACCAAGACAATGACAGTAGGTTTCCCAGCCATACCTCATCAGGCGTCAAGCTGATCACTATCTGACGCTAGATGGCTCGATTATCCCTTGTACCCAATGCCGTTCTTGCACACGTAGCCGTTCATTACGACCTCGACCGCCTCATTACGCCATCAAAATCAATCGCCAACGACAGCTACACCCATCGTCTGGGAACGGTCTTTGAAGCGTGGATAGGAGCTGCGTGGATTGACGCCTATCACAGAGGCGAAGAAGCCGAAATATGGGCGTGGGGTGCGCAGTTCTATGATCTTTCGATCTGGCAGGGGCTCAGCGACAAGATAGAGCTAGCCAATCGTGAGACTGTCGACCCATCTGCGCTGGAACTGGGCGCCAGGTCTCAGCTTGCTGGCTCAGGAGGCTGGCTTGGTAGGCTTTTGGGACCTCGAACGTCGTCGTTTTTCACCAGATCGAAGATTGCTTCTGATGCCGCAGCCCCGAAGCCAACATGGTCTAGATGGGTAAAAGGACTATTGGACGGCTCTCAAGCAGTCGACCCCTCCTCTCCCAACATCGAGTCTCCCTCCATTGAAACATTACCGCTTCCAACAGCCGACGCTCCCCTGACAGGCTCCGCGACCCACTCCACCGCAAGCCCGAATGCGAAGGGATCACCAAAGAAACAGATCAAAGTTGTTCTGCGGGAGAAAACAGGATGGTCCTCTCTGAAACGACCACCGGAGTGGCCACACCCAGAGTCGTATGTCAATTTGTCGGAGTTTCCTGCTCTCTTGCCTTTCATGCTGGGCCCGGATGCCGAGTTATTACGCGGAGAAAAGATGGCTCGACAAGGGGTAGCGGTCTGGATGGAGCAATCGAAGATACGTCTGGGAACGCACTGCAACAGCTCGAGAACGCTATCGGTAAGTTGCTGAGACCCATCGCGTTCAGTCTAACACCTCGTAGTATATTGTCAGTTTCATGAGGCGGCCCGCTCAGATGGCGCATGTCTCGCTTTACTACAACCTCGACCCCGCGATTTGGCTCCCTCATCGGAAAGAAGAACGTGATTTTCGAGCCTACAGTGACGCGTTCTATGCTTTCCTTGGCTGGGCGAAATCACAAGCGAAAACTGGCGGTCACGAAAAGGACTTTGACATGTGGCTTGATAAGCTTGTATCGCCAGAAGCATGGCCTCGTATGGTAGATACTGCGCGAAAGTACGAGAAAACAATGTCCCGGATGGAAGCCAAAATGGTGCAAAGAGCCGCGAAGTAGGTCAAAACTGCACATAAACAATATCTGCTTGGCTCATAGAAGCATTTGGTTAGGTCGGTGGCAGCCAAACCCTCAAAGCCTTCCATCGTCAAAAGATCTGCTTCCGGTCCCTCGCCATCGACAGCGAAGCCAGCGAAAGCCCCGTTAGTTTCCAGTGCGTCTTCAGACGTTATACAACCCGAGACCTCGCCGGTTTCTCATAATTCGCCCAATGATCTTCAGGCGCCCCCGCCGTATTGGCATCCTCCTTGGCTACCTCTACAAACCCGAAAATTGCCAGCAATCCCTTCTTTCCCCATGTTCGACCAACAACCATCTTTGGACGGTCTATGGCAGCGAGAAAGTGACGTTTACAAGGAACAGAAGCTCAAAGGCCACAATGCCATCAACAGTCTTCTGACTACTGGCGGACATCTGATGGAAGTACGAGGGGGCTCGTCAAAGCAGAACATCGCTGTGAGTGACAAGTCAATGATCGCCTTGGACCAGTAGCTGACTTGTCATCATAAAGGCTGTGACCGGTATCATGTTATCCAGGCAAAGCCTGGCTCACATCGCCTGGCACTACGGTATCTACTCCAATCACAACATGGAAAATACGTCGCCGAACAAAACCCAGAACGCCGCAGGTGGCATGCTCAAGACGTACATTGGCTGCGTCTTACAGGAGGCTGAAGCTGCCGGCAAAAGGCAAATAGTCGACCAGTGGCTGAAGGAAGTGTTCTCTCCCGAAGTTTGGACAAGCCTCAAATCAGTCTTAGGCCTGAGAAGCAGAGACCTGATGGGCTTGTCCAGAAATCCGCCTCGTACAAAGGTGAAGCAGGCCATTTGTCAAGTCAAAGCTGCGCCGTGTACTTCGCCTACCACGGACGCGGCTGATTCTTCGTCGCTGGGGGTCACTCTGCCCGGTGAGATTTTAGATGATGGGTCCGTTATACCACCAACATCTAGCTCCAGCACCACCACATCACCTGAAACTCTGCCTGACGCGAAGGGCAAAGCTGTCACTACTACCAGCGAAAATCTACCCGAAGTGTCTCGTAAGTCGCCAACAGCGATTTCGGGAACCACGATGTCCCCTGCCTCCCAGCCCGCCGCCACAAATACCAAGAGCATCGGTAAAACCGCCGACGCCAGTGCTGCCTCTATGTCCCCCAACACCCCGCCTGCTATAGCCTCCGAGGAAGATCATATGACTGCGACACCGCTCAAGACTCCCCGAGTTCCTCCGTCTCATTGGCAAGCTCCCCAGCTACCCTTTGATTATGATAAGCTCCCGTTTACTCTGCCGCTGTCCAAGTCCAGCCAATCAGTGGATTCATATCCTTTTGCCGAGTCCAAGGGCGAATTTGCGGCTCAGATTAGCGCCGGTAGACGGGTTGTACAGCGGCTGCTTATAAAAGCCAAGTATATACGGAAGGCATACGGGAAGGATGACGTTCATCCAGCTGTAATTGTCCGTCACGAAGTCAATCTTGTGAATCTTGCTGATTCTTCTATAGGAGGCCGCCGCTCTGGGCCTTGTGTCTCTACAAACTATGTCTCACTTGGCCTTGCATTACGGCTTCTGTGAACCAAAAGAACGGTCAGGGATGACCTCACTCTCTCAGCAAGCCACAAGCGGCAAGTTCCTGGCGTGCATTGGCTTTATCTCGGAGGAGGCCGAGGCTATCGGAGCCAGAGAGGAGGTTCAGACTTGGTTGAAAAGTGTTTTCTCGCCAGATGTCTGGCCGACCATGGCCGTGTCGCTGGATAAAGCTTCATCATCAAGAGCAATGAACAATCATAATACACCTTCTGACAACGTCGACTCCAAGAGCAATCACAAGTCCAAATGGCTTGACCCAACACTCGTCCTAAACACTTCAGCCTTGCCGCTTCTGCTCCCTCCTTCGCCACCCAGTCTCGGTGCAGCGAAGGATGATCGGACTTCTCTTGTTCTCCAAGAGCTTGCCACGAGTGTCAATGGTCTGAAGACTCTTCTTTTCAACCGTTTCAAAGCAAGTCAATCGATGAGCGGCATTGCAGGGGTGAGTGATTGCTGAATGCACGAATAGTCTTGCTCATAGGATGATGATAGGATTGCACCCAAGAACTCACCATGCCCCGGAACCTTTCCCGTCTCGCTCGCTTCTTCAAATTGTACGATCTATCGGCAAACGTTTCGCAAGCGAATGCTGCCAGGAGCTTTATCACATACTTGAGAACCTTTGAGCCTACCCAGTCTTCGGCAAAGTGTGTTTTGCCTTGGCTGGATGTGGTGTTCAGCCAGGATGTCTGGCCGGATTTGATAACGGTAGTCGAGAAAAAGCGTCACCTTGCGCGGGAAGAGCAGAAGGCGAGCCGGGAACTTTTACAGGAGGAGGGCGCGCTGCAACATGAGCAGAGCACCATCAAACTGGCCCCTGCCGACGTAGTTGAGCAAACCCGTTAGTCGCCCTCTCCAATCAGTCCACGTGAGCTGACTTTGCGCCAGCTCTGCCGGAGGCCGATGTCGCAGCCAGCCCATCCACCGCTGATTCCGACCCGCAAAAGCCCAAAGAACATGGCGGACCCTCTCAGAGGCCTAGCCTGAACCTCAAAGATGTGGCGAACTTGCTCTCGCCTTCAGCCTTTGATGGCGTTGCCCTGTCCATCCCGAGCCCTATATCAACGTCGGCAGCTCCTCGCCCGCATATCCCAGAGCACAAACTTGTATGGAAATTGATCCCTAAGGCTGCTCCCCTCGCTGCGGACTTTTCCCTCGAGGAGGACAAGAAGCTCGCTTCAGAAAATGCGAAACAGTCGATGAAGAGAAGCACGGACAAGATGATGAAGAAGAAGGAGGGAAAGGAGACGGCGGCGGTGACGCCCAAAAAGAAGGACAAGGGGGAGAAGCAGGAACCCAAGAAGGAGATCAAGAAGACCATCAAGAAGGAGGTGAAGAAAGAGGTGAAGAAGCAGGTGACGCAGGTGAAGCAGGTGAAGCAGGTGAAGCAGGTGAAGCAGGGGAGGGAGCAGACGAACGAGCAGGAAGAGAAGAAAGCAACGGGAAAAAAGGGGCAATTCGGGCTGAAGGCCGTTTAGGACATCTGGAATCTGAATCTGGTGCAATTACCGCTCCATATCATTGACCCCAGCATATGACCTAGTTTCAAATGATAGGAGGCGCGTCCTACGCCTATCTCACTATTGAGCCAATACTGCATGTTGTATCTGTAGACAGTCATATCACATCTCATAACCAATCTACTACTGTACATGGTATGCAACACATTTACTCTTACCATTATTCCACTACCACTCCCGAATAGCCCCGTCCGGACCTCGGAACAACGGGTTGATCCAAGGCTCCAGCCTCTCCGCCACCTTCGCCTCCTTCCTAATCATCTCCTCATCCAGCTCAATACCCAACCCTGGCGCAGTCAACAACCCCACGCTCCCGTTCTGTACTTTGAACACCTCGGGATTCTTCATATACGTGAATAGATCGGCACCGACGTTGTAGTGCATCTTCCAGGACATCTCGCAGACGACGAAATTGGGGGTGGAGAAGCCAACATGGAGGGATGCAGCGAAGGCGAGTGGTCCGAGGGGGCAGTGAGGAGCGACGCCGACGTCATATGCTCTGGTTTGTGTCAATGGGGTATAGATGATGGGGGAGGAAGGACCTACTCGGCCATGATGGAGATCTTTTTGGTCTCGGAGATACCACCAGCGTGGGCAATGTCGGGTTGGATGATATCGATACAGCCCGCTTCCAGGTACGGCCTCACGTCGAGTCGAGTGAAGAGACGTTCGCCGAGCTATATCATAGTCAGTCTTGTCCAAGAGTAAAGGTGTAGCTATACTGACAGCTATGGGGATGTTGATCTTGTTGTACAAGTCCTTGAGCTCGTTGACAAGTCCAGGAAGAAGAGGTTCTTCGATAAAGAGCGGACGATGGGGTTCGAGACCGGCAGCGAGCTGCTTGGCCATGCCCTTGTGTACTCGGCCGTGGAAATCGCTGTACATATAATCAACTCCTACCACATTTTCACGACATGCTACTCACAGACCAGCATCAATCCCGATAGCTTTCACCTCCGCAAGCCTCTGGATAGTCTCATCCAAGGCGTGAGGCGAGTCGAGCCAGTTGACAGACTCGGTCGCATTCATCTTGACACGCGTGAAACCTTGCTCCTTTCGTACTTTGGCTTGGGCAACCACATCTGAGGGTCTGTCACCTCCACTATGCAAGAGGTCAGCTCATCGTTCAACAATGCACAAGAGTAAGACTCACACCCAGCCATAGACATCGCACCTCTCCCTGACCTTGCCGCCGAGCAGCTCGAAGACGGGCACACCGAGGACCTTGCCTTTGATATCCCAGAGCGCGATATCTACACCACTAATGGCCGACATGAGTACCTGCTGGTCGTCAGTCTTGTCCTGAGAAGCATCTCTGGAGACTTACCTCGCCACCTCGGTAGAAACGGTGTCGATAGAGATAGGTGTAGATCTCTTCAATGTTCATCGCATCCCACCCGACAAGCCTGTAGTCGCGGTCAGTACAAGACACCATGCCTGCAGGGGGGCAGACTCACCTTCTGGAGATGTCCCTCAAGCTCCCCTGAACTGCCTCTGTATGACCTTCAAGCGTGCCCTCTCCCCAGCCGACGACCCCTCCCTCGGTCTCGACCCTCACGAACAGCCATCGCGGCCTCACATAGAAGTTTTCGATCTTCTTGATCTTTGTGGACCCAGGCTGGGAAGCACTAGGATGTTGCTGGATCGCATAAGGCCGCTGGATACCTTTATTGTACTTGACGGCAAGGTCGGAAGGCGGGAGGTAGACGGCTTCGCGGGTAGAGTCCTGTGCGGCTTGTGTGGTGGTCCCGATAGGTTGGGGGCTGTTGGCAGACATCTTGGAAGCTGTAGAGGATGGAGAGGGAGATCATGGTGGGTCCAGATATGGTTTATCTATTCGCAGAAATACTTTCGGGAGCCAAAACAGACTTCGGACCGGCAACGACCGGACGGCATCTGCAGGACTTTTCCAGTCGGCCATGGCCGCAATGCAGAGCATACATATGTAGAATTGCATAGCTAGATGCTTGGAGTCATCTGCATGCATTGGTGTCTATACTCGAAGCAAGTGTAGTCAGGACTGACGATGACCCCTGAGCTGAATCGTGCGGCACTGCAGCCGCGTACTTGACATAAGCTCTTCTACCCTAGAGGCTTCACTACTCTGGTCTCATTCTGGCGCCGGACGATGTAGCTCTAGGTGACCCAAGCAGCCATCACAGACTCTCTCTGTACCCTTGCCTCGCTGGACAGCTGCTATGACACCCAACGAACCTAACAATGGCCATCCAGTCTTCTGATGATCCCGTCTCCACGTGACGCGTTATCTTCCCGCCGAATGCCGCGAGTTACCGCGCTCTTCTATCCGAACCGGAGCCAAGTATAAAGCCGAGATTGGTATTGATACATCCCTCGTGACTGTCGTTCAAGCAGAGCCCAGTGCGCACATAAGACCACCATGAAGTCTTCTTAGTTTACTGCCTTCTCCTTTGCGACCGCCGCTATGTCCATCCACGAGAAGACGAGCCAAGAACACCTCGAACACACCAAGTCTGCAGATGACATTGACCGCCATCTCGCAGTCCAAGTTCCCGCTTCATTACAGGGCTTGAGCGTGGAAGAAGTCGAGGCGATTGACAAGCGTGCTACCCGAAAGCTGGATTTGTTGCTGATGCCCGTCCTATTGGTGCTCTATGTTCTGTGAGTTCGGCTCGATGGATGTCAGACGGATGGTGGGGCTGATGGCGTATAGAAATTATCTGGATAGACAGAACATCTCTTCGGCAAAAATCGCTGGAATCATGGACAGTCTCAGTCTGACTACCACGCAGTACAATACCTGCGTAGCTGTCCTTTTTGCAGGGTATGTCAGTCTTCAGATCTTTAGCAACATCCTCGCTTCCAAGATCAAGTACCCCGGCATCTGTAAGCCCCCCCCCCCTTCATTCGGACAATCCTAGAGCTGATCAGAGTTCAGATATCTGCTTGATGTGCGCTTTGTGGGGCGTCATCTCTGGATGTACGGGTGCTGTGCAGTCATACGCTGGTCTTGCCGTGTGCAGAGTCTTCTTGGGTTTTGCAGAGAGCGCCTTTTTCCCCGGTGCTGTCTATCTCAACTCTGTGTTTTACACCAAAAAGCAAATGGCTTTGCGCACTGCCATCTTGTACTCCGGAAGCCAGATCGGAAATGCATTCGGTGGATTATTTGGTGAGCACGCCGACTTCTCGAGAGAATTTTTGCTGATAGCTCTATAGCCCTCGCTATCCTCCAGCTTGACGGTGCTCAAGGTCTTGAAGGCTGGCGCTGGCTATTCATTGTCGAAGGCATCATCACTGTCGGTCTCGCCCTAGTATTCGCCACCTTCATCCCCAACACCCCACTCACCCTCCGCTGGCTCACAGCGCAAGAAAAAGACCAGCTCCACTACCGACTTGAAGTCGACCGTGCGTCTAAGGATGCGACGGACGAGGTGACGACGTGGGATGCGTTTAAGATGGCGACGGCGGATCCAAAGACGTGGTTGCTTTGTACTGTGCTGCATTTCAACTATGTCGCGGCTTCAGTGACGAACTTCTTCCCTGTCGTCGGTGAGTTCATCCCCTCGAGCTTCTGGGACACATTCTGACTTTTCACAGTCCAAGGTCTAGGTTTTGACCGCACAACTACCCTCGCCATCACCTGTCCCCCCTACGTGCTCTGCTGCTTTGCCATCCTGATCATTGGCTGGCACTCTGACAAGAAGAACGAACGTACTCTCCACATCATCTGCCCTTTCATCATCACCATCATCGCCAACATCATTGCCATTTCGACAACCAAGACGGCACCGCGATATGTGGCGATGTGTTTGTTGCCCGCCTCATTCTATGGAGCGACATGTTGTGTGCTTTCGTGGATTAGTGCGAGTATCACGGGACCGGCGGTGAAGAGGGCTATCGCTATTGCTATGTGAGTCTTCTGCATTCTTCCGCTGAATGGACAACTGCTAATCTTCATCATAGTATCAATTCTATATGTACGTCTCACCCCATTCTCCCAGATCTCGTCAACTGACTTCGCTATACAGGCAACATCCCAAACATCTGGACATCCTACCTCTACTTCAAGTCCCCACAATACGTCGCCGCCTTCGGCGTCGACCTCGCTGCCAGTGTCCTCACTATCATTTTTGCCGCTTGGACGTACATGTATCTCAAAAGACAGAACAGCAAGATGGAAGAAGGGGCGGCGTTGCCAAAGTCGGGGCCGACGGCGTTGCAGGTGGAGAGTGGGTTCAGGTATCAGCTATAGGGGGCTCTGCTTTTGCTTTTGATCTTTGGGATACTGCTGTTGTAGTAGTAGAATAGTGCTTGTCTTCATGGATCTTACTGGGATATGTATGTAGTACAATTAAAATTATCTTTCAGAAGAGCACGGTCTACGTACTGCATCGTATCTCTGACGACGACCCATATGCTTGTTCCTGGTGCGGTTGGATATTGCACACGAGATGCGCAAGGCTTTCGACAAAAGAGGGAAGGGCCCGTGCATACCAAGCAGCCCGTTATAGCCAGTGCGTGCAGTGCGTACGGTATATGTACATGTCGGCTCGGTGCCATTGCCAGGCGTTTCCATGACAAACCTCTAGAACAGAACCTAGTGCACAAACAAGTCACTAATTGTCCCGGAAGGCCGAAGCGCCCTGAAGAGCCGAACCTTCCATCTTTGTTTTGGTGCATATTGACTTGTCGCGTGCACTAGTGGCTCGTCATCGTGGCTGTTTTCAGGCGTATGTAGAAGTCAGCTGCACTTGGCGCATCCAGTCTTTATCCTCTTCTTCAACTTCGTCGTCTTCATTCATTCTCACATCACCCTCTTTTGCTCGACGCACTATCCGACATCCTCTTCGCCTCTTCTCTTATCCGCCGGCTCACTCTCTCTTCGGTCCTTTCAGCGGGTACAATCCCATCACTCCGCCAAGCGCGTGTATATCTGGACTCTGGGCTTTCTGCGCGTTCTGGCAACTTCACACTCGTGAGTCGATATCGGAAGCGACCAGATACCCTGCATGGCCGGACACCTTCTGCAGGAAATCAAGTGTATGCGACACGTGAGGTCACTACTCCTTTGACGCGGACATGTGGAAGTATTGTGGATAAGTTTGGGTGGATGTCGGTTCTGCGATGAGATGAAACAGCACCCAAGCTCCCCCCGTGGCCCCACCTGAATCGCCGGAACCGGGGGGGAAGGTGTTAGAATATTCGCACCTGGTGAGAGAGCTCTTGCTGCTTACTGCCTCGGTACCGGGCTCAAGGAGGCAGACAGTATCACTTAACAGTTTCTTGGCGTAACGCTCACCTAAGCACAGCGTATTGTGCCTTCTCAGCAAGTCATCCCTCTTGCATCCTGCATCCGGCACATCTGGACCACTGTCTACTTAGTGTCCATCACAGCATTGTCTTCGGCAATCGATTTGTTCGACTTTTCGGCTGAACCTTACCAATATTTGAGCCCGTACCTGGCCTGCCTGTCGACCTCTTCAAGGGCATAAATAGAAGACAAGGCAGAGCCCTCTTCGGACCCCTCTTTCTCTCATCATAACGCTCCTTATAACACGACAGCACCAGCAACATGTGCACCTTCCTTGTCTCAGCACTCCTACATGCGCTCTTGCTTTCTGCTGCCACTGCCCACCCCCATGGTCTCCACCAAGCCGCCCAGCACGAGAGGCGACAGGATGACGCCAGCCCAAGCAGCGCGACTTCTGGATCTGTCCCCACTGGCGTCGCTCTTGGGGTGAGTCTTGGCCTGGATGACAGCTCTTCCACTGTCAGTACCTCTGCCACTTCTACCACATCTTCCTCCGACGCCGTCACTACCTCCTACACTCCGGTCTCGAGCTTATCCTTTGCCTCTGTCACCGCCGCCCCTGCCATCACTGCCTCTTCCTACACCTCCCTGACCAACAAAATTCCCGACGTGCTCTCCAGAAGTAATGAGATCGCCGTCCATTCCTGGGAGCTGGGCACCCTCATCAACACTCTTCTTGAAGTGTACAACCCTGGTCTTATGCCATTCGGTTGGGACAGTGGTGCTGTCGATGATGAGGAGGTACCTTGGAATGCCCTCGAGATTGCTCGTGATACCATCTCCCACTACGACTGGACTGGCGCGCCCAATGCCACAACGGGCCAAGATCTCAGCCTTTACCTCGACAACAGTACCACCCCTCAGTCTCATCATTCCCAGGCTTTGATCGGTGGCGATGGTGCTCTGGGAGACCCGGTGTCGTTGGTGCCAGCTGTCTGGCTGTTGGCCGAGTACGCCCAAAAGGACGAGGTGAAGAGCAAGCTCCAGCTGAGGGATGCGGACGACTATGCTTGGGCAGTTGGTAATCAGCTCAACTATCTGTTCAATGGTCCCACCAGTTCTAACGGTAAGTCCTTCCATTTCTCCTACGAATATACGCTGACGTTGTATAGGCACCATCTCTCAGCGAGAAGCCAGCTTTGAGCTTTGGGCGGATATGGGCTACATGGTTTCCCCCTCTCTCGCTTACCTTGGCCTCACCACCAACAGCTCTGATTTCCTCACCAAGTCCCTTGAACAATTCACTCTCGAAAGCTCGGCATTGCTCGAGACGATTCATGATGTCTACTTGCATATCTTGAACGGGGACGCCAGTCTGTGGGCTACTGGTAATGGATGGATGGCTTATGGCTTGATGCGAGACGTGAGTATACTACTCAAAAGATGAAGTCACTAGGCTGACTGGGACTTCAGCTTGCGTCCGTCTCTTCTGCGGGGCTCGACAGTGCTGTTGGAAATTATGCGACCAACACCAAAAACACCATCTCTGGCGTCTTCCAAGGTCTCTTCTCTCAGCTCGATGTGAGTCTCTTGGCATACCTCCTTTGTATATGTATGGACTAACATTCTGTCCAGGATGACAGCCTTATCCCCGACTACATGCACCAGTCCAACGCCACACTCGCCGTAGGCGACACCTCCGGCACAGCCCTCACCGTCGCCGCTTACTACCGCTTCCTCAAGCTCGCGCCCGAGCTCACCAATGACAACTTGACCACTCTGGCGGAGCAGGCGTTTGATGGAGTTGTAGCCAAGATTGATGATAACGGCTGGGTGACTCACGTGAGTGTCTCTTATACTTCGGGAAGAGGACAAGACTGACGTTGAATGAAGGCCGTGGACCCGATGGGCACTTATGGCTGGGTTGTCTATCCCGATGACCTCACTTTGCACTCTCCCGAGGCTCAGGCGTTTGCGGCGCTCATGTGGAAGGCGCGTACCGATTATGGGCAGTAAGTTGCTTGCTAGGTAACGCTGCATCTTGTTTCTCTTACATCTCTTTTTCAATTTGATTGTGTACGAGTATTATTCAGCTGGACCTGGCCAGATGGACTTATATCTCTATCTAGTAACCACATCGCTTGCTACCCCCATGGACCGAACATCTTTTGTATCCCTTCTTCGACTTTTTTATCCTACTATATACACTCCTATTAGCAGCATGCATTCTGCGATTATCTTATCTGCTGCTGTCATAATAGCAAGTGATTGTTACATCGCAGGCGAGGGTGATTTCCGTATCCTGAGAAGATAGTGCTGTATAGATATCTTGGGACAGGGCGAAGCAGGTCGTGTGAAAAAGACAATGGCAGGGAAAGGCCAGGCTCATCACATAAGGATGCGGCGAGCGCTCCTTTATGGATACGAAACCTCTTTTGTGAGTACATAAAACGTTTTTGAAGGTACATTGGTATAGTCATAGGAAGTTCACCAGACGAGCTTATGATATGGGAAAACAGTCAACGTGTCAAAGGATGATGGATCTGAGGACCTCGTTTCTTCACGAGATGAATCTTCTGATTGTTGCTTCGTTTCTGTCGGGAGCTGGAATCAGCACCATACCATTGTGACCGCCGGGGGCATACTGGAAGGATCCCATTACCTAGCAACCAGATGCTGCTGTCCGTCGAGGGGAAGAGAAAAGTGAGCAACTTTCATATGCCAAAGAGCCAACCCACTCCATATTTTTCACCTCTTGATCCGCTCCACAAGTCATCACTGACGCAATCATACTACCATGTCAGAGCTCAGCAAAGTCCCGCAAGAGGAGAAACAGCGTAGCCTTAACATCATGGTAGACTACGCCTCTTCGGCAATTCAGAACAGAGCTCGAGCCCTTATCGACGTCCAGAGGCGCAAACGACATATTGACGAGACCACCGCTGCTCTCAGTCAGCTGGCAAGCATCAAATCGGCTGATGGGACGCCTTTGGCTGATCCCGAGACGGACTACAAAGTCTTGACGCTCGATGATGCCGAGTCACTCTTGCTCATGGCCGGGATAAGGAAGCCTGGCGAGGGACGCGGTGACGAGAGGATTCCGCATTACCACAACTGGGACGCCAACACCGCCAGTCAATGGTCCAAACGTATTCATCAACTTTCGGACAACATGGAAGCTCGAAGAAGCATGTACGCCATGGGAAATGACCAGGCTGGGGACATTAGAGAAGCAACCAGCGGATTGGAAAAGATACTCAACGAAGACTCTGTCGTCAACAACAATCATGAGCAAGACTTTAAATTCAAGGAAGCTCTGGGCTTTGGAAGATGGCGACACCTAGCAGACGGATTGAGAAGCCAGCTCATCATGGAGACAGTACTCCCGAAGATTGCCAACCAGATACATTCATACACGAGTCAAGCGCACAGTGCCAATCCCGAGACGCTTCCGTCTGCCAGGAGCAAAAAGCAGAAACTCTGGGATCAGTCTATTTCCGAAGCTGAGTCATCTATCGCGTACATGGGATCGACAGGCTGGCAAGTGGACCCAGATGACAAGGCGCAGTTCGAACAAGCAGTGGAACGATCCCATACAATCTTGTCCAAAAAGTCGGAGAAAGCGGTTCAAAAGATCGAAGCGGCCTTCCTTCTCGATGATCATTCGGGATACTACGACAACACCACTTTCAACGAGACGAGGATCGGCGACTTGCAAGAACATCTCGAACACAAGCTCCCGGAGGTTGCCCATCAGAAGTTTGTGCTGGATGACGGATGGAAAAAGTTGACTGGTCTTCCGGTAGACTATGTGCAAATCGAGCAGGAGATGGATGCGGAGGCGGAGGCGTTACAGGGGAGCCAGCAGTCAGTGGGTAGGCGGCCACTTCACAGTAATTGAACGAATGCCGACTGACACAGTGCATAAGCAACACTATCGGGTTACGGGATTCCCCAGGATATACTCTTCCAGCCTAGCGCCCTCGAATTCACAGAGCAGAAGCTTCAAAGGCTACAGAACACTTTCGAGTACTCCCCAGACATCAACGCATATCGTCCTTCGGCCGCGCAATCCCATGTCAAGAATATACTTGCACTCAAGAGCGACGCCGTGTCTCAGCTAAATACGTTCCTGAAAGCAAAGGTTGACCAAGTCGACAGCAAAGACATTCCAAGGTCGCAATTGTTGGACCTTTACGAGAGCAAAAAGAGAAGCCTGACAGGAGATCGAGAGAGTAGACTGAAGAGTGCTCGAATGACGGCTGCACTATCTCGCTATACCGATATAGAGAAGAAATGGGAGAAACTTACTAAAAGTGCAGCTGGTCGTATTCTGCAGAAAGTGGCAGATGCCAGAGACGGCCTCGAACAAATCAGCCAGGAGACTCAAGACATACAAGATCAATCAAGATATTGGAGAGCACAGTCTGATTTTGCAACTATCAATGCTTTGATCAATGAGTCCTTCCAGCCAGCGTTCGACAGTAAAGCCTCCAAAAAGGCTTGGCTGAATGAGATTCAGAAGGACAGGACACATGCGAAGAGCTCTCTCGAAAAATCTTGGAGGCTCCCTAGAGCTGCTAGTGAACCATCCCTAGCCACGGTCGAGGAAGGCGTTCAGACCTTGCTAATTGATGAGTCGGTGGAGAGTATCGAGCCCTATCTTAGTTTGGGCAAAGAAGCGGAGCAAGAAACAGCTACAGCACGCCCGTGGAGGTCCAGTAAGTCGATACACTTTTCCAAATGATCATACTGACTGTTCCTTTCACCAACAGGGTTCAACTGGGCAGATGAAGATGAGGGAGACGCTGATACCACGTTTGACGAAGATTTCAAGGAATGGCTCGCAGCAGAAGCAAAGAGAAACGGACGAGAAACTGCTGCTGTCGCTTCTACCCCTGCGTCAGAGCTGCATGAGGCGGAGCCAGCCACCAGCAATGTCTCGGCGCCAGTAGTCACCACCAACCGATGGATGAGGTCGGATGGTAAGTGTCATGTCATGAAACAGCTAAGAGCTGACCATCTACTAGGCAAAAGCGCTGCTCAGTATCTATACGAGATGTCCCGAGCAAGCAAACGCTGAGACCAAGAGGTTGACACGTCGTTGCATCTCACCGCAAGTTTATACAGTTATTTCTATCCATCGGTACTGCATGCATTGTGACCATGACTGGGTAATCCACACAGGGGCACAATACTCGCCAGTGCAAGAAGTTCTCGAGAAGGAAAAGACGGCGACCTGGAGAATGGAGATTGCCACGTAGCCAGGAACGGGAACTGGACGTGACAGCGAGCACGTCTTGGGCCTTCTCTATCTTTCTCTTTCTCTTTCTTTTTCTCCTCTCATCTCCCACTACTCCTTCGCCGTCCCCCACGCCCTCCGGTTCTGTCTCTCTGTCAACGGTCAACGGCTACAACGCTACCACACAAATAATACAACATGGCTTTCTCCGCAGCTGACCTCCAGAAGGTACGTCGTCCGTTCTCGCAAGCAAGTACGGTCATGGAGAGGGCAGGAGAGTGCGAGGGTTTGGCAGTTGGACTGAGGGACGATGAGGTACATGCTGTATAATATCTGGCTCGAGCTCGGCGGAGCGAGTCGGGGTTGCCCTGTTCAAGTCGTTGCTGGACCCTATTCCCGTCATCATATCCTGACCATACGCTAACAAACACTCAGCGACACCTTGAGCTCGAAGGCGCTCCCGACCCCTTCCCTACTCTCGGCGCTGCTCCCACTCCGGTCGCTAAGAAGGTCAAGCCTGCTACTACTGCTGCTGTCGACACCAATTCCGAGGATGCTTTCCCTTCCCTCGGCGCGTCTTCTGCCCCCAAGGCTGCTTCCAAACCCGCTACCTCTCTCTGGGCTTCCAAGTCTTCCGCTGTAAAGACTGCCGCCAAGCCTATGGCTCCCGGTGGTCTCGGCAGGACTGGTGTTCCCTCTGCTGGCTCTCACCCCTTCGCCGAGACCTTTTCCATCCCCTCTGCTGAGCTCGTCCAGGGCAAGACTACCCAGGAGACTGTCAAGAAGGTCCAGGAGCAGACTGGTGCCATTGTCGAGTCTTCTACTCAGATGCGCACTGGCCTCAAGACTTTCCACGTCAGGGCGGCCGACCAGAAGAAGCTCAACCAGGCTCGAAGGATGATTGAAGGTGGCTTGAGGAAGCCGGTCAACATCTCTGTCGAGGTGCCTATTACTGTGCTTGGTACCATCATCGGCCCCAAGGGTGCCACTCTCAAGAGCATCATTGACGCTACGGGCGTCAAGATTGATGTCCCTCGTCGTGACACTTTGCCTGCTTACTCTCCCAAGGACAATGGTTCTGACGATGATGATGAGGAGAACGAGGAGCCTCAGGTCCCTATCGCTGTTTCTGGATCTTCCATTGGCTGTAACGACGCCAAGGAACGTATCCTTGCCCTGTTTGCCCACAAGATGTCTCAGACCTCCACCTCTATCAAAACTATCCCCTCGGCTTTCTACATCCTCTTCTCTTCCAAGGTGTCCGAGCTTGAGCAAGGCCTCGGCGAGAGCAAGGTGTCTATCAAGGTCCCTGAGCCTGCCGTGTGGAAAGCGCTCGAGCAGCAAGGTCAGGCCGACATTGAAGGTCGAAAGGTTTCTGTCGATAGCGAGGCTTCTATCAAGGTCAAGGGTGACCGAGAGGCTGTGAAGGCGGTTGTTGATGCTATCATCAAGGAATTCGAGACTGTTTCCAAGGGTTTCTCCCTCAAGCGAGTTTCTATCCCCAAGCGTCAGCACCGATTCCTCATTGGTTCCGCGGCTTCCGACATTCTTGCGGAGACCGAATCGATTGTCGAGCTTCCTGCTGTTGACGACTCTTCCGACCGAGTCGTCATCCGAGGTCCCCAGTCCAAGCTCGGTGCCGCTCAGTCCTTAGTCTTTGAAAAGGCCAACGCTGTGACTGTTGAGCCCGTCGACCTTGCTGCTCTCTTCCGACGATCTACCTCTGAGCCGGTCAGCCACGCCACCAACGTCCTCCGATACATGCGATCTGCCAAGATCAAGACTATCGCTGCTGCTCACCCTAAAGTCCAGATCTTCCCTGCTTTCCCCTCTGCCATCGAGAACACTGGTGATGTGATCATCGACGTTGTTGGTGAAGACGGTGAAGAGGTTGCCAATGTCGTTGACGAGATTGAGGCCTTGGCCAAGACCATCGATCCTTCCAGTGTGACTACCGTCCAGGTCGACCACCTTGCCCACAGTTTGTTGACCGGCAAGAGGTCTTCCAAGATCTCCAACTTTGAAAAGGCCCACAACGTCACCGTCGTCTTCCCTTCTGCTTCCGAGGAGTCTTCAAATGTCTTGCTCGTTTACAACGGTCCCAAGAACGCCAACCCTACTGGTGTCTTTGAGGCGGCGTCCAATGAGCTCTCCGAGATTGCCAAGGAGGTCGCCGACATCAAGACCGAGGTGCTCGAGGTCGACAAGAAGTTCCACAAGTACATCATTGGCCAGGGTGGATCCGTCCTCAACGCCATCATTGGTGAGGACGCCCTCGTCTCCGTCAAGGTCGGTGTCTCTGGCAGCAAGTTCCCTTCCACTACCCTCGAAGACTCTGTCACCATCCGAGGTCCTCGAACCGAGGTTGACCGTATCTCTAAGCAGATTGCTCAGGTCGTTGAGGATGGCAAGAACGACGCGATCGTCAACGGTTATACTGCTCAGTTCGATATCGACCAGAAGTATGTTCCTCACCTCGTTGGTCAGGCCGGTGCTTCCATCAACAAGTTGAGGGAGACTCTCGACGTCAAGGTTAACTTTGACGATGCCGCTGAGAAGGAGGTCAAGAAGGGTTCCAAGAAGACCACTGTGCACTGCACTGTGAGTACACACAGACATGAAATTGACAACATGCTAATAATGTATAGATTGTTGGTCGTAAAGAGCCTGTTGAGGAGGCCAAGAAGCGACTCCTTGCCCAGATCGAGAAGCTCGAGGACGAAACCACCGAGTCTGTCACCATCAAGCGAGCCATCCAGCCCGCTCTCATTGGTGCCGGTGGCAAGTACGCCATCCGTCTTGAGGAGAAGTACGGCGTCAAGCTCTCCTTCCCCCGAGATGCCAAGGACACTGGTGCCAACCCCGACCAAGTCACCATCCGAGGTGGCAAGAAGGGCGTGGCTGCTGTCAAGGCCGAGTTGTTGGAGGCTGCTGCTTTCGAGACCGAGTCCAGGCAGGAGGCCTCTTTCAAGGTTCCCGGCAAGGCTGTTGCTCAAATTGTCGGCAAGGGTGGTGCTACCATCAACGGTATCAAGAACGAGACTGGTGCGCAAATCGACATTGAGCGAGAAGCTGGTGAAGATGGAAAGACCACCATCACTGTGCGAGGTGATAAGGCGGCTATTTCTGCTGCCAAGGAAGCCGTCCTCAACGTTGTCAAGGAGCTCGGCGATGAGATCACTGTGGAATTGACCATCGACTCTAAATACGTGAGTACATACCGAGGCACTCGAGTATCAAAAATATACTGATGATCCGATAGCACCGATCTCTTATTGGTCAAGGAGGTTCCAACCTTCGAGAGCTCATCTCTACTGCCGGTGGTCCCTCCGAGGGCTACAAGCAGGCTGGTCTCGTCAACTTCCCTCGATCTGGTGATGAAGCCACGGACAAGGTCCGTCTTCGTGGTGACAGCAAGCTTGTCAAGAAGATCCAAGAGGAGCTTGAGAAGCAAGTTGCTACTTTGAAGGAGACTGTGGTCTACGGTGTCGTCGTTCCCCAGGCTCAGCACGCTACCAAGATTGGTAGGGGCGGTTCCGCTTTGCAGGACTTGCAGAGGAAGACCGGTGCTGTGATCCACTTCCCTGGCTCTAGGCAGTACAGCTCCATCGGCGAGATCGAGAACAAGGAGGAGCTTGGTGATGCGGCCGAGACCGACATCGTCAAGGTCATCGGCTCCAAGTCTGCCATTGCCAAGGCTACTGAAGTCCTCCAGATCACCAGCGAGCGACCTCAGAGGTCAGACTCCCGCCAGGCTCAGGGCCGAGGCACTCCCGACTTGGCCTCTCAGAACGTCTCCATCCCCGCCAAGTTCTACCACGCCATTGCTGAACAAGCCAACCTCATCCGTCAGATCCGCTCTGTCGGTGCCTTCCTCAACATCCCCACCCCCGCTCCCGCCAAGTCTTCCCCTAAGCGTCCTTCTGGCGATGCTAACGGAGAGGCCCTTGCCGCCAAGACCGCCAGGATCGATTTGGACGGCGAGGAGGATGTGCCCGATGTGCAGGGCGAGTGGGCTTTGGAGGAGAACTACCAGGATGGTGGAGATGAGGAGCTCGAGTGGGCCGTGAGGGCCAGGGAAGAGGATTTGGAGAGGGCTGTCAAGATCCTTGAGGGCGCGCTCGAGAAGGCCAAGCAAGCTACCCACAGTGAGTCGTTTCTCCAGACGTGGTGACAAAAGCTGACATACGTTCCAGTTGGTTATCTTACTGGTCTCCCCAGGTCCGCCTTCCCCAGGATTATCGGTTCCAAGGGTGCTACCATCTCTAGGATTAGGCTCGAGACCGGTGCCGACGTCCAAGTCGGCAAGGAGGACGACTTGATTACCATCACTGGGGACAAGGAGTCCGTTCTCCAAGCCAAGGACGCGATCGTGAGCATTGTCTCTAGGCCCAGCCGAGAGTCCCGAGAGAGGTATTAGGCGGAGTAGGCGTTGTCCGAGTTGCATCAGGAGTGGGTGGTAGAAAAAGACAAAATTCCCATGTTCATCTGGGGAAACGTACGTTGTAGGAGGGAATCATCAAAAACACATTGTGCATTATGCAATCTTGTCATTGTTCGCTACTTGTCCGGAGTGGACCATGGGCAGCATCGGACACATCAATATATGCATCATGCTAGAAGGAGGAGATGGCCCATCCTTGTTACTACAAATCCCTGGTAAAGAAAGCAAAGAAGACTAATCTACAATCAAGCAACATAACGGCCAAAGAGAAGACGACCTGTCTATTTCGGACGACGCTCAATGGCTTGCGCCCTGATTCGCTTGTCATACGTCGGGCGATCATTTCTATGGGCAATCAGCTTTCGGTCTAGATTACAGACTTATAGCGATACTCACTTGAACATTTGATAAGCCTCCACCTGCGCCGGGTCGTTGACATTTGCGTTGTTCAAGAGGTCCTGCACACCCAAGACAATTTGTTTGATGGTGATAGATGGTTTCCATGACTTTTCCTCGTCGAGGATTGAAAGACAGATGGTGCCGGATGGGTAGACGTTGGGGTGGTAGAGGGGAGGGTCAAATTTGCCTATAGCCACGGAGTGAGTCTGGAGATCCTCAATTAAGACGAAACTTGCGTACACTTCGGGGGTTTTGTAGGGAAGTCTACGTAGGAAGGCAAGTCCAGTCAGCTACCCGCGGCTTTATTCAGGACGCTCATGCAGACTCACCATCGGGGAAGACCATCTTCACCACATATACGCCCCCTTCCCAGTCAGTCTGGTTTCCAAATGCCAGTCAGCCTCAGGCCATATACGATCCACAAAGATACACACCCCTGCCCTTCCTGGGATTCCAACTTCCCAGCTCATGATGTTGAGTGTCCCATCGGCATTCTTGAGCGGCTTGGCGTAAAATCCCTGGAGAGCTGTTAGCCCTTCCCCTCGAATATCTTTCAAGTATGGACGGCTGTCTCCATGCAGCACCTTGGCATCGCATTGGGCCGCTCTCCGTTATACGTACAAACGGGTGGTCCTTTCTCCACTGCTTTCTCTCCTCGTGAAGACGGGCTTGTGCTAGATTAGACTACTCCTCAGTCAGCGAATATACCCTTCCATTCGCGGCTGACGTGCTTACCATTTTGTGTTGCTGACAACGATACAGAACAGAGATTCACGCCGTTCCATTTATTTGTTTTGAATTGTTGTGAGCGTAGATACAATTACGTAAACATCATCAACTGCAGAGCGACGACGCGAATGAACCACGACGACGGAGGTAAGTATTCGTGTGTCTTTGCCCTTTGATATAACCCAGTGGAGCGCTGTGCATACGCGTGAGATACACATGTGACATAGTGCATTGTATACAGACTGACGGTAAGATTTGTCTTGAGTTGAAAGTCTTTGTCGTGCACCATACTGTGACCCATCCTTCAAGCTCGGCAGGAAGCTGTGGGACGCAAAACTATTAGCATACTAGGCCCAGTATGACCACGGTCCAGGGGAATTGCTTTATACATTTTGTTACGGTTGTAAACCTCTATGACCATCATCAATTCAAATCAATCTCATCCATCCCCTCTCCTTTCGATTCCGCCTCCACCTCAGCATCGACCTCAGCCCCGTTCACCGCACCCGTCCCAGATCCGATAGGAGTAGGAACAGCAGCAGCCGCCTTGGCCTTCTTCTTCTGCTTCTTCTTTTGAGACTTTGTCAACGTAGCAGTAGACTCGGTGGGGGTTGATATCCCACTGACAGCAGTCGTTTCAAGAACGGTATCTGGCGCATCTGCGGAGGTTGTCGTAGCGACGGGCTCTGATGCACGTTCGGCTGGAGTGGGGATGTTTTCGTTCTCAGTGTTGGACAGCTCGTCCTCCCCGACGGGCGCAGGTGTCTCTTCGACTAGGCCGGGCGTCTCTCCGACAAGCTCTGGGGTCTCTGGGAGAGCAGGAGTCTCGATAGGAGTGGGGATATTCTCGTTCTCGGCGTTGTCAAGAGTTTCTTTGACGGGAGCGGGGGTCTCTTCAACAAGCGCAGGAGTCTCCCCGGCGAGCTCTGGAGTCTCTGGAAGAGGAGGCGTTTCAACGGGAGTCGGCGCATCCTTGACGGGTGCCGGAGTAAACAACTCGGGCACTCCAGGAGTCTCCTCCGTCACCTGTTCTTCTTTGGCGGTAATGAGATCATCCTTCTTCACTTCCGGTACTGACGCAGCGGAAGGCTCGGAATTAACGGCATCCGCCTTGGCGTCATGCTCAGGTTCTACTGCCGGTGAAGCCTTCGGCCCTTCAACCACTTGCTGGAACTCCTTTACAGCCTCATCAATCGTCGAAGCCTTCTCCGCCCTGTCTTGAGGCTCAGGCTCAGTCAGGGTTGCTGCGCTGACCGGTTCTTCGTACGCTTCAGGCATAGCGTGATCAACGACGATAGGTGGGGTGCTGATTCGCTTCACGTCCTCGACATTGGTCTCAGCTGAAGAGATTGCCGAAGAAGCCTCCGCCTGTGTTTCCGTCTCGTGTACCGAGTATGAAGACGGGGCGGTCGAGGTGTCAATTTGCTGATCGACTGAGAATGCGGTTTGGGATTGGGAGAGGGGCGAAGTTCTGGTAGGTGACTGAACAGGAGATCCTGTGGCGAGCGGGAATTTGAAGCTCCTATCAGGGCATTAGCGCGCTCATAACCAAGACTCGACAAAACTCGCCTGTCAAGCTTTCCATTAGCCTCAGGTTTTGGACTCCTCGTTCTTCTGGAATTGCTATCCAGGCTGCCTTGTCTCTCCTTCTTGCTGTCCAAGCTATCGTGTCGACCCTTGCCTTCGGCTATCCCAGGACTGAACTCGCCCTGAGTAGGGGATGGCGAAGCGTGCATGCTCATCCTTGCTACCGTCTCGGGACTCGGAGCCCTGTTGACATCCTCGGCGTCGGTCGTGGGTGATGATGCGGGTGATTGAAGTGACAGTGAAGTCCGTTTCAGGTCGAGAGGAGATGGACGGCGGAAGACGGGGGCGTTGGATTCTTGGAAGGCCGTAGATGGAAGAGTGGGTAGGTGATATTGTGAGATTGGTACCAGCCTTCACAACGTCAGACGCTATTCCTTAAACAGATGCAGTCACTCACTTGCGCTGCTCAGCAACAGCTAACAACCACCCTGGGCTGACTATAGGCAGATTGCTTCTCGTCGCCTCTTGGTACTCCACATCCGGGCCACCACCTCTTCCATGCTCATCCCCGCCCACAATAGGCGACGTGCAGACGAAATGCGTCGTATCCAGAGCTACTCCAGGTGATTCGCGAGCGTTGATTTGACGCAAAGTGTAGCGCAGCTGCTCGAGCAGATGAGGAGGTTGTACGGGGCCGAAACAAACCAGAAGACCAGTGAGATTGCTATTTCACACAATCAGCTGACTTTCCGATACCTATGTTGGACACCTACTCCATTGTATGCGTTCTGGTTCGAATCAAGTTAGAGGAGTAGGTCCCGGCGGTAGTCTTGAGTACCAATTGAAACGTATACTCCTCACCGCTCTGCAAGCCCCCCGTCTTCCACTCGGTTTTCTCTTTCTTTCCTCCCAGGCCAGAATCACCACCGACTCGTCCCCATCGCTGTCCATTGCGCAACATCTCCAAGCCTCTGAACTCTGCACTCCCCACATTGATGTTGTCCCACTCCACACACACATTTGTCTGTGTCACGTTTCTCAGTCTGAGAGTGGGAGCGGTGGGAGGAACAGTGAACGAGGAGAGGATAGAGGATTGGAGGTCGGCGAATGCTTGTTGGGCCGAGAGCTCAGCTTGGAGATCTCGAGCGACGGTGATTGTCAAAATGGATCCTGGGCCGAGTGGAGGCATTCCGGGCGATGGTGTGGGTAGAAGAAGGGATGGGAACTCTAGCAGGTGGGCGTTGGGACCGAGCAAGATGGCCATACCAGCGTCCAGCTTGCCGAGGGTGAAGGTGACTGTAGACGTGTCAGGGGATACTCTAGGGACTCCGGGTGATTAAGGCTCACATTGCTCCATCTTGGGCTGCTGATGGGTGAGGGCCGCCATTGGTGGATATCGCCTGAGGGGGGTATACAGCAAATCTACGAGAAAGCGGGAAAATGACAGTAAATCTACGAGAAAGCGAGAAAATGAGAAATGAAAGAGAACAACAGCGCAGCCGCGTCACTGAAGCAGGACGTGTCAGGAAATGTCCGTCCGGACGTCGACTGTGGTCGGACACGAGCGTAACGTCGTCGTAGTTGTGGGTTCTATGCATAGATCATGTATCTACAGAGCACGTATCTGGGGAAAATGGATACGTCTTCATGGATGGCTTGCATCTGCAGCACTTCTTGACGCGATGGTCATCATGGTAATCCGCTGACCGCTGAACTGTAGATCATCTTTTGCTTCCGAACATGGCTGACCATGGACAGAGCCCATCTGCGTTGTCGGCCTAGGCAGCCATGAATCCCATCGCAGTGACCTTCTTACTGGAACCATCCTCTCGCTTTTCTCCTCTCTCAGTAGTTCACAATAAGCTTGGTAGCCACCGGCCTCGCAACCATTCAACGCAGAAGAGATCCGTGGATTTTCCATGCAATTCTGATTTTGCTGTATTGATACGCTTTGTACGAGTACTGTACCGAGGCGGACACCTTTTGTGATCTGGACCATATCTGAATACTGGCAGCTGTCCACACGGCGCAAGTCTCTGATCTTTCCCTACACATACTCTGTTGCCGGTATCATGTGACATGTTGGATCTGCAAAGTTGACGTTGGTTAATCATGATCAGCATGTTCAGCAGGGAAGCGTGTTGCTCCCATATCGGATCAAAAAACTGCAATTTGACAATGACAGGTATACATGGCATGATGTGGGTACCCTGGATCTATGATGATTCCTGCGCTGTCTGAAGTCAGTAATGATTTGTTTGAGGTTACAGGGATGACTTACTCCTTACAGCCTTCTAGGCTTCCTGGCCCTCACACCACCAATCTTGATCTTCGTCCTGTCTTCCACCCGCACCAACAACTTTCGCAGCTCAGCTCCCTGGGGACCTGACAAAGTGGTGGTCACGGCCTCCTTTGCCGATCCAAACAGCCCATTGTAAGAGAGCCTGATCTTTGGTTCCTTCGATCTCGAACCTCCACTAGCCTCCCTCGACCACTCTACAACCCTGTCAAACATCTTGATCGACGCCTGGGCAGCAGCCTCATAGGTCGATCTCTGAGCATTCTTGAACGTCTTGTCCGAGCCCGCCGAGACAGTCCCGAAAAGGGGACCAAGACCATCGGTCAGGGTCATGAGGACATTGTTACGAGTAGATCTGATGTGAAGGGTGTGGGTGGGGACGGCATGCTCGGCGTTGTTCGAGAAAGATGGGTAGGAAAATGTGACAGGCTCAGGAGTCCAGCGCAAGCCCGCGTATGGAGATTTCTGAGTACCTGGCCTGTGAGTGGCAGCACTGTTGATTTGGGGGATGTGGGAGGGTTTGCGGGCAGCAGCAGAAGCAGCGGGGGTGGAGGAGGACGCGGTAGCGGAGGGTAAGGGAGTTCTTTTGGGGAGAACTTGGTGATTGGGGACGACGTCGGGTTTGGGGGTGGAGGATGAAGGTGTTTGGTGAGAGGACATGGAGCGGTCGGCAGGGGACTCGGCCTCTGAAGAAGGGAAAGGCTCCAATACAGCCTCCTCAGCCGGGGTAGTTTTGGGGGTGTTGAGTCGAGCACGGGAGGTGGAAAAGCTGGCGGCGGGCACGGCTGATCTAGCCCTAGCGAAAGAGAGAGGCGCACGAGGTGCGCTGAATGTTGACCTGATGATGGAGGCCATTTTGGGGTTTGAGCAGTGGAACAGGTGAAAAAGAAATAATGCCTCAAAAGAAAGAGGAGAATGGCGCAGACGAAATTTCAAGTTGCCAAGGAACGGCCATTACAAAGTTGCGAAGCATTACAAAATCGAGCCATTAGCCATTGCGAGCAGGCATATGGACAGTATGGTCTTTCCGGCTCTGTAGATACACCCTGTTCGTACAGTGCAAGCAGACGAAGACATTCGCATCTGCTCATCAAGAGAGCATACAAGGAGACTATGCATATGCCGGCAGAGCTAACATAGCAACGTGACGTCGAAAAGACCCGTTGCAAAGTATATATTTGTACGCCCTTTGAAGAGCTCCAGAGGTCAAGTGCCCCCATCAGGCTTGTATTTCAAGGTAAAGCATACATAAAAGGTGTCTCCTCTAAGCATAACTCTATGCCCGTGGCGGTATAGCAGACATAGAGGATAAAACGAGGCTAGAATATCTGATGTATTACGTTTTCTGTTGGCTTACTTTTTGACCCCTCAGACCGTATGAAGCGATACAGAGGGGCTTCGAAAGAGCCTAGCGGGAGAGGAAGAAGTTGAGGGGAGGGGAGGTGTGGTTGTTCTGTCAGTAAGAAGAGGATGGATGGTACCGGTTCCGGTTGTGGTGAATGGAGATTCTGAGCTAGAACGGAAAAAGCTACTCATCCATGCAGTCGTTGTCTGCCGCAGGAGAAAGTGCCGGGAATGCTGGATCCAATCGTCTGCGTTGAGATGTCAGAGTAAATTGAAGAGTTGAAGACGATTTTGAAAGACAATAAGCTGAACGGCGATACCGGCATTATAGGGTGTGGCAAAATCATTCAACTTTCTCTCTCTCTCATTTATCTCGATCCTCATCTGATCTTCAGGACCCAGTCAGCACCTGGTATTACTCAAAGCTCGTATTGGATCCTCCATTCCTCTGCGACATAATGATAGAATTCATTCGATAGCATGAGTAGCACAGCAAGGCCTCCGAACTATAGCTTTCACGTCTACACAGTTCCCCTCAGTATGGGATACCGCTACACCCCGAGTCAGCGCCCGAGCACACAATCTCTCAAGAGATCACTTACTTCTGCATCTTCTGGAACCCATCGTACACATTACTCCTCATGTTCTCATGCGCGTTCCTGATGACGCCCATCATGTATTCCGCCGCCTGTCTTTCTCCCAGTTGTAATTGGAAACGGTTCCTCAACCTCGTGATAGTACCTTCTCCCTTGAACGATGGGAGAGCAGTACCGAGCATGAGGTGGACAGCGTCGATCAATTGGTCGGCATGGGGTCGGATAGCGAGGAAAGCCTTGACGGTAAGCTCAGTGAACATCTTGTAGCCTTGAGAGTCTCGGCCGCCCATGAGCACGACCATTTCGTGGTTGAGCTTGAAGCTTGAGGGCTCAAATTTCACACCCTGTATATAGTCAGAATATATACAAAGCAATACTTGAGTGGTGATACTTACACCAGGTCCAATATCGAAAAGGAAACCGAAGTCTATGGCAGAGTATCAGCTGTGGCGAATGACATGTCTGACGATGCGACTTGCCGATGTGGACGATATGTCCTTCCCCGTCGATCATAATGTTACCATTATGTCTGTCCTTGATTTGTAAGATATAGCACGCTACCGAATACGCCGCCATGGATTGGATGAAGTTCAGTCGAGCTTTCTGGAACGAAGCCGTGTCGACGCCGCCATATTTGTCGACAAAGTAAGAGGCCAGATCGTTGATCTTGGCTCGGCCCATCTCATCTCGGGAGGTGGCGTTGGGAACGACATCGATAACACCGCACTGATCACACCGTCAATCGAGGGACGCCGAACGAGAACTTCACTTACACCAGGGGCTGTGGCCGTCACTCGATATGGGTACAGGTATAGTGTCAAACCAATAGTGTTGAAGACATTCTTGAACATTGCAATGATCTGCAACGCAAGCACATCCTGTCGACAGTCGTCTCCAACCTTGAAAATGGCAGCTTGCCAGACGTCGTACTTTGTCTTTACCATCTGAGCTTCGTCGGCAATCTCAATGGATGAGTTGGAAGGCAAGTCGATGCGCTCCTTCTGAACCTTGAAAGTTGCCATGAAGGGTGCCTGTGTTGATGATGAGCCGAAAATCATCCAATATTCGATGATCTTACCTTGGCGTGACTCTGCAACGGTCGGCCAGACTTTCTGTCCAGGTCCACAACCACACCATCGGGGTTACTCGGCAAGTAGACACCGACAGACAAATTGATGAGAGCCATCTCCTCATCGATCTTGGCCTTCTTCTCGGGCTTGGACTTTTTGATGTAAGGCTTCAGTTTACCAGAGATAGACGTGACGGCATCGAAGAATGTAAATTCGAGGTCGTAGAACGCTTTAGCCTGACCCGAGAGTCCAGCGACAATCATCTCGATCATTTTATCCAAGAATGGCTTCATGGGGTCCGGCTGAGACTGAACAAATTGTCAGTATATGTTTGGAACATCTTCAAACTACTAACAGCATTGTCATCCATGTAGGTGTTCGCCTTCATGTTCCAAATGATTTGGTGACAGAATAGTTGAGAGATCTTGGAAGTCTCAAAGATGAACCTTTCGACATAGCCCAAACCATCTGCACGAAGCCCTTGGACAACTTGAGGGACAAAGAAGAATGTCAACTCGACGGGATGCTGTTCAAGGACGCGCATGGCGTATTGGAGGATGAGAGGATGATTGCCGTAGCGGGGCTGGAAGTAAACGATCGCTGTCACAGGAGGTGCTGCCGCCCAAACGGGAAGCCACTATGAGGCTGTCAGCTAGTGGGCCTTTCAAACGACACGCAGGTCTACCTTAAGCGCGGGCTTGGCATCGTTCTCGAGCTTGTCACCCAGAAGGAAATGCAGCGCCTCGGGTACGTCAATCACAGCCTTGGGATCAGACTTGACCAATCGGCTGATTTCCGTCTGGACAGGCAAGTTCTTGAAGCGTTCTCCCATGTGGACTGCCACAGCGGGATTCAACTTCCAAGCTTTCTGTACGAGACGGGCCCACTCAGGCTGATGTATGGTCAGTAGCGTTCAAATTGGAAAGACAGCCCACTCACCCCAGCGGTTGATCTCTCCAAGGCTCCAATGGCAGCCACAGATGACCCCCTTCCTGCTTCGTTCACGGGGTTGCCCCAAACAGACAGTCGCATGATCTCGTTCTCAATCAAGAGTGCAAGAAGCTTGACGCGGTCCTTGTTCTGTACAGCATAATCCTGGATAGATGCAAAGCCCGGGACGAGGAAGGCTGGAGGTCGGTCCGCCATGGAGGATGTGACGTGGTCGCCCCTTACGGTGTCATCTCCGATCACTGCAAGGAAATCCTGAAGCAACTTGATCTCTGCACCAACCTGAACCCTGTTGCTTCCGAAGGACCACCTGCAAGAAAATGAGCGTTGCGGTAGACTGGATAACGACCGTGACTCACTGTGGCCTAACGGCAAACCATGAGAAGGCGGCTTGGTACAATCGGTCTCTCAACTTGAGCTCCAACAACGCCTCCATCTTGCTACTAGCCAGAACCTGGAAGCCGAAAAGTAAGAATGAAAACCTGACCTCTCTGGCAAGCGGATGAGTGCTCATCTCTTTGTGAGCTTTGAGAGAACGCATCAGAAGCCTGATGAGGGAGACGGTCATGCCGCGTTCACGGTACTTGACAGCTTGGAATTGCGAAGAGAGGATTTGGATAAGAAGGGTGTGGGGTCGAAGCAGCCTCCGGGCTTTGGCGAGCTCGAGGTCCAAGATCTTCTTGTCGCTGGGAGAGTACTCGACGGGAATCTCGAATGGGTCTTGGTAGCTGTCGCAAACGTCAGTGCTAGGAATCAGACACCTACGAAACGTACTTCATCGAATCGTTGAAGAAGCCCTTCCTCAAGATGATCGTCTGTGTCCATCCAGCAGTGATGGCGCCACCAATGGCGACTTCAGCTTCGGGCCTGTGGCGGAGTAGCCATGTCCAAGCATCAACACCCGCAGCGATCGCCAGCGGCGTGAAAGCTGTCATAGGAAGTTCGACAACGTAGTGAAGCAAATCCCGGTCCATCTAGACACAATGTCAGTATCGATCTCGATGAAAGCAAAGCGACTAACTCTTCGGGACGAGATCAAAACGGACACAGCACGAAGCAACAATCTCCTCAGCTGGGGGATGTCAATCGGCTTGCTCTTCGTTTTAATGTTGGATACAGCTTGCGCCATCTGTGATTTGAACGCGACCAGCTCCTCCTCAGAGGATTCCGTGGGAGAGCCTTCTTGGAGATCGCTCAAGCCCTTCGCCAAGATCAGTCTTGCGCCGCTCAACTCGCCAGTGAAGTAGTTCTTGGAAGCGAATTGACTGGCGACGAGGTTGGAGCTGTCGGAAGGCCATCCGCCAATGCTTGGCATAGTGGCTGCATGACTGTCAGCTTGCTGGTATCGTTATATGTCCTCTTCCCGACTCACACTCTTGACGGTCCAAGTTCGAGATGGCTTTGGAGAAATGCAGCGCCAGACCGGCACCCATCTCAACGCTATCAATTAACAACACATCCCTCGATTCTGTGAGATAGTTCTGAAGGATTGACTGAATCTCAATAGGTGCGCGAGATATGGCCAAAGTGAGCCATTTGCGGGCAACAGCATGAAGGTCCGTGACGATTTTATTGCGTACGGCATAGTCGTCCGTGAGATGCAAGGTGATGTCCATCTTGTCCGAGCTGAGTTCGTATACCGGAGAGTACTGCTTGATGTCAGTACAATGACGACTCTCAGTACCGGTGACTTACCTCATCAGTGTACTGCAGCTCACACGCTCGCCTCATGAGAGTCAAGATCTCCAACAACGTAAACACCACATCCCTATCACACAATAGCGCCGAGAAAGTCTCCAGAAGTGATCTCGCATAGACCAAAGCCTTCTCTCGAACCTTGGACATCCGGTGCGTACAGGCAACAAGGATGACACAGACCTCCTGGCTGACTGTTGGAGGCAATTGGTGGGAGAGGACTTCGACATGGAGGCTCTTGAGGAATACCTGGGAGATCTAGTATATTGTCAGGAGGGCATCTACCTTCGATACAACACGGGACTTGCCTTTTGCATGATAGCGGCCAGACATCCGACCAATGCACTCGAGTTGAGACTGTCGTTGCAAAAGTATTGCAAGATTGTCGAAGGCTTGTGACGGAGTGTCCTGGCTTCTTCAAGATCGTAGATGGCCATCAAAAGCGTTGTTTGGGGAGTTGTCATGGTCTTGATATCATATGTATGACGTTGGTGAGGTAGGTACTCCGAAAGAGCTTGTCGTTGACGCTGTTGTATCTGTCGTTGAAAGTCAGCCTCCAGTTCCGAGCCGTGCATTGTGAGCTTACCGAGGCAGCAAAGTCTTTCCTAAGCACCGAGTTGTACTCCAGTTCACTCGCCACGAAATCGTTCGAACTCTCCAATACCAGCGCAGGCGTCTTCTCCGCAATCAATCCCAACGCCTCCCACTCGTGCTCACTCAGAATCTTTTTTCCTGAATGCCCGCTCAGCCCAAAGACCACGAGTGTGAACCACAGATTTCTAAAATGCGTGACCAGCTCAGGACTGGCAGACCTGTTTGGGTGGTAGCACGAGTGCGAAAGAAGAGTCGAGATCGGAATAAGGAGAGCAGAGAGCCACGACTTCATGTCGCTCACTCGCAATTGACTCTCATTATGAAGCTGCGAGATCTGTTCCTTATCCCTAGAGTCGTACCCATGAGCCGCCATAGCAATCATCTGCGTCTGAGTCCCTTTATCGGCAAACAGAGTAAGCAGCTCAACAAGATATCCGTCGGCACAGTCCAATCTCTTGTCAAGCCCTCTGGCGAGTGTAGTCTGAGCAGCGAGTACAGCGTTCCTCGAACGTCGTGGATCTTCGGGATGGAAGGAACGAGATATTTGGGAGAAGGCGCGGTAGACTTCAATGAGGTCGGCGTTGGAGCTAGAGAGAGCCAGGGGTACCAAGCTGATGACGATGGTAGCTTCTGTCGCGGGGTCGACTCCTCGAATCCGCTGGAGGAGCATGGATATCGTGAGGTGTGTGACGTCGTTTTGACCGAGCTCCAGAGCAAGCCGACTGACGACTTGTACTGCCGTCACAGAGACGAGCCTCTTGTGTTCCTCGGACCACTTGCCGCTGGTCAACGTAGTCTTGAGGGTCATATTATCCGCGTCTCCGCGGGACAGATGCTGATTCAAGGGGAGGGAGCGGATCGAAGTTTCGCCTGGCGGCAAGGTCGTTCCTTGGCCATGACTGAGAGGGTTCAAAAGCGAATAAAGAATAGACGAGGTCAGGTCATCATTCGCAGCCATCTCGATGCACGTCGCCAGACATTTGCCGGCTGCAATGACGGCGGGAGGTACCTTCCCAAAGCCTGCCATTTCGCCCTCAAATGCCGGAAGAGGCGTCATGAGCAAGCGGCGGATGTGGTGGGTGATGGCCATCCCGAGAGATGGGTCGTTTCTGACAAGGATAGAGGTACAAGTGAAAGCATTCTCGAGGACCTTGGCGTCAGTGACGGTGGAGCTTTCGGACAAGAGGAGCTTGAGTCTGGTGAGTTGGGATTGGTCTTGCTCAATTTGATGGAGAGTGATCGTGTTGATGAGAGACTGGCCATACAATATTAGCGTGGTCGCACGAACGTTTGGAAGATACTCACGAGAACAGCTACGAGAAGCTCGGCATCCTCTTCCTGGTCATTTCTCCCAAAGGCGAACAGGCTACCCCTCCTAGCCGACAACATCCTCTCTTCATCCACATGCGAGCTTCCCATCAAATCACTCCACCACCTCAACGCCATCTTGTCTGCGTCTTCCAGAGCCGCCTTGCCTTGCACTGTCGCAGAAAGTCGAACACCTTCCGAGTTGATGGGATGGGCCGCAAGATGGTCGCTCTGGTTGACGAGGACTGGCTTGAAGGAGTCGGGTCCTTCGGACTGGAAAGCGGCCTGGATCTGTTCAGGCGCTGGGGCAGGGACGATCAAGGCGGCGAGTAAGGCAGTAAGGATCTCAGAGACAAACAGAACGACACCCGATGGAGTTTCCGGGTGACCAGCAATGAAAGGACTTTTCTTTGAGTGACGAAATTGAGGGCTCGAGGCAGCGGAAGAGTCTTTTTGGACCAATTTGACAAGATTGACAGGGGTGGTGAGGGGGAGTATGGCGGAGATGATGCTAGAAGCGACAGAAGTTTCGAAAGGGGGAAGGGGGCACTGAGTAACAACAGAGTGGATAGAGTTGAGTAGGACGAGAGCGAACGCTGTAAGATTATCAGTGTATGTGCTCAACTGCAGACCGCCAGACTCACTTTGACCCCCGTCTGCGGCAAAAGACTCTGACACTTGTTCGAGCAGATTGATCAAAATCCCGCCGACCTCGTTTCGGATCTCTGGTCTAGCCCAAGCGACCCATATCAAAGCTTTCACCAGGCTTTTGCAAAGCTGCGCCTGGCTATGAGAGCCGGCCAAAGTCGCGCCCACAGTGTCGTAAGAAGACGAGGGCGCATCTGTGAACGATCCTTGAATCAAGAGGCCTTCCAGAATAGACTTGAGCTTGGAAAGGGATGTCGCCAGGTATGGAGAAGAGATTGAGAGTGACGAAACGTAGTGTGTGTATGAGATGGCGTGGTTGATCTCGAATTCGGTCTGCGAATGCTCGGTCAGCATGCTCGAAGTAACATTGTCATCTCACTTACCCATTCGTCTTGATCGTCGAGACTGTTTGTTCCAGCCACGCTATCAGGGAGCCCGCCGACGATGGTCTGGATTGAGGACTCGTCTCCGGGTTGTGGACTCTGGGCATAGCTGGAGGCGAGCGAGGTCAAGATCTGCAGATGGAGTTGCTCGTCAAGGCTGCAACTGTCAGCTACTTCTCAGCATTGACCTGCTACTCACGAGTCCATGGCTGCACTTGTCTGCAAATGACTGTCAAGAGTGCAAGGAGCGCACAACCCTCATGAGGTCAGTCACAGAGGCGGCGACTACCGCCCAGCAAGTTAAAGTACCCAGCTGATGACGTAAAGCCCCGGCCTTCCGTGACAACAACAACATCATATATTTATGCTGGAAAGAGAACACTCAGTTGCAGTTCACAAGCATGCCATTCTCATCTCTCCCTCGTCTTTCTAGAGCACTCCCAAGCATGTCCACGACATCATCAAAGACCAAGGTAGCCCTTAGAGGAGGCGCCATCCTCAACAACCCCAGGTTCAACAAGGGCACTGCGTTCTCGCGGCAAGAGAGGGCCGAGTTTGGCTTGCGCGGCAGGCTTCCCTATGCGTATGTGGCACCTTGATAGCTTTCCAGTGACTGAACTCTGCTCATAAGTTGTTCAGGGCCGACACTCTTGATGAGCAGGTCACCAGAGCATATGAACAGTACCAGTCCAGGGAAAGTGATTTGCTCAAGAACTCTTTCCTCCAGTCAATGAAGGGTGAGCAACGGGGCAGATCTGATGTGTGATGAAGATCAGGCTGACTCTATTCAAGCTCAAAACTGGACACTGTTCTACGCCTTGCTCAACAGACATCTGGAAGAGATGTTCCCCATCGTCTACACCCCAACAGAGGCAGACGCCATTGCCGATTACTCGCATCTCTTCCGAAGGAGCGAGGGTCTCTACCTGAGCCCTCCTGAAGAAGGCAACATGGAGGAAGACTTCCTGGATGCTTGCGAGAAGAGAGAGCTTCAGCTTGTAAGTTGCTTTGCAGTGCGATCTAACATGCCTGACAAACGACAGATTGTAGTTTCAGACGCCGAGGCCATTCTTGGCATTGGGGATCAAGGGTCTGGCGGTATTGGTATCTCTACTGCCAAAGCCGTCATCTACAGTCTTGTGGCTGGAGTCGAGTAAGTATCTTCCTTCAGATTGCTGCAAGTACTAATGTGCCCGGTGCAGTCCGGCCAAATGTCTCGCTGTGACGCTAGATGTGGGAACCAACAACAAAGATCTGCTCGATGACGACCTGTACATTGTAGGTCATTTCGTCTATGGGCGAAGTTGTGTCTCACTATTCGCAGGGCTATAGAGAGAAACGATTGCGAGGCGAACCATACGACAAGTTTGTCGAAAAGTTTGTGGGTTTGGTGAAGAAGCATCAACCCGCGTGTCTCTTGCATTTCGAAGACTTTGTAAGCAGAACTTCATCCTTCTGGTTATGTGCTTACGGGGGACTCTAGGGTGTTACCAACGCCGAAAGACTGCTAGCAAAATACAGGTATGCAACCAGACGTACTCCTGTAAGGACGATTGCTGATCAGACGATCTTCAAGAGAACAACACTCTATCGTGGGTTTCATGTGCCTCAATCGATGTACCCTACTTATGTGTTATAGTTCAACGACGATATCCAAGGTACAGGAGCCGTGACTGTAAGCTCCACCCCTAGAGTTGTCTGGACGAAGAGATATACTGACAACCTGGAAGCTTGCGGCAGTCCAAGCCGGAGTCGCTGTGACCAAGAGCAAGGTACGCCGCCTCTACAAGAGCTTCCATCAACTAACCTTTTCCAGCTCCAAGACCAACGTATCATCATCTACGGCGCCGGCTCAGCCGGCCTCGGTATCGCCCGTCAACTCCGCGATGCCATCCTCCTCGACTCCGACTCCTCCTCCTCCGATCCCAGATCCTCCTCCTCCTCCGACGCCAAATCCAAAGCTGCCAAGCAGTTCTACCTCGTGGACAAAGCCGGACTCGTCAAAAAGTCTTTGGGTAGAGACAAGATCAGGCAAGAGATTGAGGATGATTTTATCAGGGATGAAGAGGATTGGGGAGGGGAGGAGACGGGGTTGTTGGAGGTGGTGAAGACGGTGAAGCCTACTATCTTGATTGGGACTAGTACCCATGCTGGATCGTTCAATGAGGAAGTGGTGAGTCTCCTTGACTCGCAAAGCTTTTTAGTCACTGACTGTCTGTAGGTGAAAGAAATGGCCAAACATGTGGACCGTCCTATCATCTTCCCCTTGAGCAACCCTACCAGGCTCTGCGAAGCTCAGTGAGTGTACCCATGGATGTCAAAAGAATGTTCGCTGACATTTATAGACCCAAGGATATCAATAACTGGACAGACGGCAAAGCTCTCATGGCTACCGGCTCGCCCTTCCCACCCGTCGACATCCCAGGTTCGGACAAAAAGTATATTGTCGCCGAGTGCAACAACGTGAGCCTATTACCTCGCCTGAGAAGCGGCACTGACCCAGTCTATCAGGCCCTGATCTACCCCGGCCTCGGCCTCGGCACAATCCTCTCCAAATCCTCCACCATGACGGACAAGATGATCGTCGCCGGTGCCCAACGTCTCGCCCATCTCGCCCCAGCTCTAAAAGAAAAGAACCCCGACTTGGCTCTCTTACCAGCATTCGGTGATGCCCAGGCTGTCAATTTTGAAGTGGCCCTGGCGGTGATTGAGCAGGCCGTCGAAGAAGGCGTCAGCAGGGAAGAGGGCCTGCCGAAGGGGAAGGAAGAGGTCAGGAAGTGGGCGCTTGAGAAGAGGTGGGAGCCAGAGTATGTAGAGTTTGAGTATGATCCTGAGGGGCTGAAGTAGTCTAGGCTTGGTCCGTCAGTATAGCAGCCCTGTGGAGGCATGTATCCATAGAATGTGCCCTACAGCTCATGCCCTGTCAACGGCTGATGAAACAGGCAATCTAGGGTTTTCTCAATCATGACAGGGACATCCAGAAATTTCAAAGGTAGCCTTCAACGATCCCATGGGCAGAGAGTCATCAATACATGCGCTACGCTACAATAATCTCGTCTATTATATATGATTTTCGGATGTTCTATTGTACAATGTGGTCCTCATCTATTTTCCTCCGAATCTAGTAACTAAAGATATACCTTCGCCTCTTCCCGAACGGATAGACAGCAACTGTGGCCGCAAACAATCCTATCGCCAGCCCGATCCCGACCTGAACCATTCTGATACTGACAATGACCGCTGTATTGATCTCTTCCTGTGTATTTGAATCACCGCTGCTGGAGGAACCCAGACCGCCAGCTGCGGCGATGGCGTTCGGGACGATGAGGAGGATGCCGACGACCATTGAAGGGAAGGCAGAGCCACGGCCAATACGTGAATAGAGGTTTCCGAGAACGCTGTGATATATGAGTTTGATCACTGAGAGGAAAGTTCAAGAGACATACCCAATGGCGAAAGCGGAGACGGCAGAGACGACGTTGGTCTCTTCAACCTTCTGGCTGAGGAAAAAGTTGACGACATAGCCTGCACACGCCACACAGACCATCACAAGGGTATCCTTGGATTTCCAGTCTGCCCTGAACCAAATGGCTAGGGAGTAGGCGAAAACCGGTACCAGCAGCAACAGCCACCAGTCGTTGGCTAGAAACTGATGTCAGCTTGTCATCGACGATTGAATTGACCAGACGTACGTTCGGTGTACCACCACTGCAGCCATTCAGGATCACGATTGCAGGTGACAGATGTCGCGGCTTCGGAAGAGCTATCGTTTCCGTAAGTGGGCTGCGCCGGCCCAAAAGCATCCCATATCTGGTTTCCCAACCCGAGACCGAGTGAAAGGAAAAGAGTGTAAACGACAGCCCACACAAGGCGACTGTAAATTGATAAGCATGTTCTCAAGCATCGATATGGAGGACACGTACATGGCACCGGCAACAATGTTTCTGGACCCTAGCTCTAGAGCGCCAAGGCAAATGTGCCACCCAGGCAGGATGAGAACGATGGCAGCCTGAGAACGAGTTAATGACCTGACCTGTGGTTTTGACGGAAGAGCTTACTGAAGCCAGAGACTGGTAGCAGAAGTACTTGGACGCTCCCAAACCTCTCTGCGAATCCGGTCAGCGAGATTCCACCTGATTCGAGATTCACTCACAGCTACGAAACTGAGTATGCCTGCCATGCCAATCTCGAAGATGTTTGAAAACACCTTGTTTTCCCTCGAAACCAGAAATTGGACGATAGTGAAGATGGTTCCCAATACACCTGACATGAGCATGTCGATGAAGGATCCGGAGAAGGCGACACGTGCTGCAACCCCAGACGCGACAGCTGCGGTAAAGAGTAGACTGAGGCGAGAGTAGGGAAGTGTCTGCATCCTGTCAGCGTGCGTATCTTCGACGCGTAGAAGACCCACTTTGTTTTCAATCCTTTTCAACACCCTTGACCCCTGACCCGCCGAGATTGCGTCGTGAGTCACTCTTCTATACACCTCGTGCACAAGCGACAGCCTATACAACTCCAAACCTCCGGACGGTCGGATGAATAGGAGGTCGGTAGTGCGTACGTCGGTATCACGGAAGGCGACCATGAGAATAGTTGGAAAGTAGACGAAAGAAGCTTCGACTCCAAGAATGTCAGCAGTCGATGACAGCCATGCCTCGACGGAGTGAGCGGGTGCGCCATAGCTGTAACAAGGGTCAGTGTGGTTCTGTCGTGATCCGTATTACTCACTTGACTACAGCCTTCGCCAGTAGCTCGATGAATCTAGAGGTTCGTTAGCTTATGTACTTGAGTCCGTTAACGAGAACTTACTTTTTCCGCTGCAAGATGTTGGAAACATTCTTCGTGACCGCCATCTCCTTTTGTATCCTCTTTCCTCTCGTACGCCTGCCTGCCCATTTCTCTCCTATGCGACCTTCTTCCATGGCCTTATGGATGTTGTCTCCCGGGGCATGGTGTAATCCCAAAGCCGCGTCCTCTTGTCTGTCTCTGGCTTCCATTGCAGCATCCTTTTCTTTGATATTCTCATACCAACTGACCCTGCGATGCCCCGCCGCCGATTCTGCGTTCTCACCAGACGACGGGGCAATATGAGCTAGCGTCGGACTTCCTACTCCCATGAACGCATTGGTGGTGATCATCAGAGCGGCGAGAGACCGGTAATGGTTTTCTTCCGTCGATGTCTCGCCATTAGCGATAACCTCTCCGGACACTGGCGCACCGAGAAGCGTAGAAGGCACACTTCGGCCAGTCATGAATGCCCGGAAACGTTGCGACATGGTGGTGTTCACATTCGGCTCGATAGGGTTTGAATAACGGGAAGAAGGGATGTAGGGTTGGTTGAGATCTTCGCTCCTATGTGGAATCCGTGACTGCCTTTTGTGCCGTGCGGCCCTTGCGTCGGCTTCCCTGATGCGGGCAGAAATCTCTTGAGTGCTGAAGGTGCTGTCACCACCTTCGCTCCCTTGGCGACTGTGGCCCCAGCTTGCGTTTGAAGCGCGGGAGGGTATAGCGAAGAGTGAGTCTGTGGTCCATCGTTTCCGCGGGGTCACACGGTCATTCTCGTCTTCGTCATCCGAAAGGCCTATCATAGACCTGACCGATCTCCTCCTCCTCTTTGGGTGCCTGACTTTATTGCGGGTAAATCCCAACATGGCACTAAACACACCAGCAGAGGTGACCTCTTGGTCGTCGTCTTCCCAATCACTGTCGTTGGAGAAGAGAGAGCTTGTAGCAGACATGCGAGTAGAAGAAGATCGACCGGACGTCTGCCGTCTTCGCGGAGGAGCAGCTCCTTCGTACGAATCGAGAGATACAGCCGAGGACGGAACGTCATGGCTTCCCAGTCTACTCATATCTGGGCCGCGTTGGGAGCCAGCATCGACGGAAGGGCGATGGAAGATACTGATGAGAGACCGGCGGACGTTTACGAGGTCTTCCTCAGAGGGGAGAGCTGAGGCATAAGGCGAGGGGAACGCCGAGCGGCCATTCGGGTCTTCAGAAGTGAGTTCGGCGCCAAGCCTGCTTCCCCAGTGAACTTTGCGCGAGGGTGGTCGTACATGCTTCTTCTCCATGACCTATAAGACGGGTAAACAGGTGCAAACTCCGCGCCGAGACTTGGACTCACATCTTGGGTCACTGCTCTGGAGTACTGTGCGGCTCCAGTTTCAGCAACGCTTTCGGGCCGCGAATCTCCTGACTGTGACAGCGATGATGGATGGAAAGAGGTAATCTTATCGAATGGTCAGTGCTCACGGTACACCATCAGTCCAAGGGACTCACATCTTGTTCAGAAGGTGCTTGAGAATTCACAGACGTGCCCACACTGTCAGGACGAGACTCTGAAAGCGGCGCCGATGGGTCGGTGGCGCTGCCGCCATGATCAGTAGCCTGTTGAGGAGCAAGTTTGTCTGATGGATCTGTTCGTGGTGGCGGAGTCTGTGGTGGAGTCTGTTCCGGCTGCTGGGGCATTGGAGCTTTTGCGAATATCGAACTTGTGGGTGGTCAGTAGAATCCCAACAATCCTGGAAGAGAAGAAAAGAAGGAGCCCACGGACGAAGAGGGAACAGTGTAGAAGAATGAAAAAGTTCAGCGAGGCTCTGGCATATGCACTCGGTTGAGCAATCAACTAAGGAACCCTGCGCGCGGTTCCGAAAGACAAATGGGCGATCGCGGCTTTAAACTTCACGGGCGGGTTTGCTGGAATCGCGGTGACTGCCGCTGATGTCATCCCACGTGCTGCCCACGTGCGTGCCCAGGGGCGCGGGGGGATCGCGCCTTATTGGGCAGCTTGTTGACTCCTTTCTCAGCTTGCGTCAGCCATCCATCATGGCCTCTGACAAGCACTCGGAAAGGGCCCCCTCCCTTATGGACGACCATGCCGTCGCCCATCTCGCCCTCCCCAACGACGAGGCCACCCTGTTCGCCAGCCCCCTTCCGATCGTCGGCGAGCGCAAGACGACTACCAGGAAGGAAGTCTGGGTCAGTCATCCAGCTAACGGGGCCCCTCAAGCCACCGATAGCATAGATTGCTATGTATCAGAAGCTGATGTATCCTCAGTCTTGGTACATCTACTATGTCGGAAATTCTGGCCTTGGTCAGTTTCGCTTGGAGCTGACCTCCTTTTGCATTCCACTAATCCTATATAGGTCCCTTCAACTTCGCCATCTCGGCGTGGCAGAATCTGCTGTACCAAGCTGGCTGGGACCCGGCGTTTCCGAAGGGTACCGTGGCATGTGGAGATGGGAGCTGCAATCTGGTTGCCTATGGCCAAGAACGTTCAGGTGGGCCGTCGTCCGTGTATAGACCGGCGGACGCAGCTCATGACAACCTCCAGTAAACTCCATCGTGCTCATCACTAACGGCCTATCATTCGCTTTCCAAGCCGTCATCTTCCTCCTCGTGGGATCGTTTGCAGACTATGGAGTATGGCGGCCGCATATCACGACTGGCTTTACTGTCCTGGCATGGGCTGTCAGTTTCGCCTGGCTGGGCGTGGAAAAGCCTTCAAAGTGGGTACCATCATTGTCTTGGGGTATCAGCTGATTGAGTATAGATGGGAGGCAGGGACAGCATTGTACATCATGGGTCTGATAGGCTACCAAGGGGCACTCACATTCTGGACGGCCGCTTTCCCAGGCTTGGCCCGTGATCTTCCTGAGATCAAAGAGAGTGAAGAAAAACTGGCTTCTGGCGATACCGAGTGAGTATACTCTTCCCCGTCCCTTTGATACTATACTCATCTCCGCCCCAGCCAAAAGACGCATGACACATTAGACATGCTTGCCCGAAATCGTCTCGCCAACGTCTCTTTCCTCGTCTGTTCTTTAGGTGAACTGGTGGTCCTTGCGATCCTCGCGGGTATCTTGGAGGGTGTCATCAATGATGATGCGGATAGCAATACGAAGGCGTTGAGTATCGTGTGTGCTTATAGTGCCGGTGTTTGGAGTGAGTACGCTCTCAGTCGGGGAGGTGTAGAGCTGATAGGGTGTAGTCGTCTGTGCTATCCCATGGCTCATATTCGAGCAATATCGGCCGGGTAATCAGCTCCCTCCGAGGACATCATACCTCACTGTCGGGTATGACATTCTTCCCCCTGGTGGAGAGAAAGTTCTGACGATCCCACTTAGCGTCAAGCAAATCTACCATGCGTTCAGACTCTGCTTGAGGCTCAAACAGACTTTCATCTACTTGGCGGCATACTTTTTCCTCGGAGACTGTCTCAACACTCTTGGTATGTGCTCTCTAAGAGATAGGCGATGGAGGTTATTGAGCTCCCATCAGTCACTGTGATTGCGACTCTGCAAAACGAGGTGGTCTCGTACGATACCAAGATGCTGAACTAGTATGTGACCTGAGTGAGACCCCGTACACTTGCTGATATCATATGTAGTCTTCTGATAGATGGTATCGGGGCACAAGCTATCGGGTGAGTAAACAAATTTCAGGAGATGAGATCAGCTGACACCCAGTAGTATTGGCCTCTTCTGGCTCGTCCAGAAAAAGTGGACTATCCCCACAAAGAATATGCTCCTCTTCGTAAGCCCGCAATCAGAGCACTGAACAAAAGCTTACGTGACCGTAGAATGCCTTCTGGATTCTTGTGCTCGCTGCTTGGGGATGTATCGGCATCACGCAGACAAAGTTTGGTTTCCACAACGCATGGGAGTTTTGGGCGTATCAGGCCTTCTATGGGATTGCTGTTTGTCCTTGGTATGCTATATCTGTAAGCTCCTTGGTCGCATCTATCTATGATACTGAGCTGATGATTTTGTAGCAAGCGATGATTTCAGAAGTCGTGCCGAGGGGCAAAGAAGTGCGTCAAGCAAATGCATGAAAGTGTGCCCCACTAACCCAATTTCAGTTCCTTTTCTTTGCCCTCTTCTCCATCATCGGCAAAACATCCTCCTTCATCGGTCCCTTTGTCTCTTCCGCCATTATCGACGACAGCGGCAACACTGACATGCCCTTCACCTTCCTCCTCGGCCTCGGGGTCGTCTCCGTCGGCATCCTCGCCTGCGTCGACGTGGAAAAGTCGAGGAGGGAATGTAGAAAGTATCTGGAGGACGAAGCGATCAGGGTGTATGGGATGGATGCGGAGGATATTGGAGTTGTGCGGGAGGCAGTGGAGATGGATGGATTGAGGAAGGAGGACGACAAGTCGAAAAATGCGTAGATGCTTGCAGAGGGTGAAACGTTGCCTCACTGGCATCATTTCATGTAGAGTACTGTATTCAATAGCGGTTCCTCAATCTGGGTGATAATATTCTCTTATGAGATGTATACATAGATGGCTTGCAGCGATTGCCCACCATTTGAACAGTAAGGCTCCACTCCAGGCACAATCTTATCAAGCACGCTACCACCGGATCCGGCCGCCCGCTGCTTTGCTACCAATTATAAAGACGTGCTTGGTCATTTCTCTCTTTCTCTTTCCTACAAATACTCCATGCCCCGTGCTTCCCTGCTCGTCTTCATCGCAGCTGCTGTCTTTGCCCTTTTCGCCATACTAGCATCCTACACTACACTCTTCGCCAGCATCACAGCCAGCCCCCCACTGCGAACCCACTTCCTGCGCACCATGGTTAACTCTTCCAGCCTCGGAGACGTCTACTTTCTGTCCCACGGTGTATGTCATGCCATTCCCATTTTTTAGGGCTGTAACTGACACCGACTGGTTTTCAAGGGCCCACCCTCGGTGGAGCAGACCGAATCACCGCCCTACAAGGCATGGCGCAAGTTTGGCAAGACCATTACAGCCAACCCACCCAAGGGTATCGTTGTGGTCTCTGCCCATTGGGAGAGTGACCAGGGTTTAAATACAGGTGTTGTTGGTGAGCCTACTATGCTTCCCAAGCCATGACCGATGCTGAAGGGCGACCACGTAGTCAACAGCAACATCTTGAATCCCCTCATCTACGACTTTTATGGTTTCCCTAAGCACTTCTATCAGCTCAAATTTGCTTCCAAGGCCGATCCGGAGCTACAAGAGAAGGTCGTGGGCGCTCTCAAGGAAGGTGGGATCCCTTTGAGCAGAGCGGATAGGGGTTTGGACCATGGTGTCTGGAGTGCGTCTTTCTCTATGCTCCAAATTCCGATTACGATAGGTGCTGACACAAGGAACAGTCCCTTTCAAAGCAGCCTTCGGTGAAGACACCACATTTCCTCTTGTACAAGTATCTCTCCCCGCCTCTGCCGACCCTGTGGAATCGATCAAACTTGGTCAAGCTTTGAGCAAGCTGCGAGCCCAGGGATACGCTATCGTGGGAACCGGTCAAGTTGTACACAACTTACGCGATCTTTGTGAGTTTAATCTGGATTTAGATAAGCTGAGCTCTACTGAGATGCTCCTAGTCAGCGGGAAAGGCCTGCCCTACACCGGACCATTTTTGAAAGACACCTCCAAGGCACTCTCCAGCTCCGACTATGTCTCCGCGACTCTCGACCTCACCAAGCACCCACTTTACAAGAAGGCGCACCCTACAGACGAGCACTTCTTCCCTTTGCTGGTCGCTGTCGGTGCTACAAGCTCCAGTGACCAGATTGAAGAGATCTACAAGGGTGTGGTGGACATTGGTGGGCGCACTGTAGAGAATGATGGGCTAGGCTGGGGTATGTGGCGCTGGACATCGGCGGCTTAGATTTGCTCTTCCTTCATATCTCCGCACCCAGAGAAAGAGCATCGTCTTTGAACAGCACATAGCTCTTAATCATGTATACAGCGTTCTGGCCTCCGATTGCCAGAACGAAAGCGCCAATATACAAAACATTTGAATAGAGCGTCATGACCTTCATTCACTCTGAAACATATGATTATACTTGCGCTGTTTCCCTGTTTCCATCTTCTCATCTACGCCTCAGATATCTACTGACCCTGCTCCTTGAAGTTGATCACATTCTGGTCACCAGGCCTTTGGTACGCAGTCTGTTCTTGCTTCTCCTCAGGACCGCCGGTACCCTCAAAGTCGCTGGCCTTGGTTTGGCTACGCAACAAGTCAGCTTTTGTCTGGGTGAGGGGTTACAGGCAGTATTGACTCACTGTCCAGTGGCGGGGTTCAAACCACCTCCTTCCTCATCGGGGATAGTGGGGTTGTTGCCTCGTCCAGTGCCACCGACCTGCACGGTAGCGCCGGGGAATTCAGAGGTGACGTTCTCGTTGACACCAGACTCGAGGGCTAGATAAGTCAGCACCAATTAAAGTATGCGCGAGACAATCCACTCACTGGAGTCGGACTGACGGACGTTACCAGTCTTGGCGCCGTAAGAGTTGATAGAAGCCTCGTTCTGTCGGATCTGGTCTTGGGCGGACATGTTTTGATGTGTTCTTTGGTTTTGTTGAAATATGGAAAGTTATCGAGCGTGCACAGGTGTGTGACAAGAACGGATTAAATCAAAACCCTAGCCTGCATATATACCCATGTAAAAATGGTGCTCATAAGTCGCAAGATGGCTTGACGTCAGACATGACGTTCAAGAAAGTGGAGGCCGCCCAAGTATACGTCGCTTCGTGTTGTGGCGACCATCGAGCAATCAGAGTGGTATGATCATCATCATGTGGTTTGTCCATCGAAGCGCGGATTTCTCACCCGTCAATTTGTCAGAGTGGTGCAGTGGAGTTGATGATGCTGACAAGAGAGACTCTTCTCTAGCCGCCGCCGCCGAAGTGCCTTACGCCGGTCATTTGGTCCTTTGCGTTGTTTGGTTCTGCTTCGTCCAGTCGAGCGCTGGCTCATTCTCATGCCATCGGCTTCCGATACGCAATTTGCTCACTGACACGAAAATCCTGCACAGAGAAGTTATAATTGTTCAAGTAACATCCTTCTCGTCCACTTTCGGGAGACTCCTCGTGTCTCTCACTCAGGATCGAGTGTGATCAGAGAGTATATTGCCTGCCGAGCACAGTATATTCCGAATATCCTCTAAGTAATGTACCTGTACAGACATTGGGTCTTTCAGAGATGAGATGATACTTACATCGCTGGCTGTTGACCGCAGACAAGAGTCGCTGAGAGTTTGGACACGATATATGGGATAAAACCAAGCCAAGCTTTGCCATGGGTAGACCAAAGTAGTACCCATATTCATTCTGAAGCACAGACTGGGCGTAGACCTACTCTTCAGCGCTTCTTCTTCTTCTTTCTATTTGGTCCCTCGACGTGTTACGTAACGCAATTCTCCACCTTCTCGTTGATGTGTTTGTTCGCCGACGACTTGCTGCTCTTCCACTCCAGATTCAGCATGGTGCTCTGGAAATCCAAGCAGAAACAGCAAAAGCAGAAACATGTCACGGCCCTCGACATTCCTCTCGCAGAATACGACCCCTGCACCGCATTGCCCAAGAGGGTCTCCATAGGGGACCAACAGACTCCGCCCCTCGTACGGGTACATGAAGGTAAGCTTGCCGCAAGAAACGAGATCTTCCGCTGATGGCCATCTCCAGCTAGAGATCATCTGGTCCTCCTGTCTGCATTTCACGCATATCGCGCCTCCTCACCGGATACATACCCTGCCCGATGTCTATTAGCTGCTCGAGCATACGCATACTGGGCACAGCATACTTTCTCGCCACAAGAGCCCTTGACACCAGAGCAGCTGCCGTCGCTAGACATTCTCATGGCTTGGCACGCGCACATGCTCAATCCCAAGACTTTTAATGTGGACGTGAACGGGGTCTATGCCAGCTTGCAGGGGCTGGCGTTCCCTCTCAGCTTAGCTGTGAGCTATATGGGTCGCGCTATTCCATGGTGCCATACTGACCATATGACAGGCTCGAGCAATTGAAAGCGAAACCCTTCCATCCCATACCGACCTCACAGCGGACCAGATTTCTCAGCTCAAAGTCACCAAATGGTCACCAGAAGACATCTCCGAAGCCATTCAACGGCAGAGCAAGTTTGTGGGAAACATGCACAGAATAGGATGGCTTGATCCGGGCCGCTGGCTGGACCATGGAACGATGGAGCTGTCTCTGGGTATCGTGCTCTATCGTGAGTAGCCCACATTCACGGGACGATAGGGAGAGCTGATGGTATCTGCAGATGCTTGGCTTGACCTTGCTCATTCAACATCGCTCAAATACTTCCTTGTGCCACGCTTAGATATCGACCTTGCGTGGCACTCCCATCAGCTTCACGGGACCGGGTACAAGACCGATACCGAACGGCTGTTGGGCCAATTCTTGAACCATGATGATGCGGCGGCAGAAGATACGCTAGGGAATGGACTGAAGAAGACTGGTGAGCTGTGGAAAGAGCGATTTGGCTATGATTATCAGCCTCCGGGAAGTGATTGAGGGAATGGCTGCCTGTTGACCAAGTTCTCAAGTCACATTGGTTGATATACTGCTCAGATCGTAATGTGCAACAAGCAAGTGCTGCAATTGTAAAGATCCGACCTGTATCATTATGTGTATGAATATGTCTGTACTTAGTCACGAGGTTATGTTGTGAGAGCTTGACGCTCCGTAGTGCAAACGAGATTTCTCAGCGTCGTTGTAACAAGTCTCTCGCGACTGCACGGCCTTCTGTACGCTGGTACATGGATACATATGTTGTCATGAGTTGTGGGCTTCACGTTAGGTATCGACTTGAAAGATGGTATAATGACAGAAGATGCTAAGGATTGAGGTGTCTCAAAGGTATGAAGTCAACAGACTGACGAAAGATAATGCTCAGAACTCGAATCACAAACCTTGTCTACAAACAATCGTATCGAGAACGTATATATCACCCCGACTCTTCAGACACAGCAGCTACCGCATCCCTAGGTACCGGCGGAAGGGAATTCTCGTCATCCTCGTCTTTCACCTTGACTGACTTCTTCAAGAGCCTTCCAGCCCCTGGGGTCCCCTTGGGGACGATGGACGCAGCGGGTGCAAGGCGATGACGGAGTACACCCTGAGGAGATTTGGATCGCTGATCTCGAGACGACTTAGAGATTTCCACATTGGTGATATTGGTGAGGACATGGTGAGCGGCTGCGGATGCCGGAGCCGGTGCCACAGCAGTATGCGAGAGCTTGGGACCTTCAGCAGATGTCTCGGACGATACCTGGACAGTCGTCAGCTAAAAAGGATCCTGAACCCCGGCGTCCACAACAACTCACCTGAGGGGAATACTTCTCAAAGAGCTTGTCAATCGTCATCACCTCGGACGACGAAAATCCTGCTTCGTTGCGGAAGCCGCCAGTAGAAGGGGTCTGAGGCTGAGAGCTGACAGGGGTATAGAGCTTCTTTGGTCTGACAGTCGAGGTAGGTCTAAATTTGTGACGCCAGTTGTCGCTAGTGTCGGCCTTGCTGATCTGGGCAGAGGGAGCTTGAGGGTGAGGAATCTTGAGTCCAGCCTGGGTAGGGCGAGAGGGCTCATCGTCGGAGCTAGGCATGGTTGTAGCTTCGGGCGATATGCCTACCCCGTAGGTTCCGGAAGCGGGGTCAAAGTAGATGGGGACGAAGGCCGGAATCCGGATGGGAGTGGCGAAAGATGAAGTGTCGTCATCAGGGTGGGCGGCAGTAGACAAATGAGAGGGCTGGACACGAGACATGGAGGCAGAGCGGATCCTGGCTCTGTAAGCTTGCCTGATAGAAGCCGCATTAAGGGTGCGATTGAAGCCTGACGGTGATCCTGGGATGGGAGAGAGTCGTGAGGCGTCACGAAGGTTGGCGAATGACTTGGAGGGGCCGAGAATCGAAGTACCAAGCTTGGGCTCGAGAAGAGCGCTCTCAGAAACCACACGTTTGCCTTCTTGATCGGGGAGGACGATGTTCTTGGCTCTATTGGCAGAGTCGCTGACCGAGTCGGTGTCTTGTTGACTAGCTGGGCTACCAAGCGGAAGTGTGTCAAAGTTGAAGGAAACGACCTATCAGTCATGTCAGCTGAAGGTTCTCTGTGGGGTGCGCGCCACTCACCCCTCCTCTGGTTTCACCAATCATTCCCGGTCCACTCTTGGTCTTCTGGTGAGAGCTCCGTGCCATCGAAGGCTTCACCAAGTACGTCTCGTCTGTCTCTATTCCACTGAACACCCTAGCATCTCGAGACTTCTTCCTCGCAGCGATGACGTTGTTGTAGACACTCGAAGTCGAGGTGGATCGGTAGGACTGCGTACCAGAAGAGTCCGAACCGGAGGATGCAACCCGGGCTGATTGTTGTGTGTTGGTTTCAGAAGCCCCGCCTGTGGCGGGGCGAAGACCAAAAACATGGGTGAGATAAGCAGTCTCGTCGGCCGCGGTAGCGTCCACTCCGCTATCACAAACGTAAGAGGGCGTTTTTGAGAGAAGAGGAATATACTTACCTGGGGTTTCTAGCGTAGGGTAAAGAGTGGGGGCCATACAACGTAGGAATGGCCTGCGGCTTGGTATCCGGGGCCAGCTCTGGCCTCTTGGCCGTAAGGATCTGGGTGCGACGCCAGGAAGAGAGAGACTTCTTGTCTGGATGCGTCTTGGCAGCCTGGTCGGTAGATGTGGATGAGCCTGAATTGACAGCGCAAATATTGACCGGGTAGGACTCGTCTTGGCGCATCTGGAAGTAGGAGGAAGATGCAGTGCCTGGTCGCGAAGGAGTGCCCTCGTTGATCAACTCGCGGCGTTTGAGCGTGAAGGGAACACTCTGAGGACCGAAGCTGAGTTCGGCGGGAGTAGAGGATACGCTTCCGATGCCAGCAGACGAGGGGGTCATGTCTACTGCAGAAGAGATACCCGAGAAGGAGTCACCGGAACTTTGGTCGAGCTGCCCGTCGCCAAGGCCCAAGCTCTTGAGAAGCTCGTCGGGCAAGTCGTTGGCAGACAGGCGGTGGGAATGAGAAGAGCGGTTACTGTGAGGATCGCGAGAGGTGTCTCGGTGGCTAGTGGGGACGGTTGTTTGGGTAGAGATAGAAGAAGAGATGGATTCGGTCGATCTGCGTGCACGGACGCCCAGAGTCTCGCCACCCGCAGGGGTTGACTCAACCGACGTGTCCGAGGCGCGATGGTAGTCGAGAACAGCGGCAAGAGGCGTAGTGCTCTTTTGAGAGGCTGCCGGGAGGATATTGGAAGATCGGTGATCCATGATGGAGACGCAAGGGCCTATAGATGCTGAAGACAAGGGGGGAGGTTGAGTGATGTTGACGCGCGCAGCAGCGCTATCGGAGTGGATGTGAGACAAATCGGACGGGCTGCAGATGACCCCAGATAGGAGGGCGAGAGGGCGCAGAGGATGATCTCTGGGCGGACGGGGACGGCGGGGAGACACAGGGATACGGGTGAGTCTGGAGGAAGATGAGTGAAGAAGGAAGGCAAAAGAGAAATAGAGATGCAATTTGGAGATGCCATAGGGGTGCGAGGAGGTCAGTGCGCGTCACACAACATTCCGTATTCTTCTGCATCCTCGCGTTCCATGATGCTTTCTCGAAACAAGGTGAGCGACTGGGGGGTATGCATGGGCCCACCAGAGACCCCCGGCCTGCCCACCTGCCCACCTGCATGCCACACTACCAGTACAGCCGCAGCCTCGATTGAGCCTCGAATGAGTCGTATTCGGTGTTCCGATGGCCTTTTTATTTACGCACCCCTCTATCATTATTCTGAATTCGAACGAACCAAAGTCATGCTTTCAGTGTCTCTCACATTCCAGCAAAAATGGATCCCACGGAAGCCCTCCATGACCTCAGAGATTTCCTGAGGCTCCCAGTCCAATCCATCGACGACCTCTCTTTCCGAATCTCTTCGACGCTCTCCGCTCTGAACATACATCGCACTTCGCTGGCCCCGTCATCAATCACCGCCAAAGACCTCAAAGCTATAGAAAGATATCTTCCTGCTGTGCAGGGGGCTCTCATTCAGGATGTTCTGCCACACTTTGTGGGTATCCTTGATGGCGACGCCCGGAGTTCGATCAAGGCTCTGTTCTCTCCGCCGAGGCAAGCGGAAGGTCTTGCGATTCGAAGGACGATCGCGCTCTCCTCTTATCTCACCCTCCCCAGCTATGTCAAAACTCCTAAATCTGGCGAGACAAGTCTCCCGAAACCTATGCGATCATTCTTGATATCGCTACTGAGCGATCTAGCTACCGACTATAGCATCGACGATATATATTACGGGATCTTCAGCAGTGATCAAACAAAGGAAGGGGCAGAAGGCATGAACAGGCTGAGGTGGGAAGAGGCCCTCAAGGCAGCTGTTGGAATTCCGGCAAAAGTAGGGAATGCTACTGGTCGCTGGAAAATAGAAGAATCGGACGATATTGAGGTGCCCCCTCGCCTACTGCCAAAGTAAGCTGCACAAGACTCGATCATACAGAGCTGACTTTCTGTCAGATCATACTTTGACGGCTTTGTGAGGAGGTTTGAGAGCCTTCTGTATGAAGTGTCTCAGGAAAGCTCCCAGGGTATGTCCTCTCACCTTGCTACGAAACGTTGCTGACATTGACAAGATGTTGCACCCCTGCGGCAAGTCCTTGAGAAACTGGCCAGCGTGGGCCTACTCATAGCAGAGCCAGGAAGCGACCTTTCGCGTGTACCCTCTCTTCTCACCCCCCTTCTGCCTTCTCTTTTGAACCACCTCCACCCGGAGCCGTCGGTACCCCTGCCACCTTATCCTGACACGTTCCTGCCGTCTTTGATCCTCCCACTGCCGTCATCAACCCTCGCCTCTTTCACCGAATCTCTCCTCGCCCACCTCACCCATCACCTGATTGATCCTGCTTTACCACTTGCCCCAGACCAGCCGGACGAACGCGTCAAACGCGCGGTATCTGTCCTGAAGAGCATCTTGGGTGAGCCGCAAGTCGGCGGAGAAGCTTGGGAGGCTGTGACCAGAAGCGTCCTGAGCGGGAAGGGCAAAGGGGGGATGTCTATGAATGCATGGAAAGAACAAGCCAGGAATAGACTGGTGGTGGGGTGGGTGGCCGAGGGGGGCGAAACGGCCGCCAAGGCGTTCATTGAGGTTGTTGTCGACGCTTGGACGGACCCGAAATACGTCAAATTCTCCATGTACTCCCAACAATTTCGTAAGTTGGCTCACACATTTCGCCAGCTTGAAAGCTGACATTGTATAGGTTTGACACACATGCTCTTGCAAGCATTCTCCTTGTTGCCACGTTATTGGCCCTGGCTGGTTCAACTCTCATACCGAGGACGCTTCATCACTTCTTTCCAATCCTACCTTTCCCACCCAGATCCATCAATACGTCGCCTGGGCATGGTGGTTGCTGAAATCCTCAGCGAACTCACAATCATCGAAGACGACATGCAAGTAGACAAGAGCGAGGCTGATGAGATTGAAGAGCTACGGAAAGGGCTCGAGGTGGATGAAGATGTTGATGAGGAGAGGTTACCAAAGAAGCCGAATGGTCCCAAAAAGAAGGCAGAAAGCAAGAGGCTCAGGTTCCATGGGATGTGGGAAGGGACTGGGGATGGTAAGGACGAATGTCGATGGCTTAGACGGGGACTCGGCGTACGCGATGCCGACGCTACCATCGGCTCAGAATGGGAAGGGTGGCTATTAGGGTGGAACGATGTCCCGCAAATTCCATTGCAGCCCGAAGAAGCACCCCGACCACGAGGAAGGATCCACTCTAAACCATCTCGACCACCCTCCCCCAAGACGAAGAAGCCGAGAAAACCAAAGATTGTCATGCTCGACGACTCTCAAGTCGACGACCCTCTTTCTGGCTATGCCTCTTCGTCACCATCCTCTTCTCGCGCTCCATCGCCAACACCAGAATATCTGGAAGAAGTCGCCAACGACCCAACTTTGGGGCTCGATGAGGCAAACAGAAAGAAGGTGCAGAGGCCTGTGTATATCGGACAGTTGGTGGCACTTTTGAAAGAACGAGAAAAGCCAGAGTGTGTAGAGATGGCTCTGCAGTGGGGCGAGGGACTGGTACGGGCCAAGCGAGAATTCGGGACAGAACTGTGTAAGTCTGTTCGATATCCAAGTATCTGTCACTGATGACAGGGGCATAGCGGAGAATGCGGTCGCTGTCACGTTGATGACGCTCGGTCTCAATGACCAATTCCAGATAGAAGATTTCGATGACAAGAGGCAAGGAATCCTGAATGCTCTTGCTGCTTGCGCACCGAAACAGGCTGCTCCGTATGTCTATTCCTGGATCGACGAACCCTGCTGACCATTCATAGCTTCCTGATCGAACAGTATTTCAACCCCCAATACTCCCTACAAAACAAGTCTTACATTCTCACAGCCCTTGCTATGGGGGCTAGAGAGTTGGCTGGGCTGTCTGTGCCGCAGGCATCTAGGACCACTCGAGCCATCGACTTCCCTTCCAAGACGCTGCCCCCAAATCTGCACAAAAAATACGTCAGTGCCGCCGACGTACCTCCCAGCAGGCGACTGGAAGATAACAGCCAAAGTCAGATCGACCAGGCAATCGACGGCGTCCGAGACCTCATATTGTCGAAAGGAGTGAAGAAGGGTGAGGAGACTGTGCCAGAGTTTGCCAGGGAAAGGCGCCTGAGAGTGGGGGAGCCCAAACGCGCCAAGGTTGCCGACGTCAACTCTCTAGCCGCATCGCAAATGGCCCGGGCCACTCGCCCGCCCCCTGTCGTGCCCTTCAAGGCTATAGCGGCCGAATACTTCATCCTGCCGCTCGTCAACCGCTTCTGGCATCATTTCCAGGATGCATCAATCCGTGAAGAGCGAGCAGTACAGATGGGCTCCAGGTTCAGAGCTGCCGGGGCAGGATTGGTACTATCGCCTATGGCAATTGAAAAGTTCTTGATGGCTCTAGCGTTGATGCTTGATGCTGCTCGGCACTCTACAGTGTTCCTAAGTGTCATCTGCCCGGAGGCTATGGAGCTTGCAGTGACCATTGGAGTACGACACCCTGCTCCCCCAAAACTGTCTTCTGACTCCGAGCTTGATGATCTGTCAAGGGCAGAAGCTCAAGTTCTGTCTGCCGCATTAGAACTGGCTCTCGTCTGCCTCGACATCGCCGTAGACTTGGACGGAGGGCGGACATTGGCAAGGGAAAAGTCTGCTCTTATCTTGGCGGCAGGAGAATGGGCGAGCGAAGTATTCAAAACCGAGACGGAGGGTGGGGAGGTCAGTGCTGGGCAGGGAGGAAGAAATGAGGGGAAAATTCGAGCCGAGGCTGCGGGTATCATTATCAAAGTAGGGGAGATCGGCGACAAGTGGGGCAACTTGGGGATGGGATTAGGCATGTGAAGATTGATAATAACTATCCCGTACATATCAACATCCAGCTATGAGATCTATGTCGTGCCCCAATCTACTGACCATCTTAATACCGTCCTCTACTCCTTGCGGGCTTGACGACTTGCTGTCTGTCGGTACCAACCTTTGTCCGCGAAGCCACGACCTCATCCTCGTCGGGATCTCTGTAAGCCATGTCCCAGCTTCCACCCACCTTTTTCTGGCTCCTAGAGGCCGAGGACATGAGTTTGTCCGAGTAGTACGCCCACCGTGAGCGATAGGACATTCCAAGGAAGAACCATATGAGTGGAGTCATCATCAGGAAGATGGCGCTTTGGAGTGGGTCAGTAAAGCACTTGTAGCGGTAAAGTTCGTCTTACAGCTTGTATCCTATTTTGCCTTGGGCATTGTTCTGACTGGCCCAGGCGGCAAGTATTATGGCCATGACAGAGTTCCCTAACGTACAGACAGTCATTGTTCGCTCAAACCACACCGATGATTTCGCGCCTCGGTTTTGCGAGGACTTTCGACTCTTAATTTGGGATTCAAGATCTGTACAGCATGACTGAAAGTTGTGGCGCAGGAAAAGGATGTTGAAGATGAGCAAAAGGAGCTGAATAATCGCCACTTCAAGCGCCATCAGTATCTAGGCCACAAAGTGAAGTGAAGACTTACAGCCTCCAAAGCACATCAGAAGAGCTGGCACAGTGATAGCAGGCCATGATCCGACGGCCACACTGGTATAGAATACGCCAGTCTGGCAGCTGCATAGAGTCAGATATGTCGTGATCAAACGATACAAAATACTTACCCGGACCCTTGGCACCACCCGAGACCGCCAAACTTGTAATCATTCACTTCTACGGCCCACCAGTCCAGCTGAGGACCCGTCAAAGCACAAAGAGCGCCGCAGAACACCATAACCAGTCCCAATCCAAAAGGGGCATTCCTCACCATCCACCTCCAGCCCGCCCATCCCCGTGTGGATCTCCAGCAACCAGTGCAGTCTCCACAGCAGCTGGCAAGAAATGGTTCCCGGTCGATATTGTCTCGCTCATACTGTTCCAGCCTTTTCGTAAAGTCATCCCGACTGAACCCTTGCTTGGTCTTCGGCTTTTTGTTTGGAGGTGGAGAGGGCGGGTATCTCGTTTTCTTGGATTTTGACCGATTTGATCTGGACCTCGAGCTTTGTGGGCCGTTGTCGTCACTATCGTCCGTCAAGGCGGAATCATCTCCCGAGCTTCCATCAGTATCGGGCCTGGTAGAGGTTCTTCGTCTCGGACTTTGACGACTCGAGCCACTTGAGGATTGCCGCTGTCTAGCCTGTGTCTTTCTTGTGTTCTTTCGGCCTCTTCCACTCTCCTCCTCAGAATTGCTGCTCTCTGACGATGTATTGATGTCTGTACCACTACCGCTGGTGTCGCTCTCCGAGAGCTCCTCTCGGAACCTCGACGGCCTTGTCTTCTTCGGTGGACCGGGGCCCGTTGAGGGTCGTGATGTCGGAGCCATCAGAGGTCTTTATGAGACGAGTGTGGGCGGAAGATGGCCATATAAGTGCCGGGGTGATTAGGTGTGTTGCTGATTGAAAACGGGCAACGTGAGATGGATAACGACCCGTTCCGAGACAGAGACAGCCTTCCTTTCGGAGCGCCTATAAAGGAGTACTGTGTAAGTGTTTTCAAGAAATGAAAGGATGAAAGCCACCTCGCGAAACATCGGTGATGGGAAATAATCTCAACGTCCCAAACATCCCGTTCGAGCCAATATACAGCGACCTGGGACACAAGAGAATGATTGAAAACCTTACTGCATCAACGTTGATAGCAAATGATGTTGAAAAAAAAAACATGATGAAGGTAAATGATAGTACACACACAAGATATGCGAACTCTATGATATCGCTACCCACATGCCACGTCTCCGGCAGCCACCCAGCACTACTCGTAAGAATGATCATCACTGCACTCGGAAGCAGAGTCATCCTGGTCAAATGTCAGCTTGTGCAAAAGTAAGAAGCGATAATGCACGTACCTGGCCAAAGAAGGCGAAAGCCTTTGCCTTGCATTCTGCAACCCTCTCCGCCAATGAGTTGGGAGCAGAATGCTCCCCAGGTCTGTGGTGATGATGGTGGTGGTGGTGATGGTGATGGTGATCATGCCCATTATGGGGTCTGGGAGTCTTCTCTTCCCTGATCTTCTCGTCCATCTGAGTAGTATCACTCGCGTCGGTCGACTCGGTCGGACTGTTCAAGCGTGATCTCCCAGGAGGAATGAGGTGATGGTGCCCATCGACCCTCATGTCACTAGGGTCTCCCCTGATATTGTCCCTCTGTCCGACCTCGTTATCTTTTGCTTTAATCTCGGCCTTGTGCAGAGCCTCGACCAGATGGCGCTGTGAGATGGCAGGAGGAGCAGAGTAAGGGGTGACGAAGCGGTTGGGTATTTCGAGACCGTTCTGATGAGAGTTGAGAAGGTTGTGCAGTTGCTGCGGGGGCACTTGAGGCTCTTGGGCATGCTCGTGAGGAGGCGATGATGGGCCAGAGACACTGCTGTTTGACTATCAGTAGCCGGTACGCCTTCACGAAAGGTCAACACTCACTCATCAATGTCAAAGCTCTCATCCTCGTCCTCATCCTCATCTTCATCGTCCTCTTCATTCCCAGCATCTACAATCTCACTCCCCTTCCCCTTAGCATCTCCTTCAAACTTGGTCTTTGCCTTCTTCTCATCAAAGACCTTCTTCTTGCTATCCTCCTTGCCATCCGCGGTCTTGTACTTTGGAGGCTCGCTGTCTTCTTCGACGACCACAAACGACTTTTGCTTCTCGCGCTCGTTCCAGCGAAGCGTACGAGAGATGGAAGAGAACCAGTCGGTGGAGGCTTTGTCGGCGCAGACTGTTGGGAAGGGGTACTTTGAAGCCGTGACTTTGATGTGATCACCCTCTGCGTATCTGGTCAGCGTCATCCGTGCACAACAGTCTGATGTACTCACGCTTCAACTCCACCCTTCCACGACCGTCGAAACTCGCCCAAGCTGTACTCCTCGAGTTGTAAGGTACACATACCCTCAGCTCCATGCTGTCCGGCAAGAGCATGGGCCTGAAGGAGAGCGTATGGGGACAGATGGGTGTGATGAGGATGGCGGGGATTTGGGGGTGCACCAAGGAACCACCAGCCGACAAGGAGTATGCAGTGGATCCCGTGGGAGTCGATACAGTGAGGCCATCGGCTTGTACAGTGGTCAAGTGATGCTCGTCGCCTAGAACCTGTCAGCCGATGTGCAGTACAAGATACGTGAAAGAACTTACCAAACAACTCCAAGAGACTGACGTAAGGACTAGGTCCTCTGTCGACCACCAGATCGTTCAAGACCTCAAACTGCTCCACAGGCCTTGTCGAGTAGCACATGATCTCCTTGTCCTCTCCTTCCTCTTCCATATCCAAAGGAGGACCACTCGGAGTCGGCCCCTCAAGACTCTCCCATCCACCCTTATCCACCCGACTCATCAGGATCTCTCCACCAGGCTTTTTGATCGCCTTCCGCTTCTTGCCCTTTGCAGTAGCATTCTCCTCAGGTGCGATAGCGCGGTAGACTGTGCAGGTGAATCGCATTCGAAGATTGACGCGAATACCCTCATCGACGACTCTGTCCATGATGTCCTTGTAGTTGTAAAAGTCGAAATTGGTGAGGAACCCCAGGGAGCCGAGGGCGAATGGAAGAACGGGTGGGACAATTTTTTGGCTGACGGAAATCAGCTCGGCACCGGGCTCGTACGATACACTCACAATAACCAAGAAGTGAACAAGACTGTCCCATCACCGCCGAGGGTGATGACAAAGTCAAATAGATGAGGTGACTCTGAACACAGGTCGCTTGTCCAGTACCTCAGTTGCCCCTCCTCATTCGAAGCCTGTCTCGCCGCATCCCTCATACTCGTCGTTGACGGATGAGCCGACGAGAGAGCCGAAAATGTACTGAGGGAAGCAGAAGATGACCTCCGTCGAGCCATAGGCTCAAATAGCTGCGGGTAATCCCTCTGGAGACCATCGGCGTCGAAGCGCTTGGAGTTGCGCAACTGGGCATCAACGTAGACGACCATACCCCGATCACGTCTCTCACCCCTGCTACTGCCGCTTGTACTAGCCCCATTACGATCGGGCGAAGTGGCGGGGCGCTTGTGCATGAGGTAAAGGGCGAGCTCTCGAGTGAGCTTGATGAGGCGATTGTCTCTGGCCTTGGTGACAATGAGGACGTGTTGTATTCTTGAGCGGACCTTTGTACGACCTGCAATACTGTCAGCTTGTCGCCTCGTCAGGCAGAGCAAACTCACCGAGCTCCTTGCTCATCTCTCGGACCCCTCGAGCTGTCTCTGCCAACTGCTTGGTCAAGCTCGCATTTCCCTCTTCATCAATTTCCTGGTCCTCATCGTAGCCTGGCAGTCCGTTCGCGAGGCCAATGTCAGTCTTTCGGTGATCTCGAGTGGTGTCTGATTCAGACTCGTATTCGCTCGACGTCACCTCCTTGCGACTAGCCGGAAGGACTGCTGCTTTGCCCTTGGTGTCGTGCGAGTGACTTCCCGAGGGCGAGGGAGAAGGGGGTGCGTGAGAATGAGGGACAGGAGGCGCCTGGGAAGACTGCGGGACAGGGTGCGTAGCGTTGCTGGCATGTCGATGGGCGGCTGAAGTACCAGCAACGGCTTGCCCACTGTCCTTGCCCGTCTTGTTCTTCAGCCAGTCCTGTAGCGAGCCATGTCTGTCCAGATGAGAATGGATGAAACATGGCGACGCCTCGGGAATATTCAGCCCTGCTAGTGAAGGAGTGCCCAGCTGGTCGCGCTTGGGTGTTGGGGCTGCTGCGCCAGAAGTGCCTCTCTCTGTAGGCAGCACTTGCGAGAGGGGAGAAGGGGGAGCCGGGTGGCGCATACGTGCTGTAGTGGGCACATTGACGTGAGGAGTGGATGGAGAGGGCTGGCGGTGTAGGCCTTGCGGGGGAGAGTTGGGCAGAGATGTACTGGGCATGGCGGGTGATTGGTCGTTTTTCGCTTCGTCGTCGAGTCTGGCGTGGGCAGAGCGGGGAGACAGCTGGATGTAGATTTCCTCTTCGTAGGAGGGCGACGTGGAGATACGAATGTCGTCAAGGCCGAATCGCTGCCACAGCCACCAGATGGATTGTCAGCGCTATCCCGGCGTCCCCCTCCAGCCCACTCACTTCTTTCTCTCTGGCAGCGCCGAGCTCGAGCTTTCTGAGGTATGCGGAAGAGTTGCGCTTTGCAGATGGGCGTTGCGGGAGGGCGTCCACCTCGGCCCACTCTGGCGATGTGAGGCCTGCGGTCTGCGGGAAGCTGTCTGAGCGGGCGTGGGTCGTCGTCCTCGGCAGCGGCGGGGACGGGGGCGGCGGCAGGGGGCGGGGGGTGGCGGGGCGGGCGTCGGCGTTGTCGTCTATCGGACTCGCAGGAAGAGCCACCATCATCTCGGCGTGGTCATCGACACCTCGGGGGCAGTTACGTAACGCTGTAAGTGGCAGTGGGATATGCATGCAGGTGTGCTGCTCGGCGGCTTATGTAGCCAGCCAGCCACATCGGTCCTGCCTCGCCACTGTCGCCGAAGACAAGGACGGTCCTCGGATCACTCAGAAACATGACACTCCCTGAGCGGCACCTTGCGACGACAGGCATGAGGCCGTCACCAGGCGACAGGTTGCAGGTAGACGTCCAGGACCGATTGTAGTGACTACGTGACAAGGAGTCCTATCTACCCAATCTAGGTTTCAATGCAGCTTCGTCAACGTGAGAACGTGACATGTTGCAGGAAACGTGTCTTCCTATGGTTGCGCTGTAATGTGAGCAACTAGATGCGGCCAATATGAATGTCGTGCATTGTTTACTCAAGACAACACGTTTGCTTGATAGCTCCATTACAAAGCGTTTCAGTAGAGTAAGATCCTAATTGTTGAGACATGTTGCACAAGAACCAAGCCGCAAGGCTCAAAAAGTCAAGCAACTTTTCCGTCGTGTTCTCGAGTCTATCGCCTCGACTTTTTGCCCTTCGCGGCTGAACCACCTAATCTCTTCGTTAGAATATTATGCCATTGAACACTTCAAATGAAGCTTACCAGTCGAAGGCGCCGAATCTGCGCCCCTCTTTTTCCCGCCCTTCGCAGCAGGCGTCCCCACCTCCGCCACCTTGCCACCCCCCTTGCCTGCCGCCTTCTTTGCCCCCTTCTTGGTACCCAACGCGGGAACGAACGGCTCTTCGGGTCCCGCGTCGGTCTCGGCCTCACAGTCGGGGCAGAACCACTCGCCCTCGGGGATAGCAGGAAGCGCGGGAGTGAGGCAGTCGATATGGTACGGTTGGTCGCACTATGCAATGTCAGAGATCCCATAAAAGAGGTAGCTTGCCACTCACTCGTTCGCACTCTAGAGGAGGGTCACCCTTTCGGTCAGTCTGGCACACGAGACAGAGGGTCGCAGAAGGGATATGCTCGGGGTAACGGTCGAGTTCGGAAACCTCCTGACTGGGCACAGCCAAGAATAAGGAGAAGAAAGCGCCTCCGGCAACACTGCAGTGATTGTCAGTGTCCTGGGAGTTGATGCCACTAGAATTGGTTGAAACTTACTCGATGACGTTGATACCACCCAAAGGTTCAATCTTGACCGGCTTGGAAGCGCTCTTTCCGGACTCGGAACCCAACCCAAGCTCGCCATAGAGCTACACGATCAGAGTTAGCGTCTTGAATACGGGCAATGACATGTACACTCACGACACCTTGTCCAAATCCAACAGTCATCACTCCGCCTTCAGGGTCGGCCGTGGTCATGAAGTGTGTAACTCCTCCGGACGACACCCTGATGACCTTACATGACATGACTAGAGCAATAATTAGTAAGGGTCGACTTTCAACGTTGTTTTTGCTTGCCATCTTGGATATGCCTATGGGACAGCAGTCAGTACACATTAAAGGATGTCACCGAAGAAGAGACGTACTTGAATCTGGTATACGGTTGCCCCGTAGAGCCTGTCAGAAGGTAAGAATTCGCCCCCAGGTAATGCGCAGCGTGAACATACCATCACCAGTAAGCCTCCACTTGCCCGCCATGAGAAGCATCTCCTGTTTGTCGACAACAGTCGAGCTCGTAGGTCCACAAGCAACAGACTTCGCTCGAGTAGCAATGTTGTTACCAGCAAATTGAGGCACAAGCGTCGGGGAGAGGCTGATAATGTCAGTCTAAGGCTATCGTGGGGCTCGAGCCGACTCACCGGTCCTTTTGATCTGACAAACCCAGTCTAGAGTACCCTGCATAGCCCCAGGCGTAGACATAGCCTTCTTCATCCAAAGCAAGAGAATGCTGGTTACCGGAAGCGATCTCTACGACCTTGTGCTTGTCGAGGCCGGACACCAGGCCTACAACCAAGCATCAGTCTTCGTATGGCTAGCAGTAGCGAGAAACACATACGAGGAGGAACCTCGACATCATAAGCAATCTTGCCAGCTTTGACCAAGCGTTCTCCCGTCTTGCCGTTACCGAGCTGTCCATTTTCACTGGAACCAGAGGCGTAGACTTGACCGTTGGAAGTAAGGAACAAGGAGAAGGTGTGGCCAGCAGTGACTTGAACGACCTTGTTGTCCTTGTCCTTGGTCCACGCGCCACCGATCTTGGTAAGTTTCTCCACCACATTACATTGAGCCTGACCCAACAAATCAGCCTCCTCAACCATCTTGCGAACCAATCATACTCACCACCCCGACTTGTCCGAGCACATTGTTCCCGCAGCCCCATGCACCACCCTCACTATCTACCAGCAGGAGGTGACTCCTACCAGCTGCGCCTCCTACCCATTTAGCGTCTGTGGGCAGGCCAACGGAGGAAGGCGAGATCTTGATGGGCTCGTTCTCGGAGACAACCCCGCTGGGGTCTTTGGCAAGGGCGGGAAGTCGGCCGAAGAGGTAGGCAGCGCCGTAGACTACCACATTTGATTAGCATCGTGGGCACTTGATAGAGAGGTAGACGAACTGTCTAGGACGATAGCATAGTTGGCAGAGGGTCCGGTGATGACTTTGCTAACCTTGACATTACACAAAGACCTCAAGATATGAGGCGTCGTCAAGTCAGACTGGCTGATCAGGATGTCAGCAGCCGTTCAAGGAGAGCATCAACACAACGGACATCTTGTTTGATACACGATCTTTCCGGCCGTTCGTCGCCCTGCGTCGAATTTAGCGACCGCACTTCATGTCTTTGTTTTGATCTTGCTATATACTCACCAGTCTGTACCACCACAGATCAAAACTAGATGAAGCATATTATGTCAGCATCTGGCATCTTGACAGGGACACCAAGGGAGTATATAGAACCAAACAATCCGCGTTCCGGTAGACCTCGCATCACGCAGTCGGAGATAAAGGAAGGCGAAGATCACTCACCTCGTCCCCACTGCTGCTCTCCGGGAGTTGGGGCTTCTGTGCTCATTCAATCAGGTAGGGTTTATTCAGATGGTGCAAATACCGTGACTCGAAGGATAAGTCTTTTTCCGTTAGAGAATAAGTAAATGAGCTTTGAAGCAGCAAAGAAACACGACCGCCGAGCGCGTTACCGTAAATGACGCGCAGAGTCTTACGTAAATGGCTTCCGGCGGTCTTGTCAACGACGACGCCGCGCGTACGACGCGATCGCGACACGAGTGACGACGACGACAATAGTCCTGGGCCATGTATACAACAGCTCTTTAGGCAGCTGGTACTCGGTAGCTTTGGAGGTTGGGACAAGGACATGACTAGTATGATTTTACATGCAACATTTACTAATCTTCACTCGTCATCTACGATCTAGGCATACCGCTCTAGACTCTAAGCAGAGGGGGCAGCCTCGTCCTGGGCAAGAGCCTGCTGCTCGGGGGCATAGTCCTCATAGCTAGAGAAGGAGTCAGTATCTTAATTGTGCCAGGTATGGTCGACTTACTCGATGTAACCCTCAGCAGTCTGGGAGTAGAAAGTGGGGCGCTCGTACTTGCGGATGGGGTAGCCCTTGAGGACTCGGTTGGGGAGATCAGGGTTGGCTGATATATCGTCAGTTTATTTATTGGATATACGAAAAGATATAGACGTACAGATGAAAGATCGGCCAAAGCAAACAAGGTCTCCGGGGAACTCCTCGGCGTGCTTGAGAGCCTTCTCGGGGGTGTAGCCACCGGCGCTGATGAACTTGATGCTCTTGCCGTGCTTGGCCACAGCCTCCCTGATGGGAGCAAGGGTGTCGTTCTGGTACCACTGGTCCTCGGCGACGGTGAAACCTCGGCCCTCGATAGCGTGGACGTAGGCAAGCTCGGGCTGGGCCTTGGCGATGGTCTCAGCCCAGGGAACGAAAGTGTCGAGGGGCTCCTTCATGCGCATAGCCTGGAACTCGGAGAAGGGAGACATGCGGATACCGACACGCTTGGGGCCGATGGCGGCACAGACAGCATTGAGGACACGGAGGGGGAATCGGGTACGGTTCTCGACGGAGCCACCGTATTGGTCGGTTCGGTCGTTGGAGTTGGTCTGAAGCTGTGACGGACGTCAGCGTCTTTTACAGCTTGGTTCTGACCATCGATACGTACGAACTGGTCAAGGATGTAACCGTTGGCACTAGATGCCATGTTAGTGATGCCCCGAGATATTTATGATACTGTACTCACCCATGGATCTCGACACCGTCAAAGCCAGCCTCGATGGAGTTCTTGGCAGCCTGCTCGTAGTAGCCAACGAGCCTGTCCATGTCCTCCTCCTGAAGAGGGGTGAGGGGCTTCTTGACCTCGTCAGACTTGAAGGGAGAGGGTTCGGGGTCCTCAACGGAACCAGCAGAGTAGACGACGGGGATGACAGCGGGGTCAGCGGCACGACTGTCAAATTATCAGCGCGAGCGCACTTGCGAGGGAGAATTCGAGCTTACCCAAGAACCCAAAGTTGACAGAAGATTCGACCGCCCTTGGAGTGAACACCATCTGTGATTTTCTTCCAGGCAGCAATGTGCTCAGGGGTGTAGATTCCAGGGACGTAGTCGTAACCCTTGTGCTCGGCAGCGATGAAGGTACCCTCGGAAACGATCAAACCACCCTCTGCAGTAGCTTATCAGCCAAATTTTTCCAATTCGAAACTGCACATACCAGAGGCTCGCTGAGTGTAGTACTTGATGGCCCAGTCGGAGGGGATAGCGTCCTTGGCGCCAGCCCTCAACCTAGTGAGAGGAGCCATGACAATCTTGTGCTTGAGCTCATAGTCGCCGACCTGGATGGGGGTGAAGAGCTGTGGAGACTGAGTGGCGGACATGGTGTATGCAGGGTGAGTGAAACGTTGAAGATAGACATGTCCAGTTCGCTACAGCTTCTTATATATGGTCAATCGCCGTCCAGTCGGCTTTAGCATGAATAATCTGGAGGTGGAGGTGGGCCCTTGGCGTAGCTTACGGCATGAATGTTCTGGAAGAATTTGCGCGATGACGGTGTCAATAAGCATAAGTCATACCTCGTTTGGCGTTTGGATGCGAAAAGATCAGGACAAGATAGTGAGCGAAAAGTGGAGGTTGTCGGTGGAGGTGGACACTTAAACGAGCGGGAACCAAATCGCTGAATCAGCTCGGCCGCGCAATAACAAGTACATATGCTGGCGCCGGTGCACGCCGCTGTTTTGCCCCCAGCTCGAGATCAGAAGTGAACCAAACAAATCGATGATTGGTCCGGATCACACTCACTGGGGATGTCAAATTTCCGGTACCATTTCAACAGACTCGCGTGGACCCCATTCCCCTTGCCTTCACATGGCAGTCGCGCGTTCATTCTCCAGCACAACTTGCAACGACCAAGAATGACTTCCCTGCTTTCAGCCCTCAGCAAAGTGCGCGAAACCTCCCACCAGTTTGTGTCGTCCCTTTCCCAGTCTGAGCTCGGGCTGACTGCAAGCAGCAACCCTGCGCCGTCGTCTCTGGACAAGCCGACAACGCAACGAAGCTGAAAGACGCCAACGCAGGAGGGTAAGCAGCTTCTTCCATTTCAGGGCAGTCGACATGTTCTCTGACGCGTTGCCGTAGAATCTCAAACACCAAACAGTCCGTGGACAGGAGCTCAAAGGTCAAGCAAATGCATGTGAACCGTGATACTCCAAGATCTAGGGCAGGCAACCCAGTTCCTAGATGTCGACAGCGCAAACAGCAAGACTGTCACCCAGGTCATTATTGTCGACGTTTTTGCTCCCATGCCGAGCGAGCTCGACACAACCTCATCATGTCATATGCGCAACGAGGCGGCCAATTCGTGAGAAAGGAGCCAGGTCGATACATCAACAAGGACGTCCTGAACAAGAAGATCCCGACATTCCTAAGGGATCGGATTCCAAATCCATATATCAAGCCAGAGCAGAGCTCGCAATGAACTGGTGGAAAGTGAGTCAAAATACTTGTATCCAAGAAGGCGGTGCGCTGACGGACATAGATAAGCACCATCACGAATACCCTGTCCTTGCTCGCATGGCCCGAGACTTTTTAGCTATTCCAGCATCCAGTATCCCTATCGAGCAGCTCTACTCCATGGCCGAGAAGTTTGATGCCGACATCGGCGCTGGGATTTCGGAGGAGACTCTGGAGAATTTCGTCATGGTAGGCGACCTGGACAGACAGCTTGATCGAGGCGTGGACCCTGGCGTCAGGTTTACTGGCAAGCGTCAGGCTGATGGGAGCTGGGAGAAGGCCGGTTCGAAACAAAGGGCAAGATAAGTAGGTTCGTTCTCTCCCATGCGATTGTCCGAAGGCTCATATTTGCTTATCGCGCTTCCAGTCTCTATGAGACAATACATCGAAATGGTACCATGCAGATCAGTGTTGATATAACGGGAACGACAACGTCTACGACAGACTCTTGAACAAGTACCACGACACATGTTTGCATTGCGCAACCTCAAAAGACAAGATAAGAAATCAGACAAAAGGATTCTATTACATAGCAAGAAAAGACAACCTTGGACGACGTGCAGCAAAAGTCTCTACGCCTCTACGAACGCTCGGAACACCTCAACCTTCACTTTACTCTCCCAGACAACCTCCTTCCCAGCCCCAATAAAGATCACATTACCCCTCTCAAACTCGATCTTTTCCCCACCATCGCTGACCACACCCTTCCCCTCCGTGACCACCGCCAAACTCGGCCCTTCTACCGCCCTCTGCTTTGCCTCTCCACCCTCCTTGCCAAGGTCTACTCGGAGGACCGAAAACTCGGCAATGGGAGGATCGTAGAGGAGGGTAGATTTGTCGCCTTCTTGGAAAGGGGTGGGTTGGAGGAGCTGTTTGTCGCCTGGGGCGGCTTCGTAAGTGAGCATGGAGATGAGGGTGTCGACGTCCCGGAGTTTCGGGGTGAGGCCCGCACGGACGACGTTATCCGAAGTCGCCATACATTCAATGATATCTACCACACGTCAGTCTTTCTGGTCAATCAAGAGCCTAGAGATTACTCGCCACCTTGGATATAGGCATGCGGCTCGTTGGCGCCGAGGAAAGCGGCATCGCCCCGCTTGAGCTCGACCACATTCAGCATGAAGACGCAAAGCACACCGACATCCTCCGGGTACTGCTCATTCAACATCAACGTCAAGTCTACCAGATCCTTCTCGTTCTCTGCAATATCCTCCTTCTTCTCATACCGAGCGACAAGACGCGAGATGGCTTCCTTGACGGTACCTTTATCGGCAGACATCAAAGCGCCGAAGATGTCTTTCAAGATGTTCTTCTGTTCTGGTGTGGGGGAAGAGTCGAGGGGTTTGAACAAGGCAGCATCGGGAGGCAGGGTAGTGGGAAGGTTTAATGAGCCGGCGAGAGCGTCGGTAAGAGATCCAGGAATGAGAGGATGCAGCTCCCTAACCGTGAGGAGGTGCAAGAGCAACACAGGGAGGGGCAAGAAGTTGAGGAAAGAGAGGAAGGGTGTGAGGGCAATGGCCATTTCTGGTTTGTGGTTGGGATCTGCAAGCAATGCAAATCGTATCAGCTTGCCGTAATGACGTGCAAGCAAGCAAGTCGGAGCGCACCTTTGTAGACATCTGGTCTTTCGTCAAACAGCTTTCTGGCGAGAGGCTTATCTGGGTGGGCCTGGATACTGAGCGCAGTACCGATGGAGAGCACTTTGAACAGGAATGGTAGGGAGCCGTCCTTGCAATCTTCAAACTTGGACGAGACTTGTGTCCCAATAAGCTCTGGGTGCGCTTTGATGTGATCGGCGAGTAATGTCTTGTCGGACAATTTGGAGGGGAGGGTGGGATGGGTGCCCATCCAAAGCTATACTTGTATTAGCATGGTGCTGTCTCGCTCCCCCAAAAAATCGCGTACCTCGGCATAAGTCTTGCTCTCGTCGATCTTGAAGTCGGGAATGGAGGTGGTGCCGAGCTGGGCGGCGAGCGAGGAGGAGCCCTTCTTGCCCCAGTCATAGGACTGCACTCCAGGGGCGATCTTGAAGAGGGACATGGCGGATAGAGATGTTGCAGATGAAAGAGGAGATAGATCTGAGGGTGGACATGAAAAGCGCGTCGACGCGGGGGAGCCGAGAAGTGACAGGCGGTGTGTTCCGCAGGCGTACCTGGCCTGGGCCTGTCTTTAGGGTTCTGTCTAACGCGATCCGGCAGTGCATGTATCTCCGATGTATTGTGGTAGCTGTGAAAGTGTGAATGGCCCAAGGGTACCCCCTTGCAGAAACTTCAGAAAGTGACCGGCTGCATGTACCGAAGAAGCGATGGACGCGACGTCACGACGTCATGACTCCACCTCTGCGTTCTAGCGAATCCCTGCCATTCTTTTCATCACCGGGCCATGCTCTCTGCATTCTCATCCCGTCTCTTTTCCAGGACAAGACCAGCATTCACCCAGCTCGCCACCATGTCGACTGCTTCCAACCCCGCTACTTACAAATTTAACCACACCATGTTCCGTATCAAGGCGAGTCTTGCCTTATCAACCGTGTCGGGGTGAGCTGACTTTCGATCTTTAGGACCCCAAGGAGTCCTTGGCCTTTTACGAGAACGTGCTCGGTATGAAGGTGAGTGCATACTGATAGCTTTGATGGTCATAGTGCTGACGGCGGCGACAGAAATTCTACGAGTCTCCCGGCGGTGACTTTACCAACTACTTCCTCGCCTTCCCTAACGGCTTTGGCGATATCGAGCTCACCGACGAGAACGTCAAGGCCCAGATCTTCAACAGGGAAGGTGTCCTCGAGCTCTGTCACAACTGGGGTACTGGTGCGTTCATCTGACTCTCGGATCTACGCTCAAGCGCTGATGCTTTGATAAAGAGTCTGACCCCGAGTTTAAGGGTTACGCGAACGGTAACAGCGAGCCCGGACGAGGCTTTGGTCATATCTGTGTGACTGTCGACGACTTGGAGGCTGCTTGTAAGAGGTTTGACGACCTTGGTGTCAAATTCAAGAAGAGGCCCGAGGAGGGCAAGATGAGGGTGAATCATTTTCCATTCGGGGCTGTAGAACGAGATGATGCTGTGGTGTGTGAGGCTTTGCTGCATGATGGCGTGGATCTGTGGGGGTAAGCGCGGGGCTGAAGAGTCTGAAAGAGAACCAAGCTGACTCGATGTTTTACCAGCACATCGCCTTCATCTTGGGTGAGTCATCTTCTACAGGTGTATGTCGGGACAAAGCTTACCCACTTCATAGACCCCGATGGTTACTGGGTCGAGATTGTCGCCCACTCCCTCAACGCCGGGACTCTCTGAGCGTCTCGATGAGTTGGGTGTCGGGTGCGCAAGAAGAAAGGCCATAGCCAAATCAAAGTATCTAATCAGGTCTCGTATGTCCATAGCAATGCACCTCTATGCAACTACCACCATAGCTGCCCATGCTATCCATCCCCTATACATTTCAAAATTTCAGAGACGATACGCGTCACTGCTGACGTACCTGAAAGCGGGCGGTGACAACTGGTGGATCTGTGTTAACCAAAATGTACTCCGATCCATTTTGCCATGTATTCTTGTGCATCTATACCCCCCTGCAGCTCCGCCATGCCCCCCAAGCCAGACCCCAGCCCGCCCCTCCCCTCCCTCTCCAGCCCAGACTCCAGGCCCCCCTCCGCCCCCCTCTCCCCGCCCCGCCATCGCCCCCGCTTCGCCTCCCCCTCCTCCGCCCTCCTCAAACGCGACCCCAGCTCCCTCAGCTCCCCAGCCATCAGCCGCCTCTCTTCCCCCGACCTCGACTCCCTCCAAGGGCCTTCTACCTCCGCCTTGACATTTTCAGAGGTGAATCCACTGTTTATACATGCGCATCTGGATAGACATGGATCATTGGCGGATTGGTTGAAGCAGAGGATGTACAAGGCGAGGGAGAGGCCTCCCTGTGTTCCAGATTCGGAACTAAGAGATGCCTTCTCGGCAGAGGAGGATGGGATTGGGACGCTGTCGAGGCAGCTGGCAGAGACGGCTCAAGGGGTACGGGATATGAGCAAAGAGCTTGGTATGACATTCGATCTTTCTTTTATATCTACTGACGGCAGCTATAGGTGAGACGAAGGTGCGATCAAGAATACAAAACGTCTTGATCGTCACAAAGAACAATGACGAAGGGCTCATCAACCTCACCCGAGATCTCGCCCTGTACCTCATGCAGCGCCTCCCGCCCCCTTCCCCCGAAGGCGCGAGCGACCGTTATGGAGGGCCTTCACAGGATAGGGGCATGGTCGTCTACGTCGACATTGCGCTCAAAGAGTCGGAACGATTCGATGCCGCAGGTCTCGAGAGACATCATCCAGAGCTGTTTCAGCCGATGGAACCGCGGCGGACACCTTCGTCGACGAGTATTGGGAATCTGTCTAGGCTTTCGTCGGCGTTTACATCGGCGAGTAGTGCGAATGATGGGTCGAAGGGACAAAAGGGGGAAGATGGGCAGTTGCGGTATTGGACGAGTGATCTCTGTGCCAACAAGGCAGATCAATTCGACTTGGTTATTACCGTGAGTCGCTGTTGCTTCTTAGAGGATCTCACTGACAGTATGCAGCTCGGAGGTGATGGCACAGTCCTCTTGACATCATGGCTCTTGTATGCACACCCAAACCCACCTCGTATCACTACTGACACTTCCCCTATAGCCAAAGCGTCGTACCTCCCGTCCTGCCATTCGCCCTCGGCTCCTTAGGCTTCCTCACCAACTTTGATTTCAACAAATACAAAGCCATAGTCGACAAATCTATCGACGAGGGGATCCGTGTCAACCTCCGTATGCGGTTCCGGTGCACGATCTACCGGCGAAAGGGCGAGAGCACAAAGGCGGAGGAGACGTTCGAAGTCTTGAATGATGTAGAGATCGATAGAGGCTTTGCGCCGTATATTAGCTCTTTGGAGCTATATGGTGCGTCCATCATACAAAAGTCACAAGGTGGAGCTGATATATGGAAAGGGGATGACCACCACCTCACCACCGTTCAAGCCGACGGCCTAATCGTATCCACCCCCACCGGATCCACCGCCTACTCTCTCTCAGCTGGCGGCTCCCTCGTCCATCCCCAAATCCCAGCTACCCTCATCACACCCATCTGTCCCCACACGCTGTCGTTCCGACCGATGTTGTTGCCGGATAGTATGGAGTTGAGGGTGTGTGTGCCGAGGGATGCGAGGAGTACGGCTTGGGCGAGCTTTGATGGAAAGGGTCGGACAGAGCTGCACCGTGAGTCTTCTCAGCTGCTTTATTGCAACTCCGCTGATGTGGGGCAGAGGGCGACCATATCAAGATTACAGCGTCCAGATACCCGTTCCCAACTATCTGCGCGGACAAGGCCAATACGGACTGGTTCTCTGCCATCGCACGGACACTATTGTGGAATGAGAGGGCGAAACAAAAGACGTTTACCATCAAAGAAGAGGATGGGGAAGATGGGCAGGCGTCATAGTGCATCAAGGATGTATAGGATCGTGCATCTAACATGCAATAGGCGCATCCCTTCCCCAAAGCCCTCGGCAATCTGCTTTGACAGAGGCCAGAGGCCAGAGGTCGGCGTTCCGTGATGGTCTCTGGACCCTGCATGCTTGTTTCATACAGATTACTTGCAAGTGCAGGGCAGAGCTAGCTGGTCGGGCTAGAGCATCGACACGGGCGTTTCAGATTGACGCCGTGGCCTGACCTCTTCGGGCCGCTTCCCATCCTCCCCTGTCCCACTGCCCATCGCCCAATGAGATCCCCTATGTACCAGCATCTCGCTGAGTTATCTCTGGCGGGGGACGTAACTCTAACCCCCAAATCAATCAGAGCTATGTACGACAGGCGCGGAGGGGAACCAAACAGGCACGTACTCCTCATCCGCAGCCCGTATAAAGGAAAGAGACAAGAAAGCAGACGAAATGCTCACCACCCCATCCTTCCATCCACAACCCGTCCCCCCGCAACTGATATTCCTGTTCCCGGTGTACGTCCGTCTGATCAGGCCCAGTATAGTTCAAAAGACAGACAATATCGCCGCCGTACTCTTATTGGCCGTAGATGATGGTCGAGTTTTGGGCGCCACAGGCATACTTGGCACATGCGTCATCGGTGAAGCAGCAGCTGCCATTCGAGGTGGAGTTGATGGGGTAGCTGGAGGTGTAGCACATGATGGTGAGAACGAATGGAGAAGAGGTGGATTTGAGTTTCGTACGCACTACCTGCCCTGTAATACCTGCCTGCCGTCTGGTTCCTCTCGGGCCGCCCGCCGCCAATCGTTCTTACCGGCAAATTTAACGTTACCAGTCGCTTTCTTGCTCTTGTCTGCAGCGTATGTGGAATTATAGCATACATATGTGAAACAGAGGTTGAAGGTATGCTACATACGCACTGTGGCTAACGCGGGAACCTCGACTCTAGCTACTTGAGTAGCGAGCGTTCAGTCACTCCGTCATCGCGCGGCTTTCCCGCGCGGACTTATTGGATTACATATCAGCCCATAAATCGGCAAAAAATAATTATTAATAGCTTCCCAAGCAGTTCCCAAGCCATGTTCGAATTCACGAAAGATGGTACAAGATCAATTCGACAGAGGATGGAAGCCGCCACTCGCCCTCGTGACTTCTACGAGCCTGAAGGGCCTCCGCCCAGTATTAGGCGTCGCGCCCAGCCTCCCTCTCGCCGTCCTGTCGCTCGACCTGTGCCTATCCCCTTTGCCAGTATCAACGGGCCTCAGTCGTCCGATTCCGATTCTGACGACTCCGATGGCGACGATGTGCAACGTCGAGGCCCTGCCGCTGCCCCAACTCGTCATGGGATGTTTGCCGCCCGCCGCCCTTTGCTGTCTGAACCTCCACCTAGGGATTGGCACTCCTTCCACCTACACGTCCGCGCTGGCCACTACCCAACTCTTCACCGCTCTGGTCTACTTTTCCAAACATGGGCTGTGGATGCAGGAGCTGTGATCGAGAACCGAGCACTGAATTATCTGCGTAATCATCAAACTGAGATTCGTGGTGAAGCTCGGGACGCTCTGCAAAGGGGGCTGGAGGACGGTCTGGCACCTGACAACATCGGTGTCAAGTCTAACCTTCCTGCATCATACGTCGGCGGCCCGCGCTACCGACTTGGTGCGATATTTCAGCCGCCCAACGTTGTTCATCACCATGACCTGTAACCCTAATTGGAAGGAAATCGTTGATGAGTTGCTGGAGTTTGACCCTCTTCCTTTCCTTCCTCGGGGTGTTGCGCGAGCAAAGCAATCTACTCATGACCGACCTGACCTGGTCGCTCGCGTCTTTGAGATGAAAAAGGAACCGTGCCAGACCGTCCTCCAGCCCCCTTTGCAGAGCGTCCCGAGTTTCACCACGAATCTCAGTTTGATGATTACGCAGATAATTCAGTGCTCGGTTCTCGATCACAGCTCCTGCCTCCACAGCCCATGTTTGGAAAAGTAGACCAGAGCGGCGAAGAGTTGGGTAGTGGCCAGCACGGACGTGTAGGTGGAAGGAGTGCCAATCCCTAGGAGACATGCTATCTTTCTCTTGTTGAGGTGCTAAGAAGATGGTTAGCAACAGAAAGACATGGTTCACGATAAGCAAGAGCAGCTCACTGAGGGGGCGAAGAGCGTTCAGATAGTTGTGAAGAGGGCCGTAGGGAATACCATCGGACCAACGGGACTGCCCATTGGGAAGAATCAAGACATAGCGCATTGGGAGGTAGGCGCCATGCGCTTCCGAAATACGACGGATAGAGCCAGTCACCCCTTGGATGATGATATCGCGCTTATCAACTGAGCCTTGACCTGTGGGGATGATGACGCCAACCTCAGATGCCCTAGGTCGATTGTACCGACGAACGTCTCTCACGATGGGTTCCACCGCTGTGATAAGAAAGCTGGGAGTCGTTTCGTATTCTGCCAGGCGAGCACGGGTACCCAGGAAAGCCTTCACCCAAAGGTTCTCCCTGTCCAACATGCGGGACAAGTTGGAGACGGTGTTGATGTTGAGGGAGTAATCACCTCCCGTCTGAGATCGTTGGACAGATGTTCCCCTTCAGTCTTCCAGACTCGATCCTTCCTCCGAACGGCGATCTAAGAAGCAGAGTGAGCTCTGCGTAAAATTCTACGACTGATTACTCACAATAGACATCAACTCAAGGAACTTTTTGGGAACCAGCGCGAACAAGCACAGAACCAGAGCCCTAATAATGCCCATGACCCCGCCCAAATCCCCACTGGTCCTCATAGCAGCACCAAGTGTTAGAACTCTCCGTAGCAGTGGGAGAAGAGGAGCCGGTAGAGATAGATGTGCTAGAGTCGTTCCTCCAAGCACACCCGGAGCCGCCACAGTCCACACTACCATTCTGATTGGAGATGTGGCTGACGACAGTATAGTTGAGGACGCAAGTGATGTCGCCGCTATAGCCAGTGGCACCGATGTGAACCGGGGCGTTCTGGGTGCCGCAGACGAGGTTGGCGCAGGCTTCGTTGTCAAGCAGCAGACGCCATCAGAGTTGGTGGTGGTGTTGGCGGGGGCGTGTCTGATGTAGCACATTGTGAAGGTGGGTGGGTGGTGGGCGATATTCTTCCTCATGGTGCTCCTTTCATACGCTGCGGATGGAAGATCACTCGCGAGATTACATACGTTCTTCTGTGCCCTGGCCGGGGCAAAGACCGGACAGGAATGATCGACGCTATTCTGATAAGCCGCCCAGGTTGCCATCCATCCAATAAGAACAACGGGAACTGGAAACTCTGCCTCGATGACAGAGAGGGTCACATGGTGAGTACCACACCTCGGCCTCTGCTTATTCATCCAACTGCCACACCTTTCACCACCCCGGTCCCACCTGCTTATTCATCTTCAAGCCCCGTACCCAAGCATTTCAGACCCCGGGGGCATGCGGTACATCAGTCAGCAAGTGCCGAGGTGCCAGGATACTGTACATGATGCGTCATAGACTCGTACTATTACAACACAATCAAACCTTCCTTGCTTTCTTCTTTCCGTCGCCCTCTTTGGCACCTCCCCCGTCTATCTCGGCCTTCAAGAATGCCGAAATAGAGTCGATGAGATTCGCCTTCAGTTTACCTTCCAATGGTACATCTATACCGATATCAGCAAAAGACGCTTCTCAAAGATATGGACTGACTGTAGTACTGGGCAAAGTCATTTAACTCGGCAACCTTCAGCTTACCCATCTGACCCTGCAGATACATCCCCCGCACATTCGGCAGATCCTCCTCATTGATCACCTTATCCTCCTTCTTCTTCCCACCCCTCTTCTTTCCTCCCGCCAAAGCCTCCGCCCGGTCGGCCCTCTCATCCAGCTCCACAGCCTTGTTGAACTCTTCCATGAACGCTCCCGCCGTCTTGTGCTGCCCCTTCACTTTCGGCCGTGTCCGATCGAGCTCTTCCACGAAATCTGGATCTTCCGGGTCGAGGTCTTCTTCAAACGCGAATGCTTGCAGCTGGGCGTAGTGGTATGCGAGCGAGGGATTGGGGTAGGCGTCGGGGTTGTAGATGCCGGATTTGAAGCGGAGACGGCGGACGATATTGACCATGCTCTCCTTTTGGGTTTCATTGGCTGTACATCTCCTCAGGCGGTGCTCTCGACAGAGTCAAGTGACTTACCAGGAATGTTATCAGTAGCCTTGGGCCACTTTCCTCTGATATCGTCTTTGAAAGGCATGGGTATCACATGGAAACCTGGCGGATACTCTTGCGCCCCATCACTCCCCAGTACCTCTTCTTGGGGAATAAGAAGACCAAAGAAGGGGGTCCAGTTGGTTCGGAGGCGACAGAGAGCGATGGCGTGTCGGTTGAGTTTGAGACATGACTTCAAGAGGGCCGCAAAGGCGCGAGTGGAGCCGGTGTATTTCTGAGCATAGTGTCAGCGCACGCTACTAGCATGTCGTCGACTTACATCCTCGTCGGGATAGATGAACGTGGCGTGTTTGATCGAGTGTTCGAGTCGGGCATTGTCAGGAGACTGGAATCCTAGAATCTTGATTTCTACTCTAGCTTAGCGCGACCATCCGAGCGACTAGGTGATACGTACGAGGATCAACGCCCACTGCCCTCAGCTGCGCAACTTCTTCCGGACTGAATTGCAACTACATCTCATCAGCCTTCGATCCCATAGTCATGTGCCTCCACCCACTCTTGTCCTCGCAACCACTCTGCTCTTGCCCTTTTGCGACATGTATTGCCCAGCCTGATCCTTGTACCGCTCCTTATCATCATCACTGCCACCCCCTCCTTCATCATCTTCCCTCATCCTCCGTTCCTTCTCTTCCTGCAGGACGTCGTCCAACATCTCTTGCCTCTCATCCTCCTGATCGGACCCTTCAAACCAATTGGGCTCGAGGACGTTGCGGATCTTGCCTTCGTCGCCCACCTCGAAAGCACTGGCGACTTCATTGGCAGATAGCAACGTGCCCGTTTTCTGCACAACGTCAGTGGACCCCCTTCCTCGCGTGTCAACCAACTCACGGAACTGGTGTACCCCGTCTTTTGTTCAACCTCCTGCACCACCGGCCCACTCATGATCACCTTTTTCGGCTGCCCCTTCGTCTGCTCCGAAATCAAACTAAACCCCGTAATGCCTATCACAATATCCCCGTCTTTGCCGCCGAATTTAAGCGGGACGTGGAATTGGGCGCGTTTGGGGGCGTATTTTATGACGAGATTGTTCATGACTTCTTCGAGCTTGGCGAGACCGTCAGCGTCGGGGTCTTCGTCTTCGTCGATCTGGCCATAGTCGCGTTGGAGGATGTCCTGGATAAAGCGTCAGTTGACATCAAAAAAGAGGGTGAGAAGAGGCGTACGTTCCAGAAGACGTTGGGGTTGAATTTGTGACCGGGATGGTCGATGAAGAATGTATCAATAGAGACATCGTACCCTCCAAGGTCCTACCAAACCATCAGAAAGACTCCCTTGTGAAGGGCAGAGAGCATACAATGATGGCTGTTCGTGCCGGAGCCCGGTTGCCGTCTGCACCAACTGGTGTATCCTGGTCGGTGATCAGAAAGATTCGCTTCTTCCCTGCTAACGCAACTCCTCTAAACATCACCGTCAGCGCATAGTCGTCACACAGTGGCCTGGTGTGACTTACCCGTCGCGGAACAGAAACATGCAAGCCCTCAACACATTCGCAATGTTCATCTCTTCCGACTTTGCGATGGGGCGGAAGGTCTCGCCCAATATCTCTGGCTCTTGGGAATCTTCTTTGGGGTTTTGATTTTCGTATTCTTCCTTGGCGGCTGCCACGAGCTGGACAAGCTTCTTCATCTCTTCGGCGTTGATCGTCCGGAGAGACTGGTAGGCGAATGTTCCCGTCTCATGGTTCCCCGGGCTCTCAGTCACTACAGAAGGCTATGATAGCGTCAGCCATGCCTAAAGAATACTGCGGAATCTCACATCAACATTGTAGAGAAGCAGCGCTACACTGTCGTTCGGTCCAGAAATCACTTTACTCCGCTGGATCCTCATGACCACTTCCAATGCCTGATGCAGTGCGCTCTTTCCCTTGACAGTAATCCCCTGTTCGTCTTTATAGTCTGGGAACGGCTTGTGCATGGTGGCGGAAGCGTCGATGCAGAACAGGACATGATCGCGGGAAGCATAGGTGTACTGCTGACGGTCAGCGGGTGGCCATGGAAGCGAGCACTTACGTCGCCATAGTCTGCCTCTTCGTCGGGTGTTTCCTTGGTGAGAGCGTCCCAGGAGGGGACTGTGCCCTTGCCGACGTAGGAAGACATTATGTAATGATTGTAATTGATTAGGGAGAACTACTACTGAACCAGAACTGAACTGAACATAGGACTGTTGACGCGACTGTGGGGCTCCGCCGGAAACAATCTCCCGGCGGCATCCCCCGCTATGACGGCCATAAGTGCAGCCGACTTGCCTTCAACTTGCCTTTCTCTTCTGCAATCATCACTCAACATGTCAAATCCACAACAAGCAAAGCAAAAATCCCCCTCGGCCCTTACCCCGAAAGCCCATTCCCCAAGACCCAACCTCAAGCCTCTCACGCCTACTGGCGGACCCGCCGGCAACCGTCGCTCCAGTAACGAGAGGGATGAGATCCACCATCCCGTGGACCCCACAGTCCTCGCCGAAGCTGTATCAAAGCTCGACATGATCCGTTCGGCGCCTCCGCCCATGTCGGCTGTACCGTCTCCCTCAGCGAGTGCTGCTACAAGTCGGCCGGGATCGCCTAGATTGTACCCCAACTCGGGCCAGGCGACGCCTACATTCGGGCCCATTGGGTCCGGGGCGATCACCCCCGGTACGATTGAGCGGGCTCTCAGTAATGAGGGCAAGCAGAGCGTCCCCGGTACGCCCCATTTCGGCGCCCAAACTGAGTTGTGAGTTTAGGACACTTTCGATCGGGATGAGATTGTATAAAAGGATCGCGCTGATGCTTCATGACAAAGGCTGAGAACACTGGACGAGACTACAAGGGTGATCAGGCAGAGCTCCAAAGCTCCGTCTCGTGCACCCAGTGTGTCGGGGATTGGTACTGTTGGTGAGTCGTCTCTTCTCAATGGATCTGTCAAGATAGCATGGTATGAGATCTGGTCTTTATGGAGAGATCGTTCGTGGGCAAAGGTCGGAGGGGGTTCCTCCTTTCGACTCTGATTTCAATTCTCGTCCTGGATGAGGCAGATTGGGCACTACCCAGGACTGTGTCCCATGGGCTGCATTCCAAGGTCTCTAGCCAACAGGGAACCAGATGTAGATGCGCGATGAGCTCTCAGATTATCCAATATCATCCTACTTTTGCCATGTTTACACATATCATTCGAAGGATCAACTGACCCTGTGCACAGTGGAAAAGCCAGACTACTCGGAAGCCAAGATTGTCGTCGCCATGGTCGGCCTCCCCGCCCGAGGCAAATCCTACCTCTCCAACCGTCTCATGCGTTACCTCCGCTGGCTGGAATACAACGTTGAAGTCTTCAACGTCGGCCAACTACGTCGCTCCAAAGCCCGAACCTCTCTAGAAGAGGGCAAAGGCAAAGTCGACCATTCTGCAACCTACTTTTCGCACGACGATGCGGCTGCGCTGAAGAGGAGAGAGAATTTGGCTGAAGAGTCCCTGGAGTCTCTCATCAGGTGGCTGAAGGCTGAAGGCAATGTCGGCATTATGGATGCGACGAACAGTACGGTGGATAGGAGGCAGTGGATCAAGCAGAGGGTCGACAAGGAGCCGGGACTGCAAGTGCTCTACCTCGAATCGTTCTGCGACGACCCCGTCGTCATCGCTGCGAATGTTGCCCTCAAGGTGCAGTCGGGTGATCCCGACTACAAGCACATGTCGAGAGAAGATGCCGAAAAGGATTTCAGGAAGCGAATCGCTCAGTACGAGGCGGTATATCAAACCATCACCGAGCCGGATATCTCTTTCTGCCGTATCTTGAATGTCGGGCAGCGTTGCTCCATCAACAGGATGGAAGGGTATCTGCAAAGTCGAATTGCATTCTATCTGATGAACTTGCATCTCAAGCCGAGAAGCATCTACCTCTCCCGGGTACGTCTTACTCTTCTCTTCGAGGGCGCTGCTGATTCCTCGTAGCATGGTGAAAGCATGTACAATGTCGACGGCCAGATCGGTGGAGACTCTGACCTCTCGCCGCGAGGCTGGGACTATGCTCGAGCCCTACCCGCGCTGATCAAAGATAACATTGGAGAGAATGCGCAGCTTGAAGTGTGGACGTCTACGCTCCAGCGAACGCAACAGACGGCGTCGTTCCTTCCGTTCGAGAAGAAGACATGGAAATCGCTGGACGAGCTCGATGCTGGTGTCTGTGATGGCATGACTTACGAGGAGATTGAGGTACATTTTCTAAAGTATACGCAGGTCCTCTAGCTGATGCCATCAACAGGAGAAATACCCTGAAGACTACGAAAGCCGAGATGAGGACAAGTTCAACTATCGATACCGAGGTGGTGAATCTTACCGAGACGTCGTGGTCCGTCTCGAGCCCGTCATCATGGAGCTCGAGCGCCAGGACAGCATCTTGATTGTTGCCCATCAGGCTATCCTCCGTTGTCTGTATGCCTACTTCCAATCCAAATCTCAGCAAGAACTCCCATACATCAACGTAAGCTCTTTTTCCCATTATATCCCGAGTCTAGTCTGACCTGATATAGATCCCCCTCCATACCCTCATCAAAATCACTCCCATGGCCTATGGCTGTCACGAAGAACGGTACCCACTTCCCATCCAAGCTGTCGACACCCACCGCCCTCGGCCGACCAAGGGAGGCAAGACTCCGGGTGGCCATGTCGTCCCCGACTTTAATCCCGGCGCGGGCGTGGCTAGGGACTATTATGGAGACAAGAAGCAAGGCGTGGGCATGGGTCTGAAGGCCGAGGCGTTGAGTCAGGCTTTGGAGAATGAGGTGGAAGCGGGAAGTTTGACGCCTACTGCTGCGGGTGGGGCAGACATACAGCACGAGTAAGGTTGGGAGGAGGTGGGGAAAGTGGGATGATCTTGACGGAGAGCATGTGTCAAGAAGCAACAAAGTCGTGCACGATAGAACTGTACCCGAAACGTTAGAAATATGCCCAAATGATGTCAAATGTGCAGAAGTGATCGACTCGGGTCTCTGTGCACCTTGTCTGCCCTTTTCCCAAGCATTGCTGAGATGCAAGCGTTGGATACGAGAGTGCACGGCCGCCGGGCCTGGACTGGATATCTAATCTCGGTTATCCGCGCACACACAACGAACCCCGGGGGATTCTAAATCTCCTCCGTTCCTTCCTCTGATCATCAACATCCACCGTCCATCCTCACCAACACGTGGTGGGCAGCATACTTGTGCTCTGTCAGCGCATACTTCCATCTCATCCACCACGTCTTCCCAGCACCATGGTCACCCTCTTCTCTCGCCTCGCCGTGGAACCCCATCCCACAGAATCAGCCACCTTCATCCCCCGCAACCCCGCCCTCTGGCTGCCCCCGGGCGTCCGCTCAGTGTATGGAGGCCTCATCATCGGCCTCGCCCTCCAATCCGCGCGCCGTACCGTCCCCGCGCATCTTGGCCTGCAGAGTACCCACTGCTACTTTCTCCGCCCCGGCGTGGCTGGGCACGAGATGAAGTATGTGGTGAGCACATTGCAGGATGGAAAGGCGTTTATGAGGCGAGAGGTGAAAGGGTGGCAGAAGGGCAAGCTGTTCTTTGTGTTGATGGCGAGTTTTACTGTGGCGCCTGAGGTGCTACCAGAGCGGATTTTCAAGCGAGGAGATGTAAGGAAGGAGGAAGAGACGCCGTCAAAGGTGTCAAATAGTTTGACGGACATGTCCCAGCCTTGGTATGAAGATCCCTCAGGCAGAAATGGAGAAGGAAGGCGGGTGAAAGAAGGGTTCCAAGTGCCGTTCCCAGGAGACATCCTCTTGCCCTATGACCAATGTGAATCCAACGAGTCGTTCATAGCGCGACGACTGGAAGCGACTTGGGATGTCCCACAGTGGAAGAGAGACTTTCTCACTACATGGATTGAGGTGAGTGGTCGTAGACATACGGCAGACATATCTTTGGTGCTGATGACGCGGATGTAGCAACGCGCGACCAGTCCTTTCCTGTCTGCTGTGGCCAGACTGAAGCCTGGTGTGACTTGCCCACCAGAGTTCTTTGTCGATGGGAATGCTGCTACACGCATGACCTGGAATCGGCCCACGACTACGGCAGATGAGGTCATAGATGAGGAAGCGTTCAAGGTGAGTTCGTGAGCCACAGACAAACCCGGGTACTCAGTCAATTGGCCAGGCCATGATCGCGTTCATCAGCGACTATCAACTGGTGGGAGCCACCACACGCGCCATGGGCATCAACATGTCCACGACCCCCCATGTAACCATGATTGCCTCTCTGGACCACTCGGTCCATTACTATCCCTTCCCTCCAGACCTCGACTATAGGAAACCTACCCTGCATGTGATGGAAGCGCAGGTGGGAGATTTTTCGACGGCGAGGGCAACGGCGAGGGGCAGGGTTTATAGTCACGATGGTGTCTTGTTGGCGGTGACTTGCCAGGAGGGGGCCATCGCTTGGAAGGGAGACGGTGAGCCGAGGAGAGGTTTGGCGGCGAGTGGAGTGGATGAGGAGGATCTGATGGCAAAGCTGTGATTGCAAGAGTGCTAGAAATACATGTCCTCTGTAGTGTTGCTGTTGTGACTGGAATGTATCGATGAGAAGAAGGAGGAAGGAGGGAAGAGGCCGTTGAGTGATGGGTGCCACACTGCCACTGCGCCGTGGTGCATAACGCCGTGGACGCGTCTGGTGGGCATAGACATGAGATGAAGGACGTGTTCGTGAATCCATCTCTATCTTTCAAATGGACGTCCAACTGTACGCCCTCAGAGCCCCCCGTGGCCCATAAGCTGACTCTGCTCAGACAAAAGCTCAAGGTCACCGACCTCAAAGAGATCCTCTCCAAAGCCAGCCTTCCCCAGACAGGCAAGAAGGACGATCTCATCAAGCGGATCATCGAAAACAACCTCTCTGCCGAGGTACAGCAAGATGAACTTGTATGTAGATGCCTCTCACATCCCCGAGGATAATGATGAGGGAGCTGACGGTAAGAATAGACGGATCCTGATGCCATCGATGGCACCAATGTGCCCGCCAGCGCGCCCGAAGCTACCACTGCCCCCGGCGCACCCAACACCACCCTGGTCGACGTGAGTAGGGCCGGCCGTGAGATTCCAACACGACTGACGTTCTCTAGCCTACCGACACCACCACCATCCCCCCACCGGTCGAACCTCTCGTACCGACCGACGCCCCTTCAGCCGACTCCAACCCTCTCGGGGCCGCCTCCGACGCATCTGCTCCCGAACCCGAGCTCACTGCTGATCAAAAAGCCATGAAGGCTCGTGCTGAGCGATTCGGTGTTCCACTCCAACTCCCTAAACCGAAACCCGCTGCCGCTGCTCCTGCCGCCCCGAAAGAAGCTGCCCCCAAGCCCGCCGAAAAGCAAAAGGCTGGTGCTATCGACAAGAACCCCCTGGGGTACAGTGACGAGGTGCTGGCGAGGAGGACGGCCAAGTTTGGTGCGGTGGAGAAGAAGACTGCTGCCCCTGCCCCTGCCGCCGCCGCTGCAAAGCCCGAGGAGAAGGCGCCGGAGCCTGTGGATCCGTAAGTCGCGTGTGTTATGCTGCTAGTCTGCTGGATCTGACGCGATCATTTCATAGGGAAGCTGCCGCCAAACTCGCCGCGGAGGAGGAGAAGAAGAGGAAGAGGCTTGAGAAGTTTGCTGCCCCCAAGTCTGCCGAAACCACAGAAGAGGCCGATGGGTCTACTGAGCCGGTACGCATTCCTTTGTTGAGCGCTTTCGAGACATGCCTAATGAAGCCGACATAGGACGCGAAAAAGGTCAAAGTGTAGGTGAGTCTTGATTTTCACTGATGGTTGTGTCGTTAGGGAAGTGTACGTAGTGGCCTAGTGGGCGAAGTCGGGTGTGTAGAGCAGAACAGCATATAACAACAGATCGTGTACAATACCATGCACGATGGTCAACTGCGATGGATACTCTGCGTGTATGTTGATAGCAAAGCTCGTTGCGATATGATGGATGAAGGGTGCCCTCGCTTCACCACCCTTCTCTGGCGATCCGAAAGAAGCGGCTCGACAAGCATGCACTAACGACTGCGGATAACGGAATACCTCATGCATAGCGCGCATCGTTTCCCTCGTCTCGGCAGGTCGAGCAGCGCCGAGCCCCAGCCGGCCCAATTTGGGGCGCCGTCCCGTATCAAACCTTCTTCGCGGTCCAATCGTCATTCTGCGCTTCCGTATTTCCATCTCCACCAGCTGTCCTCGACATCCAACAACCCCGACTATCCACAATGGCCCCCCAGACAGTCCCGTGCCAGTACAAGACCGGCAAGACATTAGGAAGGTGCGTCGCGATGCATACACCTGCCCACCGCTATGGAGCTCTGCTGACGGGCTTGTGAATCCCACAGCGGTACTTAGTAAGCACAACACTGGCCACTGGCCATAGGCAGGGAGAGAGCGGGGCTGCTAACTCTGGATGCCCACAGCGCTGTCGTCAAAGAATGCGTGCATATTGGTGTAAGTCACAAGCCCGGCGCACCGCCCCCTCGGGGAGGACTCCTGCTAACGGCATGGACCGTAGACTGGTGAATACTTTGCCTGTAAGGTCCTCAACAAGAAGTTCTTGATGGTGGGTGGCTTCGGCTCGTTATGATATACTGGATAGGGCGCTGAAGGGGAACAATTGTAGGGCCGAGAACACATGGTCAGGAATGAGATTGCTGTCCTCAAGCGTGTCTCGGCGGGTTACAAGAACATTGTGCAACTGCACGACTTCTTTGAGACTACTCACAACCTCTACGTGCGTGTCTTTTCTCTGAAAGCTATGAATCTTAGACTGACGTGGACGGATCTATAGCTTGTCTTTGACTTGTGTACAGGCGGGGAGCTCTTTGACAGGATCTGTGCTAGGGGAAGTTACTTTGAAGGGTGAGTCATGTGGGCCCGGGAAGAGTCTAGCTGACGCTCACTAGCGACGCGGCCAACCTTGTCCGTACCGTCACGAAAGCCGTCAAATACCTCCACGACCAAGGAATCGTCCACCGAGACTTGAAACCCGAAAATATCCTCTTCAAGTCAAAGAAGGAAGATGCGGATCTCATGTTGGCAGACTTTGGCTTGTCCAAGGTGTTGGACGATGACAAGCTGACGATTTTGACTACTACTTGTGGTGTGAGTGCGATTCAACTTGAACGAGAGTAGTGCTGACTTGGCGTCAGACCCCTGGATACATGGCTGTAAGTAAAGTGTAAATGGACTCGGGTCATCACTGACAGCGATATGTAGCCTGAAATATTCCGAAAGGCCGGACACGGCAAGCCTGTCGACATCTGGGCCATCGGTGTTATCACCTACTTCCTCCTATGCGGCTACACCCCCTTCGACCGTGACACCCAATACGAAGAAATGAACGCAATCATCAATGGCGACTACCGATTCGAGCCCCAAGAGTACTGGGCGGGCGTGTCTGAAACCGCCAAGCAGTTTGTGCGGGACTGTCTGACGATCGACCCCACCAACAGGCCTACGGCGGACGGATTGCTGCAGCACGAATGGTTGAAGGAGGATGTCGCGGTGAACGAGGTCAGCGCGTCAGGAAAGGGAGTGGATTTGCTGCCGAACGTCAAGGCTGCTTTCGACGCCAAGAAAACTTGTAAGTCTCATGTGTGATAGATACCTGTCTGTTGACCTTGTTTGCTAGTCCGGAAGGCTGTTCTTGGTATGATGGCCGTTCACAGGTTCCAAGACCACAGCGCGTCCTCCAGCGGGCAGCATCAAACCGATGCGGAGAAGGAGCAGTTCAAGAGGGAGGTCGAGGAGTACAAGCGGGAGGCTGACAAGGTGCGTCAACTCACTTTTTGCTTGGGTTGAGCTGATTTTTTTTCCATCGCAGGAGGATGTCCAGACTGTCATCCAACCTGGATCTGGCCCTGCCACCCCTCAAATCTAGGCAATCGGTCTCAGACTCTCCTCTACGCGTCAATAGGACTACCAGCCTAGGACCCTTTCTCGTCCTGTGAAAGCATTTTGTGACTATACACAATCTTCGAGTCATACACGCTCTGTCTATAGTACACCCCTTATTTTTTTTCTGTGTTATTTCTCCTTGGGTTCCAGAGTCATTCTGTGCAGTTGTCCTTGTACGTGAGAGATTAACTATACATGCATCTCGTGTGATTAGACAAGTACATCCCAGGGGAAGACATGCAACACTATAAACGTACGAATGCTGAATATGGTATCGTGATTGCGAAGGTGTTTTGGGATAAAATGTTCTTGAATTTATGTAGAATAATAGACTGGGAGAAGGGGATTATAAAATGTCCACGGTGTATATGATGGAGTAGAGTACGAGTACTATCTATAGAATCGATAGCCAGTGCCGGCTCACTACAAATACTCTTTTGTCTTTTGGTTATAGAGTCAACCAACAATGCGCTTCTATGCACAACTTTCTTTCTTTCACGAAACGTCCTCCTTCTCTCGTCTTACAATTCCCAAGCCCTTCTCGACCCGTCCGAGATGGACGACCCACTGGGACCTGGTCCATCTCTCCCATCAGTAGCGTACGCTCCCCTCCATTCATCGTGACTCCCTCTTCTATAGTCTGCACCAGGCGGCGGCAAGCCCGGAGGTGGCGGACCTTGCATACCCTGCACAGGCGCAGGAGGATACCCGTACGCCGGCATGCCATACTCTTGCCCCATTCCCACCGGTGGAGGCGGAGGATACCCAGCCGTCTGCGGCGTACGATAAGCCGAAGGTGGTCCTGGAGGGGATGGTGTCCGCCGGGACGAAGTGTAACCTGCCGGCGGCATGGGCACACCCGGGCGGCCGTAGGGAGAGTAAGATTGAGAGGAACCGGGTCGGGACATGGAAGCAGGAGGGAGAGGAGGGTAGTATGCTTGTTGGGGAGGGGGCTGGTCGTACCGTGATTGTGGGGGAGGCTCAACACCAGCGGCGATGGAAGAGAAGCTCGGTAAGGGGCCGGGTGCGGTAGCTGAAGGTACAGTAGGGATGGGTGTGAGGGGAGTGAGAGGACCGGCTTGAGATGCCCGGCGATTGGGGGGTGGAATATCTTGGGCAGGGGCATAGCTGGGTGGACGGGTGATGGCCAGGAAGGAGACGACGAGGTAGACTCGGGCGAGGGTGGCAGGTTTCCAGAGATTGGCGCCGAAACCGCCGCCGAGATGGAGACGAACGTTGAATGGGCTAAAGCCGCCGTCGGCATGGGCTACTCGGAGGTTCTTGTTGGGATATGGCTCTCGCATACCCTCTGCAGGAGAGAGCAGCTCCAATTCGCTCATCTGGGCAATGGCAGCCTGAGTCACATCCAGAGAAGTCAACGGCGTCTCTCCGTACGGCACCACCGACAACAACCTGTTCCGCTCCATGTCGATCAAGTGTTTGTCATGAGGATGAATCCAATCGAGCAAATTGAGATTCACAAAGTCATTGGGGTGGAAGCCGGTGAGGGAAAAGCTCGACGGGCTGGCACGAAGAATTTTGAAGTCGGTGGTGGTGAAGAGAGTGAACGGTTGCTCGTAGGGGCTGGGCGCAGGATGGGAAGACTCCATCTCATAGCTGGGACCCGTCCGAGGCATAGAAGGCCCGTAAGATCCGGGACCAGACATGTAGGGCTGTTCGTACACGGGGGGGCCTCGCCATTTACCGACACCACCGATGTCGCCGCTCGAGTTTGCCCTTGGCGGTCGGTGATATGGCTCTCCGAGAGCGGGCCGGGGAACCTTTGGTCGCCCTCTCTTCTTGTGCTGTGCCAAGTCAGCGCTAGATCCCGTAGAGAGTAATTTGTCACAACGTACCGGCACATCCTCGCACTGGTCCTGCTTGCCCATATTGATACATCTCTTGCACGGCCGTCCTACATCGCACGCCAAGTGCGCGCGTTTGCATGGCCCACAAGCTGAAGAAACATTCGCCTTGCCCCCAACACGCTTGATCTGCGCTGTCGGAGGAGGCGATGCGGTGGCCGTATCCCGCGAGGAGTCGTCCTGCGGAAGTGTAGATCGCGACGAGGAGGCGTACTGTGACTGGGACATGTTGGGTGGACCAGAGTCGCCTCCGAGAATTGAGCGTGCGCCGGGACCGTCGAATGGCTGGCGCGAAGAGGTGGAAGAGCCCGAGGAATAGTCCATGGTGGATGTTTTCGTGCGGTGATCCGTCGGGATATCAGGCGTGCGGGGGGATGTTGGATCACGCTGACTGATCGAATGGGCGCGCCAATGAAAACGGATCGAAGGACGTTCGGATCTCTGCTGGGGATGACCTAAGCCTGGATGGCGGGGATAAAGGATGCGGAGGAATTGGGAGAGTGTCGCGCTGTTGTCACGACAGCAATTACGACGTCAGGCTACCCCTTCGGTGTCGCAAAAGGGACGACGGCCAAGGGTGGCTGGGCCGAGCGGATGTATGCAGCAACAGAGGCGCCAGGTGCCAAGCGATGGTAGGCTGCACGCTGAGGTGGGAGCGAGGGGTGTTGGGGGATGAGAAGAGCAGAAGCCGGCGAGAAGGTTATAGAAGTGTATTCTTCCGAGACCTGCGACCGTCACGCATCAGACATGAGCCAAACATACTGTAGATGGAAGCAGGCGGTACACACTGATGCGGAAGCGGATGCCCACCCTAGATGCTGAGGCACGTCAAACACCCTTCGTTGACTGTCGGAGGGGCGATACGATCGTGCTCTTGCGTGTCGTGTAGACCCGCACGGAGAGGCAGGCGAAGCGAGATGCGAGTGGTAGCTCCGAGTAGATATATATCGTTTCTGCAACACCCCGCCGGGATATATCACAGAGTTGACCTGAAAC